TGTGAGTTGCAGAGTGATATGGCTGCTGAATATCATAGGATCCCTCAAGACAGCGTCTACAACCTGGTGGTAAGCATGCATCGCAAGTGTACAGCTTGTAATGCTTCCAGCAATGACCACACATACTACTAGCCATTGACTTTCACAGCAGACCCCCTGTTCATTAACCCCTTGGATGACAAATGTTGATCAGCATAATGACATTTAGCCAGCATCCATACCACCCTGCAACTCACAACTGGCAACCTGCTGAAGCTAATCAGGTTTGAGCCTGGTTAGTACTTGGATGGGAGATCTCCTGGGAAAAAAAACTAAGGTTGCTGCTGGAAGAGGTGTTAGTGGAGCCAGCAGGGGGTGCTCACCCTGTGGTCTGTATGGGTCCTAATGCCCCAGCATAGTAAAGGGGACACTATACTGTAAAAAGGCACTGTCCTCCAAAAGAGATATAAAACCAAGGTCTTGACTCTCTGTGATCATTAAAATCCCAGGGTGTTTCTTGAAAAGAGTAGGAGTATTACCTTGGTGTCCTGGCCAAATTTCCCATTGGCCTTTACCAATCATGCCCTCCTAATAATACCCATCTATGAATGGCCTTCATCACTGTTCTCCTCCCCACTAATAGCTGGTGTGTGGTGAGTGTACTGGCGCACTATGGCTGCTGTCGCATCATCCAGGTGGAGGCTGCACATTGGTGGTGGTGGAGGGGAGTTCCCATTACTCGTAAAGCACTTTGAGAGGAGTGTCCAGAAAAGCACTATGTAAGTGTAAGGAATTAATTAATAATTAAATTACGTACAACAGACATGTTATGGGAATAAAATCAGGGCACCTGCTACAAAAAAATATTTTTCCTGATAGGTCCTTCCCTAATATGTTACAGTTTTATATTAACTTACCCAAAGATCTTTCTTTTAATCTTTGGTATATTTGCTCTATTCATTACTCTTTGGTTAAAACAGGGAATTCATTAATATCATCTTGAACTTTTATGCATTTAAAATATTCCTTTGTGAAAAGCATGCTAATGTAAAAATGCAGTACATTTTATATCTAATATTTTGGAATACATTAAAATGCTTGTCACCTCTTCATATCATATTACATGCACAGGCAGCATTTACAGTAGAGTGGAGGGAGACAGCTGTCTAACTAATCCCTATTGACTGGGAATGTTCTCAGTGTCACTTTTTGCCACAGTTTATTGATTGAGGTCTCCTAGCAGCAGGGCACTGGCTGTCCTGCGGCTGAAATCCCTGGCAGCAGCAGCTGTTTAATGGTACCTTGTATAGGTAAAATATATTTTCAACACAAGAAAACAGCACTTCAAAAACCATTATTGTTATGAGCTTTAAATCTTAACTATAGGGAAAGGTGTCTAATTCTGTCTCATTTTACATGTTTACCACAACACTGTTGCTATGAACATCTGATATTGTGAAATAGTGATGTATGAAGTCTCATGAATTCCTCTCTGCAGCAAATAGAAACCTGTGTATGTACAGATTCATTGAAAGGTCTTATAGATACATTTCTTAGACTATTGTAAAATATATCTATGTCAGTAAATGTATTTATTCCACTCTTATACAGTATATTGCAGGGTTTTGAATGCAGGGAGTGAAAATATAAATGATAAATACAAAACTGGAAACACTGATCTAGAAGAGGCCGCTCATGAAAAAGCTATCATTCACTTTAAAAAAATGTGGAAAAAATTAAAAATTCAAACAAATTGCTGGGATATATAGTTAAAAGCATAGTATTCAGGTCAAATGATGCTATGTTAAAATTGCATAATACTCTAGTAAGGCTGCATTTAGAATATTGAGTACAGTTTTGGTCACCACATCATAGAAAAGATATGACTGTTCTGGAATTAGTTCAGAGAAGAGCAACCAGATACATTCTGGGGCTTAAGGGTATATCCTGTACTGACAAGCTGAAGGAACTGACCTTTTTTTTTACTCTTGAACACAGAAGATTACAAGGGGACCTGATTCAAGTATTCAAAATGCTCAAGGGCATTGACAAAGTCAACCCATCAGATTAAATCCAAGTGAACAGTGAAACATGAACCAGTAGACACAAGTAGAAACTACGTGGAAGCTCATTTAAAACTGAGAATATGAGGCACTCCTGTACCCATTGGCTTGTGGGACTATGGAAAAGGCAACCCAGCCATGATTTTGAAGCTGAGAGCCTGATTTCTTTCAAGAAACGGCTGGATGAGGTCTTTGGATCAAACTACTAACTACCAAATGGGCTAGATGGGCCAAATATCCTGCTCTGGTTTGTAGCATTTCATATATTCTTATTTTATTCTTTCGTATATTCTGTATTTTAATTTATGGAAATATGTACAGTATGTCTCCAAGGGAGCACTTTGGAAAGCCTTGCAGTACCAAACTGCTGTAGGTTATTCCATTGACACTAGCTGGCAGTTGTCATTTCTGTTACAAATGATTACCCTTTTCATTTTTCAAGGGAGTCAGAGTGCATGAAACTGGATTCAATATTGTAGTCTTTCTTTGTTACACAGGCCATTGTACTGGACTGCCTAATATAAGAAGTATTTTCTTTAGGATACATTTTATAATGTAAAATAAATAATAAGTTTATTCCAAGCGGAAAAGAGAACAAAGAAAACACAATGTTTCGGTGGTGGAACCTTCATCAGGTGTGAACATTTTATTCTGATTGTTGCTCTGGTTGGTGTCAGAGTCAAAGGAAAAAGTGTTACGTTTTAGGCGAAATCCTTTGAGAATTATATTATAATGACGACATCTGTAGAGGAATAGGAGGTGGTTAGAAAGCCTGGTCTTAGAAGAGATCGGTGTGAAGAGACGGAATGCTGGTTTAGTAAGAAAGGGGGGCAAGTAGCCCAGGGAGGAAGAGAAGGAAAGACGAAGAGATCTAGAAAAAGATTTAGATGAAGGCATAGTGGGTCGCAGCAGAAGTAGGTTGAAGTAGTTCAGGTGGGTAGCTGCGTCAGCATGCGCAGACTGCAAAGGAACAAATAATAGGTTTATTCCATGCTCACACCCGAAGAAGGCTCCACAGCCAAAACATTGTGTTTTCTTTCTTCTCTTTTCAGCGTGGAATAAACCTATTATTTGTTCCTTTGCAGTCTGCGCATGCTGACGCAGCTACCCACCTGAACTATCTAAAATAAATGTCATATTGCAAATAAATCTGCAAAAATGGACACAAGATCAGAGAATTTTAAAATTATTCAGCCAGATGATATGCTGAAAATGATTGCAACAATGAAAAAAGAACTAAGAGGACACAAGTGGGAGTTACAGTGTGTGAAACTGAAAACCAAGAACAGGAAACATCTTTACACAAAGAGTTGTAAGAGTATGGAACATACTATCCAACTTTGTTGCTAAATACCCTGCCTTCTTTCAAGAAATGAACGGACAAGATCCTTGAATCAATTAGCCACTAACTACAGTTAGATGGGCTGAAAAACCTCCTTCGTTTGCAACTTTTTCTGTTCTTATGATATTTAAAGTTTCTTGATTATGTCTAGAGACCCTTAAGCAAATCTAGGCCACAAGAGAATAAATTATTTTGAATTTGTGCGAAGTATCTGCAGTACCTTCAAGAATTATCTGTATTGAAACAAGATAAATCTGCTTACTCTTTTAATGTAAGTACTGATATTTTTCATTTGTAACTGCAGTAATTGGAGGGTTACATTATCCCAACATTAAGATTTTAGACATGGTTATAAAACTAGACTCTTGGAATTTTAAGTGTAAACACATGTGGAGGGGTATTACAACTGCAATAAATGAATATTGGCATTCGTTATGTTTTTATGCTCAGTATATTTTAAATAATTTGAAGGGGAGCACACTATGAAAACACTATACAGCCATAACATGAAAAAGTATTTATCAGCACAGAAGCTTATAACATCAAATGCAGCTGTACTTATGGCATACCTCTAGGTAGAACATTACTGTTGTACCTGGAAAGAAAATTTCATATGAAACAATATCAATTTTAACATTGAAAATCACTGCATGTGAGGTACATGTTTTTACTCCTGCTATTTCAGGAGATTGATTGGTGCAGTTGGGGGATAGGAAAGTATTAATATTGCCTTTTACAACTGTTTTTTCCTCACAACGAAAGTTGAATATATTAAGATATACTATCACAATTCCCCTCTCACTGCAGCCACCTATCTTTTCTTTGGTCCTCCTCTAGTCTTTTCCCACTGTCATGTTCATCAGTCCCATTAATATTCTCTCCTCTTCTTATCACGTCAGAGAAATCTATTGGGAATCCAAAGAAATTCTCTCAAATTCTCCATAGTCTTTTGTTTTCACGTACTGCTAATTTATATAATGAAGTAGCAATATGTTTGATATTTATGCTTTACTATTATATTCTAATCTATCAAAGATGTTCAACTGTACAGATACGTTTCCATAGCTTGTACATCAATCACAAAAGACAGGAGTTCTAGCAAACACAAGGCTCCACTGAAAATTACAGACATTTTTAGGCTCTAAAATGGCCATTCAATGAAACATTCAGATAAAACACATGATTGCAATAGCAACAAAAATAGAATATCAAACCATTACTGTTCTGCAAAAAAAGTACTGAACTGTGAATTAAAACATGGTTTTATTTTTTACATGTAAACAATGGTGGCACTTGCATGTCATTTATAATAATAATAACATAATATGATCTCCACTATATAAAACACTTTGGTTTAAAAAAGATGCAAATATAAAAATAGTATATTTTGTGCCCCCCCGTTTTTTGGCATTTCCCTTTATGTGCAACATGAGAAATCTAATGGGAAAAAATCTGCAATGGCTAGTAGAATCCAGTATTCCAAACAAGGATCACGTTTGGATTTAAACACCAACTGGCATGTTAAAAAGTCTTCCAAAAAAAAAAAGGCCAGACTTTCTGTACTGCCAAACAGAATCCCAGTCTCATCCAACTCTACAACTCATTGCCTTTATTATCCTTTTGGGAGTGGCTTCAGTTGTATAGGTCCAACCCCTTAAAAAACACAAAACATGTAGCTAAAATCCTGTTACATTTCTGAGAAAATCTCAGCAAATGCTGCATATAAGAAACAACGAATTTCTCTTAAGCTCTAAAACCAATTAAGTAGAGAGCTGACCACTCACAATTCACAACAGCTCAGCAGAACTGAGCACAAGCAACCTGGATTTTTAAGATTGTCCACGCGCTGCTGCCATCGGGAAATAGAATTAGAAGCCCACGCATCATTATATATCGATAAAGGAAGGACACCCATTCTACCGAGGTACGTATATAATTTGCGTTGAAGCTTTAACGGTTTTTTCGTCAATCAATAAAAATGGAAATACATTTTGGAGCTACAGAATATAGGTCATTGTGTCTGCATGCTGCAACAGTGTGGTTACTGTTCTAGGGCTAAAAAAATAGACAAGGAAAAAAAATCAGTGGATCCGGTTCTGTGAGCAAGTCTGTTTTATAGCAAGGTATGTGTATAATTCGTTTAATAATTTCATATCACGGTGTTTGTGTAGAATTGTAATTGTAGAGTTATAAACGATCGGTTTGTGAATGCTAGGCCGTGGACGGAGGTGGGTCTTAGGCAAAGGCTCTAGCTTTTGTTTCGTGGCTGCGCCCTAGTAATGAGAATCCATTCACAAGCGGTAGTTATATAGATACAATATTAATAGTGTTTTAGAGATGTTTTAACGCTGACATAATGACACTAATGCCCGAGACTAATGTTTTAAGTGTCGATGTGCAGGTTGTAATTACGGACTTTGTAGGCTACTGTAAAGGTCTCTGTTATTAAGGTAATCAAAAGAATTTTCCCTTGGAAAACATATGGTGTACCCATACTTCACTGAGGATAAAATTTAAGACTGAAAGCGGTTTGGTATAATTTCCAACATTTAGAGGCAAATTTCAGCTCTGTTTTCAAATAATAATAATAAAACGACAGTCGTGTAATGTCCTGGGTGTAGTCTTGCTTTGCGCCCTTAGTTAAGGATCAGCGGTTGTGAATGGTGCACGATTATAATCGTATACTTGGAATTTAATTGGTTTGATGAAATAATAACAACCTTTATCATTTGTATTATCTCATGGGTAATGAAAGCATGTAGTCTGCATGGAGGTAAGGCAATTGGAGTTGAAAGAAACATGTATTTTTTGTTTTTACTCAAGATGGTAAAATGTACCATAATTTTAAAAGCAACATTTATTTGGTCACTTTTGCAACAAATTCAAAGTGAATTAACTCCCACCCAACATCTTATCAGCTCCAATTAATGCCAGGACTGTTCTACATGGTAAAACAGCAGAAACAAAAGAGGGGAAAACATCTGTTGGTTAAATAATTTTGGTATATCTTAAATTCTTAAGGTACTTTTTATGTATATGTGAAAGTGACATCACAGAAAGAGTAAGTACTGAACCACATCTCAAACTTTATTGAAGATCTAAAAAACAACAAGTAATTCAGTTTCCCCATCTAATAAAGGGCTCAGTTGGAACAATACCCAGAAGACTCTGGGGTTACAGGACCAAAGCTGTAAATGACTGATTATAAGAATCCCTTGTTCTGAATGGGAATGTTGTAGAAGTGCCGACAGCTGTTTTGAGATGAGAGGTGGTGTTATCAGTTTGGGATAACAGCTTTGTTATCCTTCACGGCTGCACCCTGGTCACAGGACACCCTTTTGCTGGGCACTTGGCTCTCAGGTGTCCAGACATTCAGCAGCTCCCTGACACTATTGCTTTCTAAATAGTAGTAAGCTTCAGTAGCTGAAGCACACTGGGCCATCTTCCTTTTCTGCCTTTCTGCCTTCTACCTTTACTCTGCAGACTGGTGTGTAACCCTGGAGTGGTATCTACTCCTACTATAATAATAATAATAATAATAATAATAATAATAATAATAATAATAATAATAATTATTATTATTATTATAAAAAGCTTTATTTTATATAGTGCGTTTAAAGGTGGCTTCTCAAAGCTTCTCAAATGGAATGCGTTCCCTATTTGCAGAACTTGAGGAGTTTTGAGGAGCTGATTCCTTGAGCCCACTAAGCTGAGATAATGTGATAACTTTATTTTCAAGGCTGGTTTCTCACAAATGATACATTTTAAGAGCAACAGTATTATTTTTGAAAGGAAACACAGTGGGCCTTAAGATCATTTAATAAAGCTAAGATATGAGATGTTTAAAGCCTTTCTCATGCAATATATACATAAATGTAAAGACAGGCTGGTGTATCAAAATAATTTACGTTACAGTTAGTTTAGAAGTTTGTTTTACTTTTTGTGATGAACTGACTAAACCTCTCCTGGACCTGTGACTGTTCAGTAGAATGGGAGGAATTAATTCTATGCTAGTTTGTGTTTTTTGAGTTATCCTCTTGATTTGCAAGCTGGTGACATGCCAAAACGTTAGTGTGGGCATGTTGCACAAAGCTGGGTTTATTGCTGATGGGTCATTATTGGTTGCTTTCAGTCTTTTCCTTTTAAGCAGTTTAGTGGCAGCTACACACTAAATAAATCACTGTGCCCCATATTTTGATTGCCTTTAGCTGAAGGCAAGTAATCTAAAAAAGATGCATTTTATTTCTTGAGAATTCCTATATGTAAACATAAATAGGAATTTTATTTTCGTTAACTACTGTGTTTCTGATATTGATTTAAGCAGAATGTTTAGCACTTGCTTTATTTGTTAATTTTCTTTGCGTATAGAACATGGAGTGGGAAGTAAACGCTTGAAGGAACAAAGCTGTTCAACAGTATTGGATCAGTTCTTAAGGTAAGCCAACAAAGTCTTACAAATAACTAAGTGCTCTTTAAATGAAATGTACGTCAAGGCTTTTAACATTTGTATAAATATGTTTAATCTTTAATGATTTCTATTTAAATTTGTTTAGCAGTTTAGTAAGAAAGTGATGCCTGCTGTGAATGTCTACCAAAACTGTTTGTCTTTAAAAGTGTCTTTAAAAAGTGCTTACTAAACAAATCAATAAACATTCAAATCAGGCAACAGAGAGCCTCCTTTCCCTCCAGCAGGTGGATTGTAGTGAAGGAATGGATTGCAGTTCAAATAGCTTTGCTTAAATTGAAATCACATAATTGATTAAACCAAAAGTAACCACAGAGACTTCTCATAGAGACAGTGACAGTCTTTAACTATCGAAGGGCTTAAAAATTGAAATGCTGGTTTTGAAATTATATATAGATAAATGCTAAATATAGATACATGTAGACATGTAAACGATATAGATACATGTAGTTTAATTAAGAAATAGATGTTGTACAAACACTTCAGATTGAAGCTCTACAGGCAGGTAGAGTGAACAGAAATTAACAGTGGAAGATGGGAGCTTTATCAATAAAAGAAACAAAAAAAGTTTTTAACTTACTTTATTCTTCAGATTAATTTAAGCATTTAAGTTATGACTCATGGAAATTTGATCTATGAAATGTAAGAAATATTATGACTATACGTATTACACAGTAATAAAATAAGATGTACATCTATATTATAATAACGATATGTTGGATAACCCAGTAAAGATATATACAGAATATAAAATATAGTCAAGTCCTTATTAGAATTTAACATAATAGTTTTGTAATTATTATAAAAACATTACGTGTGGTTATCTAAAAACCATCTGGCCATTGCATTATCTTTTCTTACAGCTAATACGGCTTCTGAAATATCCAATAAACCCAGAAAAGCATATTTAGCCTTGATTTTAAGTATTAATGCCGTGCTCTATCTTTAAATGCTACATATTGTGGTCATAGATTAAAATTGATACTTTCAATGTGTAAAGCTAGTGACAATTGATCTATTAGTATATTGTGTTTAGCGTTTGTGTAAATGCAGTGTCTAGCTATGAATTGTGTGTATTGTAGGTTGTAAATAAATAAATTGGGATATTAGTCAGATACTTCTATTTTTCAGGTCTCAATATTGAAAGACAAACCACCAAGCATGGAGGCCTCTGCTATACTGCCTATACTGAAGAAAAGATTGGCTTTTCTGTCAGGTAATATGCCTCAACAAACTTTAACTAGACTCATTATGTTTGTTCTGACGTATGTCATTGAAGCAACATATTTCACTTGAAATGTTTTAGAAATACTGTACAATGGTGAAATAATGATGGCATTTAATCTTTCAAATCGTTGTAATGAAAGCGAATTGTGCTGTCATCATCAAGTAGTGTACAGAGAATAACTGCTAAGCTTGTGTGATGGCCACTTTACTTATTGAAAGATTTCTTTCACCTTCTTTAGGACTGAACCTTCAGATTGATTCTGTTATGCACAAAAGACACGAATTGCTATTTACTGATTATAAAGTATACAGAACAGAAAGTATTGGACTTTGATGTAATGAGATCCAAGCCTGGACCAGCGATCTCTTAGTTAATTATGTCCTGCATTTATATGTGATTTTTTAAAGAGGTGGATATCAATGTGTCTGCATTGCCTCAAGTTTATATAGAGAGGAGCAGCTGGTACATAATTTCCATGGAAGAGAGAATCTCTTAGTGAACACAATGTTTCTTTAATTAACATGCACAGTTTTAGTCTTTTATTATTATTATTATTATTATTATTATTATTATTATTATTATTATTATTTGAATTGGAAGTGTAAATTCCTTGTTGAGTACAAGGAATAATCATGCAGGTACAAGTTATTAAAAAGTACAATGCAGTGTATCTACTACTTATTTAAGTTTGTGTTCCAAATTACCTCTGGCATTACAATTTCATAACGTTCTGGGTGGAGATGTTTATGTCAAGTTTAACAACTCTGAACCAAAGATTATTTTCTTGTAGAGAGATGTTTTGTTTTTAAATGCAGTATGGTGAATGCTTAAAGTGCAGGAATAGCACTACTATGTATTTCTAAGTATTTAGATCCTTGCAGTTATGTTGTTTTAAAGCTTGTAGCCATGATGGCTTGCAACTAATATTTATTGAACATATTCCACACATTAAAAATGGCATACAAAAGAAGTAAACAGATAATATGAACAAAAAAAATGTAAAAGTTATGATTACATAGGTATTAATATTATTTGATGTGGCAAACCTAAATAATTGTAGTTGCACAAAATTATGTTCGTGAGTCAGACAGTTATTTGACCTCAATCTGTGTTTGCATGATTTCAGAATAAATATACCTATCTGTGTCCCTCAGTCAGTTAAGGATTTTCAAGCAAAGACTCAACCATGAAGATCAAGGATTTTTCAAAACAGCGTAAAAATAAAGTTGTAGGAGAAGAGCATAAAATTATCTAGGTGGCCCTTAATATCTCCTTGAGCATGGAGATGTTATTCATTAATAAGTGGAAGGCACCCAGACTCTGCCTAGACTTGGTTAATGATCAGCTGGTTGCCACTGTGAGGACAACAGATACTTGTAGTAGTACTTGAGTTATAGAGTTCATTGGTGAAGATGGAAGAAAATGTCCATGGACCACTTAAGTGACACTCTCACGGTCATTCGCTTTAATTTGTCATCTGTTTTTGTGGTCAGACAAGATTGGACGTTTTAGGTCTAAATATGAAGCATCACACCTACTGAAAGCTCAGCATAGTAATATAACCCAACCAACACTATTCCTACTGTCAAGCATGGTGTTGGCAGCATGATAAAGTTCTGATTCCAATCAGCAGGGACTGAGAAACTCTTCAAGACTGATGGAAACATAGAGCAAAGTACTGGAAAAACATAGGTACACTTGGACCAAAATTCTCCTTTCAGTAGGTCAATGATCCAAAGCACATGGCCAAAGCTACACTGAAGTGGTTTAAGAATAAGACAGTGAATGTCCAGTTAAAGTAACGACATGAATAATATTGAAAATATATGAAAAACTTAAACTGCTGTTCATTTGCTATCTCCAAGCAACTTTAGAGAGCCTGGGCAATTCTTTCAAGAAGAATGGGCAAAAGCTTTCCCAGAAAGACTGTAATTTCTGCCAAGGTGCTTCCACTAAATATTGAGTTCATGGGTCTGAATACTTACGCAATCAAAGATTTAATCTTCTTTTTCTTTAGCTTTTACTGACATTAATTTAGTCTTCAGTTTGAGCACACAGATTTCTATTAAAATGTTTAGTTTAAAAAAGTATTTGCATCATTTTGGAATAACAAAATAAAACTCTGTAAGAAGTGTCTGAATACTTTTTTTTAAAATCCAGTACCTCCATTTCATTGTAGTGTGTATTTTAGAGGTGTGAGGAGTTAACTGTGGAAAAACAACATCTCTGCTGCTCTACTTCATATTCAGCATAGGCATTCATTTACACAACAATGCAGCTTGGATATTGACAGCCTTAACTGAATGACACACAGAGGATGTTGGTTTTGTTTTCACCTTAATGTTAAAATGCACTTTTAACTGAAAAAATCTTTAATATTCTAATGCAACATCAACACAGCACTAACATTCCAAGGAAATAGACTGATAATGGCCGGCCATCCATATAGAACAGATCTTTTGTAGTTTGACTTGCATGGAACGGAAGGTTAGATCATTGAGTCATTGGAAGTGATCTCTAGGTATTAGGAAAACTTTACAAGGACTGATACCTAGAGATTGCTGTGAAGGATGGGAACCTTTTTTTAGTAAGTGGAGGCTCACCTGAACATTTTTTTCCCTAAATATACAGGAAATTTTGTTATTTGATAATATGAAAAAAAGCCTCATTTTTTAATTCGTGGCTCGTATTACCACAGTATTTTAGACTAAAGTGATGTACAGTGCATGAAAAGAAACATCCAGAGAAGGATATATAAACTGTGCTCTTGAAGGGCTTGCATGTTTTCTCTTGATGGAAACAGATATTGTTAAACTGTTACTGCTTAGATTTTTTTGTTTCAGAACATAATGATAGGTGCGTATATTAGCATGTTTACTCTGAATGCTGTATATATCTAGTGCTGCAGTAAGGGAATAATTAAATAGTTTATGAGAGGTTTGTAAGTGCCTAGGTTTGAGGTACAAATAAAGACTGCCTTAAATTTTAAACAATTACTTTCTCTTGTATTGTAGGTAGAGTGAATTAAACTAGTGTTCTAACTTTTATCTGGTAAAAGTTAAGTAACAATTATCATTGAACTGCTTGCAAAAGCATTCTTCCAAATGAATGGCTTAGACATTCAGGCAGGTGTAACATGCACATAACAGTGACATCTTAATGATGCTTAAATGACAAAGTGCTGTATATAAACAAATGTTCCTGTGTTCAGTCCCTCTTTTCAAACTACAAACAACAACTAAAGCATGCTCTGAGATAATTTAAATATTGTTTCCAAGACACTGTTCTCCCTATTCTCACTTTTCAGTTTGTTGCCTGGGCTAGTCGGAGGGTTGTGGACAAAAGTTTGTCTGAACCTTTGTAAGAACCCTTTTATGTTGAAGCACTTAAGACTTCCAATAGGGAGTCAAGTCATTTTGATGAACATGTAATTTCAATTTTTATTTTTAGGAGGGAAAGACAGACGGAGTGGCCTAATACTGACGATTCCTCTTTGTTCAGACCAGACAAGTATGGATGAGCTCAGCTCCACGCTGGACTATTTACTTAGCATACCAAGGTGACTGAGTTGGAATCTTATTGATTTTTTTTATGAAGCATAATTCTGTACAGTTTTCCATTGTGAAGAATATGTTGGTAACATACACAAAACTATTTAAATATTTAGTTTTTTTCTGTGTTCTGTTATGGTCTTTAATTTGTAACAGTATTTGGTTTACAGTGTCTATGTGTATCCTCTTGCTTTGGAAAAACCCTTTTCTCTTAACCTGCTTTCTTAAATCAGTTTATTTTTTCAGGTAGGATTGATTAAAATAGATGATGCAATATATTTTGAAGGTCTTTGGAAGCGTTACAATCAATTTATTGACAGTACATGGGTTTGTACTGTAAATTGTACAGAATCCTTTTTATTCATAGTGAGAGAAGTGAGATAACAGTGGTCAGTAATTTTAAAAGTATAGTCTATTAAACTGAAATAGGAATGTGTCAGCCATATTATTGATGATAGTGTGTCAAAAACCTGTTTTATTGAAGACTTTGTTAATAAAATTATTAATGGTTCTAGATACCATTAATACGGGGGAGCTCTCCCAACCCAAATTTAAATCTCTGTGATATGAGAATCAGAGCAGTGGAACAATAATTATTGACCACATTCATCTGGTGGTGTTGCAGTTTATGTCCTAAAATATGTTTCACCAAGTACATTTCTGTATTGAATATCCTGCATCTGGCATATGATGTGATAGTTGTGACTGTGAAAAGCCTGTTTGTTTTTGGAACAATTACATTAAAAAAGTAATTGGCTCTCTTATTACAATTTGGAAAAAAAAGTGCTATTTATTATAAACTGTTTTTCTCAAAACCTAAAGCCAGCTGTGCTTTTGGAAAATAAATCTGGTGTTTCAGAGAGATTTCCCATGGTATGTGCTTTAGGAACACTGTTTCGGAACACAGTATTGTTCGGGAATGTGAGCACTGCATGTCCTTCTGTTGACATAAAAATGAACACAATGCCTCAACATATCTAACCAATCCTCAGGGAATGTATTCTTGATGACAGATGAGTAACATATTGTGCTAGAAAATAAGTCCAATGTAGAGCATTATATTTCAGTATGACAGGCTTCATTCCAAAACAGTAATAAATTTGAGTTCTGTTTACATACAAATGCTAAGAGAAAATGTTAATTCCACAAAAATGTAAAAGAAAAGCAATTTTTTCGGCTGCACTCTCACACTTGAAGAAAGCTCAACAACCAAAAAATCTGAATTGTTCGTACGAAAATAACATAGCTTCTCTATCACATATAGAGAAACAAATCTGACTTTATATTTTTATGTAGTGCAAGTCTTCATTGTTAGTGTTTTAGTGAGATGAGCTTTTACTTTTCTATCATTTAGATGACTTTAAAAAAGATGTCATTCTTTTTTCTTCCAGTGAGAAGTGCAAAGCTAGAGGATTTACTGTGATAGTTGATGGAAGAAAATCACAGTGGAATATAGTCAAGACAGTGGTGTTAATGCTGCAGGTAAAAAAACATTTAAAAAGAACATCAGTATTATGTTTGTCTCCATTGTGTTTGGTCATGATTTGATGGGAGGAAGGCTTTTAATATAGCTACTGGTTAAGTATTCCCCATTGTAAATTTGATTCTTATTTGCGTCCAAGCCAGCTGGAGTTGCTATTATGCTAATTAGTTAATCATAAAATTCATGAATATTCACAAAACAGACATTAAACAATTCACAGTAAAAGATAATGTGTATATGAAGGTACTTTGCAGTTGAAATAATATGAATTCTAAGGAAAATAACAGTTCATGTATTTTTGAATTATTGGCTAAATTTTCATGCTGAAAATATTGGTACAGTAAAAAGATTAATTTGATTATTATTTAATTCTATTACTGTTTAACAATATTTAAATATTTTTTTAGGCGATAAGCTAAATGTAGACATCACAATATTGTAAATTCTTAATCTAAACAATCTTCATATTTATTCAGGCCTTTTCTTTCTAAAGATTTGGTTTTTGTACAGCAATGAACAACTGAGATATTTTTTTGCAAGGGAGGCTTTGGACATAGTGTTAAACATGGAAAATTATAATTATTTGTTATTATTCTTTCTTTTGTGCAATTACATGTCCAATATATTGAATATATGAATATATATTAATACAAAAATATATTAATGCTATTAATGCTATAATTCTTGTGTTCTGTGTTCCTGGGATTATTAGTATGACTAAAGCCAGCTCTGCAATGACCTGATTTTGTCAGGGAAAATTGAATGTGTTGTGTAAAAGTGTTTGCCAGATTTTTTTTTCACTGTCCAAAAGGTTCTGAACATGACTAAATTACACACAGAAAAACTCTACTTGCTGTAGCATTAATCTGTTGTGGCATACAGATTTTATTTTTCTCTGAAGTGGTCTTAGCTTGTGAAGGGGTACCACAATGCTGTCTGTGTCTTTAATACATGTTTTTTATATTGTATTGTGTATATAGTACTGTTTTGAAATGTATGTAGAAAATACATTAAACATCTTATGTCATCTTTTAGCTTTAATTTCATGTACTTTTTTCTTTATATATAAAAATGTATGAGATGCATAGAGGCTTGTTTTTTTTCTGAAAATATCCAAATTGGACCTCAACTCAGACAGTCAGTAGATATAATAATAAATTATAAATAGGCAAGGTGGATTAAACCCACAGCAGGTTATGCTTTCAAGCTCATTGAGACTGTGAATTGTAAATTTGGCAGTAGTTACAAGCCTCCTTTCATTATGAGTACAGACTGAACATAACAGATTTAATTGTGTGCTTATTCTTGGCATAATTTGTACTGTACTGAATATGTTATATTTGTTGAGAATAACTGCCTCTTAAGGACAAGTTCTTGGTGATCTAATAAAAAAACAATGTTATGTTAGCTTATTTTTTGTTAAAAGCGTATTGCCTGAAAACAAACATTGGAACATTGATACTTTTCATACAAATGTGACTTTCTAAAGTTGTAGCTGTTTTATGAAAATCCTTACATGAAAGAAAAATATTTTTCATGTACCTTTCTAGAATGTTATTCCTGCTGAAGTCTCTCTGGTTTGTGTTGTGAAACCTGATGAGTTTTGGGACAAGAAAGTTACCCATTTCTGTTTCTGGAAAGAAAAGGACAGACTAGGTTTTGAGGTAAGTAATGTGACTAAAGACATTTAAATGTATTATTTTTTTAAATGAAAAATCCTCAAGATCTTTGCCTGTGTCTTATGTATTTGTATTAGTTTTTGCTGTGTATCCATAGCCTTTCCATGCGGGATACAATGGTACTGCCCACAGGGATATGGGGATTTAAACCCCTAATGTGGTTCATTGATGGTTGATGGTAAAGTCATTGTTGAGGATAAGTATGGATACTGAAACTTTGACTTGGGTTTTCCCCAGATGGAAGGATTAAGCCCAGGAGTTGTTTCTAGGATCCTTTTAGTTTGTAATAGGATAGGAAAGGTTAAACCGTCATTATTTTACAGTTTTGGACTTGTGGCTAAATATATCGGTTGGGTTTTGTTTTTCCATCTAAAGGTTAAGCCTTGATTTTTTTTCTGTGCCAAGTGAAGGCTGTAATTTTGTTTTTAAAATACCACTGCCCTCATTGACCATTGTGGGAAAATGCCACTAGGGGCACAAGGACATTTTATGATGTTGATGAGGGACAGCAACATCTTTATGAGACAGCATAATAATAATCAATTTGAAATGTTGATAAGTTTTAAAATTTTGTTCTATAGGTGTCATTTAGAAACTGTAATTAAAAGCGTTAAAAATTTAGATATGAAATGACAGGTCACATTAAAAATGGAAAAATGTCCGATATGATTTATCTTGATTTCTGGTTTTACATCACAAAAACCTGCAATTTCAATAAGGCAATAAGGGTGTGTAGACTTTTTATATCCATTGTAGTTGACTTTGCATATTATTAACTCCAACTGAAATTGATTCCTTGTTCAGCGTGAAAACAAAGGTATTGTACAACACAAGTCATTATTTCGCAATTCAAAGTTATAATGGCAAATGTGTGCTGAAGAAGAAGAAGCATAGTATTGTATAGGCTGAATCAATGTTAGCAGTAAATATTTCTGCCTTATTACAGCCTTTTAATTTGCTTAATTAAGGGTTTTAATTGTTAAAGGGTTTGAACAAGAAACGTGGTGCTCATGCATATAGCCACTATATTAGAATAAAAAACATACAATGTACTGTAATTTACACTTGTGTGGCTTCTATCTTATAAATCTCAGAGGTTTAGACTATGTAAGCAACTAATTATTGTACAGATAATTATTAATAAGGCGAACAAAAAAATAGCTAGCTGGGGTTCCTGTTGAGATTAGGGCAATTTAATTAAGGGTTTAAAAGTATTGTGTGATAATCTGGTTCTCTTATGTTTTATAAATTCAAATGTACAATAAACAATTGCTAATGGCAATGGCTCATGTTTATGCATCCAGATTTCAAGATTTTAGCAGCTATTGTGATTGGGGAATAACAATTTTGAAATGTTTTGAAGATTGATGTACTGTGAATGATGTATGTTGTCCTGTTTTTTTCATAAAAGTAGTTGCAGCAGGTCTCTAGTGTCTCACTCAGGGAAGAATGCAATGTGAGTTATGCAGTTAGGTTTGCTGGTGGTGCATGTTGGTTGTGCTGAGTGATCAGCCTTGGCCTACAGGGATCAGTACATTAGTTTCTGAATTCGCTAAAGTGAGGGGAAAAAATAATTGGGGTTGCTTTTCTTTGCCATCGAAACCCTTACTGGCCATGTTGCACAGGTTTTATAGGCAGAGTGCAGTTCAGCAGAATCCTATATTCAAGAGGTAGTTTTAAATTTTTGAAAGTGGAAGATAATTAGGGCAGTCTTTCTGACGACGTGATTTGAGCATGTGCCTTAATTGTAATGAGTTTAACAGAATGTCTGGTAAATACCTTTTATGTGCAATTTCAGAACTGTCATAAATATTGAGCTCACCTTAATGTTTATACATCGAGTAAAAGCTTAAATTAAAGGTTCAAGTGCTGTTTTTTCTGATAACTAGTGACTGAAAGTTTATAAATTATTTTTTTTAAGTATTCATGACACAAATTCTACTGTTTTATTGCAAACACTGAATGTAAGAACATAAGAGAGGTCACAAATTGGAGGTGGCCATTTGGGCAGTCTTTCTTTATTTTAGGTTTGTAGCTGCGTCAGCATGCGTAGGCTGCAAAGGAACAAGTAATAGGTTTATTCCATGCTGAAAAAAAGAAGAAAGAGAACACAACGTTTTGGCCGTGGAGCCTTCTTCAGGTGGGAACACCTTGACACCTGAAGAAGGCTCCACGGCCGAAACGTTGTGTTCTCTTTCTTCTTTTTTTCAGCATGGAATAAACCTATTACTTCTTTCTTTATTTTGTTGCTTATAGTTCATTCCAATAATTCATATAACCTCTTCCCGGAGTCAGTTTCACAGGTTTGAAAGTATAGTACATTTTTTTTAAAGTTTACAGTAGTACTGTTTGAATAAAGAGGTACTTTCTAAGTACTAAATGCATCTGCTTTTATTTTGCCAGTTGAGACCCTAGGTTCTTATTAATAGTTTGAATTCGAAGGTATTCCTTGGATATGTGGTTTGCATTCTATAGAAATACATACGGATATTTTTTTCCTATACGTAAAAACTCTGGGCATTTCAGAATACATTTTCTTTATTCTTTTTTCCATTTTGAATTGAATGCTTTGACTGCATATAATTTAGCAGGGTCTTAAGTAGTCTTTGGATACATTACAAGTGTTCTACAATTATTTTACTTCATTAAAAAATAACTTTATTCTTTATCTACTAGAAAAAGCTGATGTGTAATTCTACACTCTTTAGGGAAGTTAAACTTTGATATTTTAAGGAAATATTGCAAAATATTGAGAGGAATCTAGAACGATGTAGTTTGATTGAGTTTAGAACAAGCCTTTCTTGGTTCTGAGCCATTGCCTTTTGACTGAATTGATATTGGTGTGAAATATGCATAAGACAGATGTGATGTTTTCCTTTTCTCCGTAAATCATTCAGTATCTTTCCTTAATCTGTTTTATGTTTAAACTTGCAAGATAAAACATGTAGTTATAGCTTAACATTCTCATATTTTCCAAATAGACATATATGTATATAATCCAAATACAGTTTATTGTATTTATTGATGCATTATATTATCTTTTTAAAAATAAAGTAGGTTAAGGTTTGTATGTATGTGAATGTTGCACAATCTCTGTCCAATCTGCTAGATTGCATTCCAGACAGAATGTTTAGTTAGCATGCAAGTCAAACCTGCTGTTCTTGCAACATGTATTGCACATTTAGTGGCAGTTTTTGGGGTTCTTGTTTTTACTGCACAGGTATTATGTTACCACAATACTACATTGTGTAATAAAAAAGAAAGTTGAATAGTATTTTCAGCAGAGACTGCCTCTTACACTTATTTCCCCAGTGGTAGTACAGAAGAAACAAACCAACTGATTTGACTGACAATCTGGGCCAGGCATCACCCTCAAGCGGTCCTCATAACTTATTTTGTTCACCAGATGGTCTAGAATCCAGAATAAGGATTCAGTTTTATCATGTGTGGATGTTATATCTAATTGTTTTTATAAAGGGGTGTGTTTAATTTGGGAAAGTTGACTTTTTGATATTTGATTATTTATAGTTACTGAGATTTATCAAAGCATTTTCAAACACTATAGTGTAGATTAAAGCTCATTTTCTTATGACGTTTGTTTACCAGTGGTTTGTTTACTTTTGTATTGAGGAATACCAGATATTTGTACTTTTTCTGCATTTTGTGCTTTTTTAGAACAGAAGTGTTGAAATTGACAGATTTCTTAACTAATAACTTTAGGGTGAGCTGCATTAACAATGCTGTATTGGTTAGAAAGCACCTCAACAAGTTGATAGGGATGTCATTTCACTGAAATCCTATATTTGAAAGGTATCATCAAGCAGGGAGCTAATTGTAAATATGCTTCCAGAAACCAGAACAGTTAGAACCATGTTTTTAATGTTATTTTTATTTAAATATTTAAGCTGTATGAGTCTGGGTAAAAACAATAGCTATAGACGCTAGCATGGTTTTTATTTTGTTAAAGGTAAGAAGAAGCAGATTTTGTTTCATAGCTGCCCAGTGGAATTACTGTCAGCTGTTGTCTACACAGGAAACTGCTATTGGAGATTCATTCAGAGTTATTCATGTTTCTCATTGGCCTTCATGTGGAGGAATGTTAATAAGTGGAAATGCTTGTTTATGGTTGCACATTTAGTCTTCTTTTGTATTACCTAAGGATTAAAAGACAGAAATGAAGAGCTTCCCTATGAAGACAAAGGGGGATGTTAAAACCTATAGAATTTCACAGCTTTACAAGCTGTCAAAACACTTGAATTTATCTCCATGGCATGTAGAATGTAGTGCATTTACCCCCCACCCAGAGCTAAACTTGTACTTCTGTGAAGTGTTTTGGCAGTTGATCAGTTAGTGACTGAATCAAGTATTGCATTTTTCATCATGGTAGCAATATGTAATATAAATCAAAGGTATCAAAGCAGTGCTTTAAGAGAAATCTGCCAAGGGTATTATTAAACTGTTTTCCATGAGGTTGAAATAATTGGTTATTTCATTTGCTTTTTCAAGTACAATAACAAATACTGGGGTTATCCATTTTCTTATAGTTTAATTTTAGAAATTGTACTCACTGCTTTCAAATTATAGACTGTAACTTATACCGTATTTAGCTATACCACAAGGTGCTTTTTTCTTTTTTGTCTGCATAAAATCCATCTTCCTCAATCCATTTTGTAAAAATGATTGTTGGCCCTTATTTTAGCATTTGAGGTGATTTTTGGAAGGGACAAGATATCCTATCTCATCTACTTTATGCTGAGAATTTCTATTTAATCATGGGCTTCACGTCTTCAAGTATATATACAATGTTTCAAACCAGCAACTGTTCCCAGTTTTACAGTTCCTAAGCTAATTGAGGTATAGGATGATGTACCATGAGGAACTGTGTGATCTAAATAACCTTTTTTATATTCTTCTTGAGCAAAGTGTGTTCTATCGGCAATATCTCAGTCTACTGTGAATGACAGGGTACATCAAATGTGTTCTATAACTTGCTGCTTCTATCCCATTCCAGTTTTTCAGGTCTGGTCCCCTTTGTCACAGAAGTAATCAAGGAATCATTGCATTGTGTCTGACACCCATTTAGTGACTTCTTGTGTTCCACAAAACTCAGTTTTGAACCCTCTTTTCTCTAGCATCTAGCATGTTACCATTTGGCCAGGTCATCCTTGGTGGTACTGTGTTTCTTACTCCACTCTGATGACACTCAGATCAGATTCTACAATGTATTTGTTGTTCAGTACTGATAAGAGAAAAGTAAAGCTTCTGAGTCCACTAAACAAACTGCAAAACCTGGATGAATTGAGCATGATTGGTACTGGTCATCCTGGTGAAACACAGTAACATTACACTACAGATTTTCATTTACTGTTTCCCTACGACAAGATTCCATACAAAGTACAACACAAATAGTATCACAACTGTGAAACACTCTACATGAGACTTAAAATTCCCTGTCACCATTTGTTTTCTAAAATTTCTTCAGGCAAGCATTTAATAAATTTTAAAACATAAATGCCAGTTTTTCCCATGTTTCAACATGTTCTTTCTACTAATGTGCTGCTGATTTATTACTGTAAAGCTCTTTGAGATACCTTGACATGAAAGACTCGATGTTAAATTATTAGGCATGGACTTTAGAATAAAATCATTTAAAATAAAAGTATAGTTTTAAGACTTACTATTTTTCAAAGATGCTGTAATGTGCAGTACTCCAAGCAGCTGATTAAAATATATATTTTTCTGTTTCTCCTCCTCTTTAGCTCTAGGAGTTTTATGGGGTTTGTTTGTACAAGAGCCAACTTCTGTTTTGCCTGGTGTTGATTTAGCAGCAAGCATCTGCAGGGACATCTGCTGACTGTTGTTGTGCATGCTTATAGTGCAGTGTCGAATCAGGACGAACTAGATTTAAAAAATAAAAGAACATGCCGTAGAAATGTGAAAAAGCCTGCAGCAAAAGAGCTTGTCAGTAGTTTACATTGGGATACGTGTGTATTCCATAAATTGGTTTGAAGTTAATATATGAATGAATCAATGCATTGATTCTCAAACACAGGAAGCATCTGTGGACCACCTGAAGAAAACCATTAGGGCTGATTGATTAGATTCTAAAAGTGGTTCCCCATCCTGGTACAAGGAACTGAGCGCTCTTGGTTTTGCACTACCCATGTTCTGTAGTCAACTCTTGAAATTTTGTATGGGATTTGTAAAAGATGCCAACCCTGTACCCATTACTGAGTTTCAGAACTGTGTGTAAATGTAACCAACTGGTCCTCTACAGAACAGAAAAAAAAAGACACACATTGTCAGGAGTATTTAATGCAGAGTTTTGCACTTGTACATTTTCAACAGTTGATAATAGGTTATCAATTTATTAGTCAGTAATAATAGAGTGAACTCTTACACAAATGAAGAAGGAAGTGCATTAAGTTCTTTGTGCTGAATTACGGTATTTTTTAAGCCAAGAACTAAGTGAAGAACAAGATAAATGTCTAAACAAGCAAGCAGATCAATTAAAGGCATCAATTAGCACTGGTGATTAAGAGCTCTGCTAGAACGAAAACCAGCAGACAGAGGGGTCCCCTAGGAGCTGTGGGTCTAAAGTAATTCCCTTGCATTTTTTGAATTGGTAAATGAGTGTTATTTATGTTTGTTATAGGCCTGAATTTATTGTTTGTTTTATAATGGAAACTTTGTACTTTTTATTGATTTTCTCATAATTGTTAAATTAAGGTTTGAAAACCCAAACAAGATATGTTTGTGAATGAGTTTCTAATAAAAATGCTGTGTGTAGCATTCATAGCTGGCCATCTGTGTAGAAACAGGCATTAAAGCACAACTTTAACTTATGTCTTTTCCTTGTTTTCCTGTAGAATATTTTTAATTGGACTGGATAAAAGCACATTTTTCAGTAACATTTAACATAAACCAGATTTTTCAGTTTATATGGTTTTGTGATATAGGGATATGTTATGGCTTTGTTTTAATTAATCGTTAACTAAAAGTGATGTTAGTTTTAGTGAAAATGTGAGCTAGCTGTTAATAGTTTTGAATTGTGTACAATTCTTTAATATACTTGCTGAGAGAAACAGTGATTGAACCGGAATCACAACCATGAAAGTGGTGAAACAAAAAAATCCTTATTTAAATGATGAATTACATTTATGAAAATTAATAAAATGTAGGTGTTTCAGGGTTTGTATCTTTCCCATCCCATCCTTTTGTTGCTAGTAACTGAAAACTCCTTTAATGTTCTTTTACAAATAATCAGAAATTGTAATTACTTATTTACTTATTAAATCACAAAAATAAAGTGGAACTGTAGTCCAAATTGCTCAGATCATTTTTTTAATCTTTGGAACAAAATAAGTTAATTGATGTGATAGACAAATTTTACAAATTGTGAATAAAGGACAAAATTGTGAACTTTGTGAAAGTACTGTCAGTCTTTATTGTTGTCACAAACTACTGGTGTCGCCACAGGCAAGAGTGAGAGTTTGCATGAATTGCAACATGAAGCAGCCCTTCCTGCTCACTAGTCCCTATAATGACTAATGTAGTGCAATGTACGAGCGAATAAGCACAGGTTGTGCAGCACACATTTCCCAACAGAAGTGTTCCAATGTGATCCGCACACAGAGTTAACAAGTAAGCAGTGTTTATCAACAAAACCATCCGAGAGCAATATTTCTATTGGCTTAAAAGAGATGTATTCACAAGCCTGCTTGTTTATAATGCAAAGGGGCCACTTCACCATACTGGATGTTTTGTTGCCTCGTTCTTAATCGCAGACAATGACAGCAATGTTGCACTGCTCATATCTGGAAGTTTGTGATGTAAAACCTCCAATTTACAAGTTACTGTGTACATTTTACTTTCATTCTGGTTTGAAATGCCATTACAAATGCTGATTCTTTCTAACCCTCAAATTTAAAAATAGCATTGCAGTTCCCCTTTAAATCTTGAGAGCTTGAAAGTGTTACTTTATGATACCTGGATAAAGTGCAACCAGTACAGAGTTTTATGGATTCCGTTGAATAAGATTAACATTTATAATCCAGCTGGGAGGAAGTTCAAACACTACTACCTTGTATTGATATCTACTTCTAATTTGAAATCGTATTTCACAGCACATCCAGCTAAAACTAATGTAAGCATCTGCCATCTGCATTGAAAGCTTTACAGAAGTGCCCGGTGTTTGCACAGATTTCTATTTTACATTTGAATGGCTTGAGTAATCATGTAATTGTTTTGTGTTGGCACTGTACTTGGTGGTCACAATTTGTATGGTGTTAAATTGTGTGACTCATGTTATTCATTGTTGTTTTTGACATGTTCAAAAATATTTCTATTTTTTTTTTAAATGCTGACACTTTGCTATAATGTTAGTTTTATTTCCCTCTCTGATGCTGCAGGTTATTTTAGTCTCTGCCAATAAACTGACTCGGTACATTGAGCCATGCCAGCTCACTGAAGAGTTTGGTGGCAGTCTCCTCTATGACCACATGGACTGGCTAAACAAAAGATTGGTAAGTTATCATTACTTGTCGATCATAACCTCATGTGCTATATAAGAAAATGCTTTACATTGTTTAAAGGTGAAGTTAAGCATTACACAATAATCAGACCTGGGAAAAGCTTTGTTACTTTTGATCTTGATGGTAGATTAAATGCTTCTGTTTTCTATATGTTAATATTTTTCAGAAACAATTAAAATATCCATGACATTTTAATATAGAAAAATACATTCTTTGAAAATATTTAAATCAAAATTCATTTAAACATTAATTTACTGGGATAGGTAAGACATTTGATTGATAAAAGAGACTATATTTCTTTTAATTCATTACAGCAGTTAGGACCTACTGTGACACACTTGGCCATAATGGATAATATTTCAGTTTTATTTTTTGGCCAAAATGCTAATTCTATTTAAAGACGATTCCTTTCCCGTAAAACAGGTATTTGAAAAATTCACCAAGGAGTCCACCTCTCTTCTGGATGAGCTTGCTTTAATCAATGCGAATGAGAAAGGCAACCAGCAAGACAAAGAAAGGTATTACTACAAACACTATATACTTGCATTATTTGCAAAAATATACATTTAGTGTGAATTATTGAACAATACTTTTTAAACATGTGTGGTTAAATGAAATACTGAACTAATAATTTTCTACTCTCCATGTGTATATAGAACCACTAATATCTGTGTTGACAAAAAAGTTTCCCAGTGTATGATAAGCAGTGAAAAAAGTCTATTGTTCCTATTTGTGTCTTTGTGGTCATCATTTTTTTGATTGAATTCTACAATGAAGGCCATCATAGTAATACATTTACAGTTAAACCTTAATTTAATGGACCTCTGTTTAATTGATTTTACTTTTAATGGACAGTTCCTGATATTCTTTATTTTTGTCTACTCACAAGAGATACCAGACATGTTAAACCAATAGACAGTTAAATGTAAACATGTCCGTTATTGATGGAATACAGTTTGTAATTGTGGTTATTATGAATCATTGCATTGCATGATCACTATGGACAGATGATTGAATTGAGTTAATAAAGGAGAATGGTGATGATGTTCTTGGGCTGTCATGGTTCTTGGATTTTCTGCTCTTGCCGCTCCTGCCCTGCCAGTTCATCTCCAGTGGGCACGAACCCGGGTCTCCTGCGTCGCACAACAGGGAACTTGCCAGCTGAGCTAAAGGAGAACTCCCTCGGCCCGGGCGGCTGAGATCCCTGTAATACGCAGGGGTATATTCGTTACAGGGCCCAATATGTGCTCCAGCAAAGTTGAAGTGTAAACAAATGTGTAATAATATAAGAAGATGTAGTTCATGCATATGATATGCAGAACTATTTATTATTGTTTTATAACTGTTGTATAATAGTGTTGTATTATACTGCTGTCTTTGGGGTAGATTTACAGAAAACAGATTTGACTTGTGCTGCAATATGAAAGCTCAGTATGAGGATTAGTATAAAGAAATGAAACTGATCTCTACATTTAATGACATATGTAAGTAAAGGTTCAAGTTCTGGAAGCTATTGGCAAGCTGTCTATAATCCCACCCCACCAGCTGCACTGTGTGCATTCTTGCTTTTCAGATTTAACTTTAGCTGTCTATTAATCATGATGAAATAGTGACAGTGAATTTATAACTGTTCCCCTTGTGTTTTAGACCAGCAGATTATAACTTTCTACCCTCATTTGACCCAGAAACTGTTCTACAGACCGGTGAGTTTATCATTTGCATATACGTATCTTTGTGTTCTGCCTTTATTGACCTTTTTAATATGATTGAATTTTGTATTTTAACTGATGTTTAGGTGATGGATTTTGATAAAGAACGTAGACTTTTGTCTTGTGGAGTTTGACAGAAATAGTTTTTGCTAACTCTTATATAATACATTTTTAAAAAAAGCTTATGAACATTGTAAACATCTATTTTTAGAAAGTGATGTCATTATACATGGTCAGTTATATATGTTGTTGTAGTATCGAAAGACAGCAACTTAGAATTTACTGCTAATGGTTTGTTTTATCAAAAATACAGATACAGTAGAAAGGCAAGTTATAAAATTACATAATGCAGCAAAGTTTATAACTTGTTGTGATACCAGAACATCAGCTTTAAACTATTATGTTTTTAGAACTGGTTTTATAGTATTCTTTAACCATACAAATCTTTTGTATGCTTATTGCAATTTTACATTACTGATGTACCCTGAGAGTTTTTTATTGTGCTGAAAATATTTAGAGCTCAGAACAAGCAGGAATAAAGCTATAACAGAAGCATTATAGTTTGAATGAATTATAATAGATTCAGTTCATTGGTCCAGACAGGTGAAAATGCTTAGTGTTTGATGTTCTGATTAAATGCAGATATTTAAAAATATTTAAAAGGATGATTTTGGAAACAAATCATTAAGTCACTAAGTTCAACAAAAGACAAACTTCTACTGCATTTTCGTTATGTTGTAGGTGTTTACCTATGATATGTATGAATGTTCCTGTATTTATGAGAAGATGGATAATCCATTTAACAATTTAGAAACTGTATATTATATTATTATATACTATGTATATGTTATCTAAAGATAAAGACGTGCAACTATTTATTCACTACTTATCTAATACTGTCTAATTAACCCTTTAAACTTATTATATGATGACAAGTTGTCATGCCAGAAGACAACGTTTTCCATTAACAGGTGGATGATATGAAATGTCTACATGCAAGACATTTCTAATCTTCCTGCATGTTATGTTGACAACATCTAGAAATTTGCACTCTGCCAAACATTAGATCAACACCAGTCTCAAAGTAATTTTTCATCATTGACAGTAAAGCCTGTCTCCGCACAACAAGGCTCAGTCAAAACTTCCTGCTTCAATTTCGGTACCAGTCAACCGGAAAATAGCTAATTTATCAACCATTCATAAATGATGTCAAACCTGAACATAGTAATTGTAGACCAATATGTCTTATTTCAATTGTAATGTTTTAGGAACAATAAGTACAGCTAAACTCATGGCTCATTTATATGGCAGTAGGATTCTAGGAGATAATCAGCATGGATTTAGAATAAGTAAGTTTAGTTAAAATTATTAGAGTTTTGAAAAAACAACAGCAATATTGGACACAAACTGAATATTATATACAATAATTGATAATAATTCAAAATAAATGCTTACTTTTTAAAACTGCAAGACAAAGTAATGCAGGTGTTTGAATTGACTACTCTTTAATAAATAGAAAACAGAGTGAAGGCTCCAATTGGATTGATGTAATTAGTGAAGGTAACTTTTCACAGATCACTTTAGGACCACTGCTTGTTCTGATTAAGATCACTGATGTAGATTCTGGTGTATGTGATTAGTTATTTTTAGATAATGAAATATTAGCAGTATTAGCATTTTGAAACCTGCAAAAGAAATTCATACAAATTAAGATTTAAGACTGGGTAAACATTTAGCAGATGGTATTTAATGTAGAGAAATGCGGAAAGTTAAACATAGGTGGTAAAAATATGACCTTCATATACAAGTACTGACTTCTAGAAAAAAACTTATAAAGAAGTATTATGCTTTTATATTAATACATTTATTACTTTTTCCAGTCTAGGAAAGACTATAGGAAAGCAATAGAAAAGGCAAACAATATCAGGCTATACAGTTAAAGTGTAGAATTTTAATTAAGGGATGTTGTGTATAAAGTGGACTAATAAGACCTCATTCAGAATATTGTTCACAGTGTTTCTCACCAAGCTACAAAAATATGCAGCTCTTTGTTGTGTAAAGAAGACAAACAGATATGTTCCTTGGTTTAAAGTACTGAGCTTGTTACAGCCAAACAGATCTGAATCCACAGAGGCACTGACAAAGTTACCCCGATGGAATGAATCACAAACCAGAACATGTGCAATGAAACTAAAATGGTGAACAGGAGGAACTTCTTTACATATACAGTAGATATCAAAAGTCTACACACCATTATTGCAATTTCTGCTTTTGTTGATATAAAGGCTGAAATTAAGACAAATCATATTGATCTTTTTTTCCTTTAATAAGATCTTGTAAACAACAATATTTAAGTCAGTCACAGCCCTTTTTAGGTCAGAGTTTCTATACGATGGAGGTCTGGGCTCTCACTGGGCCATTCCAGGACATTGATCTTCCTTTTTTTTAAGCCATTCCTTGGTTAAGTTGGCTGTGTGCTTTGGTTCATTGTCATGTTAAAAGGTAAAGTTCTTCTTTAACTTAGCTTTCTGGCCGAAGACAGCAGATTTTGTGCCAAAATATCTTGATATTGGGAGCTATTCATTTTCCACTCTATCCTGACCAGAGTCCCTGTCCCTGCTGAAGAGAAGCAGCCCCATATCATGATGATGCCGTCACCATGGTCATGGTTTTGAGAGATTGAAGGTGTTATCTTGCAAAATTTTTACAGGCTTGGACGTTCTCATTTGTGAGAAATGGCTTCCGTCTTGCCATCCTACCCCACAGCTCAGACTTGTGGAGAATACGCTAAATGGTTGTAATATGCAGGGAGTGGTCAGTTACTGCCATAGATTCCTGAAGCTCCTTTATAGTTGCCGTTGGTCTCTTGGTAGCCTCCCTGATGATCTTTCTCCTTGTCCGGTCATCAATTTTGGAGGGACATCATGCTCTTTGCAATATCCTGGTGGTGCCATATTTCCTCCACTTCTTAATTATGGTCTTTACAGTGTTCCATGATATATGTAATGCCCTCAAACTTCCTTTGCATCTCTCCAGATCTGAACCTTTCAACAATAAGGCCCCGTAGATCTTCTGTTAGATCCCTGGGAACCTTGGTTATCTCTGCATTATGCAACCAAGAAACCTTCAGGGAAATCCTATAGAAACACCTGATTTTATTTAGGGCTAATCAGAATCACTTCAGCTGATATAAGGTGATGGCAAATTACCTTTGTACATGATTTGGAATGTGATTGGTTAAATCTGAACACAGTTACAACCCCATTTATAAAGGGTGTACACACTTATGCAACCAAGGCATTGAAAGTTTTTTTTTAAATTTTAATTATTTTTCCTAAAAATGATCAATTTATTTTTCACTTAAATATAGTTGGTTATGACATGATTTGCCTTGATTTTAAACTTTATGTTAACAAAAGCTGAAATTTCAATAAGGGTGTGTAGACATTTGATATACACAGTAGGTTTTGGGGAGTTTGCAACAAGTTACTCAGCCATTTACCATCTATGTTACGTTTTAGCATGTGACTGTTGCTCCCAAAAATGTAATGTTCTGTGAATCTTTCTTTAGCTCATATTTTGTACACAAAAACTTTCCCCTGTAATGTGCTTTGAAAGGCCATGAGCTGCTCTCAGAACTGCAGCAGCGGCGATTCAATGGATCAGAAAGTGGTGTATCCTGGTCTCCCATGGATGATGAGCTACTGGCTCAGCCACAAGTGATGAAGCTGCTGGACTCCTTGAGGGAGCAGTATACTAAATACCAGGAGGTTTGCAGACAGAGGAGTAAACGCACCCAGCTTGAAGAGATTCAGCAAAAAGTAATGCAGGTAAAGACCAAGTCTGATTGTGGCCGACAAATGCCATTTGGGATGTTTTTAAACTGTTACCACACATATGTTTAATGTGTGGTTGGTATAAACCCAGAAATAACATGTGTTAGTTTGGGCTTCAGCATCACCTCTTTTATTATTAGGATTATTAGTATTTTGAGTGGTTTTATTTAACATTGATGTTCTACAGGATTTTCTTACATTTTTTGTCATTACTTTTGTATGTTCTGTGTTTTTGCTATATATTTTGCTGTTTTTATATTCATTTGGTTTAAATGATGCCTTGTCATTTTTTGGCAGGCTGTCATCAAGAATACTGCAAGGTTTGATTTATCAGTCTCACCTGACACAGCCCTGTCACTCAGTGGACTGAATTTCACTGCTGCTCTGTGACCCCCTCATAGAGGTTAAGGAGTGAATTAAACTGCAAATTCCCTCTTGGTGGAGTTACTGAATACAATGTGTTAATGCTGCTTTTTTAAGACATAATGGCATTTTATATTTTGATATTTTTTAGTCATAGAGATAAAATATACTTTCATAGTCTGGAAAATATATTTTGATGCAGTAAGTATAAACAGTACTGAATAGGAACTAGAACTGAACTAGTAAAACTTAGAACAAAATGACAATACTGGGGATTAATCAGTGAATCATAAAATGAAATCCAAATGTTAACTGTTTCCATACTGTCAGTAAATAAAATAGTGAGGCCTTGTTAGATTGTCTTTTATTCCAACAACTCATTTTAGAATGTTTTAGTTCAGATCTTTTATTTGAAGTTTTACAAGATCAACAACTGAACAAATTTTCCAAGTTATAAATCCCTTAAATTGCTGACCCTCCTCTCTACACCCTAAACCATAGAAATATATCAACTTAAAAAAACATAGATAAAGCAGTAACTGAAAAAAAATTAAATAAGGATTAGTATATTAAAAAATAAGAAAGAGAGGCAACATCAAGACACTCATAAAGACTGCTCATGGCTGAGATATTAGGATACATCTTCAGTCTGAATCAGTAAGCTCATGAGTATAGTTAAAAAAAACTTTGCCAAATACAGTAAAATTTGTTCATGGAACCTAGAATTTAAGAATTAAGAATTATTTTTATTTTATTTTATTCTATCCACATAATGATTAAAAAAATACTTTTATGCACAAGCTATTGGATAGAATGTGGCATAATTAATATTCAGTCATATTTCACGTTTGCCCTTGAATGTGACAGATAGTGACTTAAGTGCAGGCACCATTACTTAATTTCTGTGGAGATCACATGATATCACTGCAGCCAAGAATAGGATATTATAGAAATACTATAGTTTATGTTTATTATGGCAGTACATTTTCCTAGCTTAAATACTTTAGCTAATTTCTAAAGCTACTAAAATGTTATAAATGTTCCTACCTCTGCCTGCAAGTTATATTTTGTTATAAAGTGAGACCTGTTAGTAAGATAGATCATTTGCATGAAGGGCTCAAATAAATTGCCATTATCATTCTGCTTTTTTGTATGATGCCGATGCTTTTTGCTGCTGTAGTCAAGAGTTGGTCTGGGATTGATGTAGTTTACAGTAGTGAAGTTTTTTTCATTGTCTAGGGTGGCTGATGTGGCAACTTGCTATACTATTGTTGGTGTAATATTAAAACATCTAATCCGATTGTTACAGATGGTTAAATTGTCATCTATACCTCATTCTCAGTTTAACAGCTCATGCTTTATGGACTTTTAATCCCTTTTAAGAAAAAAATAAATTTTCATTTATAAAAGAATTATAAAGATGTATGCATGCCCATTTTATTTTTGTTCTAAGTACCACAAAGTCGAATATTTAATCCTGAATAAACTGGGTCTACTCATCAACTTTCATAAAAAAATGATTGAGTGGTTATGTACTCTGCATTGATTCAATAGCCCCAAGCTTGTTTTATAAGCAGAAATTGCAAGAAATGGAAAATTGCCTTTATAGGAAAGAGATAGTACAAGAGAAAATATTTATATTTCATTACCCAATTAGATTTGAAGGAAAGCATGCGATTTATACAATCTAATAGTGCCTTTTGTTTGTAATTTTGCGTTTTGGAATAATTTTATTTGTACCAGTGGGTAACTCAATTTTCCAATCTCGCGAGAATTGCACTTTCATTAATTCACTTATTGACATAAATGTAGAATGAGAAACACGAATGCGCTGGATCATTTGTAAACTGTCAGCTTCCTGAATGACATGACCTGAGGTTAATGAAATTTGCTATTCTTGGAATGCATTGAATAGGATACATCTTTATTTCAAAACACTTCAGATTCCTTTGTTTTAAGACAGAATTTTCTATAGTACAGAGTCAACTTTATTTTTCATGGTTTTTTTTTTGTGCCTCAGTTTAAGTAGAAGGACCTGTGCTACTTGTGTTGTACTATAAGTTGTGCGTTTCAGGGTTCTAATGGAGTGTAATTAAAGGTTTATTCAATTTCACGTCCATACAGGTTGTAAATTGGCTGGAGGGCCCTGGTACAGAACAACTTAGAACTCAGTGGGGAATTGGAGATTCCATTAGAGCTTCCCAGGCTCTACAGCAGAAACATGAGGAAATTGAGAGTCAGCACAGTGTAAGTTTATTCCCTCCTTGTCACTGTTTTCTACCTTAAAAAGAATTAAAGCTGGTGATTTTAAATTATGAAGTACTTAACCTCATCAAGTTACAGTAAAGCAGATTAAAGCATGTGTTTTTCCCCATTTATTTCATTTAAAATAATTTTATAATTTTAATGCTCCTCATAAGATAATAATATTTATGGAATAAATGAATATGTAATGTTAATGAAATGAACAGCGAAATGGCTTTACCCTGTTTGGAGAACATTTTAAATGATCTTTTTGAATGTGAAGTGAGTCCGCATTTTACTGAATGTAGTTTAGAACTTTGAGTTAGTCAGGGAGTAAAACAAATGCTTTTTATACTGTATGAATACACGACACTGTGTTTTAAGAGCCATGGTGTGTTATACATATATAACCTTTAAAGTTTGAGCTCCACTCTTAGAGTGCTTGTTGTCAGTGCGACTTTAACATGACAAGTAAATGTTGGATAGAAAATAGGCTTTATCCTGACCATTGCTGTTAAATTCCCTGCTGGAAATCCATTTCAGATACTCTGCTATGTTATGGGATGGTTGGTCATTTGGAAAAAGGGGAATCGCAACCTCTGCAAAAGTGGGTAAAATACAAATAGGAAAAAGAATGTCTCGTTTTCATAAAATTATGACAGCATGAATGAGACACTGAAATCTTTATATTTGCACTATGGATATAACATTTGTAGTGCGTTGTTGCAGTTGCTTTTTTTGTTTTCAATCAGCTTATCGCTGGGGGATTGTGTCTCTATTCACATAATAAGCATATGTTTTGAATCTATATATTTTCAGAATTTAAGTCGTCTAGTAGTAATTGTATTATTTAGATTAAGAATTAAATTTAAATCATTTAGACACTTTAACACACTTTTTTTAAGCCTGTGAGCATTTTTGTTTCTTCCAGTTACTATTTCTTGAAAACAGTACATTTAATTTTTTCCTCTGTTTCGGAAATGATCGTTCAATACTTAATTTTCGTGAAAATTGTATCATAATCTCAAATACAAAATATTTTTCCAAAGTTTCATTACCAGATATATTTAGAAGTGAAAGATTTATTATTTCAAATCTAAATGCATTGCAAAGAAGTATCCTGTAAGGAAAATGCTGGATTATATTCTGCTTCAGATACAAACATGGCGTGCTATATTGTGGTAAAACCAACAGGTGGCAGTAATACTGTATATTCTGAATAGTTTTGGATGAACAGATAGATAGATACTTTATTGATCCCGTGAGGGAAATTGCAGTGCAACAGCAGCTTAACACACACAACACAGCCACAGTGTAACGAATTATATAATAATAGTACAATACATACAATACAATACAAGAGTTACTCACAGTCCGGACACACAAGAACAAACTAGAACAGAACAGTACACAGAAAATCGTATCACACGTATGAATATAAATATAGATGTAACCATAGATATAAATATAAATATAAATGTATTGCACAGGTCCCTGGCATATATTGCACAAAAGTGGTTGTAAACGGGAAAAAGAAAAAGAAAAGAAAGAGAACAGATGTAGCAGTAGATGTGTATATGCGTTTAGTCCAGAAACAGGTCACTGTCGCTGTTGCCTCTGCCAAGACGCAAGGTGGATGCGTTGTACAGTCTTATGGCAGACGGCAAGAATGACCTCCTGTAGCGTTCCCTGTCGCACCGTGGATGAATCAGTCTATTGCTGAACGTGCTCTTCATTCCTGCAAGCCTGTCATAGAGGGGATGGGAGAAGTTGTCCATGATGGCCTCTAGTTTGGACATCATTCTCCTCTCAGCACAGAACGTTCATTCTGCCTGTACCGAATATCTTGATTGCACAATAGGTCATAGCAAAGGTCATACTAACAGTTTTGTAATCATTTAATACTATTTGTTTTGAGACTTTTAGGTTTGATTTTCCCTGCTGTTAAACACTACGAATGCATTATGCCTATTTTCAGGAATGGTTTGCCGTGTATGTGGAGTTGAACCAGCAGATTGGTGCCCTGCTCAATGCGGGAGATGAAGAAGACCTGGTGGAACTGAAAGCCCTCCAGCAACAGCTGAGTGACGTGTGCTACCGTCAGGCGAGCCAGCTGGAGTTCAGGCAAAATGTCCTGCAGTCAGCCCATGAGTTTCATGGAATTGCTCAAGATGTAGGTTTTTATGTTGTATTCTAATTTAACAAAAGAAATGACTATTTTTTGTGAATTCATAACACTGGATATGTTTTCAACTATTCTTTTTTTAGTTGTCACAGCAGTTAGACGGTTTACTTGGTATGCTTTGTGCAGATGTTGCCCCAGCTGATGGAGCAGCAATTCAACAAACATTAAAATTGCTAGAGGAGAAACTGAAGAGTGTTGGTAAGGAAAATTCTTTTTTTTCCCCCAATTGTTTCCTATACTAAAAGTAATTTTGATTAGAACTCGTTGAAAATGTTCTAAATTCATACACTTTAAAAACATATGTGTGACTGCTAAGTGGCTCAGGTAACAAAAGCAATTGCTCTGAATCCACATTGTCCACGGGCGGAGCGGTGGCTCTGTGGCTAAGGATCTGCGCCTGTGACTGGAAGGTTGCCGGTTCAAATTCCTCTTGATATGATTCCTCTGATATGATATTATTATATCATTATTGTCCAGACATTGCCCAGGTAGCTCAGTATTGCTAGGAACACCCAAGCAACAGCACACAATAGCACAGCACTGGTGGTGGGGTTGGGATTGTTTATTTTCTGTGAAACAACTACTGCAACTTCCCAGGTAATTGCATACTTGCATACTAGTGACATTGGCGAGAGACACTTTGCTTCTCCATCACCAATAATGCTCCAGGTTTCCCGATAGTGTAGAGCTTGCTGTGTGTCAAAAAACAAATAGCTCATTGAATGGGCAGTTTGGAAGAGCATAACTGCTCTTCATCATTATTCCTGTGCGGTACTGTTGATGCTGTGAGCTGAGCTGTAAAGCAATTGCCAATTCCAAACTGGGTACATATGGAAAAGGAGTAATTATATAGATTTAAAATGTTTATTCTGATGTTTACAATTTTCAGGATAGCAATTCAAATTGTACATGCTAATTGATTAGGAAAGTGTTTTCTGCTTGCTCAGTTTTATTGCCATTTTATTCATTTAGATGGTAGTCTACAAGCCCTGAGGGAAAAAGGTCAAATTCTTTTAGAACAAATTTCCAACCAGACATCCTGGTCATATGGAAAGGATACCACTATTGAAAACAAAGAGAATATTGAACATATCCAAAGTGTAATGGAGGATATGCAGCTTCGGAAACAAAGGTTAGTTTTGAACTGTGAACTATAATGAGTGAAAATGAATGGGGAATGTTTATTTCTTGATTGAGAATGATAATGCTCTGTACATGGTTGCACAAGCAAGTTTACAGTTACCTAAAGTCAGTGTTTGGGGTGTAGTTTTTAGAAATTCTTTTCAGCATTATCTAGAAATAGTTGATAAGAACTGCTGATAGTTTTGGGTCAGATTTTATTGTTTGGATATATATTTAACTGATGAAAGTAATTACAAAAATCTTAAAGCACTTTCTTTTTGTGGCCTTTACAGATGTGAAGATATGGTGGATGTAAGGAGATTAAAAATGCTTCAGATGGTACAGCTTTTTAAGTGTGAAGAAGATGCTTCACAGGTGTGCAGTATTCTGCAGTATATGTAATGCTTGATTAGTTAAGCTGATTTCCATTTTAGTTTGGGTAATCTGAAAATGAAATTGTTTTCAGGCAGACAGATAACTTCCAACATATACCTGATCCATTTTGGGGCTACGGAGCTCATGCAGGCTTTCATAGTAGTCAAGACCTATAACCACAATATAACATACACAACAATTTCTGTAGAGTTCCTGTATGTTAATGTTTATTTAGAAAACCTGTAAAATAAAATTAAAAATTATTTGCTACGATTATTCCTACTACTAGTAGGAATAGTAGGAAGTAGTATGTCTTGAATTTGTTCGAGAGCCTGTTACATGACAATTTAAATGGATCCTGTGGTGTGCTGTACATTAGATTTGTTTGTTTTCCTGCTATAAACATACTGTAAGGTTATATATATATTAAGGTAAAACTTTACTCTTTCACATCTTGAATGTCTGAATAATTTTTCTTTTATAATGAAGGCAGTGGAATGGTTAGGTGAGCTGCTGGATGCCCTTTTGAAGACCCATATCAGACTAGGAGATGATGCGCAGGAAACAAAAATATTACTGGAAAAACACAGGAAATTTGTCGATGTTGCACAGGTTTGTAAGCTTGAATTCTGAGCCCTTCAGTTTTGATTTTGTCTGTATTTGATTTGTTTTTTTTTCCATTCTTTATTTCATGAATAACATAATTAATAATGAATTTACTGTTTGTGTTGTTTTACTTGTAGAGCACTTACGATTATGGCAGACAGCTGCTCCAGGCCACAGTGGTCCTGTGCCAGTCCCTTAGATGTACCACCAGGTCTTCAGGAGACACCCTCCCACGATTAAACAGAGTGTGGAAACAGTTCACTGTCACGTCTGAGGAAAGGGTCCAAAGACTAGAGATGGCCAATGCATTTCATGCTGCTGCTGAAAAGGTGAGGTTTAGATAATTGGGTGTTAATAATCCATTTATACTTCCACACCAGGGATAGGCAACTGCAGTTCTTGAGGCATGTTATGCAGGCACGTTTTAGTTAGTGTTATATTAAGACAACTTATCCAAATATATAGGCAATTAAGATTAGAGTAAGTTAAACTTAAGGAGTCAACAACCTTTGAGCACTGGTATTTGTTGTCCTTGATGGAAACGGTTGAGTGATGTAATGTACAATAGCAGTAAATATTTCCTTATTTCTTTTTCCCCACAAATAATTGAAAATAATCAATTACGTTATTGTATCATCTAAAGCTAAAGCTAGTAGCAATGGCACCCTGATATAGTTATCAGAACAAAGGTTACATGGCTTTATTTTTAAATAAAGTTGTTATAGTATTTTTAAACTTTTTAACATGACTGATATATTTATAGTACTAAACAAGGGCCTGGCAAATGGCTAAAAAAAGTGTTGAAAGTGATTGGTGCTTTACAAATAAAAGAATGTTTTTATTATGTAATTTGAAACAGGTCCAAAACAGTGAAGTAATATAGCTAGTTTGATTTTAAGTAAATAATTAAGAGTTCTGCCGAACTCTGAGCTTTGAAAATCTGAAAAGGTAACATTTCTAGTGAATTAACTATTGCCAAAGTTCCAGACTTTCTTCTCTAGAACCTATAAGTAAGACCTTTTTAGGCTTTTATTTTGTTTATACAGTACCCCCTTTGATTCTGTCTGATGCTTCTGAAGAAACACACTCACTCTAAGCAGACTGTGACAGGAAGACAAGAAAGTAAAACCTATGTCTCAATGCCTGATGAAAGCAGAGTCCTCTGGCATCTCTCTTCAGGAAGAACACATAAATTATTAAGATAACATGTTCTTGGACTCCAGTTTTGTTCTTAAAAGCATCCCTGGGAGTTTCTGGCATTTCACAAAAGTCTGCTTTTTGACAGTTAAGTGTCAAGCATTAACATTTCTTCTGTTGTTTTGTTTCCAGTAATGTTCTGATCTTTTATCTTAAAGATTCTGAAAGAATGCCCAGAACAGTGTGAAGCAGGCTTTGACTTAGAAACATATGAAGAAGTTGAAGCAGTTGGAAAATCTCTTCTGGATAGATTAACAGTGCCCGTTATTTTCCCTGATGGGTAAGAGCTGTGTCAAATTATCTGAAGCTGTATAAAGATGTATATATTCAAAGGAACTACAGCAGTGAATTCTAAAACTCTAAGGTCTTTACACTGAATAAGTCACGTAGTACCGATAAGAAATATAAATAATATATATTAATTTGAAATTTGAAACTATGCATGAACAAAAAAACAAATATTAACATTTTCCTATGTTTATTATAAATATATAATTTATATATGTGTGTAATTTTTCACAGATTTGGAGATTGTAATTATGGCCCCCCTGATGTAATAGAGTGTACCTACAGAGTTTGCAGTTGTTTTTAAATTCTAACTTCAAAGCAAATCTTGAAAGTTCAAACCGTATTTTGAAAAAGTTTCTTTACAAGAATCCAAGTAACATAAGGTTTATAGGGATTCTGAAGTTAAGGTTTCAAGTAGAATTCTTATTCAACTAGTATTATGAATGTCATGTATATTGTTGTATGTTGTATTGGGTGTAGTTACAGTATGTATTATATATTGGTTGAACAACTGAAGAAATGCAGTCAGTTATACAAGAATGTGACATACTTTCATGTTATTTCCTTTTATTTAGCTCAAATTTATTAAACTTTCTGCTTGACTGCAAATATGCACTTGATAGAGTCTAAAACCATTCATTTCTCAATTAGGAAATTAAGAAGTGACATTCTGTATTACATGTGTTTGCTGAATGAATGCTAGATGTCTCCATTTTGTCATATGCATTACTTTTTATAGGCGACACTGTTCATTTGGAATAAACAGCATTAAACAGCAACTGCAAAGCTAATAGACAAGAATCTGTGACTGAGCTTGCCAAGGTGTTCAGAGACATTTTCCTAACGCAATTGTCGTTATCATTTTAGAAGTGAGCAGTTTTTTGGGAGTCCTAGTGATATGGCTTCATCTGCAGAACACATCAGAGACAAGATGAAGCTTGTTGAACTGAAAAAGCTACAGCAGGAGGAGGTCCAGCAGCAGGAGGAACAGCCAGAGAGTGCTTCAGAAGACAGCTAATAGTGTCTCCTATGTCACCCGATAAGGAGCCTCAATCTGCAAGTCAGCATGGCATCTCATGGTCATAAGTCCCAGCATATAATACACTAGAAAGTATTCCCTAGCTACAGGGGAAAACCTGTACTTCCATGTGCCTGTAACCTGGAATTCTGTGTGCGTTACTGCACTTCTTTCATCATAAAAATACACCTTGCCAAGCCATATTAACTTACCGTGTGCTGTTAAAGATAATAGGCTCCTTCATTTATATTCTAAGAAAAAAAAACTACAGACATTGCACTGAACTTCCCTGAAAGCTTTACCTGGCCTGTCATCTGTTGGCTGCTAACAGTTGACTCAAGCTTTGAAAGGTGCTACTTAAAATGTAGAATGTCCAAGCACCACTTCTGTCCTCATTATTATCTGGTGCTGTAGAACTTTTAGGCCTTAGGCAAACTTCCTGTTTGTAGACAGTAAGAAATGTATTTTATAAGTTTTGTCTTAATTTGTAATACCTTAAATTGTTGCTGCATCTTTTTTATTGTGCCAATACGCAACCTATCCTGAAGGCCTTTGATACTGGCATAAACTGCCTAACCTGCTGTTTTTAAGTATCAACTGTATATTAAGCAGATGTTTGGCAAAATAAACCTGCTTTTTAAAATTATTCTCTGATTGCTGTGATACTCAAGTGCATCAAGATACAATGTAGAGACAAAGCTTTAATGCCTGATAATTAGAAGTGTAAAAGCTTTGTTTCAATGAATAAAACATTAAATGGGAATTCATTTCCTTTTCATAATTGTGATTCTATAATATGCGCTTCTTGCGTCTTGAAGCATGCTGTTAAATATTTTATTTTTTTTAGTTTTGTTATGTTCTGCTGCAATTTTTAAAGTTTTGATACCTTTGGCATGATCAGTCATGTTTGCACAAATGTGTTTGGTTAAGATTTGGGTCAGTAGAAATAAATGAACAAACATTGGAACAACCAAATTGAAAGCATGCTTTTCCTTTTCTGTTAGATTCCTCATTGATTTAGTAGATAGAGCTGAGGAATGTCTAGGGTACTTGTAAACAAGATACAGTTAAAGTTACTGAAAATATACATATTAATTACTTGAAATGATTAATGTAATTTTATACTAATTAGTGAGTTCTTGTGATATTTTGGGGTATTGTTTCCTGAAATTCATTTCATATTGTGATAACATTGTAGTATTGCATAGGAAATCCAATATTTCCAAAATTGAGGCATGGCAAGTGCTTGTGTATGGTTGAAAGGTAGTGGATAAGTCACCATGTTTAGTCACAGAATTAACTGGGGCACCATTTTACTTTCACCATTTACATTTTTAAAATTAAAAGCTCAAATTTGGAAATACTGGAGTTCCAGCTTTTTCATACCATGTTATGTTTAGGTATGGTAGTAAGTAAAACAATGTATTTTTGCCACTTTAAGGCATTGTGTGACGCATGGCAAATACGGTACACAGGATATTGCTCTTGCATTGGTTTTCTTGATTAAATATGAGACCCAGTTATAAAATGTAGAGAACAATAACTCATGTAGACATTTTGTAATTACTTTTGTTAAAGTTGATGACCTTAATGGAAGCTGTCTTCTTTTGAATGTAAAGTAGGCTCCAGAAGTATTAGGTCTTCATAAAGTAAGGCATTTTATTGATCAAAAATGCTTTGTTGGACTGTTTTGATGAAGCAGTTTGAAATCTGCAAATGTTTGACCTAGAAAAAGGCTGCTAGTGAAAAATGGCAAATGGTAATTGCTATAATAAACATTTCAAGTGAGAGCAGTTAGATGTTAGAAATTAAGTGGTAAAGGAGTGATGCATGAATGTTCTCTGGATCATTTTATTGTGGCTGCTGCAACATTTTTGTGAAATACAATCTTAAGTGAATAAGAATTTCAATTACAATAGATCCTAATATCTCTGGAGCCCACTAATAATGCACTGATATAATACAGTCTGTGTTAGCAAAATATAATTCCTAACTCTTCCTAAATTTAAAATACAGCTGTACAATGTTTAAAAGAACTTTGGAGTTTATTTTAATTAGTCATAACTAATCACCATGTGGAAGTTGTGTACTATCAAATACTGGGTTTGGACGCTAGAGGTTTTTTGCATACACTGTAAATCTGATGAAAGGAATATGAAATGATGGTTTCAACATCCTATTTGTTGTGCAGTTGTTACTGCATGACGCGTGTTTGTGCTTTGATCATCCTGGGAAAGCCTTCTTTGTAATTTAAGAAGAAAAGACATCCTCACTTGGAATTGAGGTATGCAGATTTATCACTTACCATTTTTCGCACCTGAATTATAATTGTAGAGAAATTTTCCTAGTGTTTTATGTTATAGATAATGCAAATTGGTCATCAAAACATAACCAGTGTTACAGACATGGTTTTAACAACACAATAGGCAAAGTTGCAGTATTTACCAAAGCAATGACACAATGAAAATCCTTACAGAAAACAATATGGCCTTTTTGGTTTTCTATTCAGTTTGTTTTTTTGAATAGGAAGCCCTCTGAAATATAGAAATTGATTTGCATGGATTTAATTTCAGCGACTCAACAAAAATTTTAAAATACCCAGAGTATGTCACAACTAAGTATTAAATGAGTGCTTGTATAGATTCTAGATATATATATATAGGTTTTTTTAATGAAATCTTTCAAATATTTTTAAAAATAATCCTTTGTATTTTAGTCTGATTCTACTATAGCTTTGAATGAGTTTCTCTAAAGACTTGAACTTTAATGCTGTTTAGAAAATGAGGTAAAGGAATGTAAACATAATTCTGACCTTCATGCCCAGTGTTCTGTGTGTGTTATGTAGGCAGGACACCTGTTGTTTTTAGAATAAAGGCATTTGATCAGTTTCCCTCACAAACACTTAGCTAAAATGGATTTCTCTTGAAATTGCAATAATGCAATTTGATAAGATGTGTAATATACCTTATGTAGCATTTTCTTTGATGAAGAGAACAGTGTGTTAAAATATATAATGAAGAAAAAGGAAATATAGTTTATTTAAAGAGCAGCAAGATTAATTACAGTTGAGGTGGGTTTTGAGAAATTTAGGGAAAAAAAGTATATCGGCAATAGCATTTCAGTGAAAACAAATCTTGGCTAATTTTGTTTTCATTGAATTGGTAGAAAAATAAAAAATGAGCTGGATATCTGAAGCTAATATTTGTAGGTTTTTTGTATGTTTAATTCTCTTTATAATTTCAGTTAGTGGTGTCCGTGATTGTTTATAAAGTAACTATGTATAATTTTACCAAGTTATGGTACACAGTGCTTTAATTCCAGGCAAAATTTGCAATTTGGACTAAAAGATAGTGTTAGGCCATCTGCTTCTAGTTGCTATAGGCATGCTTTCCTGCATGCTCATAGCAGTGCCATAATCACTAGTGTAAACGGGGAGGCAGACGGATATAACCATGCATCCTGATAGTTTATAGACAACTTAAAGCTTGTTTGTCTTTGGAAGATAGAGAAGTGCCAGATAGCAGATGTGTCCATGACAGGTTATTGGCACCTCTACAGTGGCTGAGGTAAAAAATAGCAGGCACTGATAAGTTAATACCAGGAGATGACATGCACTTTATGCATGCTTTTTAGATTTTATGTGGCCTTTAGTCAGAGCCACATATACTTGGGGTATGTAAATTATAATTCCCTTGATACTGCAACCAAAATTCTGAAAAAGATGTCTTGTTTCAAATAAATTAAGGCAGACTACATTTCTGTCTAACTGTAACTTTGAATCAGAAGGAATTGGCAAGTAAATCTAATTCTCCAGAATGAGGGGGAAAAACAAAGAAGAGTCCAATGAGGCTTTAATCTGTTATTACCTATTTTGATTTTCCCACTTAGCAGTATTTTTTATAACTTAAATATTTCTTATTTGAAGTCCTGCCACCGTATTTGAGAGGAAGCAGTTAGTTATTTATGGTACAGTATGCTGTTGGATGCTCAAAACAGCTACAAAGGTTTTTAAAAAGTATAGTTCACAGTTAAAAGCCAGAAGTATGAAGATCACTTCTGGCCTTTAAATTCTTTGTCTAATTATCTTCCTGTATATTTGTAATCAAATCATGTACTGTAGTAAGGAAACTCGCTATATATAGTATAGTAAATGAGCTGCACTTGAAAACAAAAACATAACTTCAGTACAAGGGAGTCTTTTTAAAACAATAAATCAATATATATCTGATGTTAATTTGGCACTACTTTAATTACTGGGCAGTCTGGCTCTTTTCTGTCTGACATGACACCATGACAGCTTCTAAATTTAACTTCTTGTGATTTAATGCTGAGAGCCAGTCACTTAGGTTAATTTATCAGGACTTGTGAGCAGATGGCGACTCGGTACGCAGCCTGAATTTCCTCTGATGTCCTTGAGATCTGAGTTTCTGGTATCCCCTGCTTGATGTTACTTTCTCAGCTGTTTATTCACCTAAACAGCTGCCATGTCACTAGCACAATATAACCTGCAGCAATTCTGTAAATTCAGATGACTTTTGAGCAGCACTGTTAACTAATGGCAGAAGAAGTGTAAATCTATGAAAGCCTTACATCCCTTTTAAAAGATAATGCATTGGAACATAATTTAGTGGCATCTGTGCATGTCCTGTTTACTTTGGCTTTGTACTGTTTCCAGTTCCTATCTGATCTTTTATTGAATCAGATTCTTTCTGTTGTAATCTGACTGAGTAAGCAATCTGCAGGAACAGTATTAAATTCCTTGTGTTCTGACATTTGAGCTCCTAAACCCACAATTAGTACACAGCTGTGAATGTTCTGCTGAATGTTCTGAAGATACCGTGGATAGAATTGTACTTAACACTATTAAAATGTACAATGTGAGCAAAGTTTTATTCTGCTTCATGAAGTTAACAGTTAAAATAAGGTAACTAGACTCTGGCCTCCATGAAAGCTAAGTTCTTGATTACACTTTAAATGGTTACGTGTGCATAGAAGGAATCTTCAACAAGTTGTAAAAAAATCCCATCCATTCCAAACAAATTATGTGCAATTTGTGTTGGGAGGCATGATAGTAAAGTGGTTAGCATTGCTGTGTCTCAGTGCTGAGGCCCTGGGTTCAGTATGGACCTGGGGTGCTCTCTGTGTGGATATTGTATTTTTTCCTAGTCTTCGCATGAGTTTCTTCCAGGTTCTCCGGTTTCCTTCCACAGTCCAAAAACATACTGGAAGATTAATTGGTGTCTGAGAATACTGGCTGAGATGTGTGTGTCTGTCTGCCTACCCTGGGATGAACTGGTGTCCCGTCTAGGGTGTACCCTGCCTTGTGTGCATTTTTTGCAGGTATAGGCTTATGCTCCCCCATGTCCCTGTACTGGATAAATGGAGAAAATGTATAATTTGTGTTCTTGATTTCAAGTTTGATTAGAATTTTACTATCTAAAGTAGCCTCTAGTTGTTCCTTTGCAGCTTGCACACTGAGACAACTTCCCACTAGAACATGATAGATTGTCTTTCCACTTTTAAAATTAAATAGGTCATACTATGATTTTGCCTTTAGCCTAGGCAAGACTGCTACTATGATGTAATTTGTTCCAAACATATGACATAGCTGTAGATTCTTTTGTTATGGCTGATGTCTTATCTAGTCTATCAACATAAAATGTGTATTTATATACATATATTCTCAGAGCACTGTACTGCGTTTTAAACAACCAAATTTCTGTTGTACAATTAACTTTTTAAAAATAACTAAATTAAACTTAGTACTGCAGTTTCCATAGATGAAACATCCCTTTTATCTTAATATCCCCTTTGAATCATCCCTTTTAGCCTAAGAATACATGAAGAGGTGCTTAGACAAACATGTTAACCTTTTTTTTTTACTAGACAGTGGCCAGGGTATCAATGTTATTTTCTGCTCATTGTTCAAAAGAAGCTAATTAAGTTTTTGGGACATGTCAACAACCTGGGGAGTATGTGTTGCTAAGATGCATTTCAAATAATTTGAAAGGGCACTCTGCTTTGCAATTTAATGTTTTTTTAGCTTTGCATAATAAGGGACTAATTGCATGGTATTTTATGATAAGTCTGATAGGTGATACTACATCTGCGGAGGTATGAAAACTGGAATGGAGTTATTTTTGGAAATACATTGCAAGTGTACTGTTGTCTTTGAAAAATTTTATTAAAGCAAACCTCAGCTTAATTAAGGAAATTAATGCTTGGAAAGCATTTGTAAACTTTTGCATTTGCACTTTTTATTTTTTAAACCATTTTGGAAGGTGGATGGCATTTAATGCAGTCAAGTTTTTTACATGGAAGTCAATATACTAAACAAAATAAGAATGTTGGAGCTGGATAAGTTGCAGTTTAAGAAAAATATAGTTCATGTTGACTTAATTCTGGTGTTCTAGACAATGTGGGAACCAAAAAAAGGGCAAACAATATTAGGACCTATAATTAAAAGTTTTTTAAATAAAAGGGTGCTGTGTTACAATTATACAACTCTCATTTAGAATATGGTGTAAAATTCTGGTCATCAAGCTACAACAAATATATTGCCACTCTGGTATCCAAAGAAGAGCAAGCAAATGCATTCTTTTGCATAGAGGAATTTCCTGAAAAAAGACAACTACAAGGCCACAAAATTTGAATATTCAAAGTTCTCGAAGGCTTTGACAAATTCAAACTAAGGGACTCCTTCAGAATCAACAACAAATCATGAACATCCTTTTAAAACTGAAAGCCAGTGGTACATTTTTTTTTACAAAAAAGGTTGTGGGGTCTGGTACAAGCATTTTGTTGAAGGTAATACAGTGGTTTCTTTCAACAAATTGTTGGATGAAGGCCTTGTACCATTTAGCCACTAAAAATGCTAGATAGGCCTAATTGCCTCTACATTTGTAGCCTTTTATATATTTTAATATATTGTTCTAACTGTGCCAAAAGTATAAGTTTAGAATCGATTCAATGACATAAAAATGTTTCCCTAACCTTAACAGGGTTCAATATCAATACATTTTGCATTCCTTATTGAGGAAATAACTTTACTAAATAATTATTTGCACACTGAGCCCAGAACATAATTCTTTTTAGTTTAAAACCTTTTTCCTCAATGTAAAATCATCTCACAGTACACAATAGCCATTAAATCTTCATGCACTGCAAATTACAAAGCTGTGATGTGCTGTTGCAGCTTACATCTATAAAACCCTCTCTACAGTTAACATCTGAGCTATCAAGAAAAGAAAAATTGCATGTCCAAAATTCAGTATGCTAAAAATAACCCAGCAAGCAATGCAGTTTTATGACTTTTCAGCAGTGGTATCTGTCAGTCTGTATCTGTCTTCCGTATTTACTTGACACGCAGAGTTTTTAAAAATCTGGTTCTCATGTAAAAACATGACCTTACCACATATGTCTGCTGACACTGACACAAGTAGTGTACAAGTTGTTATGAGAGCTGTTCCCATTCTTCACTGATGTAGCTCTAGCTCCTGCAGAAATTGGAATGCTGCATTTACCCATAGATATACAATTGTTTTTAGATTTTTTTTATCTTTTACTTTCAACAGTTTATTAAAAAAAATAAGACAAGTGTCCAGGACAACTGAAATATATACAGTTTGATACCTGTAAGTTACACAGACGTTATGCTGTGTAATGAACACACTTGTATTAATCAAGCAGTCAATTAATTTCTGCTATAACCTAGAAGTGCATATATCTGTTTTGTAAAAAAAAGGGTTTCAGGATGTTTGACTTCTCTCTTGTTTCCCATGCCAGTAAATCTTTACCCAAATCTCTTCCTTCCATTGTGCTGAAATCTGTGATGTGTAGTTGGGTCTCCTTAGAACAATAGTCTTTTTATGTTTAACTTGCTGGCATATACCCCAAGGAGATATTTTAAACTGCTTTATGGAATTGGACTGGAAATAAAACCAACCCAAAGGAATTCAAGTTTAGGCAAAATTAACTTTTAAAAGAAGTATAGAAACTTTTTTTTTAGATGATGTAATGGCAAAACAATTCTGTGTATATTTTGGTTTCCATGAAAACATCTATATGTAGTCACTGAGAAATTCCCTGAACCTTTTGCACAGGCATTGATCCACACTGTGGATAAAACACCATTTAGGGTGTTTGGCTGTGATGACTTTAACTGTGTCTCTGGAGATTTGTATGAGTTCCGTACAAACAAAAATTGTTTATTTTTCAATTCAGCATTTGCATTTGCAGTTTAAAGTTTTTGAAAGTGGGCAAGAAACCATTCTAGTGTGACCGGGGTCGGACAATATGTGGGAGATGGAGGGAGAGAGAGCGTGCAGATCAGTGCTACCAAACTAGGGGTGTGTCAAATGGCCTGCACAGCGATAATCCTGGTGGATATTTCTATTTTTAACTCACTGTTCTCTACTCTGTCAACTTCCAGTCTGTGTTTGCTGTAGTATATTCATTCAAGCCAGCAACTCAGTGGGGACTGAATTTTACTGGTGGTGTCTTGTGTAACACTCCTGCAACAGTTTACAGGGTCTTAACACGGAACTGGAATACAGCTGTGTGTAGAAGACCAAAAGGTGGTGATGTCACAGATAGTGTAAAGAAGGTGGACTTGCAAATGACATCAAGCTGCTTGACTTCAGCAAAATATCTGCGAACGGAATTCAGAGAGAGGACCCAGGATTGCAGACTTCACTGGCTGCTGTCAGGACCTTTTTGTTCAACTTCTGTGGTGTTGAAGGTGTATGAAGGCTAAGGAAAGGAGACAATGTCTAATGAAGGTTATTATGGAGGTCAGACTTCCACAACAACCGTCAGTACAGTTGCAGTTCAGGCTGGAGATTCAAGGATAATTATAGCAATATTAAAGGTATTTGTTTTTGTACTGACACTTTAAAACTTTTAGTCACTTCTTTTGTGTTTCAGATCTTTATGTTTTAATTTCTATATAGTCATTATTACATAAGTAATAACTGATACATGCATTTACATGAACCTCATTTCAAAATCAAGTTAAACCGTAAATATTACCAATTCTAATACATTTCAGGAACACGGTTGATTCTTCCGAAATGCTGTATAACATGATGTATGATCAGTGTACTTCTAATGGACAGTGAGCCGCCTGCATCATCAAATTGAATTGATTTCCTCAGATTGCAGTTGCCAAATTAAAATAAAGTTTAGCTCTAGTCGATGACGTTATGCGTGTACATTGTTTTTTTTCTGTGACATTCTCAGTGATCAATAGAGCTCTGTGTTTATCCAATCAATTAAGGCACAAACAAATTTCTCTCATTGAGTTTTCTGTAGTGCTTTTTAAAACAAACCAAGAAGCAAATAACCTTAAAAACAATTCACTTGAGTGGTATATTTTTAAAAATAAAATGAAATGCTAAAGTAATTTCCAGGTATGTGAGGGTGGTTGCTCTTGTAAACTTGTTTTGTGTGCTGTTTGGCAGGCTGCATAGGGACATAGAGAATGTGGTATTTTGTGGCCCCTTTAATGTCAGTTGCTATGCAGCACATGCTGCAATCTGAAGCATGTGGTGATTAAAAGGGCAACACACGTGGAAAATAGAAATCCTGGGGCACATCGTATACAGAGAAAATTGCTTGTTTTCACTTATGCTATGTAATTGGAGCTATCCTTCCTAGCACTGCCCTGGTGTTTATCCTGATACCACATTGGAAACTAGATAGTTGTTTCTGTACCATGTGCTTCGTTTTAAAGCTCATTAAACTTCAGCTCTAGTGAAATTGTGAAGCTTGATTTTGGAATGTCATAACTATAATCAGATGTCACATTGTTAAACATTTGATATCTGGCCTGTTTACATTAGCAAGACACCCTGGGTATCTATTTACAGTATAATAGACCTAATTCACCAGTAAATGTCTGGCTTAATGTTAATAGGTTTTAGTAAAGATAAAAAATAGAATACTTATTTGCAGGTGTATTGCTGCAACCCATGTCTGCCTGATGTTTATCTGTTTTTGATCCTCTTATATATTGTGTTGCAGAGTGGATCATTGGTGCAAATTCAGATAGCGGAATCAGAACCAAGTCTGCTGGAAATTGGAAGCAATCAAGATGAGACCAAGAAGCTACTTACAGAACATGAGCTACTGATGACAAAACTCAAGGTACTAATTAGATAATAAGAAAAGGTCAATAAAAGGAACATACTTTGTCAAGTCAGTTAAGGCAGTACTCTTTGTACTTCACTGTGCTGCATCAGCAGGGAATCATCTCTTCTTAATTCAGTGCAGTATTTCACCTGGAAAACATATTTTATTGCCTCAATCTGTTGGTGTAGACAGTTCTGCAGTTGCCTTGAAGGGATAATTTGTATTTGTTCCGATTCAAAAACATTTTTTCTGTTCAGATCCCATTATTTTTTTCCCCACAACAATCTCTTTTTTAGCTTCTTTTCTCAATTTAATTACCAGTTAACGTCATAGTTTTCTTTACTGAGTGTTGCCGAGTCATCCAGTGCTCTGCTGGAAAAGACATCCATTCAGCAGCTGCACAGAATGAAAACAATGTTTTCAATCTCTGTAGCTATGTTGGAAATTGCTCCCAGTCTGAAACTGCAAGTAACTGAAGAAATTCTGTAATTGAATGAATCATCAAACAGTATGTGCAGATTCTTAATGAGAATGAGTTTTTTGAGGTTCATGGCAATTAGTATTGTATTGTAAATATTTTCAGTTTCTAATAGATGTTTTCTGGAACTGTTCTAATACTAGTTGTAAGCATAATAAGCCATGCTAATTTTCAAAATCCATTTAGGATTTCCATCCTCTGCTTGATCAATGTATTTCCTTTTAAATGATACAGTATATCCAGTTCTGTATTATTTGGGTATAAAACTGAATGTGTGCAGAGTGACTTTTGAGATAATGGATGCTGTTTCAGTACATTGTTTTCCTTATTCTTTCCTTATTATCTCATTGCCTGAAATAATTTGTTTTCTCGACATGTTGCTTACGCATAATTTTGAATATTGATTTAGCGTCCTGACTAGGTCACTGGCTCTGGTATATACTGCCGTAGCTCAGTATATTGACTCTCTGTGCTAAGCTGCGTGTTCTAATGACATGACTTATATGACATAATCTAAAGCAGAACCACTTTAAACAACATTGTTAAGATTCCCTAAGATTTCAGGCAAAGCAATAGCTTGTGTTTTATGTCGTTTCCAGTCCCAGTTTAACATTTTTCTTAATGGTGTCTGTTTTTTATATGAAAGCATTTAAAAACAGATGGTTTGTGTTACTAGTAGCCTTAAGCATATTTGAAGCTGAATGTGCAGCTTGTGTAAATGTAATATTTTGAATTTTAGTACACTATAACATGCTTCACTTAATTTGAATAAGATATTTTATTATGTGCATGAGAATATGCAAATGTTTGCATGTAAAAACGTACTTTCTTTTGCTTCTGTCTTCTGCCAGAATCTGCAAGCTGTTTAAAAACAGCGATAGCAGTTACCAGTTTTAAAATTAGCTTTAAGGTTCATAAGAATCAATGACTACCTGAAGAGATATTGTAGCTTTTTTTATACATATTTTTAAAATGACAAAATTAGAAGTAGAATGATGAGAAGCCAGCATGCGTTTTTAGGGGAGTTTCTAAGCACAGCTTAAAAAAGAAATACATTTCTCATTTGACTAACCTGTATAAATGCTTCCCACCTTGTGTGCTCTTCCAGTAATCACGGAAGACATACACAGTGCCCTACAAAATTATTCACCCCCGTGCAAAGTTTTCACATTTTTGCCATCTAAGCTTGCAATTATGCCACTTTTAAACTGGACTTCAGTTGGACCAAAATGTTCAAATTGGACTATTTTCACTATATGCTCTAAACTGATAGATCTGTACATGCTGAAAGTAATAAATAATAAATAAATACTTTATTTAAAATATACAGAATTATTGGCACCCTTGGTAAAGATGAGCAAATCAGTGTAAGCTTGATCTTACACTGAAAATATGAGAGAAATCTAAGCTTTCAGTGAGGTAAAATTATTCAAAGAAAAAAAAATCCTTAAATATAACAATTTTTCTCAAAAACACAGGTGTCACAATTATTGTCACCCCTGCATTTAGTACTTTGTGACACTTCCTTTGCCAAGATAACAGCACTGAGTCTTCTCTTTTAATGCTGGATGAGATGGGAGAACACATACAGTATAAAAGGACCTGAGACCATTCCTCCATACAGAATCTCTCCAGATCCTTAGTCTTCGCTTGTGGACTCTCTTCTTCAGCTCACCCCACAAGTTTTCAATGGGGTTTAGGTTAGGTCAGGGGACTGGGATGGCTACTGCAAAAGCTTGATTCTGTGGTTAGTGAACCATTTCTGTGTGGATTTGGAGGTATGCTTGGGATCATTGTCCTGCTGGAAGATCCAACCAGGACCAGTCTTAGCCTCCTGGCAGAGGGAGCCGAGTTTTGATCTAAAATCTCCTGGTATTTGATGGAGTCCATGATGCCATGTATCCTAACAAGATTCCCAGGGCCTTTGGAAGAAAAACAGCCCAACAACGTCACAGATCCACCACCATACTTCACAGTAGGGATTAGATTCTTTACTGCTTGACCTTGACTCTTTTTATGCCAAACCCACCTCTGGTGTTTGTTGCCAAAAAGCTTTATTTCTGTTTCATCTGACCCGGTTCCAATCAAAGTTCAAGTGTTGTTTAGCGAACTCCAGGCGTTTACGTTTGTGGTTTGTCGACAGCAGAGGCTTTCTTCTGGCAAGCCTTCCAAATAGTTTGTTGACATGCAGGTGACATCTAATTGTAGTTTTGGAGAATTGGTGACCCCAGGATGCAACCAACTCCTGTACTTTCCAACTGTGATCCTTGGAGAACGTTTTGACGCTCGAACCACCTTCCTCACTGTGCGTGGGGGCAAAATACACTTGCGTCTTCTTCCAGGCAGGTTCACAACAGCGCCAGTTGTTTGAAACTTCTTAATTATTGCCCTAATAGTGGAGATGGGTATTTGCAGGTGTCAAGCTATTTTTTATAGCCATTGCCTGATTTATGAAGGTCAACAACCTTTTGTCTCATTTCATTTTTGTATTCTCTGATGGATGACTAAGGGTGTTTGGCCTACATGTCACCTCATATTTTATACCCCAGTGAAACAGGAAGTCATCAATGACCACTTAAGAGTACCTAAAGACTCAGGTGTGCTTAAAAAAAGTAAAATATGAATGGGAATATATGTCAATTAGATTTTGTTCCTAGAAATTTTTAGGGGTGCCAATAATTGTGACACCTGTGTTTTTGAGGAAAATTTTTATATTTTTTATAAGGATTTTTTTTCTTTTAATAATTTTACCTCACTGAAAGGTTAAATTTCTCTCATGTTTTCAGTGTAAGACCAAGCTGATAAACAACAAATACATTTTTTCATAGCCTTTTTTGCTCATCTTTACCATCTTTACCAAGGGTGTCAACAATTCTGGAGGGCACTGTATTTACAAGACTAATGCATATAATGTATTATGTACTAATGTATTGCATTTCTTTGCTATGGTAAACCTTAATCTGTTCCATTGCAAAGAATAGTTCAGAGTAAATGCATCTATAAATACCCACAAATATGAAATTACAAGCCACAACTCACATAGTGATATGACAAATCAAACATCAAGACCATGGTTTTGAAGCAAGTCATTGATGAATAGCACAGATCAGGAGAAATTACTTATTCCTTTATCTTGGCTTTTATGGGCAAATGGCAAGAATTAAGTCATTACTGAAAAATAGTTAATCTGAACCTTTTATAGGATATGCTTCAGACATGTATTAGAGGGTTTTACAGTATGTTCTAAGACAAAAATGTAACATCTGTTCTAAAAGCAAATAGTTACTTACAGAACACGAGCAACACAGTGCATCACCTATTCAACACAACATATCATCTTAACTGTCAAGAATGGTGGTGGAAGAATCATGTTATGGAGATGTTTCTCATCAGTAGGGATAAGTGATGAGAATGACCTGGGCTTGAATGATGACTGTGCAAAGTGCTGGTGAATCCTAGAGAACAGCCTTTTATAATCACTCAAGAATCTAGAACTAGGGTTTCGTTTTAAAAAGTTACATTTTAGCCAGACAATGAACTGAAACACAATACTAAAGTCAGACTAGATTGGTTTGACAAGAAGAGAGTTAATGTCCTTGAGTGAACCAGTGAAAAGTTCTGGCTGGAATCTAATAGAAATTTTATGGCAAGACTTGAAGATTGCAGTCCATCAAAAGTTCACAAGAAATTGACAGAAATGGAGGAATTTTGCCAGTAACAATGTGCAAAATGTACATCATCCCACTTTGCAAAACTGGTGAAATTCTAAAAAAATCTGGCACCAATAGTAGGATCTACAAAGTATTGAACTATGGGAGTGAAATTTTATTTCTTCACTGCTGCTTTTGCTGACATGCAACCTCAATAATGTATAGCAGTGCTCGGTCTAATCATTATAGGTTTCAACAAAATAATGTTGATTTGAAAAACGAATGTATACATTGCCTGTAATTAATCAAATGTATGTAGATATTAATTATCATATATTACCTGAATGTAAAAACAGCAAATTAAATCTGGTATAAATATGTTTCTTTTCAAACTTAACATTTGTTTTATCATATCAAATAAAATTATGAAGAATGTTGTATTTCTCATTTTATTGTTTTTTTTCATCAATATTAATCCTTAATTTATGTTTAACTTTGAATTTTGATATTAATTCTCAAGTTATCTAAACTAAATACAAAATTTAAAATTAAATTTGAGGACTTTAGCTGTAGATTTCAACACCTTTAAAAAAACTTTTCCGTATGTAGTATTGGAAGGAGTTTCTTAATTTTCCTCCTCCCTTTTGTTGTTTAAAAGCAAAGGCCTATTTTATGGCTCAAGCATATTTTTTTGTTAGAAACATGAAACTGGTGTGTGGAGCTTGCTGGAGGAAGCTGACAAGATAGCAGAAGGTAATGAAGATGAGAAAGATGTATATGGTGCCATGGCAAAAACGTTAAGTGAAGCTTGGAAGGCTCTGATTGACCACTTGGAAAAGAGGAGAGCACTCTTGTATCTGGCCTCAGAATTCCTTGACAAGGCCTTGGAGGTGAGCACTTTTTTGTTTTCTTGCTTGTTATTCCTATGTTCTGAAAAAAGGCATTTTTTATTCTGTCAGATAAGTCAATTGAGAACAGATTATCTGGTGACCCATCAGGGTATTGACTAGAGTAATTTGCAGGAAATACATTGCTCAAAGGTACCAGAGCAACATCAGGACTTTAATACAACCCTCCATTCCCAGAGCCCCAATGCTGCATAATCCATGGTGCTACTGTATAATTTCTTCTGTATTTGTTTCTTATTTAAGAGATATTTGTGTGTTCTTGCAGTCTTTTATATTAAGTCTTTTACTTCCATGGATCCATGATCAATTTTCTATGATGCTGAAAGTCAAATTCTAAGTATGAAAGTGATGTTGATGAGGTGGAAATTTGTGCAGTCTGCTCAACTAATATGTCAATTCGATTAGATTAGCATTGTAGCCTTGCGGTGCTGGGGCCCTGTTTTCAATTCCTGGAATGCTATCTGTATGGAGTTTGTGTGTTCTCCTTATGTTCACATGGGATTCCTCCAGGTGCTCTAGTTTCCTCCTACAGTCCAAAAACATACTGGTAGGTTAATTGACTTCTGGGAAAATATGACCTGGTGTTAGTGTTCGTGTCTGTGCCTGGGTGTGCCCTGCGATAGCCTGGAGACCCTTTCAGGGAGTATTCTGTCTTGCACCTGTTGCTTACAGACAAAGGCTCCGGCTCCCACATGACCTATGCCTGAGATTTAAAGAAGAAACTTATCAACCTTAAATGTTGTCAGTAGGATCTGGATTGTGCTTACTGTTGGCTGCAGAATGACCATTGATGAAATAATGTATTTCATTTGCAGTAGGCAAATGTAGAATAGTTTATTGACAGCTGCTACCTGGAATTGATTAAAAAGTGGTTTGGAATTGGAAAAGATTGAAGCTCATTTAATGAGCCAAAGTGATGAACCAGAGTAGTATTTAGAATTACTGTAAATTAAAACAGAATACGTGCACTCACGTTTTCTAATACTTAATATGTTTATCTCTTGTCTTGGTTTTCATATATGCTTACTTAGTACACAGTCAGCAGTATTCTTAAGCTGTTTTATGGGTGTTCTATTGAAACATGGTTCATTATCTTTCTTCTTCATGTGAAATCATCAATTTGAAGTGCACCAAAACTTTTGCATGAGCTTAGCATTAAACGGTGTATATTATATTTAGACACCTCTGACTTCTGGAGAACAACTCTGAATGTTGTCTTTGCTAATCTCTCCAGCAGAAAGGAACCTAATTTTGCAGAGCTATTACAATAAAGAAGGCTCGTTTTCATTGATGGTGTGCTGCTGAAAGCCGCTTTTCTGCTTCAATTTAACATACAGTACAAGAAAATCATATCCTTTCACAGGTATAAACAACAAAGCAGAAATGAGACAAATGGAAGAGTAAATGAATGCAATTGCCCTTGGCTTTATCCATCCAGGTTCAAGTGTTCCACCTCCAACATGTTATGCAGAAGCCTCTGAAATGTTTCATGCTGATGGAGATTTGATGAAATGTTAATAATGAAGAGCATCAAAGGCCCTGGAAGCAGGTGTTTTTTTGGTGTCACAACAAACACCCGCTTGAATGAGTCTGCTGGAGTTGATGTTAGATAATTAGCGTTTAATTTAAAAAATGCATTGCTTTTTCAGGTTTAGTCTTACAATTAAGCAGCATTTTACTAATCATGTCAGATTAAATGCAGTGTTCATGAAGAATTAACATTATTGTTTAAACATATTCAACATTTTGCCATCACAAAAAAGTACACTTTTATTTAAACAATGGTTGATACAGACAGGAACATTTAAAGTATCTGAAATATTCAGCACTTGCTCCATCTACTGTATAACTACTAGCAAGCCTAAAATTTGAAACCTTTTTTAAAACCATTTGACACATTTGAGATATTGCTCTACTCTTTTTGTAAAACATATTTAGTAAATGCTGTGTTTCTGTCTGTGTACTCTAATAGTTAGGTATTAATGCTGGATCAGAAAATATTGTATCCTGAGAGAAAAGCTGTTTTTGATAATGTGATGCATAATGTTTCACTGACGGTCTCAACAGGAAAATACCAAGCACAAACATCCTACACAGAGTTTACAGATATTTTGTGGAAATGGTCTCTGTATTATAATTACCTATTCATTGATCCATTTTGTCTTTTATTTTGGTGCAGTTTGCTATAAAAATAGATGAAGCTGAAGATTTCCATTATCACGCCAAGGAGTTTCACAAACCTGAGTGCTTGAAAGAGCTTCTGCAGAAACAGAATTGCATAAAAAAGGGCAAGTAACCTGTATGAGTGGTCTCTTCATAAACCTTCAATAAATCATCTGCAGACCTTTAAAATGCCCCATGAGAATAGTCATTTCCTTGCAGAAGTATGGTGGAGTCTCTAATATTTGTAGCTCAAAATATTATTACTTTCAAACCCCCTTTTCCTCCAACTACAATTTTCTTATGTTGACTTAAAAGGTGTTTGGGTGTCTCTCGGGCATTACATTCATGGGATAGATAAAATAGCAATATCCATTAGAAACAAATGGCAGTGCACTTAGCTTTATATTGACAGTGTAGAGGAGTAATGGATTGAATCTTCAGCACATTATATTGACAGTGCAACATTGGATTATAAGCAAACTGAAAGCAGTCAGTCCAGCATAAGATTTATAGGTCTAGGCCTGGGTTGTCTGAGGTTGGTGTGTTTCAAGGATTTATAGAGGGTAAGTTGTTAGATGCTTGATCATAATGTAAGAAAGTTACTTTCCACTATTCGGTTCATTTAGATTTTCACCTCTTTTTGCTTTTGTCTCATAATAAATGCTGTTCTTCCATTTTAGCTCACCAAATAATTAAAAAAACAACCATGTTTCTTTTGTTTTTAAGTAAATAGATTTTATTCTTAATTACTTTTGTTTTCTGATGGCTTGATAATTATTATTATATAATTATTATTCTTTCTGACAGATCTGGATTTTGTTCATATACATTTCTTACAGTTCTCTTAGAAAAATCAATGGCCCTTCTAAACAAAAGTCAAGAGCTTCTGGACTTCATAAGAAATTTTAAAGTGGATGAAGCAGTGATAAACCACGATTTGTGTAATGGGGCTTGTAGCAGCTGTCTGAAGGTGGAAAGTCTGATGGAAATGCTTCAGGACAGGAGAAGGCAGGTGGGGGAGCAGATGAAACGGCAGCGCCTTGATCTGGAGCAAATTCTGCACATCTGTCACTGGGACCAACAGGAACAGGAAGTAAGTCGAAAAGTGTGTAGTACTAAAATTTCCCTGAGATGCAGATAAGAAACATCATGATCATTAAAATGCTTTTAAAAGAAGTTTTGCATGTAAAAAATAGGAAGAAATCTTTTTTATTTAGTGTTGTGCTTGCTAATATACCTAATATATTGATATTTACATCAGTAAATATCAGTTTGTCTTGAATCGTAATTAAATAAAACTTACCTTTTGAATAGCACACATATCTCATCACACATGCCTTTGCAACTCAAGTTAATTTCAACTGTTGGAAGGTATTATACTCCGAAAGTGTGATGCTACTATGACGAAGCTGCTTTGCTAAGATTCATACATTCCAAAGAGATTTTTTAGTCATTTATATTATTATAGATTAAACATGTTAAAGTAAAGAAGACTACTTGAGTGTGGCTCCTTGAACAATCCAAAGGCCACGGTGAATTAGGTAATGGAACTGCGGCCACTATCAAGTACACTCTTACCAAAACATAAGCATGTTGTATAAACTTGTCTAAAGTACATTCATAGTCACAGAAATGTACTTTATACACTGTATTAAGTTATTTAAAGTGCTGGATTACACTGGCAAACATTTTTATGCATGCAATACGTTTTTATGCACAAAAGCTGATTACAGAAACAATTACAGAAATGTCTTTACCTTGTCACTGAATATGGAGGCAGTGGCAACATTTTGCCGTTAATATTAAGTAATATTGTTAATATTGTTTCTGAACTATGAATTGAAATCTCCATTTTATCAAATAAGAAACAGCAAGGATAGTACTGTTTTTGTTAGACATAGTAAATCTTCGGTTTGTACGACAGTCTGTTTTAAAACAACAAAAACAACCATTTATAATAAGTAATTATAAGAGGTTTTAAAGCAGCAGATTGTGCCATGTTCAGTTTGTCAATGTCAGGATAGTACTGAATATTGCTTTGACCTGTCCTACACAATAACTTGTGATTCTGGGAAAGTAAGATTTCCTGTATGCCTTTATGTAGACTTGCACTGCTCTAGCCAAATTCTTCACAATGTTTTTTTAAAAAGCTGCTGGACTTTAGCACCTGTGAAAGAAACCATATACTTTAAAGTTAATTATATTACTGTGCTGCAATATTATTTCAAATATTTTAGCTTTTTATCAATTTATAATGTTGAATAAATGCATGTATTTGAAATTGCATTGACCCATATATGTGTGATTAATTAATTTACCAGTTAACAATTTGCACTAATAATTGCTTTGGAATTAAAGACTTACACACATAAAGAATACTTGGTAAAAAAGTACATGATATTCCGCTTTTATTAATTTTATTTCCCTTATTTCACATGAATTAGTCATGAGCAATCACTTTAATTTATGTTAAAATCCAAGAAGGACTAATTGTACAGTCTGTATAAATAAACAGTTGGTAAGGTGTTTGAGGCCTCAGTTATAACAATTCTGTTATAAAATAAAAATTGTGTATTTACAAAAAAATTGTAGGTTACTCAGTGGTTCAAGGAAAATGCTGAAGAATACTTAGAAAGAGATCAGCTGGGTTCAACACTGTCAGAAAATGAAGATTTGCTTCAGGAATACAGAGAATTTGAATTAAAAGCTAAGGTAAGATGTCTGCCATGCCGGGAAGCACTCTTCACATTGATGAGATTTAGTAGTCTTGAATGTTTTAAATTTAGTAGTTTTAAAACCAGACATGGAGTAAATCAGGTAAGTGAGGCCCAGATGGAAACAGAAGTAGAGAATGTTTAAAGTTTCTTGTTTGTTTCATTAATAATAAGTATTTTATATCTGAAAGATGACACTCAAATCATAAACTACACTTCTATATATTTAATTTCTTAATTCATTTTGATTTTGTGACTGGAAAGCAATTTGATTAAACATCTTTAGGATTTCAATTTGTAAACAAGTTAAATATATTAACATAGTTTATTTATGAGTTGTATGAGTACTGGTATCTAGGTTTATTATCATTCCCATATTTTAAAGGTTGTAATATGGAAAGCAAAGCATTTTGAAAATATTGATGAAGAAAGGTCTTGCTTAGTAATTCCCAGAATTATACAGACAGGACTCTGAAATTGTAAACTGGAATCTTTAATTATGTCCCATTGGGAGTGTTCATTTTCCTTTGCACTTGCATATAATTAGCACTTCACTTTCTCCTTGGTGGATTTAAGTCCAGGCTTCTGTGACATGCTTGTCATGTTCACTTGAGTTCTCAGATGCTCTACTTTCATCTATTTTTCAATCTTTGCATGCTGGTGTTGAATAAATTCTCCTCATTAACGTGTTCTGCTGAATTAAGGCTCTTCTGTATCTTGGTATTCAAAAGCAAATGTACTAGCATAATATCCCATAATTAACATAACATCTACCCAAATGGCTAAAGCAAATGGATTCATGACTTTAGGCTTTGCATATGATGATCCCTAATTTTTATGATGATTTTATGATAATAGAGATATTAAAATATTCTGGTTCAGAAAATGGTTCTGGCATTAGATGATAAATGAAAAGGATAACAAAATCTGATTAAAATGTCTAGAAATGCACTTCATCACGTTTTTTTTTTCTCAAACTAACATGAAGAGAGTACGAGTTAAGGAATCCTGGATTCCAGTTAAAATAATACACTTCAGAAGAGTTTATATATGTCAATTAACAGTAAACAAATGGTGTTAACAGTAGTATTGTTGTTTTCATGTGCACTGGAGTTTTAATTTTTAATTTACCATTACAGGATTAATTGAAATCAGCAATTAACCTTGAATATACACTTATTTTGTTTGGTACGGTACTTTTGAAATTTGAATGCTGTGTTCACTATCCATATGTTATTGTGTGGTTAAAGGTTCTGTTGCTAGGGCATGCATGGCAAAAGCTTTGAGATACCTTAAAGTGTTAAACTCACTACGCAGAACTCCATTTAAATAATTGCCTAAAAACTATTATTTAAATTCTTATAAATCTTTGTAATTTTCTATGTTTTCTGCATTCTTACAGACTTAGTATCACTTTATAAAGAGAAAGCACCTGAAAAGCTTAGAAAACGATGATAACTAGTTCAATTAGATTTTTAAATGTTTTTCTGTAATGAACATCTACAAGACTATATCCCTCCAGGACAGGGTTCGAGAACCTCTGGTCTAAACCAGTAAGGTTTTGAAAAGAGCAGTCATTATCCCACTTGAACATGGCTGATAAAAGAATTCTGAAACAGAAGTTTACAGGTGAGGTGACAATTCCTGTTGGGCTTTTTGTCTTCTGACTTTTTGTTCTTCTTGAGCTCTCAGTTACATACTGTAGTTGGCCTAATTATTTAATAGTTATACCTCTTACCTGTTTCTGAGGTGTTGTACAGATGAGAGTACTTTAGTACTTTTAAAGCACCTTTAGAAGTGTCATTTATATGTCTAACTAAGAAAATAATTAGGTTTGATTGACTACTCAGGTTGGAACAAAAACAGAAACCATTAGGCCCTCTAGGAATTCTAAATTGTTCAGCTAGTCAACATGGATAAGGAACAACAATAATAATGCTTAATTCCCTTCATCTTCAGGTATTATCACCACTAAAATGATTTTGCTTTACCCAGGATTGGAGTTCATCTGTTGTGAAGCTGATAGCACAAGCCTCTGAAATTCTCATGGCAGAAAGCTATACAGAAAAGGAGTTTGTGATGCATCGAAATCAAAAACTTAAAGCACTTCATGAAGAATTCTGGCACCTAATGAAGGAAAGGTGGGCACGCCTACAGGAAACCAATGCTTTTTTTATCAGTGCCAATAAGGTAGGCATTCCTCTGCTCTTTCAGTTGATCAAGGTACCCATCCAAGAATGTGTGAATTTTTGTTTTACTAAAAAGAGAGTATATTTCAATATTTCAAAATTCAATTTAACTACATTTCAGAATATACAATTCGAAATTTTTGAATTGCCCTTTGTCCATTTGTCCTTTATAATTACATTTTCAAATATTCTTAATATGTTGCTTTGTCACCTTGGAATAAGTACGTTTCTGTTTTGCATGTGTTATGAAAACACTGCCATCTGGTGTAATTAGACACTAAAGCACTACCTAAATAGACAAACGTTTTATAATAGCTGTGGATGGTTATCTGATGTGATCAATCACAGTGAATTATAAATAATTTCCTTAAGATGAAGCCGAGTCTTGGTCTTTTAATAGATCTCTGTCATTTTGTACTTGAGCCCTTTTGAATATTGAGCAATATCTCTTCATTATTGCAGATCAATGGAATCAATTCCACATCATAGACTATCCCCTGAAATATGTATATATTTGAAATTTGTATATACTGTATATAGTATGTAAACTGTAATTCTGTACTTTCAGTGGAAAAAGCAAATAAATAAATATAACAGAAATAACAGTAAAATATATTTTTACTTTTTATCACTAATGAGGTAAATCAAATTACAATTATCTACTCTTTAAAGTGACTTTTTTGTAGAGCTATGAGTCTAATGTACAGAGAAAGCAAAAAATGTTGGGCCCTCAATGTGACAGATATTAAGCTGCTTTCCAGAACATTGTTAATTGCAAGTTCTGACTCTTTATCTACTACACACTGTTGGAAAGGGTATTGAAACCACTCGTGGCTTGTAAGTCACTCGCTGCCGAAATTAGGAGAGGCATAGATCATTGTGCATTGTTGCGATAAAAACAAGATAAGTTAAATGTGATTGTTTTAGAGTTAACTTGAGAAACTGAATGCATTTTAAAATATTTTCCATGACTTTAATTTAATTTGAATGGTGAGAGATCCCTATAGAAATAAAGGCAAAATCCATAAACAGCAAAATTTACTTTCAACATCTCTTCAACAAAGCCCCAACAAAATACTTTAACACAAAATTTTAAAATCGTCAGACTGAGGATGTTAAATTAAGGTTTAAAGGTAAATACATCTTAAATATTTATTATATTTCATATTTCATTTGTGTTTCTGCATATAAAATATCCCTTTTACCATATTAAATTCTGTTTTTTTCAAACCTAATAGGCTTTTGAAGTCCTCGGGAACATTGAGAGTCACATAAAGGGTCTAAAATCACGGTGTCTGAGCTTGCCTGAGTTAGCCAAGAAGCATGAAGAACTGCAAAGAAATATTAAAGAAACTGCAGCTGAAGCTCTACAAAGGGGACACGTCTTTCTGAACAAAACCAGTTTACAAAGGTGTGTATTGAATCGATTATGTTGCATTTTTTAAGTGCAAAAGTCCTAAAGAATGTATACTGTATTACATTTTAAATAATAAGGAAATGTTAATCTCATAGTTTCTTATAATTTATAAGGACAATCATTCTAGTTTGACAGTTTTGCTTATCTTTAAAATAATTGGCATTTTTAACAAGGAAAACAATATACTGTATGTTGCCAGAAAATGGCATGAAATTATGATAATTTATAAAAATAATTTAACCGCTGTTTGCAGAATTGAGCTACCACTACTTGTTAAAGTTGTTCTAAGATTTACAAATCCTAGGCCTAAATACAACACAATGTTTATATATAAATATACAATTATGTTTAATTCATTTCTTCTGCCTCACAATGCTGTCTGCAGCATACAAGTCAATGGAGTTAAGAAGATGATGGGATATATCCAGGAGAGAGTGGAACAGCTCAGTGGTCAGTGCTATGCTCACAAAGAACTCACATCAAAGAGGCAGCAGCTTATAACATCTTTTGAAGACCTTGTAGATAAGGTATATAATTTGTCATTTTCATAATGGTACCCATTCCTTGATTGTTATGTTTTATCTGTTTCACTTAACACTGTGTTTGACAAGAGAATATTCTTAGCACAGGTGACTGCAGAGAAGTCTAAAAAGTTGGATAGAGTCTGTTATTTGTTTTTCTCATTTTTGGTGAGGATATTTACATGCAATTTTGCTTCTGGAGAGGCCCAGAACGTGGTTTGCACTTAGCCTTTCATTACATTGACGGCTCGAGATATTGCTGATGATAATGTACATCCATAATGTACTTTTATGGATGATATGTACATTAGGTGGTTCAGGTTTTTTTGTAATTCCTTCCCTCGCCTGTGAGGCTGGGGTTTAAATAACTATAAATAAAATAAATGGTTCACAAAAAGATTCAGTAACTGATAGTACCTCCTTGACCAGTAGTTACCTCATAGACATATCCTGGAGCTGTTCATCAGTCTCTGACTCTTAAGGAATTTTGGCCTATTCTTCCTTACAAGACCATGACATTTGTGCATTTTCTTGCATGAACAGCTCACTTTAAGTCCTACCATAATACTTCAAGCTGGTTTGAATCCAGGCTTTAACTTGGCCAGTGTGAAATGTGAAATTTCTTAATGAGATCCTCTTGTATGTTAAAATCATTCTCTTTGTGCATAACCACTTTCGGCCAGGTTCAGCTGAGGAATAAATGGCCTGACATTCTTTTCCAGACTTTACTAATATACCAATGAATTCATGGTTTCATCAATGAAGGCAAGATCCTGTGGCAGCAAAGCAGCTTCAAAGCATGATACTGATTCAGAATTAAGTTCTTCCATTGGAGGTGAATGTTTGGTTGGAGGTCAATTTCAAGTTTTGTCTGTTATGTACAGAGAATATTCTTCTAGTTGTCAAGTGGATCATGTGTTCAGGTGTTCATTGGAGACTTGAAAAAAGCTACTTAATTCTTTTTAGAGAGCATTGATTGCTTCCTGGCTGTCTGTCTATGAACCCATTCTTGTTCAGTCTTTTCCTGAATCTAATCATCCATTTTCTAACTGCTTCTTCTACTTCAGGGTCACAGGGGAACCAGAGCCTATTCTGGCAAGCAAGGGTACACCCTGGATGGGACACCAGTTGATCTCAGGGCAGACATACAGACAAAATGCAGACATACACCTAGTGCATATTTTCCAGAATTTAGTTAACCTACCAGTATGTTTTTGGACTGTGGGAGGAAACCTGAGCATCTGGAAGAATCATTTAAACATGGGGAGAAAATACAAACTCCGTACTGATAGAACCACTAGTCCATAACTGAACTGTGGGCCTCAGCACTGCAAGGCAGCAATGCTAACCACTGCACCACCATGCCACCCTAAATGTAATACTTAGTACATAAAAACAGCAAAATACACATTCTGATTCCAGCACAGTTTTTTATATGTATTTTTGCATAACCACTTTCTTCAAAAATGTTTAAAAATGCATCCAGGTGAATCCTGCACATTGGTCGTGGTGGAGGGGAGTCCCCATTACCTGTAAAGCACTTTGAGTGGAGTGTCCAGAAAAGCGCTATATATAAGTGTAAGCAATTATTAATATTATTATTATTATTATTATTATTCTTTCTAAAGGTATCTGGGTGGATACAGAACTGCAGCAGTTATCTTTCCAGCAGCTTGGAACCTGGGTTAGTCTTGTCAGAATCTGAAGATGTGTTAAACAAACACTTGGAATTTTCATCTCAGGCACAGGTAAAATTGAAACTGTATGTGTAAAATTTGTAAAAGTACATTAATATGTGTTTTATGTGATAAGTAATTATCTGATGAATATTCTGGAAAGAGCACAAAAGCCATGGTATGCTGGTTTGGTTCTATACGATCAATATAAAATCAGGTTCTTTTGCATTTGTCATCTAAGGGCGTTGCAAACGAGTTGGAAGTAATTGCAGAAATCATAAAGGAACTCAAAATATATGAGTCTTCAGAAGTTACAGAACTTTCCAATAAAGCATGCTTACTGAAGGAAGAGCTGAAAACCCTCACAAGAAACATATGTGCGCGAACTGAAAACTTGAAAAGTTATGTGACATTCTTAAGATCTGCAGAAGAGGTAAGGCTATTACATAACATATTTTAATATTACAAATTTAAACTTACAAACATGCTTTGATGTAATCTCTTGGCACCTGATTAGTCACAACATTGAGTCTGATGCAGTATACAATAGCTGCCATGCTTTTGAAAAATAAGAGAAAAATGGAAACAGGTAAAGGAAATATCTAGCAGCACATTTGGGAGTTGTGATAATCTATAGATGTTTAGCATTTGCCAGAGTAGAAGAAAATAGTCGTGTTGAAGGCTGCCACAAGATGATGGTTTTTAGCACTGTGACAGGGCTGGGATAAGCATTACATGGCCAACAAATAAATATAAGAAGAAAGCTAACTGATTACAGCCACCCTTGTAAAATAGTGATAACTTTATTCACACTGTGTTCTTTCACATTTGAAAAGATTGATGAGCAAATGCAAAGTTTACAAGAATACTACAAGTTGAAGCCTACTGAAGATAACAATGATGAAGACAGTAATTCAGTGAAGGAAACAGCTGACTCAAAGTGGCAGTCTCTTTTGGAGAGGTTTCTTACTATGCAGGACTTGGGAAACAATTTCCTGACTTCAGCTGCAATGGTAACTATTATAATTTGCAACAATAATGGTAAAAGGTATCTATTCAAATAGAATAGAATGATTTTGTAAGCCTCTTGGCCAGATCCTCAGTAAATTTATATATTTTTACTGATGAAAATAAAAAGTGTGTTTTACAGGAATTGGCAGTGTATTGGTAAATAATTTGTTCTCTGTTTAAATGAATATCAGATGAAGAAACTTTGCTGAAACATAATACCCAATAAAATCCATACCAATATAATCAAGATAGTGGCACGGAAAGACATTTTTGATATATGTAAACATTTTACTTCTAAAAATAGTTGAACTAATTGATCTTCACTATTGGGATAATTTGCTTAAGGCTGCTGAAAATGCAATGATTGACAATACACAAATCCTTTCTTCAGAGTTTAATATGTAATTTTTGGAAACCATCATTCATAGGGGAAATGGATCATAATTTAACAGAGTACCGAGAACACAAGAGCAATTCTTTACTTACTGTATTATATCCTCAAAGGGTTTACAAGACACAAGACTAAAAATATTCTTTCTATGCATTCTGCAGATACCTTGTCTCACTGTAAAGCTCACACTCTCTAAATTTGTTTTGACTGCTGCAAACAGTTTGAGGTCCCCTGATACATCTGTTTTTCAACGATATGTAGGTCACTGAGAGCCTGAACCTAAATGTCAGGACAGCCATGACTGTTGTGGAAAACACAGTTGAGGACCTGAATAAGAAGAAAGTTGCACTCACAGATATGTGGACCACTTGGCAGCTTCACGTTAACCAGATGAAATCTGTTAGAAAACAGTGGAAGAAATTTAAAGAACAACTTAAAAAGGTAAGAAAATATATTTTTTTCTGTAGTAGTAATTGCTTTTTTTAAAAAACATCCCAATCATTTAATCATTTTTGCAACATTATTGAACAAAGTCTTCCAATATACTCTACAATTCCAACTACTAATGTTTATCTTAGATAATACATGGAGTAAGAAATAATGTGCAAAAGAAGGCGTAGGCTCCCATAGTAAACACCATTTTAACAGATGTGACAGATGATACTGTACCTAAATACAATGGACACCATTGATCTTGATGCTACAATACACAAAGAAATCCCAAAACATTTAGAATGAAAAATGAGGGGAAGACTCCAAAGAAAATGGAAAAGGAATTTACACTGAAAGATCAAAGGAGAACCAAAGGGAAAAATGATCAAAAGTAAAAACAAATGTTCAGGTAAACAAGTGCATATACTTAAATGCTAGCTGTATTATAAAATGTATCATTTCCACCTGGGAGATGACTTATAATCTAGTGAAGAGCAAAGATTTTTTTGTGCTGGTAGTAAAAACTTTTGAGGTAAACACTGTGCCAGAAGAGGCTACTTGAGGTAGCCTGTAGGTATTTATGTTTACATATCATTTACAGTATATCTTCTACAGTCTTGGAGAAGTAATTAAAATGACAAAATTTTAGGATCCAGATAAAAGCATATAACACATTAGTGTGCTGCATTTACAACATTGTACAATTTTGGTTACTGCTTTGTAGAAAAAATATTGCTGTTCTGGAATTAATCCTGAGAATAGCAACTAGATACATTTGTACACTAAAAATCTGACATTTAAGTCTTAAACAGAAAAGATCATGGGGTCACCTGATATACAGTATCAGAATCCTCAAAGACATTGACACAGTATTCAGAATCCTCAAAGACATTGACACAGCGTATTTAATCAGAATGAACAGTGAAACATGAATGACAGGACACAAGTAGAGACTATGTGAAACTGCTTTTAAAACCAAGAAGAGGAGGCACGTCTTAACTCAAAGTGTGGTTTGTACTGTACGTAACAAACTATCTAGCGTTGATGTTGAAACCTACATCCTGGCTTCTTTCAAAAAGTGACTGGATAAAATCCTTGGATCAACTAGATACTATTTGCCAGACAGGTTAGACAGGACAAACTGACTCCTCTCATTTGTCACCTTTCTTATTAGGCTTTTCAATAGAGTATATGAAAAGAAAATATGACAGACCTCCCTTTACTTCAGTTAATACATAAAAGAGTGAAATATTTATTAGTCTACACATATGTCCCCGAATTCCTAACATGTTGCTTCTTTCACACTCAAAATATGCTTGTCTGCCATTTTTAATCATTTGCATTGACATTTTTGATATGACTCAAGGCCAAAGAAACTACTCACTGACAAATATTTTTACTTCAACATATATTTCATGATTGTGAAAATGTTTTTTTTCCATTAAGACAGTCCATGATCTTAAAACTGTGGAAGATGTACTAGCTCCAGCATCCAAAGTTGATCTGGGAAGTGATCTTCAGGCTATTATGAAGCTACAGGAGAATTTCAACCTTGCAAAACCACAATTTCTGGTAAGAAATGCTTGCAGTTTCTGTTGATTTATAGGGAATACAGTTTACTGACAAAGAAATCATGTGAAGGCATTGTTTCCTATAACTCTGAGGCAGTCAGCCTTGGCCCTGGATCCTATTGCATTGCCAACCTTTGCGCTAATCATTAATTATCAAAATGTTCTGCTGCACTCATGATAGTTAAATAATTAAGAGTCACTTCAGCACTTAAAATACTGGAAGGTTCAAAGTCCAGGATTCCATGAGTACACCTGTTATAATTTAATACAGTAGTACAAGCCTCATGTTCTTCTTCCTTTTTATTTCCTTAGCAACTGAATGCAGAGGTGGAATACATGGTGAAGATTTCAGAGTTATTAGCATTAAAAGGAATTCCAATAAAGGAGAAAAATGAAAAAGTCACAGAACTTCTTCAGTTGCATCAGAGAGTGAAAGATAAAACCAGGGAATATGAAGCAGTTCTTAACATGGCTGTTAAATTTCATCAGCTATTTGATGAGGTAAACAGCTCATGCATATAGTTTGGCTGGTTTAAATAACTGTATTTTTTATTTTTTTAAGTATCTAGAGCAACATGATGTGCTGAAGAATCACACAGAGCCTGGAAATCAGAAAAAATATTACATGTAGTTTTGTGATGGAAACAGTCCTAAAATTGAAGCTTTACAGTTCATATTGTTAAAACTAAAACTAACAACAAAAAAACCAAACAACCAGATATGCTTTTCAAAATATTTTTTTCTATCGCTGGATTGTGTATAAAAAAACTGACCACAAAACAGACCTAATCAGTATTATAACAATACATTTCTTGACATTTTTAAAGTTGGGCAACCTCTTGACATCAGAACCGGTGACTGCATTCCACGACATCAGCCAAGCCAAGATCCAGCTCAGTCAGCACCAAGAGAGGCAGAACCACATTCGACATGTCTATAAACTGGCTATTGCCTTGGGGGTGGATATTTCCAATACTGTGGAACAATCGGTAAGGACTGTGTTTATGCCCTCTGTAACAGTCTCCTACGACATTACATTGATTTTTTTCTTTTTTTTCTCTCTTGTCTTTAAACAGGCAACTCTAGGCTTTTCAGTGCACCAGTTACAAGAAAAGCTGAAGAAGCTGGAGTGTGGTAGTGTGAACTGGAGTTTAGAAGCTGACAAGTGCAAAGAAAACCTTCTGAGTAATGTGCATTACTGTGCATTCAAGGAGGAGATAAGTGAGGTATGTTGGCCTACAGTGATAATTCAATACATTTTTTAAACTGTCTTGTAAATTTGCACGTGTTGTTTTTATTACTTTTCATTTTTTCATTGAGAAATATTTTTATATATTTGTTTATACATGAAGTCTTTTGTAAAATTGCTTGAAGATGCTTCACTCTGCCAATAAATATAAATTCACAAATTGTTAAAGCTTTTAAGCAACAATTTGTTACCCATTCTGTACTTACAGTAAGTTGTGCTTGATTTTTTTCTCCAAAATACAGAAATTTAGGAGTCTTACTTTCATTCAATGCACTGGCTATTTTAAGATGTAGGCTTGGTATGATGTTGAGTATTTCGTTGCACTTATTTTCATGCTATTACCTACATTATTTTTAAAAACGGAAAACTACATATTGTCTGACACAAACCATGTTTTCAGACTCAAACCTTCTAAATTAACAACCACAAACTAAGGCATATTAACAGATTGCTATCATAAGCATATTCTTCATGAAATTGAAATTGTGGATATTAGTAATTAGTAAGGTAATTTCATGGATATTTGTAACTGATAATGAATATAGCTAGTATACTGGAATAAATAATGAAAAGGATAAAACAATATTTATGCAGCAAAATATATTAATTGAGTAACTATATTAAGAATGTAACAAGAGTATTTATAATTATGATTATACAAATAATTATAATTAGGAAGATTAAGCTTGCAAGAGTTTTATATGAAATACATTTATGTACATAGTAACATTGTCTTTAGACAATTTAGAAAGTAACAAGTAGAGTTATTTTAATTTAGTATGATACTATTTTGTGTAGCTGCCACAACAGATCATCTATTTTTGGCATGCAATCGCATTCATGTTTTTAAATGCCTTTCCTATCAGAACACTTAACTGACATTCATTAACAGACAAAGAATGGTAGCCTTAAAAGGGATAGTTTGTTTTTGAACAGTTAAATTGTTCTTGTTCTTTATATATTATATTATATTTATATAAGATAGATGGCCATTTGTAATTTAGTTTACAGTCTCTAATTTATCTTGCCAGTGTCCAGCCTTCTCTGCCATTTGTCTTTCCCAGAAAGAAGGGAGATTGTGTTTGTGTCTTCCTGAGACAGGCATGCGAAATAAAAGTAGACTCAAGTGTGGTCATTTTTTTCTTGTCCCTTTGAGCCATATTCACATCAGTCAATGTTAATTACCTGTGCTACAGCTAGAAGTCATAAACTGACTTATCTACTTCAAAGAAAAAAAAGATATTGTACCCTCATAAACCTGTGCCTCTGTATCCCTCTGGTGCACTTAAGATCACATTGTCACAAGATTTAAATCAATAGACATACATAGTATTAGGGACAGTTGCCAGTTGCCTTATTTCTTCTTATCAGGTTTGCTAATACTTCTTATTTTGCTCATACAAAGCTCTCATGTCCAACTAATCTTATTTTCAAAAGTGTTTTTTACAGAAAAAAGAAATAAATAATAAATAAAGGCATATACAGTATTTATTGGGACGATCTTGTTATTGCTATGCAAAGGCATTTGTACTGCTAAAAGTAGGCCACTGAATCATATTTCCATGGCTGAGAAAATTGGGATATACTGTAGATATTCTTGTCATTATTTTTATTTACTCACTTTCATTGCATTTATGTTTTCTTAAACCTGCTAATTTAATTTTCCAATTAATATTAATGATCAAAGTTAAACGAATATCAAAAAACTTAAAAATTGTAAATATAAACATTACATTTATAATACATTTTAAGTAGGATCCTGTATATAGTACTATTCCTTTATCTGACATTGCTTGATGAAGGTTAGCTTGTCAGAAACAGTTCACTCAATACTCATTAAGAAGTACAAATGTAACCCACAGATGAATTACATGGACGTTAATATAAATATACATTTATATTATTTGTATTTTGAGTATACATATACATAAATATAACTTTTTCTTTTTACAATAAAATATAATCATTGAAACAACTGCATGATTCTTCTGCATTGTCACTTAGTGTTTCTACTGAGTGTTTTTCTTTTTATTCACCTGGTAGCTTGATTACTAATTGTAATCTTTAGTGTAATACATTATCATAAACCACTCTTACAACAAATGCTAAATGTTGTAATGTATTGTGTTGTATCCTCTACTTTCCCAGCACTTCCCTCTCTTCAATGTACCTGCCACTTCTTTATGTGGCTTACTGTAAACCACATTTTGATGTTCTAATCTTGACATATGAGGCTTATTAAGATTACCTCCACTGGCTACTAGAGAGGCTTGTGTGCATTCTGCCATTTGTCCCTGATGACATGCTAATGAATCCTGTAGCACCTTCATGATTATGCATAAGTAAACACATTGACATTTAAGCTTCTCCAGAGATTAGCCAGTTGTTGCTGGTTGTCAGTGTGCGCTACAATTTTAATTTGAAAGAGCTTGTAGAGTATTATCTCTAGCACATAAAAAGGGAAATTTGGAAAGCAATTTGCTGTATCAGCCATTAGTATTATTCCATCTGGAAGGAGTTACACATTCCATAGCTCTGAATACATAAGGCACTGCTTTAACTCATTAAATAAATCTTTTTCTAAAAGGCTTTGGAGTGGACAGTAGACATTTGAAGGTATAATTAACAGAAATGTGATACTACCACATTCTTTCTTCATTTCCTAGTGCTTTAGGGAAACATTGCTACCATTAATGAAGCTGTAAAAATAATGCAGAATCTGCTTTGAGTATGGTGTACCACACATCTGTCCAATCCAGTTTGTCTACATATTGTAATTCCAATTCTTAAATGAGCTAGATCAGCGAGTTACTAGCTCCGCTGGACACAGCTTAACAGCTTCTCCCAGCTCTTCAGTTGCTACTTCACAGAAACATGCAAAATCTGCAGACGTCAGACCTCCAGGACCAGCAATGAACAGATCCAGGAGTGCTACTTTATTTGGGCCTTTGGGTGAATTTCTATAAAAGGTTTTAAAGTAACATTTAAATACATAATAATTTTCTGCTTGTGTGGAAGATCCCTGCATGTGGTAATATGGCTTAAAAAACTTTCATCGACCCCACTTAATACAGTTGCAAATGTAAGGTTCAAATCTAAAATGCATGGCACAGAATAATAAGCAATAATAAAAAAAATAATAAAAATAAAAATAAGCACTTACAACTCACCATCTACCAAGCACACTGTAAGGAAAACAACTGTAAGACAATGTCGCTATATACATAGAAATCCCAGGTGCATATCTCACATCTCACATTCCTTACAATTAACTTAATAAAATATCTGTAACATGTCAGTTTCTTACAAGCAAAGTCTTTGTGGTTGTCCCTTTGGCGACCTCAAGTGGTCTTACATGGCTATGACTCCAGTTCCCCTATGCATTCCATTAGCTGGATTTCCATATTTATAACTGTAGGAAAATTTCATGATCTCAGAACCCCTTCCTGTTTAATGACAGGTCAGATTGAGTTATTCAGAGCATCTTTTCTAATTGTACATTCAAAAAGAAAAAAAAAACAATGCAGTAGAATCACACTTATCCTCTGGGATATCAACAATAATAATTCATATATTGCCTTTCTTCTAGTTATAGTTATACACTCTAGTATTACTCTAGCCTAGTAATACACTCTCTACTGGAAAAGAAACTTGCCTGAGTTTTCCTTCACAGAGAAGAGCAGATGAAAAAGTATTGCACTGGTAATGAGAATCCAAAAATGGAAAATGGGAGACTGGGAGCAGCTGTCTTCATGACACATGAGTTATACACTTAGAAACATGATACCATTGCAAAAGTCCTCCTGCCATACAGAAAAGACCCTTCTTTATAAATCATATGCAGTATTAAGCTGTTAAGTGTACCAAAATAAGTTCTTATGAATTTGTGTAACAGTAACCAGGTTTATAAAGGAAGCATCATTTTAGGATTTTTATTTTGCTTGATTTTACTACTAGCATCAGGGTACAAATTCTTTGAAATTGGCTTAATTTCATTTTATTATGAAAACTGTTAAGTGATTTTTTAATACTTGCTGTTGTAGTCACAGTAAATAACTTTAGTTATTTTTACTTTTGTAGTCCCCTGACAAGTTCCTAACACTTATCTTAATTGTTGAAGTTTAACGATTGTAACGTATCCTACTGTATTTCTTGTCAAAACATCATAAATTAAGTTTTATTATCTTATTAAATGGCAGTAATAATGAAATATTTAAAAAAACTTGTGCTTATCCTTTTTTACAATATAACAAGTGTATAGCGAAACACAGTATCTATCTCATGTTTCATCCTTCTCAGATAATGTCTTTTTCATTTTAGATGAAAGAGTCATTTAAGGACCTGAAGAAGAAATTCAATAACTTGAAATTTAATTACATGAAGAAAAACGACAAATCAAGAAACTTAAAAGCAGTCCAAAACCAAATCCAACAGATTGAAATATATTTAGAGAAAATACAGGTAAAGCAAGATATCATCAGTAATGCTGAATTTGTTGCAGAAGCAGAATAATATTTTTGTCTTAGTAAATTAGATTGTGTTCTCAATTACTGTTATTTACTCTGTTGATTTGCTCGTTATCTCTATTGCTGTTAATGTCAGAAACTCACCAGGAACAATGCAAAGGAGAATATATATTTTGTATTAATGTATATTTATATTTACAGATCTTTTTCAAATTATACATTTTTTTTTGTTTTTGTTAATTTAGACACTGAAAAAGAAAGTACAAAACTTTTCATCAAAGGTTTCTACTAGTATAGAAAAACATCTCAGTGGAAGTGGTCCTAGAGAAATTGAGGAAGCAATAAATGAACTTCAGAAACAGGTGAATGATTTTGACAAGACAGTGGATGAATACAAGCAGAACCTTGATATGTCTGTGCGACTACAACAAGCTATGGAAGAGGTATGTAGTATGTTAAGCAAACAGTATCAAAGTCTTTTTCTTTCATGTCATGTGTAAATACTATATATAAGATGTTCAAAATATTCAACAGTAGCTCCAGTTTGTTAAATTCTATGAAGTATGTCTTATGCTGTATATTCTACATGCATATTTGTTCCTTGTATATTAAACATAGGGTTTCTCTGAGCAGTAACACTATTTTTCTCATATTGCCAATTCTAATTTTATCAAAGTAAAATACACATCTCAGAAGACAATAGACCACATTACTGGAATGACTAACTGACTTGAATAATTGATTTCATTCAATCCATTCTGATTACTGTCAAAAAAGGCATATGTAGTATAAATCCTCAAGATTTTTTTCTATTTCTCAGTCTTAACTACTTGACTCTAATTCCTGTGGCCTTTAGGAAAGGGGTCCTTAACTTCATCGAAGTTCCTCTATGCATACAGCTGTCTTTTGCCTGGGACATTCTAGAACCTCTTGATTGATCCTTCCAGTGTTCCAGCCTCTCTTTCCTAACTCTACTGATTGACGGGGAACTTCTGTTCCTGCTAAATCCCTTTTACAAAGCTGCAGCATTTATTTTTAGAGACTACCATTGTTCTTTCATTCCTTTGTGTCTAACAAGCATGCCTGGAATTTATTCTTCAAATGGCCACACAGGTTTTTTTTTCATATGGTTACTTCAGTATAGAAATGCAACATTTATTAAAAAGACGTAATTCAGTGATAATATTTCACCTTATATGTTTTCAGAGTTGCCGAGGTGTGGTCTGACCCCATATGTTAACCAATGCGTTAATGAACATGTACAATAGTTGTTTTTTTTAATCTTTTAATCTTTATAAAAGCTATAATTGTTTTAATGTAAAACTTTATTTTTAGTTATATCAATTTCGTTTCACAGCTTCCAGAAAGAAGAACAAATGACTGACAAATAAGCTCTTAATAAGTTAAGAGCATGTACACTCTCTGGTCCAAAATAAGTTTTTTAGATGATTTTATAGTGTTTCAGCTCACAAAACCTTCATTTGGACATACATTTGGCTAAACAGATTGTTTAAAAATGAATTCACTGAAACATTAAAGGTAGCCTTATTTTCCAGTCAAGCCATCAAGGGGTGAATTGATCCCTTATGTTAGAAATCTACTTCAGTTAGCCCCCTTCAGTTACTTCAATTAATTCAAACATTAAGATGTTCATATAAATGGGTTTAAAATTGATGCAAGCATACAGTGTATAGTTAACATACAGTGCATGTATTAAGGATAGTCCACTTTAAAATATATGTGACATGTAATCAATTTTTTTAATATAATCATTTTAATCAACTTTTTAAATAAAAATAGTTTCAGTTTTTAATTCATAAAGTATCAATGTATCAAGATGGAAATTACAGAATGTTTCCCCCTTTAAGAGTTCATTATTAATATCACCACTATCTGTGAGTGATGTGGACTTCTCAAGTATCCATATGCGTTAGAGAGGAAATTGCTTGATGATGATGAGCTTCAACAAAATTAGAAGCTACTCAGTAAATCAGGCTAAGGGACAATATTATTATTATTCAGCAATAACCTCTCTTAGATATATGGGCATTGAGACATTTAGAAAAAAATACAGAACTAAAAAACTACAAATGTACCCTTTTCTCCATTATATTAGCTTTTTTCTGTGCTTATTTTAGTATCAGTTTTGGTGTGATGAAGCAAGCGCCACCATTGTGCGTGTTGGGAAATATTCTTCTGAGTGCAAGACCAAAGAAGCAGTGGGGATCCTCTACAAGCAATTTGAAAAATTTGTCTGGCCTACTGTGCCTCAGCAAGAGGAAAGAATTAATCAAATCACTGAGCTGGCTGTAAGATTACATGGTGAGAAATAACCAAATATCAACTTATTGCCCTTACAGTACAGTACAGTACAATAGGCCTTAGTAGAGATTCAGCATGTGAATGTTTATATAAAAGCTTTTCTTAATTTTTTTTTTACATGTTCACCATGCTAATCCAATGTAAACTGTGATTTTTATGTATTTAAATAATGTATAATTAATTATATTAGTGTCAGCATTGTAGCTGAGCTCCTTCAGACTGTCCAGATTAATGAGTAAGTGGCCCTACTCCTGCCCTTCTTCAAGTGGAAAACTTAGCATAGCTAATTAACCTATCACTACAATACGATTCATCAAAAGATCCCTCAATCTTTTATAACTGTGAGAAAAATAGAGTACCTGAAGAAAACCCATGGCAACATGGGAATAATATGGAATTCGATGCCAGACTTCACTGCTTAAACAAGGGCGAAGTTGGGGTGGAGGGGTGGCACTGTGCCTAAAGGATCTGTGCCTGTTGAAGGTGCCAGTTCAAATCCCACGGCTGGCAGAGGAATCCTACTCCGTTGGGCCCCTGAGCAAGCCCCTAAACCCCAGCTGCTCCAGGGGCGCCGTATAAATGGGTGACCCTGCGCTCTGACCCCAAGATTCTCTCCCCCCGTCTGTGTGTCTCATGGAGAGCAAGCTGGGATATGCGAAAAGACAAATTCCTAATGCAAGAAATTGTATATGGCTAATAATCTTATCTCTTAAACAATATTTAGTAAACAGTATGACATTTAGGTATTTGGTTGTTCTCCTTTTCCCCAGTTGTATTACTAAAACAATACATATAATATTTTTCATGTGTATGAAAAATTGCCATGCAAGTATTTTAATTGTGATTTTTAATACACAGGTCCAGAAGAAGGAAAAAAGTTTATTGAGAAAACTGTCACTAAGCACAATGAAATTTTGGAATCTATAAAAGAATTATGTAACAGTTTAAGGGATCTTGAAGCCAAACTTCAGGTACTAAATCCAAAACAGTATCAAATGCATCATATGTGAACTCATAGATATTTAATAGTGAACCAACTAGCCAAATTAATTAAATATATTTTGTATTATGATTATATATTATAATAATTAAAGGAGAGCCACGTGTTATCAAAATCGGTTTGACAAAACTGAATATGGACAAGACTGGTTTTGTTTATATATACTAATCAACATACAGTATAGAATAAGTTTTATAAATCTTACATAATTTATTTATTTAAATAAATAAAAATGAAGCATATAGCAAAAGTAATTATTTTAAGAAAACTTATCTTTCCTGTATGGAAACTTCTTTTCAGGTTGAGATTTTAAGACAGCAATCTGACACAAATGATGCTAATAATCAAGAAACAACAAACAAATCTCTCTCCACAACAGGAAAAGCAGAATCCAGTTTTACAGATTCTACCGAAATGGTAAGATGAAACACAAGTATGGGCTCTTTTTAAATCACTCCTTTTAGTTTCTCATTATCTTATTTTGATTATGCAAATAATATTAACATTTTAATTAGGATAATTGTTTTCTGATTCTTTTGCTCTAAAACAATCATGCCATTCATGTTCTATGCTTTATACAGGTGAAACTAAACAAATGCCACAACAGGCCTGCTCTTTTTGAAAAGGATGATACTGAAAATGAACATGATTTTAGATTTGAAGATGCCATGTCAGTTCACAATTCAAATATACAAACTGAAGTAAGCAACAGAATGAGTCAAGAACTGTCCAATAACATCAGAGCTGATGACAAACCTTTTACTCAAGAGTTTTTTTCTGAAAGGAGCATGACTGAGGTGTCAGACAAATCCACACCTGTAAATGCTCTTTGTACACTGAAAAGGAAGGAGCGACTGCACACAACCTACTCCTGTGTGCAAACATTTAATCTCTCAAGCTCTCCTGTTGAAAGGGAGAGAAAGATAAATGTTCTGCATCAGACCGGAAATAGAGTTCAGACCACCCCATCGCCAGTTTGCCCTGCTGCTCATGACTCTTCAGACTTTGCACTCATGCAAAGTAAATTTCAGACAAAGGAAAATAAGGACCTTGATCACAGAAGTGAAGATCACAAACATCAGGCTTTTGTCTGTTTTCCAACATCATATATAGATATGCAGGTTTGTGCTTTTTTCTCTTAATTATGAGACGAGTATAGTCATTTCATAAACTGAATATATATATATATTAAGGTCCAAGTAGGTCTGCATTAACAGGGTTGAGTGTTCAAGCAATGCTATTTAGAAAAAAAGCTTACATTTTGATAAAGCATTATGTACATTCTATAGTATATATCTAGACATTTCATGTACATTCTGTATTTTATTTACTTATAGGTCAGGAAAATGGAAAATGTACTGCAAAGTGAGCTATCACATTCAAAGGAAGATGATTTTTTTTGCCAGGATGCAACTGATTTGTTTCCTCTCACTGCTGAGGGGAGCATGCTTGAAGAGGGAGACGTACAGAATGAAACCCTCACAGAGGAGTCCCTGTCCATCGATGAATATGAGTGCACATCACCTGATGATATTTCCTTACCCCCTCTCTCTGAGACACCTGAATCCAACATCATCCACTCTGAAACAGATCTTGATGATGGCTTTTGCCTCAGTTCTCACAGCTTGCATGTCAGTCTGTGCAGCCAGCAACCACATGCACACTCACAACTTGGCAATAACACATTGAGTAATAGTTCTGATTACTTAGCACCTGCTGCTCCTGGTGACGCTATAAACCACCGGCAAGAATGGTCTTCTGGTCAATCTGAAAGCTACCCTTCTCCCACTGTGGGGCTGAATCCTAAATTTAGGTCTGAGTCCTCTTCTTTTGTTCGAAGCCCCTTGACAGTGTCTGCTCCCAGCATTGTCTCCAGCACACTTTCTAGCATATTGAAAAACAAACCTGCCCATGACTTGGTCAGTGGGACAGTAAGTGAATGTCAAGAAACCCTTTATGCTGTGCATGAGAGTTTTACAGAGATGCAAGAATGTTTGCATGATGCCAAGCCATGCATGGGAAACTCTAGTAGAATGCATGCTTCACCTTCCCCAGTTACAACGGATCTCCTGAACCATAAATCAGATCACGACCCAGGTCTATGCAAGCCGACATCCATTCGAGAAGAGATCAGGCTTACATCGGGGAACAGAGCCATGAGCAGCTTAGCTGGCCAGGGCCCTAACTTCTCCAAACTGTTGTCTAATGCTACAGTAATGGAAGGCTCTCCTGTGACCTTGGAAGTAGAAGTAACTGGATTTCCAGAGCCTACTTTAACCTGGTGGGTAGCCTACAATAAAACAGAGTAAATCACCATAAACGTTTAAGCAGTGAGTTAATCTCTTAAAGTTTTGCTTTCCAAGTTAAGAAAGTTTAGATAGCATGAATAAATGACACCATTAATAAGTTAATGGAACAGGTTCCTTTGGAAGCAAATGAATGTTTCCCCTCTATAATCAAAGATGATATATTGTTGAATTCAGCTTAGATTTAAAATGGAAAATAGCAGAATCATGCAGAAAAGTTGCAGCGTTCTTTAAGATACGTGGTGTATTGTATTGATTTTACTGATTATATTAGACCTTGAGTAGTTTATTCATTTATTAATTCAGATTATTTTTTTGAAATGCAAAAGATGAAAAGATAAAACAATAAAAGATACACACAGTGAAAATAAAATTTTAAAAAAACAAAGGATAAGATGCATGAAAATGTTTATGAAAAAAATAACCTTATGGCCAAACCTTCAGTCCTTTAAATTTGATTTGTTCCAATTTTTTCAGTATGTGCTACATTTTATTTTCTTTTTTGTTTAACACGATGAACTAACACAATGTTTTTTTAACATTGATTCCTAATTTGATTACGAGCCTGTTTTTGTTATTATTCTTACATTGACTGAAATAATTAGCAATTACAACTTGTTCTTATATTATTTTATTTCTGCTGAGTATGTCTAAGAATGCTGTTGACCTTTTTAATAGGATTTTCATTTATTTGTTATTTGATTCATTAATTTGTGTGACTTGAAAATTCACTTTTTGCTTTAGGTACAGGAATGGACAGAAACTGACCAATGATGAACACACAGAACTTTCACAAAAAGAAGGCAAACACAGTTTGTTCATTCAGAAGGTCACTGATAACGATGCTGGCCTCTATGTTGTTCGGGCCACAAACTCTAGCAGTACTCTTTCTTCTAGTGCAATCCTGCAAGTTAAAGGTAACTGGCAAATGTATTTCACACACACTGTTAGACTGGACTGGTTCACATGTTTTGCCACTCTTTGTGTTGTTCTGTGGTTATTGTATTTAATGTTAACATAGTTCATGTCTATGAGCTCACTTCACCACTGAATGTGTGCTGTTTCTAATCCTGGATATGGATCTTTCCTTTAAATACAGTTGCACTATGCACCCAGTAACTGTTACATTAAATTTGTAGAAGTGTGTTATAATTTAATTTTTATGATATTACTGTGCAATGTTGAAATATAACCAATAATGTGTTAAGTTTACCTTTACACTTTTCACAGTATTACTAACTTTATACTGTTTATCTCCTGTGCCTTTGTAGAAAGAAATGACTATGAATGCTTAGCTCTTTAATTACGCAGCTTAGACTGGAAAACAACATGTAATGTGCAACAAAACATTTTTTAAGAATCCCAAGACTATAATACTTTATGTCAAACGTGTCAGCTCATCTGAAAAAATATTGCTTATAGAATGTACAGTAACAGTGATGCCAGTAAAACTGCATGATTGGGGTACAAGAGAAAAACCAATTTCAAATTATGTTGAGAATCCTCAACAGTTACAGGAAGAGAACGTTCTGAGATTTATATAAAACTGAGTCAGATTTTGAAGCCTTATTTTGCAAAGGAAACCAATGAATGTTGACAGGATGAGAGGGCACAGTTATGCTTTTGTAAATGCTGTAACTCCCAGTTACTGTGCATCAACACTCCATTTCCAACCAATTTGTCTTGGTGAATGTTATAGCTTGCAATTGGACAGAATTATGAAATCAGCAAAGCAACCAGAATGAAATACATTAGCTTTTACTGTAATTTTTCTAATAGGGAGGAAAAATCTTTTAGTGAAGATATTATGAAAGTGATATTTGTAATTTTGATTTTTTTACTAACCTTGTCTAGCTTGCCATTTTTTATTCTGATACTGGCATTGAAATGAAAAAAAAAAATATGTTGCCTAAGCACTATACCAAATTGTACTTAAATCTCAGGACATGCATGGTAAATGTTTATATTAACACATTTTTAAAATGTGTATCTGACATCCTTTTAATTTCAGAATGAAGATAGTAGAGGTGACAAATAAAGAAATCTTACTTGTATGTTTTAAATTATTAAGAATACTTTATATAGAGGAGTTTGTTTCCTTGTGTGCAATATAGTAAACTTATTAGGTAAATTGTTTAATTTCAGCTTTATTATAATGAATTGGTTCAATGAAAATGGAATTTTTCCAGCATGGATTGATATCTAAATTTACCACATAGAATTATATTTAGTATTATAATCAACAGGATTGTATTGATATGCCATTTTCTTTAAGGGTTAAATAGCTTTCATGGACAGGTTTTCAAGTAGTCTACCTATTGCTTAGCACCTGTTTTTGGTCAATCTACTATTTATTTGTAACACATTTGTATATTTAGTGCTTAAATGTCATGGTACTCTGAACCACGAAAGCCTCCAGCAGCTATTCGACCAAAATAGCTTTCAATCACTGATGGCTTACACTGAGAGTGAATGTGATGACCTACATAAACCTAGATTAAAGATTTCAGATAGCACACTTATTTAACACAGCATGTTTGTAGAGAAAACTTATGCTGTTAATAGCCAAAAGAGATGCATAAAATGCTGTTTCACTGTCACTTATATATTTTATTAATGGTTTCAGTTCATATAAACCTTACTTTTTTTTACTTAATTGAGGTAACAAAAGCTTTTCACTAAAATAATATGCTTGTGCACTTCTGTTGTCTGTTTTTTTCAGTTGGATACATTTTCATGTAATAACATTATTCAGTCAATTAAAATGAAGTAAATTGCTAAACAGTTCCATTTCTTGAACACTTATCACCGATTGTACAGTATGTGTTGTCTGCTCCTGTATTATAGCTTTGGAGTGATATGTATATTTGGTTGATGCAGTGTCCACAGTTTGATTTCTTTATGCTAATGTGTAATTTGATTAACTGTTGTATATTCCCTGTGCAGCAGAGATGTATCCTTAGATTCCTCTTTGCAAGGTTGTTTCCTTTACTTTCAGTAGTTTAAAAGGAAAGTGACGGACACGTTTAATTGAACTACATTCCTCCATCTGGGGAACTGGAGTACTTCTAAAGAAGCAATCATGAACATCTACTTTTTTGCCGAAGTGAGAAATATGTTATTGGCTCAGGTTTAAGACTAGAAAACAGTCCAGTGGTGAACAATAGCACAATGATGAATCTGGCTTTAAGCTATTCTTTAGATTGCATGACAGAAAGGGGAAATACTGAAGCTGTGTATCACAATCGCATAATTCTATAATCAGGAGGGTGGGAAGAAATAAAGTTGTATTTGAAAGTAAGGCTTTGTGTTGTGAATCTAGCGCTGTGAATTGTGAATTCCACGGCCTCAAATGTTTTATCATACACTTTTCTGTAAAAAAAAATTATCTAATTCAAAATAATAATTCTTAAATTACTGTAATTCCTGTGAAGGGATCACAATCACATAGGCTATGCTTCACACGATTTGTATTTAAAAACTGCCAGATTGGAAATATGAGTGTGTATGAACAACTTTAGAGATGATTATGTGTGACAGGTTCACAACTTAACCAGTCACCCTTGTGATTATCTGCCATTAACCATGCCTGTGCATTAACCACAAAATAGCAAAAAAGGAGACTTTGGGAGACTTTGAAAACAGTGAATATGCCTATAAAATTATAAATCTCAACATATTGACATCAAGTAGGAATCAATTCACTAAAAATCATTTTTTTAGCTTAGTGTGAATAAGAAGTTGAGGCTGGTTTTCATACAAAAAATGATACAGTTTTGTGAACTGAACTGTGCTGAGATATTCTGTATCACATGAAGGTCTCAGAGAAATAGAAAATGAAACATAAAAACTTTATTTCCTTCAAAAAACAAGTATTCAGAAACATTCTGGAACCTAACCGAAAATTAATTAATTTTTTAATTAGGTGTTAGAAGTTTTCTCCTTGATGATTATTGCCTTTATAAAACAACAATGTGTAAAAAACACTTTGTCTCACACAATTTGAACTCCCTAGAAATAGCTTTTTTGTTACATTTTTATTTGAATACACTGACAAGCCATTATAAAAAAAACACTCTTTGAGAAAAAGAAGAGTTAAAACATACCCATACATTGCTGTATTGAATAAAACTGTTTTAAATTGAAAAAAGAGGAAAAAACATACCAGTATTTGCACTTCACACATGCTTCAGTGGCAGAACTCTGAAAGATAAGGTAAGTTAATTTCAGATATCCTTGAATCCATGCCTCTGAAAGAATTGTATTCCTTCTGCACTGCTCAATTTTTCAAAAAGGACCCTACAATTGATTGTAGTTTTGATTTTGAATCTGTTTAAGCCTCCTCAGAATAGTTTGAACTAGTTTTAATTACTAACCTATGCTTGGGACTGATTTTAGTAATAATCACATCTAATTTTAATAATCATCACTATTAAAGGTAGTTTAATACTAAGTTTTATTATTTAGCAAGTAGAAAAATTTCTTAAGTGTTTTTTTTTCAGTTTCTCAGATCATATAATATTTTCTTTCCTTCATATGAAGTTCTGAAGTCACTTTCTAGATTCTTCAGTTGCTTCTCAGACTGATACTTTGTAAATATTCTAATGAAGTATTCATATTTACTTTCCTTCCAAGCTGACATCAACCTCAGCTGTTCTGGAGTTGTCACACTGGTCTTTTTTACAGACCTTCTCAGGTGACAGTGCTGTCTTTCTTCACCATGAAGACCTTGGTGAATGAGAATGGTCTTCTCATTCATTGGAGAATGCAAGCAACTTGGGTTGCTTAAATGTTTTAAATTATCCTTTATAATAGAGAACAGCATCTGGATTTGGGTATTATTTGCAATTTGAAATGCATGGCATATTTATCACTATGCTTATTTTTATTAAAATAACAGTAAATGAGTTTGTTTTAGTAAAACAGTACTTTGTAAAAGCATTACGTCTTACTAAGACTACTATTACATTTAAAGAAACAATATATAATATTCTCCTACAGTATCCATTGTCAACATGCAGAATACAGATTTCAATGGGACTGACTTACTGTGCTATTATCAAGTAAAGAGTGGAGCAGTGGTTAGCATTGCTGCATTAGAGATCCAAAGTCCTTGCTTATGGCACCAGTGTGTATGGAGTTTATTGGATGCTCCAGTTTTCAAACACCTCCCAGAGACATACTAGATTTGACTGGGTGCTGTAAATTATTCTCGCCTGAAGGATAGATCCCTGTGAGTCCAGGCAACTCTTGCCATTAATTGTCTGTGTGAGAAGCGGTTATGCCTGTGCCTACAGCTGATCAAATATGGTATAAAACACCATAACAATAAATTCACACACACACACACACACACATTATAAAGAATACTTTTCAGGGCTAATGTGTTGTTTAAGAGAAAGTCGTTATGGAAATTACAGGAAAGCAAACAAAAAGTAGCTGTTCTAATGCTAGGAAGCAGGACTGGCTAAACCAGACTTTTGGAAACACGTTTATGTAAACACGGAAACACGTTTATAATCTCAGTGGTGAAACTATTACTATTTTTTGTCATCTATTTTTTAAATCAGTAATTTGGATTGCCAGTTATTAATAAACTTAACACTACACCACTACACAAAATACTGTGGAAGTTTAGAACATCATACCTAAACATGTCAGGGTGTCACCTTCAACAGTTTCTTTCAAGTTGCGGGAAGCTGAGCTCCACAGTCAATCTAGATTAACCAAATGGCCTCCTTAATTTCTTACCAGCAAAGGACACAGGAGGACCATGCACTCTTTCCTCTGCAATGTGCACTGTGAGAGACATTCTTTCCTTGTAGCACTGTGAGTGAGACCCATAATTGGCATTAAAACTTAGAAGAGTAAAGCTCACTGAAAACACTCTAGGATCCCCAAAACTGAGGTTGTTTTTTGGATGGTACAGTATATGGCTCAAGTACACCCAATCACTCAGTACTGCTTCAGGAAGTCTAGGTTAAACCTGAGTAATGACATAGTTCTGATTTGACCCCAGGAAGTTTGGTTTGTAGGACTTTAAATCTCTACTACGAATTACTAAGTAGCACCTCTTTTTAGGTTGAATCACTCATGATTCCCATAAGTTGTTATTTTAAAATAAAGTATTTTGCCATCTTAGTGCATACAAATCTGGTTGAAACTCCTAAGCACCAGTATATACAGAAAATATAATTAATTTAATTAATATTAATTATAATATAGTATATAACTATTAATTAATTACACCAATATTAAAATAATATATTATATATACTTTCATTTTCACATGAATGTTCTCTTAAGTTTAGTTATAATGTAGTTAAAATTCAAAAAGTGGTGAGTATTTGTATTCAAGGGGAATTAAAGTAACATCTTGAGAGTTTGTTTTTGTTTTACAGGGCATTATAGACAGAATTTGGGTATAAGCTCAAAATACAACAATTATTGATGATGTTTTTATAACCTTTTATAGCTTTATTCAAAGATATTAGCTTATTTTCTCCCAATAAATGATGTTTAACAAGATTGTTACTCATGATGGCAGCAATGCATGTTGATCACCTCATATGGAGATGCTGATGTATTTTACAAAGATAGGATTTAGACTCTAGGAAATGTAAAATGCTTTAATGCCAATTTTTTAGCTATTTGATTCATTTACAATATTATGTTCTCCCCAGTTTTAGGAGAATCCCCCAAGTTCTTATCTAAAATTGAAGATAAGATTTTATTTGTTGGCGAAGATCTCTTTCTTGAGTGCACTGTATCAGGAAGACCCAGACCTTCTGTCGTGTGGTTAAAAGATCATATGATTGTGGCTTCTGGAGAAAGTAGAGTAAGTTATCCAATTATTAGTTCTTGTAAAAAAAGAGAAGCTTTCTAGCATTATTTGAAAAATACAATAGAATGGAATATATTCAACATTTTCTCATGGATTTTATTGACACCTTTTTAACACAGGTTCAGCTTCAAAGGGAGACCCATGTCCTGTTAAAGAAAGGAATTGTTCTTTCAGATTCTGGAAAATATTTATGTGTTGCAAAAAATGAAGTTGGGGAAGCTTGTTGTTCAGCATGTGTGGTTGTCAGAGGTAAATTATTAATTTTACCTATTTAAATTACCTTTATACATAAGAATTTTAAAAGTGCTGGAAAAGAATGTATTTAAAACATTTTTGTATTTTTACTGTGGCATAGTATTTCAACAGTAATAAATGATGAAAGCCATTTTATTTTATTTCCAGTATTTTTACATGAATTGCATGAAGACCACTAAAAATAAATCTTAGTTGAATACAATTGGCAAAGGAGATTTGTGAAACAAAAGCTATTTATATACATACTGTAGTGCCAGTGTGATTCACTTTTGTGCAGCCTAAACAGTACTTTAAAAATAAATTATGAAAACATTTTAGTATCATTAATGATTTTAAGAACAATTAATGCAAATTAACAATTGATCATAAAATACAATTATTTTAGGACAATTTATACATAAAATGTATTTTAAGTATGCAAATGCCACTATGTGAATTTTAATTAGACAGTATTAGGAATTACAGAGAGATTCACAACATGTAACCCTACACATGAGAATTGTTTTATTATGGTGTCACATACATCTAAATGAATTAAGATGTTTGCTTAGTTAACACCAAGGCCAAAATATTTTGTATGTAGACTGCAAATTCAAATATTTTTTTCATTTCCATGATTGCTTTTTGAAATATTTTAGAATACAACAAAGGATCTGAGAAGTCCTGTGCTCTTAATTCCAAAGCTGAAGGCCTTGAAGGAAAGAAGAAACATTCGCTTTTAGATGTGCACACTAAAGAAGCATGTGAGCCTCGAGATCAAATGTCTGTAGATGGAAAACAGACTTTTAAGTAAGCAGGAACTGCATTGCATTTGAGGTTTATATTACCTAGTTATGTTATCATTTAAAAAGTAAACCCTGAAAAACATATTATCCATGAACTGACACACTCAGTAAGAAATATGTGTATAATACATAGGGGAGGTTTAGTGAGGTGAGGAAAACATAACCTCTTCAGAAATATAGGATTTATCAGAATGGATTTTTGTTTTGTTAAATCACGTGAAATATGCATCTCTTCTTTAATAAACTTCAATTCTTCATTATTATGTCCACTCCAATGTTTTCTTTTAACTGGTTTTCATTTTTCAAAACACACAAACACATCACAAAGACATTCATCATCTCATGATACTTTAAATCATTACTTTATGAATAGGTATGTTGATATGTTTTTAATATTTTGTAACATTATGTAGATCACAATACATCTCTTGTAAAATAAAATATTAGATATGTTATTAAAGACTTGTATTTCTCCATGCAATGGTTTATTTGTAATATTAAATCGTATTAGCTGATCTAAACTGATGTATTGTTTCCCAAATGAAATATTTGAAGATGTTCCTTTATCAAAGAAAAACATTCCCCACTTAGCTTTCCTGTCTCAATATGTCTGACAGAAGCAGAAATATTCCTCGATGAAGACTACACTTTACTATAATGCCAAAAAGGAGAGCATGTAAAGACCATACTTTGTTGGTTTACAACATTTTTTGTAGCGACTATATTGCATTTAAGTAGAAATAGGCAAAATGGAAGTGTCCATTTGGTTTGGTGATTGGCAGATGCAGTTGTCAGATCCCTGCTTAGTCAAAGAGTTAGTGTTAGGTCTGAGTGACAGCAACAGACACCCTGTCTCTTTTTGACCATGTATCGGTTAATTATCAAACTTCTTGCTTTGCTATTATTTCACTGACATTAAAAACGAGTTATGTGGACAACAATTTGACAACAGCAAAGCAGACGTTTTTTGGGACTGAGCAGGACCATATATTTTTAACATTCTAAATTATCCTTCACAAGAGAGGGTTGCCCAGACAAATTTAGCACCTCCTGCATAACATGAAGTGACTGACAGGTGGGATGTTGCATAAAAAGGTTCCATAAGGCCCATGATGCTTTGAGGTGTTAGCCAATCAGATGTGCCTATGCAATGATGATGCTGTCTTGTCAGTGGAACAGGGGTATATAAACTAAAACAACTATGTTAGCACTTCTGAGCAGTTTGAGCATTCCCAGCCTTGCCTCGGGTGTAGGGATTGCAGGGGAAAAGCAAAACTACACTGCTACAACTGTGTAGTTTTGTTTTCTGAGGCTCAACCGTTCTCACATTGGATTTGCTGAAAATATTTCTGGATAAGGAAATTGTTTCTGAAGATTTAAAACTTCTGGGCACAGTCCCAACCTTTCTAGGCACTCTTGTGAACACAAGTAAGTAACTTTCTCTAAATAATTTGGCTAAATTGTATGTGCAATATTACTGTTTTATTTTATGTAGTTATTTTTATGGGTACCGAAATTAATTATAAAAAAACAAATACTTTGTGAAAAACTATCTTCATCTGAATGTTATAGTACGCTTACAATATGTAGAGGACAGCTATAAGTTTTAAGCATTGTATTTAAAATTCAAACTGTTAAACTGGAGACAGTAATAATGGGGATATTTGGCACTTTATATCTTTCAAGGTTACTATACTGTCAGGCAATTTGAGAAAACCCCAGAATAGCTCTGATAACATTACTGTGGTATATCAGCTAGGCTGCTATGTCTTTTTAAGGGAATCAGCAGCTGAGCTATCAGTTGCACCTTCAGCTATGTGCCACATGTCCACTGTCAATCAAACTGGAACATGCTATTTTTAGAAACAGACATTTCTGTCACATAGCTTTTTTAGTCCTGGCAACAGGCACTCTTATCAACTTAGGAACAATTTTTATTGCTCAGTTTTCTTTTTGAAAAAAATGAACAAATTGCCTCAGAAACATTCTCAATTTAGTTTTTCAATTCAACTTCCAATTTAGAAAGACATTTTTTTTTTAAATAACACAAAGTTATTTTTGGCTTTGATATCAATGTGTATAAAGGAATTTGGTTTTCACTTTCATATTATAATTTACTCCTTTATGTTTTCACTTCTTTAACATAAATTTTGAAGTATATAATGTTTAATTAGCTATGGCTTTTGGTTTTCGCTACTTTATTTATGTACAGTTTATATGACCTGTATTCATAAATCATAATTTCATGCTTTTTGATTACCATGTAGATTGTATGATATTTTTCAGGATGAATGGCTGATTTTGTTGAGGTTATACAAGGGTTAAGCAATCAGTATAAATTACTTGTGTTTAATGTTTGTTAAAGTTGCTTACCAGGTCTTAGAGATCTTCAACAAAAAAGGCATTTTATAAAATGCATTAGGTTGTAGGTCAGCATATTTTAAAGTACTAAACTCCAAATAAGAGAAACTTGAAGTAATGTTTAAAGATAAATATGCCACCTTTTATCAGGGAACATGTTTTCATTTCACATGCAAATTAAAAAGAAGACTAAATCTAAAAGCTGTTATTTGTTTTTTACTTAAATTGCAGGGTAAATTAGGTAAAATATTTCCACAAGCTAAATAGAATTCTATAAAGCTTGAACCTCATGATATTACAGTGGTCACATATATTATTGGGGTACTAATACCCTATAAATTATTTCCATAAGTAACTGTTTTCAGCCTTTTTCTACAAGAAATATCCATCAAATAAAAAAAAAGTTTGTGTTTTTGCCATTATACTTTATAACACGTACAAATTAATGTTTTAATATATCATAAATATGACAGATTTCTTAAACATATAAAAGACTTAGCATGTAAGCACATCCACATTATTCCAAATATTTCTTAAAACATTAAATCAAGACATTTTAATCAATTGAAAATTGAACTTAAAATTTGAAACTTGATTTTAAATTTCATGTTTTCCGTCTGTCCTTTTATTTCTTTAACATAGTGCGTATGAAATGTAAGCCTGTTGTGGGTCTTGGGAAAAGGGCCACATGACTCTCATGCCCAATACACAGTTGTTCCATCCATCAGTAAACTGACAGTTGCTCCTGGACCTGTATGTTTATTCAGCCATTGAGACAACCTGGAGCCAAGGGGTGACTTGCAAGTGAATGGCAGGTGTTTGAGAGGGGGATGCCTCTGTAAATAGCTGACACCTCTGTTTTTTAGATCATTACTTGTTTATAAACTAGCTGCTAAAATATATTTTTTAAAATATTTGTTTGGGATCCTAGCATATATGAACAACAAATGGAGAGACTGTGTGAAAGCATTTGGCATGATTAAAATTAAATGTCATTTATTGAAGGGATTTGCAACCCTGGTCCTGGAAAGATCCAATTTAATAAGTTACCCTAAATTATTTATTTCTAAAGATAGGTTGCTGATTAAGCAAGTAATTGATTCACCTAAGGGACCTTAAAATTACTTCTTTTAACAAACCACCTGTAATGGATAACTAGTCATTTTTTTCTAAATCTTTAAAAATTGGTGATGTTTTTAGACAATTTCATATGGGAAATCTGTAAAAACTGTTGGTTTGGGGATCACCAAGAGCAGGGATGACAATGCCTGAATTATTGGCTAAATTATTTATTAAATCATTTAAATCAAGACTATTTTATTCAATCAGTCATTTACAATTTTGAGCTGCTATATGAGGATATTTGTTAACTCATCATGTACAAATATCAAGTACTATAAGCAAGTGGCCATAAACTCTCAAACATTAGCAGTGCTCAAATTACATACTTTTGAAAGTAATGTCTTGTTTTTGTTTTGTTCTCTAGGGTGCCTAAAGCCATGTCGACACAAGCACCAACGTTTATACAACCGCTGCAAAGCGTTGTAGCACTTGAGGGTAGTGCTGCAACGTTTGAGGCTCAAATTAGTGGTAAGGAAGCCTTTCTTTTTATGTCTTCTTGAGAATCTCACAATTCAGCTCCATTGTCCCCTCTGGTCGTGTGGCTTGTAGCACACTTACAGCTTGTTTTGATATCAATGGCAGTGATGATCTGAACATTTCTAAAAATCTCCTTCAGATCGTATTTTGATTTTTACCAGGGAAGCAGTTAGCTTCATACATTTTATTCATCCCCAAAGGTACTCCAGTTCCTGAGGTGAGCTGGTTTCGTGATGGCCAGGTTCTTTCCACTGCCGCTCTGCCCGGCATACAGATCTCGTTCAGCGATGGCCGCGCTCGACTGACGATCCCTGCCGTGACAGCTGCGCACAGTGGAAGATTTTCCGTGCGAGCCACCAATGGTGCTGGACAAGCCACTAGCACAGCCGAATTACTTGTGACAGGTAAAGAGCAGATAAGAATGGAGTGAACCGCTATTGTGTGATGTATGATGTGCTAGTCACTTAGACACTAGGCTTGGCATCTTTTCAGACCAACTTAAAATACATTTATAATCATTTTAACTAGGGTCTTGTTAAAATATTTACCTTAGATTCCACATTAATTCGATAATCCTCATAGTATTCAATTATTTTTTCAAATTATAGAATATAGAATTGAAACATTTGAGTCTTGTTGAGAATAGAATTTCTATATTGACATATAGTGCTTCATATCAAAAATGGTTGTTGATTAAAGTCATCCAATATCAACTATTAAGCACAATGAGGCTTAATGGCATGTCAGATTATTCCTTGAGACGTTCCATCCATTTTATCCAATTCAGGAACGTGAGGGAGCCGGAAGCTATCCCAACAAGCAATGGGCACAAGGCAGGGTACACTCTTGGGACACCCATGGGATATCAGTCCATTACAGGGCAGACTCAAACACAGACACACAAGCTCACACTAGGGTCAATTTTCCCAGAAGCCATCTAACATACCAGTATGTTTTTGAACCGTGGAAGGAAACTGGAGCACCCAGAGGAAACCCACATGAACATGAGGAGAACATAAAAAATTCCACGTAGTTAGCATCCCAGGTCCAGAATTGAACCTAGGACCCCAGGTGCTGGAAGGCAGCAATGCTAACCACTGTGCCATCATGCTGCCCACCTTGATAACTTGAAAATATTATTTTATGTGTTTAAAAAACAATGGAACTGCTTTTTAATATTTGATGGAAGGCAAAATTCAAGTTAGAGAGAGGTGATTAAAACATTATAGGTTAATGCATATATTTAAGTAAATTAATTGAAATGATATTAACAGGTTGCTTTCATTACTTTTCTGTTGTAGCCGAAACAGCGCCCCCCAACTTTATTCAGAGACTACAGAGCATGACTGTGAGACAAGGAAGCCAAGTGAGACTGGATGTTCGTGTAACAGGAATCCCTACACCTGTGGTAAAGTTCTACAGGGAGGGAGCAGAGATCCAGAGCTCCCCTGATTTCCAGATTGTACAAGAAGGAGACCTTTACAGTTTATTGATTGCAGAAGCCTTCCCAGAAGATTCTGGAACCTACTCCGTTACTGCCTCCAATAGCAGCGGACGTGCTACTTCTACAGCCGAACTATTGGTTCAAGGTACACATTTTGATAATTCGTGTTGCTCTTTGTAGTTTTTCAACAGACATAATTACACTTTCTAAAAAGACAGATTAAGTCTTTTTATTTAAAAAAAATTAAAAATGTTTTGAGAAAGTGTTAAAGAAAATGGTTTCATTTAAAAATTACATGCAGGTTTTAATATTTTGAAAATTGCAGTGGAAAACTACAGATGTCGTCTACTTTGACAGGATATTGTATTAATTACATGTCCAATAATATTATTCCATTTCATTTAAAGGTGAAGAGGAAGCAGTACCTGCTAAAAAGACAAAGACAATTGTATCAACTGCTCAGATTTCTCAGACTCGACAGGCAAGAATTGAGAAGGTATGTGATTTTCACCTCTTGGATGCAGTTTCTCTATACAGTTTATTATGTGGTAGATTAATGATGTGATGTTACCTTGCCTCTCTTACAGAGAATAGAAACTCATTTAGAGACTAAAGCAGAAGCAGCAATGGAAATGGTTGTGGATGGAACCATGGTAATACAGCAACTGCCTCACAAGACTCCCCCTCGTGTGCCACCTAAACCAACTTCAAAATCTCCAACTCCACCATCTGCAGCTGCCAAAGTTGCAGGAGCACGCCACCAGTCGCCTTCCCCTGTTAGGCATGTGAAAGCCCCTGCTCCATCTCCTGTCAGGTAAACAGATTCAGTCTAATGCATATGGTTTTTTTTCTGGGGTATTACCTCTTAATAGGTTCATGCATACTTCACCAGTTTTGCTCTTTAACTGCTGTCTGGTTTCCCAAAATGTAATTGATTATTCAGTGGTATTGACAAGATGGCAATTTATATATGTTATACCTAAAGAGCACTACAAAGGAGATTAATATATTAATATATACAGTTATGGCTGAAAGGTGAATGGAAAAATAAAGGATGTTAATGTAGGTATCCATCTTGTATTTCAAGTAAATACAATTTACAAGAATCATGTTATCTATGAAATTACGTTATCTGTGAAATATATCTGAGGGAAACAACTTGTGAAACAATAAAAAAATCCATATTTCCTGAATAATTTCCTTGAACAATAGTGCACTCTACAGGGTTTGTCTTTCAGCACAAAGCTGTGTTGCCCATTTGAGGACTGATTTCAATTAATCAGTAGTTTTAAATATTTGCAAAACCTAAGGGGTATTCCTTTGTGTCCTAGACTGTGAATAGTAGTTTGCTGTTTTTCTATATACTTTTAACAATTTGTTTTATTTTAATTCTTCAAAGATCTGTATCTCCTTCGGGAAGACTCTCTACTTCTCCAATTAGACCTGTAAAATCCCCACTGCTGACTCGCAAAACCACAACCACAGTTGTTGCTGCTGACATTCGCCCTCCCTGGAAACAGGAGGACTATTTAACTGGGACTGAGACCAGATTCCGAGAAACCAGAGTGACTACTGGTGCTACCCAAATTCACATTGAAAAACAATGGGAAGGAATGTATGGAGTAGAGCAGCAAGTTTCTGGTGCTGTCAGAATTGCCACCAAAGAGGTAAAGTACTAAATTACTAGATTCTTGATTTGTTCATCCTTGTGTATTGCCAGCATGAGTATGAAAACATTTAAAGTTGAATAGACATCAAAATACCCAATTGTTATGTGTCTGTATGGCTTCTGTTTGGATATTGACACAAGGTCTGCATTACGTGGTTTGAGCTTTGCATCTCTCTTAATACAGTGTAAGAAAATGTTTACAACGTCTCTAAATATCCATCAGTGCAAGCTCATCTTTGTCAAAAGGGGGCACGACAATGCCTTGTTTATGAAGAATGTGCCATGCAAATGAAAAACGTTTTCTAATCCCACTAATTTATAATAGGATCAGCATGAGAGTGAAAAAACAACTGCAGTAGCTATGGTGGTAGCTGCTGTGGACCAGGCCCGGGGCCGAGAACCTTCAAGTTCTGTAGAACGGACAAGTACAGAAACAAGTCTGACTTCTATGCATTTACAGCCAGTGAAGGTACAGGTAGTTCAAATAAAAAATCCATTATCATCTGGTCACTCATTTCACACAGCCATTTATTTATTTTTTTTCACTTCACACTGTGCACCTCTTCCTCCAAAACAATTCCCTAACAATTTTTTCAACCATTCCACATCCTTATTTCCCCCATTTTCATCCTTTTTTAACTTTTATATTCATTCAGCATTTATTCTAATTTCTTCACCTTATATTTGCTATTTAAATATGCTATTTAATTCTTTATTCATTTTTTTAAATACATATAGACCAGACATGAGGCAGATAAAGAAATATCTGTAGCCACTGTGGTTCATGGCATCAGCCAAGAAGCAGCCAAATTAAAATCCACTGTTGAAGATGCTGCTACGGAAATAGAACTGAAAGTCCAAATGCAAGACCAGGTATAATGTCTTCTGAAGAATGTTATTTAATTCCAGATTTCTATTTTGCAGTTCATTTAGAATCACTCTGCATTTTTCCTACCAATGACTTCATCCCATGGAATTTGTTATTGAGGATTTCAGATGTGTTAATGTTATGCATCTCTAACAGCTACATTTAAAGATATAAGCATTGATAGTTTCATTCTCTAACAATGATACTCACTTCTTTATTAAATGTATAAATGTTGTTAAGTCATACTTTTTTAACAACACAATAGCTTTCAGATTTATTCAACATCCATTTATACAAGAAAATGGTTGTTTAAGTTTAAGGGGTCAGTTGAGCGATATGAATAATGATTTTTTATTTTAACTCCATAGTCCTATAGATTTAGATTTAGTCTTTTAAATGCTCAATAAATTTAGAAAACTTTCTATTGTCAAACAACTATAGCTTAGTCAGACATATGTATTACAATTAACAAATTAGTCACTAACATTGTTGGGGATTAAGACTGATGAATGTAGTTTCATTTGTAAATCAATCCAACTAGCTTGAAGTGAAGAGTCCCTGTTGTAAAAAGACATTCATTTCTGTGTAATTTTCTAATTTAGGTATTCAACATATCACTATAATTATCTGGCAATACAAGATGATTAGTCTTCAGACACAATTCATCTTGAAGACCTAGAACAATGTTGTAAAACAATCTGTAAATAATATTAAAAAGCAATAATTATAAACAGTGAAATATCAAGTTAGGTTCTTTAATGTTCTTGTATACAGAATATTCTATTCGTTTTAGTGACAGATTTATTTCATTATTAATTCAAGTATGTTTTTAAGGCATTTGATTTTATTTTGCCTTGCTAAGCTGCACAATGAGATTGAAAGAAGCACAGCTGCTGCTACTGTAATCGCTGCAATTGACCAAGCTAGTATAATGGGCGTAATTTCAAGAACTGATGAATTTTATACTTTGGAGAGAACGTGTTGTAATGTTGAAGCTCATCTATTTCAGGATCAGGTAGCTTGGATTTCAATTTAGTTATCACTCCACTTTGATAGAGTGCATTTCACTCTTCAGTATAATTACAGCACAGTATCGTATCCCGAATTTCACTTGCCACCTTTCGTGATAAAATGAATCACTTTTTAGGACACAATTATTATTTTAAATGTCTTTTAAAACCACACAGTTATAGATGAATGCAGTATAAGTCCCATTTTATTTAGAAACAGACGGATTAGTAGAGTATCTGAGGAATGGGTGTATATTATACAATTTCATTTTGTTATGTTTCAGGTTTCCTTAAACCTGTTTAGTGTTATAAGAAGTAAAGTTTTTGGATGTAAACACTTTCACTGTGTACACATGCTTTTAGGAACGCCACGTTTTAGAGCACTTTGATTGTAAAATATCAATTTGTAGCTTTAGCAGTGCCAAAAACAGATTAATTGCATTTCTATTTATTTATTATGCTGAAAACTCATTTATTTGATTGTCCAACAACAGGACTCTGAAAAAGCAACAGCATTGGCAACAGTAAAAGCAGCTGTTGACCACGCCTGGGTGCAAGAGCCTGTGCCCATGGTGACAGAAAAGTCAACAAAGGAAACATCATCTGCCATACATGTGCAGGCAATTCAAGATCAGGTAGCTCACAATGACATGTGACATACACAAGAAAGTTTACACCTTCACCTTCCTTATCTTTATGTTTAGCTTTCCCTCTTTCCCTCTAGTATCATTGCTACTAAGATAGAAGATTCACATCCTGGTGCATGCATCCTTGTCCAAAGGATTGTTCTTGTCCTCTAAAATGCTCAAGAATGAAGTACTGTAAATATCAGCTTACCTTAACAACTTACTCTAAACCTTAGTGACAGTTTTCTTACTTTAGGTCATCTAACACTGTTAACAGATCAAGATTGTTTTAATGTTAAGCTTGACACATCTACCTTGGCTTGATGTATTTAATCTTAATGCCATGGATGATTAGAATCTATGTGCAGGCTCAAACACAAAATACTGCTTGTTGTCTCTAGGCTGAGGTTGGGAAAAAGGCTGAAGCAGTGGCCACAGTGCTGGCTGCTGTGGATCAAGCACGTACACGGGAGCCAGTGCATGTGGAAGGGGCTTACTCTGAAGAAGTGGCTGTAGAGCATGATTATAAACATCATGCCATATCTAAGCAGGCCTCTGAGCAACAAGTTCTTACCAAGACCATCAAAATGGAGGCTGTGAGAGTTCCTTCGGAAGTTCAGATTAAGCCAGTTGATCAAATGGAATTTAAAGTTACACAGGTTAGCCTTTTTTAACCTGGATCTTCACCAAATAATAATTCTAATTAAAATCTCACGTTTGGTTGGCATCATTTAAACTGTACTTTGTTGGTTGCTGTAGATTGAAAGAAGTAAAGAATCTACTGCCCACGTGGACACCACATATTCTACATCCCCAGTTCCTCATTTCACAGTGTCAAAAGTAACTGTTCCTAAACCTGATCACACATATGAGGTAAGAATGGGTTATATCAGGCAAGCAGTGAAACCATTTCTAAAACAGCGGAGCTAATTGTCCTCATTGTAAATCCAAATGGAACTCCAAAACAATCAAGCACTTACTGTATTTTAAATAAAGGAAAATACATCTTCAAATGCAACAAAATATACAGTAGGTTTCTGTGGAAGATTAATGCAGGTTGTACTTTAGGATTAGATCTACAGATCTAAGGTCTAATTAGATCTGCAATTTGAAGGCCAGAGAAGACAGATGACCACAGGTGCTGGAACTCCTATTTCGATGAGTTAGCAAGTATCATACGATCATATGATATGAGCCTATTTTAGGCAGCTGTCTAGAAGCTCTGAGTGTAAAGTAGGTTCCTGCTTGTCTGACATTCAACCTGTTTCTTCTGAAGCAGAAGTTAATTGACCCGTTTACAGTTTCACTGATTCATCTAACTCTAATAGTTGTCTAAACACTGTTCTTTTGAACCTAGCATAGGCGCCAGCTCTGTAGATTTATGAATGCTTGAGCACCTCCAAAAGTGTGTTCTGCATTTATTATATACAAAAAAAGATTTAAAAATTTTCAGATTTGGAAAAAGAAACACAGTGTGCAAATATGTAACTAGGTTTGGGTGGGGAACTGCATCAGTGTGCATTGGCTGCAATGGAACATGCAATGGATAATTCCACGCTGTTGAATTCGAAATTTAGAAAAGGCACAGTAATTGATCTGTTAAGTGTTCTTCAGCTGTGAGCTCACATCTGAAGAAGGCTTAAGTGTCTAAACTGTTCCAGTCAAAATAAAGTGGTTCCTAAACAACTTATTGTTGAGTAAACAGAAGACTAAAAATAGTGTACTTTATGGAGTTGTATTAGGAAAAGTGCTATGAATAGAAACATAGTCATCATGATACAACTAATAAAGAAATAATTTTCTGCAGGATGGGTGATGCTGCTCCTTTCAGCCTATCCCAAATCATTTAGAAAAAGGTGGCGCCTATGAGAATTTGCAACTGTCTATCCTGCTAAAAAAAATCTACATTTTCACCAATGTCTCTCAAACAATAACATCAAGATGTAACAACTTGTCAAGTAAAGAATAATAATAAAAATAAAAACCCCACCATTATGAAATGCCTATTTTCATCCATACCCTTATTAACTAATGGCCTTAATGTTCCAATCCTTCTCATTTTCTTTTGAATCATAACTAACTTGGATAACTAATATATTTCATTTTCTTGTTGAATAAAAAAGTGATTTTTTGGACCACTATTTTAACAGTATTCTTCTTGGGTTGGTTAGGTTTCAATAGCAGGTTCTGCTATTGCTACTCTGCAAAAAGAGCTATCTGCTTCTTCTGCTCAAAAGATCACCAGGCCAGTGAAGCCTCCCCCCCATAAGACAGTGGAGACACGAGTGATGGCAGAGCATGTGGTCTCAACTCCACCTCCATTTAAAGAAACCACAGAAAAGTACCAAACACATTATGACACACACTTACAAAAAGAAATAGGTACTTCCTTTTTAGGGGTGATGGAAAGAGAGCAGAAGTACAAAACCATGGAAGAGTGGGACAATCAGGTTTGTAACAAAGTGTGTTCTCCATCACCTAACACTGTATTGGCACTGTGCACCAGTTTCAATAACCTTTCCCTTTCGCAGTTACCCACCCATCTTTGCCCTCCTCAAGGATTGCATCTGCTTGAGCACCACTTTGCTTCCTTGTTACCTTGCAGTCATGAGTGTTCTTAAGAAACGTTACATTCTGGAACATAATTCAGCTCCCTCTGCTGGAAGACCTTTCACCATTGCTTGACTTATTACTTGGCCGTGTTATCCCAATCCTGTAAAACAAGCAATATATTCAAATTTGACCTCTTCTAATGCTAACCCAAAATGTCACTTTTACAGGTTGAAGAGGCAATTCCTGCTCCTGCAGAAACAGCTGTCTTTCCACCTACACTGGTGGCTGTAAGTGTTAAATTTTGTCATGTAGTGTTCTTGAGGAAATATGGTGTGCATCGTTTAACTCCACAAAATGAGCTTCTGTCAACAATATCTGATTTTAAAATAATTTCATGCATTTTAATTTTCAGGGTTTGAAAAATGTCACAGTCATTGAGGGAGAATCTGTGACTCTTGAATGCCACATTTCTGGACATCCAGCCCCTGCTATAATGTGGTTCAGAGAGGACTACAGGATCGAGAGCTCAATTGACTTCCAGATTACCTATGAAAATGAATTTGCACGTCTTGTAATTCGTGAAGCCTTTGCTGAAGACAGTGGCCGCTTTACTTGCACAGCTACTAATGAAGCTGGAACAGTCAGCACATCCTGCTACCTGCTTGTCCAGGGTAAGAATTTAAATATGCTATCCATTAATGGATACTGTTAGCTATAATAATTGCAAATATTTCTTTATGTGAAAGTTCTTAAATTAATTTTCAGTGTAAATAAAATACTATTGGAAATGTAGGGTCATTACCTTTACTCAATACCAGGCAATATAATGTTGCAACATATCTGACATAGTTGGCGTGAGTTTGAATTACTTATTTAATACTTTTTCATTTTGTGTCCGTATTCTCAATCAGTTCCACAGGAATCGGCATTTGAACCTTTTTCTTGCATTTCAGTTTCAGAAGAAATAGAGAGCCGAGAAGAAGTCTCTGCTGTTTCTGAAGTTGTGACTGTAGAGAAAAGGTAGGTTAAAAGAATTTCAGAAAATACTGTACAAATTACAATAACAAAATTGTAATGATTGTGCTGTTATTTTATTACTATTGCAAAGGAATAATATCTATTTTGGATTTAATCTTTTCCATTTGCAGTTTTTCTGCTGAATCAAGAGAAGAGACAGTGTCGGAGATTAGTGGTGTTGCAGAGGTTGTGGAATCTGGAGCAGGTGTTGTTCCATTCTTTGTGAGGAAACCCACAGTGCAGAAGTTAGTAGAAGGAGGAAGTGTTGTATTTGACTGCCAGATTGGAGGAAGTCCCAAGCCACATATTTACTGGAAAAAAGCTGGTGTGCCTCTGACAACTGGATATAGGTACTTATAATAGAGTGCAATTTATAATACAGGCCTTTAAATTTTCTGTAATTTCAAATTGTATGCACTTAATACTTTTATTTTTCTTTTATACACTTTAGATATCGAGTGGCCTACAACAAGGAAAGCGGAGAATGCAAACTTGAAATTTCCATGACATTTGCTGATGATGCAGGAGAATATTCCATTGTTGCTCGGAATCAGCTTGGAGAAGTATCTGCCACTGTGAATCTTCTTGAAGAAGGTCAATAAGCTCCCTGTGAAACATAGAAAATCACTTTGTCATGAATTTCTTCTGAACTCCATAAGGCACTCATAGAGAATATGTTGAAAGCAGAAGTATATTTTTAAGAAATCTATATATGCAATATAAAACATTTATTATAGAAGGGCTTATTTTTTAATGTAGTATCTCTTTGGTATTGAGATTCAATATTGAGACAAAACAAAGTTGAAAGAAACAGTTTTAAAAATGAAAGTGGACAACATTAAATTAATAGAATTTATAGAATAGTCTTTTTTAATGTGGTTTGAGTACATGCCAGCATGATAACATTTTATTACCCAGAGAAACAGCTAATGATAAGGATACATTAAAAATATTTTGAAAACAGAAAAATGTTATTATTTTATTACATCTTGTTTTGCAGAGGAATATGAGGCTTTTATGAAACAACAAGAGATAACTTACCAAACTCAAGTGACCGCATTTGTGCAAGAACCTAAAGTGGCAGATGTTGCACCTTCCATGACTGAATATGAAAAAGAACAGATTCTTATTAAGAAGAAAATGGCCCAGCAGACAATCATGATGAAGACTTTAGTACAGGAGCAGGTGAGGAATGGAGATGAAAAATCACTAAATAATATTCTAAAAATAGCACATTGGCTTCATAATTAAGATTCCATGTTTTTTTAAAATATGTAACTTGGCAATAGTTCAGTATGATTCTTAACAAAATATGTTTCTGTTATTCACAGGAATATCAAATCTCTGCATTCGAAGAGAAGATAATCAGAGAGATTGAGTTCCGAATTCTAAAGATTACCTACCAGGAGATTGTAACAGAAGATGGGGAAGAAATGATAGTGGATGTCCCAGAGCATGAGGCTGTGGAATCAGCTTTTGACACAGCAGTTAAAAGTTACAGAATTTTTGAAGGCATGGGAGTTACATTTCATTGCAAAGTATCTGGAAATCCTCTTCCAAAGGTAAACTTAAAATACAAAAATAAAGTGAAAATAAAAATATAAGATAAAATATAAAAATAACTGCAATTTCAATCCAGCTAGTTTGTTCAAGTTTTTCAGTTGACCAAAATAAAGTATTTAATAAGTGCTACATTAGCAGCTACAGTACAGTATATTGTCCAACAGTTGAGGACAGATGTTACTCTTAGAGTACTCTTAAAGTTTGTCTTTTGGTTTAGTCTTTTAAGTTTTAAGTTTTCATGTGTTTATTTCTTTGACCTGTTCTGTCTAGTTTTAAAACAAAAAGCTTATTTTTTCTTCCCATTGATAAACATGTGTGTTTCTTTTTGGTGTTTTTCTTGTATTGCAAAAGATTGCATGGTTTAAAGATGGAAAACGCATCAAACACGGAGGCCGTTACCAAATGGAAGTTCTGCAGGATGGAAGAGCCAGTCTACGTATTCCAGTCATACTGCCAGAGGATGAAGGCATTTACACAGCATTTGCCTGCAACATGAAATCAAATGCTGTTTCCTCTGGAAAGCTGTATGTGGAACCCACAGCACCAAGTGGTGCTCAACCATATTTCCCTCAACCTGAAGCAGTACAGAGAATCCGGTACAGTTTTCTTATCATTCTGTACTTTTACATTTATTATTGTGCCAACACTGACTTAAAGCAGCCATTTGTCAATTCTCTCTCAGTCACAAATTATTTGTCCCTTTTAAAATAGCTTCTATTTTTGCTCTTTTTTTCTAATCTTCTAGTCTGATTACAGTTTAATACTAAAAATAGTAAAAGTACTATTTAATTCCTTTTTAGCTCTGTTTCCCCAAGATCTCCAAGTCGCTCTCCTGGACGATCCCCAGGCCGTTCCCCAGCTCGCAGACTTGATGAGACAGATGAGAGTCAGCTGGAGAGACTGTACAAGCCTGTGTTTGTTATGAAGCCTTCATCCTTCAGGTGTGCTGAAGGCCAAACTGCGAGATTTGACTTAAAGGTGGTTGGCAGACCTATGCCTGAGACCTTCTGGTTCCATAATGGTAAGAGACTATACAAATTTTGTTTTGATGGCCTCAGATAATATTGACAGTTTATTCTGAAATAAAAGTGCTCTGCAAAAGCTCAATGTGATGCAGCAAGTTTTAGTTTTATATACTAAAATGTATATATATATAATGTTTTCTTGTGTGAATAAATACAAAAAGCAGCATTGTAACACTGAAATGACATTGAAATGGATTCATTTGGGCCCTAAAATGATTTTATATTATCAGTCTGATATAAAGAGATCAAAAATATATTGCATGCATGAACACTATACCATAAACAGTTCTTAATATCATTTAAGACACCTATTTCTGCTTTTTTCTATTCAGGGCAACAAGTGATTAATGATTATACCCATAAAATTGTGGTAAAAGAAGATGGCACACAGTCCTTGATTATTGTTCCTGCAATGCCTAATGACTCTGGTGAATGGACAGTTGTTGCACAAAACAGGGCAGGAAAAACATCTGTTTCCACAACGCTCACTGTGGATGGTATGGATACTACATTAAGTTAATATATTTTTGTCTTTCCTAGATGACAGAGGGGTTAGGGATTCATTTAATATATACAATAAATAATTTAATTGAATCTATTGTAGATATATATTGTAAAGGAACAAGTAATAGGTTTATTCCATGCTGAAAAGAGAAGAAAGAAAATGCAATGTTTCAGCTGTGGAGCCTTTCTTCTCTTTTCAACATGGAGTAAACCTACTACTTGTTCCTTTGCAGCCTATGCATACTGTTGCAGCTACCCACTTGATATATATTGTATATATGTTTTCTGTAGTTTTGCTATTTATAGCAATTAAGTTGAAATATTTTGTTGTTTTTGTTTCTTCCTTTGTAGCTAAGGAAAACCTGCAGAGACCCCAGTTTGTGGAGAAGCTAAAAAATTTGAGCATTAAAGAAGGTTCTTTGGTTGAGCTGGCTGTCAAGGCTATTGGAAACCCAAATCCTGATATTGTCTGGCTAAAAAACAGTGATATCATCTCTCCTCACAAATATCCAAACATCAGGTACACGGTGTTCTATAATAATTAATTCCTTAAATTAAAATCTAATTATAAACTGTAGCCTGAGGCAAATTAATGATGGCTAACAGTTAATTACATTCTTTTCAGTTTATTTCTTAATTTATTAATAATAATATACTGTATAGATAAAATATAGCATAGGATATGAATTTAACACTGTGGTCTTAAAGTTTTAATTTTACAGTAAATGTGCACATACTGTATGCAATGAACATCTTGTTTTCTATTTCCAGATAGACTTTGTAGGCTTTGTCAGTAGTTGAAATATTTGATGTATGCTAATTTGTTTCAGAATTGAGGGCGGCAAAGGAGAAGCCACATTTAAAATACCTTCAGCTATCAGTGCTGATAGTGCATGGTACACGGCAACAGCCATCAACAAAGCTGGCCGTGACACCACAAGATGCAGAGTCAATGTGGAAGTAGAATTCACAGAGCCTGAACCTGAAAGGAAGCTGATCATCCCAAAAGGAACATACAAGGCCAAAGAAATAGCAGCACCTGAATTGGAACCTCTTCATCTCCGTTACGGACAAGAGCAGTGGGAAGAAGGGGATTTATATGACAAGGAAAAGCAGCAGAAGCCACATTTTAAAAAGAAGCTCACTTCTGTGAGGCTGAAGCGTTTTGGACCTGCACACTTCGAATGCAGACTGACCCCAATAGGTGATCCAACAATGGTTGTTGAATGGTTGCATGATGGCAAACCTTTGGAAGCAGCCAACAGACTTCGCATGGTAAATGAGTTTGGCTACTGCAGTCTTGACTATGAAGTAGCTTATTCTAGAGACAGTGGCGTAATCACCTGCAGAGCCACCAACAAGTACGGAGTTGACCAGACTTCAGCAACTCTAATTGTCAAGGATGAGAAGAGTCTTGTTGAAGAAAGTCAGTTGCCCGAAGGCAGAAAGGGAATGCAAAGAATTGAAGAACTAGAGCGTATTGCCCATGAAGGAGCTCTTACAGGGCTCACTGAAGAAGTGTCAGAGAAAACCAAACCTGAAATAGTCTTGTTTCCTGAACCTGCAAGGGTACTGGAAGGTGAGATTGCAAGGTTCCGCTGCAGAGTGACTGGATATCCTCAACCAAAGGTCAATTGGTACCTCAATGGACAGCTCATCCGCAAAAGCAAGAGATTTAGGCTTCGTTATGATGGTATTTATTACCTTGAAATAGTTGAATGCAAGTCCTATGATTCAGGAGAAGTCAAAGTGTCCGCTGAAAACCCAGAGGGAGTTGTTGATCACACAGTGAAATTTGAAATTCAGCAGAGGGAAGATTTCAGGTCTGTTCTACGCCGTGCCCCTGAGCCAAAAGTTGAAACAGCTGCAGAAGTTGGAAAGGCCTCATATGAAGTTATTAAAGTTGAAAAACCACCTGAAGCCCCACAGCCTAAAGAAATTGTAAAACTTAGGAAAGCTGAGAGAGTTATTCATGAAAAAGAAACAGAGGAGTCAGAAGAGCTTAGAAGCAAATTCAAGCGCAGGAAGGAGGAAGGCTACTATGAAGCCATCACAGCTGTAGAATTGAAGTCTCGCAGAAAGGATGAATCATATGAGGACATGTTGAGGAAGAGGAAAGAGGAACTTCTTCACTGGACCAAACAAGTGCCTGAGGAGGAGAAGAAAAAGCCCCTCCCTGAAGGCAAAGTGACCATTCCCATACTTAAACCCGACAAAGTGGAGCTCTCTCCAAGTATGGAGGCTCCAAAGATCCTGGAACGCATTCAAAGCCAGACAGTTGCCCTGGCAGATGAGGCTCGCTTCCGTGTTAGAGTGGTCGGAAAACCAGATCCTGAGTGCCAGTGGTTCAAGAATGGAATAAAACTAGAGAAAACCGAACGGATTTACTGGTACTGGCCTGAAGATAATGTATGTGAATTGGTAATTAGAGATGTTTCAGCAGAAGATTCTGCCAGCATTATGGTTAAAGCCATCAACATTGCTGGAGAAACTTCAAGCCACGCATTCCTGCTTGTACAAGGTACTGCTTGTATTGTGTTTTAGTGTTATTTATGATAGATCTAAATTCACATTCATTTTAATTTTGTTATTCAAGAAAATGTATTGAACATATTGATAACATTTACAAAAGTTTTTGTATATTGTATGCTTATAATATCATCTGACACAACTCAATGTAACAATATTTATATGCATAAAGTACATACAGAAAATTAACAAGAGAGTACAGGTTTATTCACATTACATCTTTGCATTCACTCCTGCAGGATTTTTATTCTTCATTGCAAAGTTTTTTTTCTGAATAATAAGACATAGATTTTTATTTTTTGATTTAACTACAACATTTGTTTTTAATTCTTTTTCAGCTAAGCAAGTAATTACCTTCACTCAGCAGTTAGAAGATGTCAGTGCTAAAGAAAAGGACACCATGGTGACTTTTGAGTGTGAAACCTCTGAGCCCTTTGTCAAAGTGAAATGGTTAAAAAATAATGTTGATATTTTCTCTGGAGACAAATACAGGATGCACTCTGACAGAAAAGTTCATTTTCTTTCTGTTTTAATCATTGATATGGGGGATGCAGCAGAATACACTTGTGCCCTTGTAGAAGACAGTTACATCAAAACTTCTGCTAGACTTGTTGTTGAAGGTAAGCCTTGTTGAAGGATACAGAAATTGATTTTATAGTTTATTATTGCTTTGCTTCTCGACAATTCTGCTTATGCACATTTTAAGTCGGTAATTAAGCAAGCTTACTCCCTTACTAATAAATTAGCAAACACTTTCAAAATCACTATTAGTAGTGTAGAAGTCAATTTTTTCTCAAATGTTTTTTTTCTTTTTCCATAGGTGCCCCACTAGAAATCATAAAGAAACTTGAAAACATTGAAGTACCCGAAACCTACTCAGGGGAATTTGAGTGTATTCTCTCCCGTGAGGATGCTGAGGGGAAGTGGTATCATGGGGACGTTGAGATTACACCAAGCAGTAAATATGTCATTTCTTCCCGGCGTGGCCGACACACTCTTTCAGTGAAAGATGTCAAAAAGGAAGACCAGGGCCAATACAGCTTTATTGTAGGTGACATAAAGACAACTTCTACCCTGAAAATGTTATGTAAGTATTTTAGCAGTCTTTTAAAATAAGATTATATATTTGATATGTCCACGTACTTAAAAATATATACTTTGCATACAATATTTTTGAAATATTATGGAAATGAAAAACATCATTCAGATATTTAAAGCTGTCAGTCCTATTATGTGCTGTTTTATCTACTTCTTGAAGATGTCCCCAATGTATGAGTAAATTAGGGAATAGGACACTTTTGTTTTTCAGTATTCAAATATAAAAAAACAATTAATTGAACCATGTGCATCTCCTTTTAGTACGCCCTGTCACACTTGTGCAAGGACTTGGAGACAAAACTGTTTGTGAAGGTGATATTGCACAACTTGAAGTGAAATTTTCTCAAGAAAATGTGGAAGGAACCTGGATGAAGAGTGGCCAACCCATCCAGCCCAGCGATCGAATTCACATTGTGATTGACAAGCAGACACACAAGCTTCTTGTAGAAGATACCACCAAGGGAGACGCTGGAACATACTCCTTTGTTGTAACAGGACATGATCTTTCCACAACAGGACGCTTGACTGTTCAGAGTAAGCTCAGAAGATACTATTTTCTTTGGTTTTAATTTGCTGCTGTTGATAACTTAGACATTTGTTTTAAAAAAACATTTCATTGCATTTTTTAACAGGTGTTGATATAGTGATCCCACTGAAGGATATCACTTGTGTTGAGGGAACAAAAGCTGTAATGGAAGCTAAAATCTCTGCTGCAGACATCAGTTCAGTGAAGTGGTACCTAAACGACCAGCTGTTAGAGCCAAGCGACAGGATTCAAGCTGTTGCCAAAGGATCCAAGCAGCGTTTGGTGATCACTCGTACTTTTGCCTCTGATGAAGGACGGTGCAGACTTGTTGTTGGCAGGGCTGAATCAAGTTGCAACCTTTCTATTGAAAGTAGGAACTAATTTTTTTTTAATTCTGAAAATCTTTAAAGCAAGTATGGTGGGTTTAATGAGGATACTAATTTCTTTTTTTCTTATTTTTTTGAAGGAATTCATATTGTAAGACATCTACAAGATCAGGTGTGCACTGAAACCCAAAATGTGACTTTTGAAGCTGAGCTGTCTCATCCTGGAATTGATGCTGTCTGGAAGTTTAAGAACCAGATCATCAAAGCTGATCCCCAGTACAAGATTGAAACAAAAGACACACGATACTTGCTGACAGTAGTCAATACAATGAAAGATGAGGAAGGAGAATATACTTTTGAGGCTGGAGAACACACATCAACTGCAAAACTTACAGTATCAGGTATGATACACAATATTTTGTGTACCAGCATGAGTAGTGTTAGTGTCCTCTTTACTGATTTCAGTGCAGTTATCTCTATGTCCACTGTTTGGAATTCAAATGAATTTACAGTAAAAGCTTTGCCTGACTATGTTGATTAGTCAAGATATGAAAGACACAAATGTTGTGTGGTCTTAATATTACAAGATAAAACTAGGCAAAGATGAAGTCTGTGTTAAGAGGATGTTTACAGTAATGAAAGATGGCAGCAACTGAGCATGCAAGCAGGACAGAACCAGAACGTTTCCCGAGTAGTCAAAGATTATTTTCTGCTGACTTATGAATAAAATGCAGACGATTTGAGAAACATCCCGGATAGTACTGATCCGTATAGTAAAACGTTTGCTGTATCATAATAAATACATTTGTCCTCTACCACTTCATTATGATAAAGATTGAACATTTTTTGTTAATGTGTTTCAATGATTCACATAACACCTGGAAAAATATTTAATGTCAAATAAATCTGATCAAATTTTTTTAACATTTTATGAGTTAATTAAAAGGTTTAGTTTTAACTTTTAACAAGTTTGAAAGAGGTAAGAACAACTTGCATTTGTTAATGCATTTTTTAATGCACTAATAATAAAAAAAAAAAAATCCTGCTTTGCTGTTACAGCAGTTGAATATTGTATTCACTTCATCCTCTAGGTGGAGCAATCAACAAACCACTACAGGATGTGACTGTAGCTGAGTCTCAGACTGCTGTATTTGAGTGTGAGGTGGCTAACCCTGATTCAGAGGGAAAATGGCTGAAGGATGGCAAACCAATTGACTTTAACGATAACGTTAGGAGTGAAAGAGATGGTGCAAAAAGACGGCTTGTTATTGTCATTACAAAACCACAAGATATTGGTGAATATACCTACCAAGTGGCAACTTCAAAGACAACAGCCAATCTTAAAGTTGAAGGTAGAGTTAAAACATTTTCTTTATTATTAATATCTATAGAATTTTTAAGTTAGTATATTGTTTTGAAAAATGAAACTGTATGATCAAACTAGTAGAGTTTTATGTTCATGAATATATGTTAAAAATTGCAATCTTTTACTAGATAATTTCTCTACCATTGTTGTGTGACTAATTGGTATTTTCTAATTTAACAGCTGTCAAAGTTAAGAAGACTCTGAAGAATCTAACTGTAACTGAAACCAAGGATGCAATGTTCACCCTGGAACTCACACATGCTGATGTAAAGGGTTCACAGTGGATTAAAAATGGTGTTGAACTTGAACCAAGTGACAAATATGAAATACGTGTTGATGGCACAGTTCATTCACTGAAGATCAAAAACTGCACTACACAAGATGAGTCAGTTTATAGTTTCAAACTTGGAAGGGTTGGAGCTAATGCCAGACTTAATGTGGAAAGTAAGTTGGAACCATATATATGTTTGTTTAAAAAGTAAGTATAGATTTTTTGCTATGCCTTACTTTTTTTTCTCTTTCAGCTATTAAGATTGTTAAGAAACCTAAAGATGTGACAGCTTTAGTAGATGCCACAGCTTCCTTTGAACTGAGCTTGTCTCATGATGACGTACCAGTGAAATGGATGTTTAATAATGTAGAGCTGAAACCAAGTGAAAAATGCAAGATATTATCAGAAAGGAAGGCACATAAACTCATAATTCAGAACATCAATTCTGCAGATGATGGAGAATACACAGCTATTGTTGGACACTTGGAATGCAAAGCCAGATTACATGTTGAGGGTAAGCATACTCATGGTAAAACAACTGCATATAATTTTATCATCCTTGTATTGGGAACCCCTACCCTTGCTTGTAAATAGAGTTATAGTAAACACACTAAATAGAAATTTTGTGCATTTGTGGTAGACTTTTAATTATATTTTATATTTCAGCTTTGCGTATTACAAAGACGATGAAAAACATTGAGATTCCTGAAACAAAGGTTGCAACCTTTGAGTGTGAAGTCTCTCACTTCAACGTTCCCTCCCTGTGGCTAAAAAATGGAGTTGAAATTGAAATGAGTGAGAAGTTTAGGATCGTAGTTCAGGGCAAGCTCCACCAGCTGATAATTATGAACACAAGCAGTGAAGATTCTGCAGAGTATACATTTATATGTGGAAACGACAAAGTCTCTGCAACTCTCACAGTAAAGCGTAAGTAGTCTTTTCTAGATATTACACACATGGCACTAATAACATTTTTACACATCAATCTAAATATCTAAATTATACAATGCTTTCTTTTTCAGCCATCTTAATAACATCCATGCTAGAAGACCTTAATGCCCAGGAGAAAGATACTATAACTTTTGAAGTAAATGTAAATTATGAAGGAATCACTTACAAATGGTTGAAGAATGGAGTGGAGATCAGATCAACAGACAGATGCCAGATAAAGTCAAAACAACAAACACACTCTTTGACAATCCGAAATGTACACTTTGGTGATGTTGGAGAGTATTCTTTTGTGGCTGGCTCAGCAGCAACATCTGCAAATTTATATGTTGAAGGTAAATATGTTTGCTTTTTTCCTTGATTAGATATTGCTTGTTTTCTTTTATTTCAATTTTACTACAGTATTGTTTTTTTTCCAGCTCGTGTTATTGAGTTCAGAAAGCACATTAAAGACATCAAAGTAGTAGAGAAGAAAAAAGCAGTTTTTGAATGTGAACTCTCAGAGCCCAATGTCACCGTGCAATGGATGAAAAATGGACAAGAAATTGACTTAACAGAAAGGTAATTATTATTACTACTTTTGCAGTGTTCTAATTTTTACGGTGCCCTTCATATAGTTAAAGATGGACCAGTAATACAAAATACTAAGTATTGTGAAAAAGTAGCTCTTTATTTCTTTATTATTCAATTTTCTTATTATCTCATTGTGATAGCTGGTTATGAAATATCAAATATATATATATAGATATGAACTAAATTAAACCTTCTCTTTACTTTTTCCCAGATATAAAGTCACAGCAGAGAAATTTCTGCATCGCCTGATGATTCCTACTGTGCGCATGTCTGATGCTGGAGAATACTCAGTGGTAGCTGGCGGGAATATGTCCACTGCCACTTTAACCGTTGAAGGCCGTGATATTAAGATAACAGAACCAGCTGAAAAAGACATCACAGTATGTTTATATACTTTCTTATTTTTTATGTAGAAGGTTTTTCTGAGTCATGGGTTAATACATGTGTGTTTTTTCCAACAAATAGGTTGTGGAAAGACAAAGAGCTGTCCTTGAATTTGAAGTAAATGAGGATGAAACAGAAGCCCGCTGGCTCAGAAATGGAGTTGAAATCAATTTCTCAGTTGAAGAGAGATTCAAATATGTGGTGATCAGAAGGCTCCATCGCTTGACCATCACGGAAACCATACGTACTGATGCTGGTGAATACACCTTTGTAGCTGGCAGGAACCGAAGTGTGGTTACACTCCACGTGAATAGTAAGTATTTGTATCTGCTTATACTGCTTTTAAACAACTTCCCACAAATTAATCCTAAATATCTTTTTTCCTCAACCATGTTGAGGCTGGAGCAACCCGACTTTGGCAAACAATTCTGGACATTAATGAAATCAACAGAGATATTATTTTTCTTTTATGTTTGCTTGGTGCCTGCAAGAACTGTTTTGTAGCCATGTCTAACCTCTGATTGACACTAAACCTCCACTGTAATTATCAGTAGTTTTGAAACAGACAAACAGCTGTGTATAGCATATATCTTACACAGTATGTAGTCTTGATATAAATGTAGGGTGGTAGATTTTGCAACATTTTGCAATAGACATTTGGAGCATTACATGGTAATAAAATACAAGTATCTATTGTAATAAAAACAATTATCTAATATTATAAATTATAAAGGAAGAAACTGATTAGTGGTGTTGATTAAGTGTTTTAATAGGTAAATTAAATTTACTTATTTTATTTCAGTTCCAGAGCCACCACAGATTATACAACACATGGAGCCCTTGACAGTGGAGTCTGGAAAACCTGCTAGATTCTCAGTTGTAGTTAAAGGCATTCCACAGCCTAAGGTTTATTGGTATAAGGATTCACAGATACTATCAGCAGGATTTAAGTGCAAATTCCTTCATGATGGGGATGAGTACACTCTCCTGCTGATTGAAGTTTTCCCTGAAGATGCAGCAGCCTATCACTGTGAAGCCAAAAATGACTATGGAGTAGCTAGCAGTTCAGCATCTCTTGAAGTTGAAGGTAAGAACCTGTTGAAAAAACTAAATATTTAAATAAAATATGTGTTTAACCTCATAATTTTGATGTTATATTTATACAGTAGCCAACATTTCTTACTTTGTAGTACTGGCTCTATGACTTTTTGGATTGTTTTCAGTATATTTTATGCCAGTGATTGCATCTAAAAGCATCAATTTGTTTACCATACTACTTTTCTTCTTCAGTACCAGAGGTGATTTCTCCAGACACAGGAGCTCCGCTTTCCCCTCCTGTGCTAATATCTCCTATTCAGAGCACTTCTACAGTTGAAGGACAGTCAGCTCGTTTCCAATGCAGGGTTTCTGGAGAAGGTGAGTAGAATATATATACTGTACTGTATTTCCTGCGATGTCTTTTGTTAAAGATATTACCATAAAATGTGGTCAATGCCATTTTGTAGCACTTTATTTCTCTTGAGTGTACCATAATAAGTCTTAAGGGACTTTTAATGGATAAAAAACTGTAGAAAACTGCCACTTATATTGTCATTTAACTTTAAAAACAGATCTCACCATTACATGGTACAACAAGGACAAGGAGATCAAACAGTCCGAGTTTTTCAAAATGACTCAATTTGAAGATAGCTGCCAGCTTGAAATTATTAAGGCATACCCGGAGGATGAAGGAGAATACACCTGTGTAGCAAAAAATTCGGCTGGACAGGTCTCATGCTCTGCAGTTTTGACTCTTGAAGGTGAGCTTTCAATATTACAAAAGAAAGCATGGTTTGTTGTTTTGCTTATAAATGGATGCATGTCCTTGAGACTTCAAATTTGTTGTAATGTTAAAAATGCAAATTTTTCTTTACTTTAATAAAATAGATTATGCAACTTTTTTGCACGAAACCAGTTCCAGTTTCAGACATTTCATGGTAAACAGCATACTGCCAGTGATTGCTTTAATGCATATTCATAAGATTCAGTGCAGTGGATTGTTTCCTGATTTATTAGTAGTATTCTCTAGCTTTTGCTTCTGATATGTAATTAGTTGACATTCTATCAAAACTATTCTTCCAAATATATTATGCATATTAATCGAAATATGGCCTCTAAAGTCAAAATTTATAACATGAGTTCTGACACTGTATTCATGGTAAACCATGTATTTATGTAATGAATTTGTAAACCAATGAAAATAATTTAAATCTACAATGAATCAAAATGAATAGTGAACCGCTGTGTCATAAAGCAATCATTTTGGCTATGTAAAGAGTAATACTTAAAGATGTGAGATTGAACAGTGGCATACTTCCTTTCAGGACTTAAAAAAGTTGAAGAAATTACATCCAAGGCTCAGTGGTATACTTCTACCAGTGTCTCTTCAAGTGTTTCCAGTGCAAAGAAGGAACCTATAGGCCAGAGGCCTATTTTCATTCAGCCTATTTCGAGCTGCATTGTACATCATGGGGAAGTGGCCAGATTTCATGCACGTGTATCTGGCATGCCAAAACCAGAAATTCGCTGGTTTCATAACCAGCAGTTAATACAAGCAACAAAAAATGTGGTGTTTTATTTTGATGAAATCACAAACACCGCTACTCTGATTATAGTTGATGCTTTCTCTGAGCATGCTGGACAATACACTTGCAAAGCAAGCAATAGTGCTGGAGAAGCGACTTGCACGGCTACTCTTGCTGTAACTACTGAAGGTAAACCCAGTGTTTTTTGGTGAAATTTAGAGTTTTAGTGTTTTCATAATTCACCATTAATAATCCTTCCCATTTCTGGCACAACCTTCTTTTCATCTTCTTTCCTTGGACTGGTGTGGTAACCAAAACCCATGTTTAACCCTAAGACCTCTTTAAAAGAGCAGTGATTTTTGCATTCATGCATCAACTAATTTCACAATTTAACTTCAATGATTTCTTGCTTGTCTCAAATGTAGTTTCTTTTGATAAAAGTGGCAATTTGAAATGGATCACATGTGGTTTAAGGTTTAAAAAAATATGGTTCTGTAGTGTAGCATGTCTCATCGTGTGACACCATTTCATCACCATTCTATCCGTCTGTCAAAAGGATGCTCTACATTTCACAAAAGAAGAAACTCATCCTCTGTCTTTCATTCTTCATTCCCGTCATGGATCTAAAAAAATCTCATCCGTCAAGTACATTTTGAACTCATGAAATTGGCATGTTTTATTGTAAACCATTTTACCTCTATATATTGAATTTTTGATCAGTTCTTAATATTTTCTTTTTTATTGCGTAGATCAAACGTTGAAAACTATAGCTAGGCCAAAAATATCAAGTGCTGGAAAATCTGTAAAGGAAACAATCACCTCACAGACCATATCTGAGGCTCGTGTTGATTCTCCTTTAACCACTAAGGAAATGGAAACATATGCAAAAGAATTCCGATCAGTGGAGGAACCCAGCTATGAATATAGTGCTTTTGAAGGTGTTTCTGAAAAGTCCACTATTAAGAAGATTGCATCAGTAAAAATGATGGAGGCTGGACAAGTGACTATTGTGACAAAATCTGAGACAATAGCCCCAAAGAGTCCCACATTGCTTTTGAAACTCAATGATCTAAGGGTTAAAGTTGGTGGGATGGCTCAGTTCATCTGCTCTTTTGATGGACAGCCCTTCACTGAGATAGTATGGGAGCATAATGGAAGGAGACTTATGGATTCAGAAAGAGCAAAATATTCTCAAAATGGAGGTGCACTGTGTCTTTCGATCTTCAATGTCCAACTTGCGGACCAAGGTTGTTACAGATGTACAGTAAAAAATAAATATGGTGAAGAGACAACATCTGCACAGCTTTCAGTAGAAGGTGGTTATAAGGTTTTTTTTAATTTAAATAGTTCTATGCTTAATCACTGCATGCTTTTGACATTTAATACTTTGATTTGCTTTAACATATAACATTTTGCAATAGATAATGCAGTATTTAACCTTTGCCATAGTTCTAGTATTCTCTAGACATAAGCTCTAATGATTTTTTTTACATTGCACATACAATTCAGAATGGCTCTAAATTTTTAAAGCTAAGATAACATCTAAAATATTGTTGCTGATGCACCTAATCTATAATAATTTTCCTAACTTTATTCTTACCCAGCTAAAGAAGCAAAAGCCAAAGCAGACACACAAATTCCCTCTGATTCAGGCAGTAAAAGTTCTAAAACAGACAAAGTGTCCCATATAATGCCCTCTGACCAAGACAAACAAGAGCTCCCAGCAAAAACTACAGGATCTCAACTATCTACAGCTCAAAGACCAAGTGGAACTCAGAGACAGAAAAGCAGAGATTATTATCCAGATGTTGTGCCCTGTGAAGAACCAGAAATGGGTGCCACCATTCCTGAATTTCTTGAAAAACTATCCCCAGAAATCACTGTACAAGAAGGAGATGATGTATCACTCTTCTGTGTTATAAAGGGCATTCCTGCTCCTTGTGTTATTTGGCTATACAATCAGTTGATTGTCCAAGAGTCTGCATCATATTCATTGAAACACGATGGCTCCCTTTGCAGTTTAAATATAAAGAAAATTGATCCCAGTCAAGGTGGTACTTACATATGCAAAATAGTCAATTCTGCAGGAGAAGCTGCGTGCAGCACACATCTCAGGGTCACAGGTTGGCAACTGCATGTTTTGGTCCTTCAGAATGTGAATGTGAATTCATCGTTCGTTTCACTTTTTTCCAATTATATCAAAGGATTTACTTTTTGGGGGTAAAAAAGGTTCTTAAACCAACATTCAGAGAAAACAGCATGACAAAGCATGTTACAAAAATAAAGGAAAGTTTTGCGAAGCCTATAAAACAGTTGGCTATAGAGTTAAACTATTCTGATACTTTTCACTTATACTTGTCAAACAAAAACCATCAAGCATGTAAGACTTTTTCCTGTAAATTATTTGAAAAAATACAAAGTGAGCCATACTACCATGGTTATTATATAAAGTGTATGTGAACCTTTATTTAAATCTGTATTGTTTTTGTTTCAGAGATAAAGAAGGTTCGAGAGGAGATTGAACGCAAAATTGAGATGGAAGTAAAAGGTAAGATCTATTTAAGTCTTCAGTTCATTTAGTGTAATATATATTAAACATTTAAAGATTTGATTACGAAGCAATGAATGTTTGTTGTTAGAAATAAATGATGCATGCAACATTTTGGTTTTATATGACAAAAATGTTTCATGTTTAAATTGTCCTTCTGTAAGTATTTTTAATCGTTATTTGTCAGACACTCTTGGCTAATTAGTATTGCTTGCTTTGCAGCAGTTTTTGAATAGCAGGGGTTTGCATTTGTCTATTGTCATTTTAAAGCATGAAAAGAATCTCATCTTGACTGTATTTTGGAACAACGGTGAAGGATGTGTATCTTTTAAAGTTTCCAGGCAATGGGAAAATCTTCTTTAAAAGATATTGAAGTTGCCACATCATTTAATTGCTTCTTATGTTTCTTGCATCTGGAATTTCATTCTCCCGCAAACATTTCTTAGACTGGCTTGCAGATAGCGGTATGTGATTAATGGTGTTTGCACTTTATATAACATTTGTAATCTGGATACTATATTAGTTCGAATAAACGCCTTCTCATACAATTTTAGGACGTTTTTTACTCTAATATTTGTAATGGCAATTTATGTGTCCCTTGCCTGAACAATTTACCTCCTATTCAAAGGATCAGAAAGGGCGTTTATTCAGCTGTCTGCAAGTCAGGTAAGAAATATTTCAGTAACAACTCCAAATCCACAAGAATAACATGTTTTCTTAAAAACATCAATTTATTTTGGAAACATTTACACTTTTTATGAAGAAATTTCTGCAGTTTGAAGAAGGAACAAAACAACCAACGATATTCGTGTCAGAATCTTTTAAAAAGAACCAAGTCTTGCGTTTATTCGAACAAATATGGTGAGTGAATTTTTTTAAATAGCTTTATGATTTTATTGCATGTTTAATTTTCCATTAATGTTCCATTTCAAATATTTTTTCATTCATTTTCCATCTAATATCACTGTTATTAAAATACTTTTCTTTTTCTTTCTAGAACTGTTCTTCAATGACGGAACTGAATATGCTGATACCAGAAGAGACCTGCGAGGTGCCTTTTCAGACACTGAAGATTACCTTGATCATGATTTTGTTTCTGCAAATCGTTGTTCAAGTAGAACATCGTCCATAAGCTCATGGTCTGAGAACATTAGGCCTTCATTCACTAAAAAGATAAAATTCCAGTCTGTGCTTGAAGGGGAGTCTGTAGCTTTTCGCTGTAAACTCATTGCCTGTCCAACCCCCAAAATCTCATGGTTTCATAACAACAGACCAATTCCAAGGGAGCACCGCCGTGTAGTTAAAACAGAAAGCACAATGCATATCCATACTTCCAATTTAGAAATTAACAATGTGCAGGAAAGAGATTCAGGGAGCTACAGAGTATTTGCAATTAACAGTGAAGGATCAGCAGAGTCCACTGCTTCATTACTGGTAGCACTGAAGGAGGAGCAAAATGCCAATTATTTAAGTTTTGTTAAGAGGTCAGAGAAGACACATGAAAGAATAGATTCATTAGTGGAGAAAAGAAGAGAAATAAAGTTTAAGATAGACCTTAGATGTGTAGGGTCTCCATTTGATAAGAAATACATTGCTAAAGGATCATCTAGGGGGGCATCTCCAAAGCATGGTTTGATGCGTACCATGTATTTTAGAAGTTCATCTCCAACAAAAAAACAGGACTGGCAGTTAAGTGAAGCTGCTTCCGACAGAAGTTCTCCTCATTTGTCAGAGAAACTTAGTGACACTGAAAGTCTGCTTGATGAAGATGTTAAAGTAAAACTCCATCTTTTAAAAAGAGCTGTCAAAGAGAGGAAGAGGCTGTCTCTTTCCTCAAGGTCATCATCTGAATTTGATCTTGAATCGGTTGGAAGTGAGTCAAGCCATACAGACTATTTTGAACGACTAAGACTCAAGCCTGTCTCCTTGCCTGACCTACAACATTATGTCCGAACACCAGATCAGGGTGAATCATTAATTAGTAAGAGTACAGCAGACATTCATGGTAGGATGGAAAGAATTATAGGCCTTGCTCCAGATGTTAAAGAATCACCACAACCAAGTGAAGAAACATCATTCAAAGAATCTAAGGCAATAAAGACATTGAAAGAAAAGTTTCTAAATGAGGGTGACTCAGAAGACCATAATCACACACAAAAAAATGAACAGATAGAGCGAGATATTTCTCAAGGAATCATCTATGAGGAGACTACTCTAAGGAATTTAGCAGTTAGTAAAGACCAATCTTTTCAACTTAACATAAGGCAATGGCAAGAAGATATGCTGTCATCCCAGGAAGAGGCTGAACTGGTGCCAGATTTAAATAAAACTGAAAATACAACAAACATGACTGAAGCAGATTTGGCTGCAGAGAAGAATGTTGCCATATATGCCAGCGAACTATCACCTGCATATGAGAGTGCTTCAGAAAACCATGATAAAACAGAAAAAAATGAATGGATAGAAGAAAATGTTTCTCAAGAAGTCATCTGTAAGGAGCCTGCTCAAAGGAAATTAGCCAAGAGTAAAGATCAATCTTTTACACTGAGCATAAAACAATGTCAAGAAGATATGCCGGCATCCCAAGAAGAGGCTGAATTGGTGTCAGATTTAAATGAAACTGAAAATACAACAAACATAATTGAAGCAGGACTGGCTACAGAAAAGGAGCCTTCCATAAATGTTACTGGACTATCACCTGCATATCTGAAAAATGAACTTGAGTTACATTCAAACAAAACAATGGGAACTGCTATGATTCCAAGTAAAACAGGAAAAGAAGCTAATTATTTTATGAGAAAATGGCAACCTTTTTCTCCTTTTTTTGAAAAAGAAATTTCACATTTGGAAGTTACAGAAGGTGAGATGTGCACATTAGAATGTCATTTCCAAGGCCATCCTCAGCCAACAGTGACTTGGTATAAAGATGAGCGACCTATTCCACAACATGTGGATTATGATATAAATACCACAGAAACTCAATCTAAATTGACAATCTGTTATCCTACCAGTGAGCACCAGGGTGTGTATACCTGTGTCATATTTAACCAGTATGGAACAGCCACAAGTTCAGCTACTCTTAAGATTGTAAAGGATTATGTAAACAAGAAGCAGCCAATGGTTACATGTGAATTTAAAGTAACTGAAGAAGCTGAGATGACTGAAGAACAACTTGACAGAATGATAGAAGATGAACTAAAGTCATATGTAGATACAAATGATGAATTTAAGTCCACTTTACAGGTCCCTCAAGTGGTTTTGTCAAGGCCAAGACCTTCAGACACATCTCTGTTTTCATCTCCTGTTGAGATTATGATTACTGCCCCTACACCAATCCCAGAACAAAATGAGGATGCAAAAGATTTAAGAGAACCTTCTGATAAAACTTCAGATGTCTCAGCAAAAGACAACCAATCACAAACCACTAAACACAAGTTTACATTTTCCTTTGATGTTGTCACTGAGCCCCCACAGGTTATAAGTGATCTAGAAAGTATACAGTGTAGAGAGGGTGACACTATAATGCTTGAGTGTCTTTTATCAGGAGACCCAGCTCCAGTTGTGACATGGCTTCACAATGACAGAAGTTTGAGTACTGCTCGTAGCAAATACAAATTTGAAGAACATGAGAAAATCTACAGAATGTATATTGATGACGTATCGCAGTTGGATGCAGGAACATACAAGTGTATTGCTAAGAACAAACTGGGAAAAGCTGAAAGCATATCTAATGTTACTGTGGAACCTTCTCTTTGCCAGTGGAATGAAGAAACAGAAATGAGTGCACAGCAATATAAAACTTTATATGATAGACTTGCAGGTGACAATGAAGTTAGGAAAACAAAAAGTTTAATTGCTGAGGGACCAGAAACACTTGGAATTCCAAAATTCGAAAATGACCAGCCAACGGTGGAGGAGGGACATCATGAATTTCTATTTATTCCTGTAACCAACTCAAAAAGTTGGAGGATGCCAGCTGTGGAGAGTTATCACATGGATCACAAAAATTCTGCTTTCTTAAAAAAGCAAACAGAGGATGTACGTTGTTCTGAAAAAACTGCTGAGCTACCCTTTGTCTCTGTTGTTGACACGAAAAAGTTTACACAGACTGATACAACAGAAGCCACCAATCCACAATCAGAAAATGTTGCAAAAAGGAGACACTTTAGAGAACAGGCTTCCAGAGATATGCCTGAATTAAGTGGTTGTGGTTTGACATCATGTGGAACAGTAACTAGAGTTTCAAAAATAAAGCAGATGTTTGAGTCTCCTATCCAACAACACTCAGCAGACACAAGAAAGGAATGTCTTGACCTATACTTTCCAGAAGAGCAAGCTCCAAATAGTGTACTGGGCAAAGTAAGGGATCTTGAACGTGGTAGAAGAAAAGATGTATCTAAACATCAAGAAGTGCCGTCACAAAGCCTCATTCAGCAGAGAAAAGAAGAAATTGCAGCAGAAACAAAAAAAGTCAGTTTATCAGATGAACCTCTTGAACTTTTCTCACATGACTTTACATCCTCTTTTACAGACTCTGGAGAGCAAAGATTTGCAAAACTTGTTCCAGTCCAACCTGTTCCACATAGATTTAGCCATCCCCTAAAAGAAATAGTCACAGTTAATCAAAAGGAAGCAAATGTATTGGTGCTCCCGAAAGAACATAAGCTTGAAGCTGAATGTTTTATCCATAATTTAAGATCAATGGTTCCACCTGAGACAAAAGATGTGATTGCCTCAGTTTCGTCAGTTCCATCAGAAACCAAAGATGTGTTTTCATCAGACTCTGCAAAAACATCTGCTCCAATAAGCTTTATACAGCAATCAAGAGACGCCTCTACTGAAAGAACAGACACTGTTGAAAGCCATTTCATTTCACTTGCACATTTAAATGAATTTGAAACCATTAGCAAGGACTATGAAATACCCAAGCTAGTCAAACCAGAAGCAATATTGCCTGTTATGTGTCAAAAAGAAATTATTCCTAAAAATCAAGATAAACCTATTAAAAGAAACATATTAAAGCTACCAAATGAAGATGAATTTGAAAGAAAGATAGATGGCACAAGTTGGAAATCTGATATCAACTTCGTTCCCCTAGAAAGGTCCCCTACACTTAGCTATGAACATCAGCTAAAGCATGTAGAGACCAATACAGCAGGAGATGGAAAAATGGAAGAAGAGCAACATCAGCCGCCAGTACTGGAGGTTGTGCCTCAAATTCCAGTATTCTCCAGTGTTTATTCAGAATCTTCAAAGGAGGATGTGGTAAAATCCAAACAAAATTTAATATCACTTACTGCTCCAGAATTACTTGGAATGGAAACAGATTTCTGTTCTTTAAGTGACTACTTTCATTCTTTCACTGATGGCACAAATCAGAAAATAATGCCAGAAAATGAACAGTCAGAAAAGTCAGATCTTTCCAAAACCACTGAATTAAAAAACAAAGGTGAAGCACAGAGTGGTGTAAAAGAAGTTGTAGAAGAATATAAATGTCAAGAACCTAAAAATAAAATACAAAGCATGGAAGAACCCTTAAAACATGAAGCAGTTTCTTTAAAGATGTCAAAACCAATTTGTGAAACTCCTAAAGTACATGAAGATAATACCTTCTCATTAACTGATTATCTGATATCAGTAGCACAGCAAGAAAAATCTGTTACTAAAACAGATAATGCAAAAGAAAAGGTATATCATGAGCCTGGTGTAAGCTCACTTGAAGAGGAAGAAGTAACATTTAAAGCTGTTTATGACTACTATAATCAACAACCTGAGTGGATTCGATCTTTGTCTCCAGAATCTGAAATGTCAATTGAAATGAGCAGTACCTGCAGTGATGAAATTGCAGAGCTTGAAAAGTTTTATACACCCCCATCATCAGCTGAAAATTCTCAGCTTCAAAAGTCACCAGATTCTTTTCATACTCCATGCGGAACTCCAGAAGGTTATGTCACTCCTCCCCAGTGCAGTTTCTCCGCTATTGAGAGCAATAGACCCTCCAATGGTACTGTGCTTGACAGACTCTTTTCTCCTCCCAAAATCTTCAGATCTCCTGAAGATGAAGGCATTGAAACAACACCACTCACTTTCAGCTTAGAGGAAGGAAGTTCCACAACAGAAGGACGTAGTTCAGGAGCTTTTGGAACACTTCAGGATATGGAGCCAAAACCCCAGGGAATTCCACCAGCTTTCATTAAACCAATAACAAAAAAAAGTGTTTTTGAAACAGAAGCTTTAGTATTTTGTGCTGAATTAACTGGAATACCATCCCCAGAGGTAAAATGGTACCAAAATAAAATTCAGCTAAAAACAGATCACAGGACAAAAATGGAAAGAGATGGGGATGTTTGTACATTGGAAATTCAAAGCGTGAGCAAGGCAGATGAAGGAGAGTATATATGCAATGCAGTTAATGGTTTTGGGGAAGCAAAAAGCATCACTCAAGTTGAAGTTATATCACTGGAGGCCAAATTAATGCCAACTTCTCCTGCAGTTACTCATCAGCATGTAATAGAATTTGATGTAGAAGATGATGCAACATCACGGTCACCCTCACCACAGGAAATTCTATTGGAAGTGGAACTTGATGAGAATGAAGTTAAGGAATTTGAGAAACAAGTGAAAATAATAACCATCCCAGAATACACTCCAGACAACAAAAGCATGATTATCTCTCTTGATGTTCTTCCTTGCCTATTTGATGAAAACACAGTAGACTTTATAACACAGGAGAGTGATGAACTAAAAATTGCTTTTGAAGTGACGGAAATGCCCCCTCGGTTTATAAACCCCATTTTTGACATGGAGACCCCAGAAAACACAGATGCAGTATTTGAGTGTTCTGTTACAGGGATGCCAGCTCCCACTGTTGCGTGGTTTAAAGATAGTGTTAGAATTCCCCAAGGTGACAGAAAATACATTTTTTCCTCAGAGAACAATAGTCATTATCTTAAGATAAAAAATGTTTGTTGTTATGACAGTGGCATATATTCATGCCAGGCAGTAAACCAAGTAGGTGAAACAATATGTAGGGCTTCCCTTGTTGTTTTAGATACACATACATATTTTGGTAAAGCAAGAGGAAAAGAAATAACTGCCATATCATTGGGCAGTGCCAAAGAGCAACCTCAGAAATTTGACTTGCTAGTGGGAAATTCAATGGTGCAAGGAGATCAGACCTCTGAAATCGAACTGGAATTTGAATTTGAGCATGAAACTGATGAATCCCAAAAAGCCTTGAGACTTGTAGCTGTGACAGACCATGAGCATAAGGAACAGGGGGAAAAATGTGTCAATATTAATTTTGATGTTTTTGCTGAATCTTCCAAAGAAGACATGATAGAATTTAAAGCTAAGGAATCAGACACTTGTAGTTTTCAGTTTCAAGTTACTGAATCTCCTCCAAAATGTTTGGTTCCACTTAAAAGTATAACTGCTGCTCTAGGGACTTCAGTGGTGCTTCAGTGCTTAGTTACTGGTACCCCAAGACCTACCGCAGAGTGGTACAAAGATGGAAAAGCTATTAAAAAAGACAGGTACATAATTCAGGAAAAAGCTTCTGGAAGCTTTAATTTAATTATTATGAATGTAAACAAAGCTGATGCTGGTGAGTTCAAGTGTATTGTTCGAAACACAGCAGGTTCCACTGAAACTGTTTGTTTGTTGAAAGTGTTTTAAAGCACATGAAAAACAAATTATTTCAAACAATATTAAATTACGCTGTCTAAATGAAATGGACACATTGAAGCTGATGGCCATTTTTGCATTTTGTTAGTTTTTGTGGCAAATTAGCCTATGCATTTTCTTCTTTTATTTAAGATTAAAAGAGATTAAGAGGATATATTAAAAATAATTTAATGTAGGAAATAAAAAACTCAACACAAGAAGCAGAGTCTTGTGAAATTGGTTGGTTAAAGGCATTATTTTATTATCAAATGCGGTTATTTGTCATGAAATCATACGCAGCAAGACTTTAGACAATTAGGCTAGTAGTCATGAATTCTGTACTGTACTTATTCAAATTTATGCGTCCTTCCCTCCACCACAAAATAGCTGTAACAAGGGTGAACGATAAAAAAATTCTAAAATATAATCATTTTATATTCTAAGGTTTTGACTGCTTGCTTAATCATTTTATAAATATTTTTACTTTCCTGTGTACATTGTAAAAAATGCACAGATTAGCCAGCTTTTTCTTTGGGTAACTGTGTGCTCGGGTTTCCATAGTTTAAATTATTTAAAATTAATTTTCTGAAACAAATAAAACAAAGTAAAACAAGATTACATTTGTAAACCTTAACATTATAGTGCTAAACTTACAGCCTTCAAATTGCTAGGTGGAATATTAGTGTATTTTTTAAATGCAAGACTTTTATGTTTTTGCCTGCTAATATTCTACAAAATATAAAATGAAGATGATGCGTGAAACTTAGCTCAATAAAACTCTATTAGACCTTCATCCATTCCCTGTACAGGATCAATCTATGGTTGATAATGCTGAATTACATTATATAGTTTAGTTTTTTTTAAAGTATGGTGATTTAAAATAACAGATGTAATATAGAAACTGCATTATCAAAACACAGTTCATATTGCATTAATACATTTTTTTGTGGGGTTTAAATACATTTTAGTGTAGTCACAATGTATACAATAGAAACAACAAAAATACTAAGAATGAAAAGTGAATGAAGTGCAAAAATACTTTAAGAAAGTTAGATAAAAATGTATTCTCAGTGAAACTGCTTTGTTTGTAAAATATTTTCTGCTTTCTCTGATGTGTATGTGATGCCATTTTTATGGTTCTATAAATAAATATGTTTTGAAGAAAATATTTATATGATTTTTGATTTATTGAAAACATTATGCAAAAGATTCTTGAAGCTTTATTGGTAGGGGGTGCCTTAGAAACCACCTCTAATAATAAATACATCTATTTGACTTTTTATGTGAATGTTTTAGTAAAACTTTTAACTTTATCATTTTTCACACAGAATTTTCTAGCTTGACTGTCACATCTGAAGAAGAGAAACAAGAATCCTACAGCAGTGGCCTACGATTATCAGAAAAAACCAAAACATTTGAACTCAAGCCAGAATCTAAACGTTATTCTAGCACAATAGAAAAGAAGAAAGAAAAGGAAAAAGAGCCAGTTTTTCTTAAACAATTGTCTCACATAGAGGTTACTGTTGGAGAAATTGCTAGGTTTACCATCACGGTTACTGGTATCCCAAAACCCAGAATTCAGTGGTTTCATAATGGCATGATGTTGACTCCTTCATCAGATTATACATTTTCTCAGGAAAACGATGAGTACACATTGACTATTCACCGAGTAAAGATTGAACATGAAGGAGAGTATTCTTGCACTGCAAATAGTATACATGGTCAGTCATCTTGTAGTGCTTTTCTCCGGGTCAAGACAAAAGCAATAACAGGTGGATTAAGAAGGACATCTGCAGTAGAAAAGAGAGTTATCCAGGAATCTGCGTCCATTAAGACTGAACACAGAGTAGAGAAAACCTTCAAAGTGACTGGACAGCCCCCTCGATTTATAAAAACAATAGAACCTGCACAGTGCACAGAAGGAAGTCAAGCTAAATTTGAATACAAAGTATCAGGGGAACCTCTCCCTGAAATACAGTGGTTCAGGGGTAGCTACCAGATTCAGCCAAATATCTATTTCACAATTGTGCACAACTCTGATGGCTCTGGCTTCTTATATTTAAAAAATGTTCAGCAAGATGACAGTGGCCTTTACACTTGCAGAGCATTCAACCCAACCGGAGAAGCCTCCTGTAGTGCTGAACTGCTTGTGTTTAGGGACACATATGCTGTTTCTCGACACAAAGAGCACACAGTTGTTCAGAAGGAAATGGCTTACAAAGTTTCAACAAGTGAGCAAGCAACTGAATCCCATCTATACATGGTAAACTTGCCAGGGGAAGCAAGAGTTAATCTCCAAGATAGACATCAGATGGTGTACACAATTGGTACAGAGGACAGACAGTCAGTAAGCAGTGAAGAGGTACGCTCATTACGGGAACTGGATATCTCAGCAGCTTCATTGCATAGGGAGCATGTTCCTACTCACCAAGCTGCCATTTTACAATCTCAAGAAGTTGAAGAGCATGTCACAGATTCAATCACTGAAGCTGTTCTTGAATCAATCGTTCCAGTGATGAGACAGCTACATACAGCGGCCTTTACTTCTTCTGTACAAGAAAGCCAAGGGTTTACAGAGCAGCACTGTGATCCAATACAAAAACCAGAAGCCATTAAACTTGAAGTATCAAAGGAAAGACCTTCAAAACTAGTTTCAGCTGTTGCTGAAGAAATAGTCCCTTTAAGTTCTGTGAAATCAGAAACTTTAAGTGACAAGAAGACAGAGCATTTGGTGCCAGGTCTTGAACCCAAGCCCATGGTATATAGCCATCAAGTGGAAAGTAAGATTCCACTTCCAAAAGAGGAATCATACATTCTTCAGATACCAGATGTTGAAAGAGGTTATAGGGTTAAAGAAGGTGTTAAAATATTATACACTGCTGTGGCATCAGAAAAGCAAAATATTTCTGAAGCCCATTCCACTGAGCTATCAGTTTCTGAAGATGCCACAAAAGCTACTGCAGTAAAAGAATTAGCTAAGCCAATTTTAATACCTGTTACTGAAATCCAAAAATCCTTACCGAAAGAACAACAATTTGTCTTAGAAAGAGCAAAGGAGGAAAAGGTCACTTTAACAAAGGACACATTATGGAAATCAGCTTTAATTGCTGAGGAAAAGCAACAGCTCAAAGGTGAACACACAGAACAAATTCCAGGATTAGAAAGTGCTGTCTCTGTTCATTCTCAAAAGGAAGAAGAACAACTGGTGCATTTGCAGGTTATAATGGAACAGGATGCATTACCAGCGGAAGGTAGATTTAGTTGTGAGGTACCACCAGAAGAACAAGCAGAAATTCGAAAAAGCCCCACTTTGATGCATACATCAATCACAGATGAACAGAAATCTATAATTTGTGAAGAGACTTCTCTGCTTTCTGCCAAAGAAAGTGCATTTTCTGTTCAACCTACAAAAGAAAGTCCAGCTAAGTTACATCTTCAGTCTGTACAGGAAGAATGTGCATTGCCAAAGGAAGGCATATTAAGCTTTGAGAAGCAAGAACCCCACAAAGCTGTTCAGAGACTCGAAAAAGCACGTAGACAGGCAGTTATAGCAGAAGAAAAAAGGGAATTTTCAGCTGATTATTCTACTGATCTTGATGTAGCAGTTAAAGGAATTCATACTGAACATACAACTGAACCTCTGCCTCAGACGTGTCTTCAAGTAATTACAGAATCCACTCAATTACCAAAGGAAAGCCCATTCACAACAGATGTGAAGCAGCAGCGTGCATTAGTGCAGAAAGAAGACCGCTGGAACATAATGCATTTAACAACAGTAGAAGAGAGCAAGGCTTTGGAAGAGGGCCACACAGATACTTTTAAGGGAATTGAAAGATTCACATGTGAGGCAAAGGTGGAACCTAAATTTCCATCTGAGCCAATTCACATTGAAGAGAAAGCAGTTACAACAGAAAGTAGTATTGTTTTAGAGGCTGCTGAACAGGACTTTGCTGACTGGATTCAGGAAGGGCAGTGCATAAGACTGCCATTGTTGACTGAAGAAAAACAAATTATAATTGGTGAACGATCTAAAGAGCTAACTAGATCAGAAGCAACAACACTTCATATAAAAACACAGACAAAAGGAGCTATGCAAGTCCATGAAATACAGGAAACTAGAGTTCTACCAAAAGAGCTTACTTTTGTTATCCAAACACCCAAATCTTTCAGTTTGGACATTAGAAAACAACTAAGAAGTGCACTGCAATCTGCAGTAGCTAGCGAACGACCTTTACTTTTGGCTGAAGTTTTAGGGTGTTTGGAAGACATAAAGATAAAGGATGTAAAAATCTGTAAAGAACCAAAATATGAAATGTTTACATACCTTATTACTACAAGCAGTTCCCCACCTATGGAAATAACGATTGCTTTTGAAGGAGAATATCCTCAGACTGCTGATCTAAAAAATGAACTTCAGGCAGCTTTTCAGTCTATTATTCATCGGGAACAGCACGTCCTGTCCTCTGAACAACCAGGGATCATGCAAATTGATAGGCCTCAAAGGTTACATGTTAGCAGTGCACCTTCCAAAGAAATGTTATCATCTGTAATAGAAACTGTTAGTTTAACTGAGTCTGTCTCAGACTTTGCACCTCCCAAAACACAGTCAGCTGCACTTAGAACCCAAGTTCAGCCATCAATCCAAACTGTAACGGCTCAAGATCGAACTTTGTTGCAGGAGTCAATTGATTCATCTTCAAAGCGTTCAATGAGTGCACAAGTGATTGAAGTAACCACAGAAACAAAAATGGATTTTCAGGAGCAGTTGTCTGTTCAGGAAGTTAAGACAGTGACAGTAAAAGGTCGTGAGAGAGATGTTGGGGTAGCAGTTATCACTACAGACATGCCTTTAGCACCAATTCCGGTTGAACAGTCTGTGGATGTTCGTATAATGCAAGAAAGAAAACAGGAAATTTTGAAAGAAGAAACAATTATATCCAAAGCCAAAGGAAAAGTGAAAGACATTCCTGTTATAACAAGGGCTCCGGAAGACATTTCTGCAGAAGAACATAGTAAAGTTACTATCAGTGTAAATGTAGCTAATGCCAAAAAGGTAAACTGGCTTTTCAATGGAAAATTGGTTTCATCTGGCAAAGAGTTCAAATGTTTAAAGGACCATGATACTTATACTCTTGTAATCAACAAAACAATCAAGGAGAACCACGAAGGAGAATATATCTGTGAGGCAGTGAATGAAGCTGGAAAGACCTCAACATCATCGAATCTCACAGTTTTCTTAAGAGGTTGGATAATGGGGATATTATAACTACTCAAAAAACTAACAATGTTTAAATTTATAACTCAAAAAATTACTTTTTTGAGTTCAATTATACTTTTAACACAAAATATATAATCTTTCACCCTTTTAACTCTTTAATCTTTGACCTTACATTTTGGTCTATCTTTCTTCTCTTTTTATCTTGAACTTTTGAAATTCTTCTTTTTAGTTATCCCATCTTACTTATCAATAGAATATAGTCTGAAGCTTTTGTGAAATATTACCTTTAATCACTTTTCATCTTGAATCTTTACTAATTCCTTTCTCAAAACTTCCATCCCCATATCCACTTCACTGTTGTTTTTCTTTTACTTATTCACCTTTTTGTTTAAAGGACATCGATTCACTTCATCATTCCCTATAATGCATATCATTTTCATCATCTGGTCCATTTTGTGCCAACCTGCACAAGAATTCAGTTGTGTGCATGCTTTGTTAGGCATCAAATCATATTTTCATCATTCACTAAGCGTTCATTTTTAAAAACGGTGATGGTTTTCTTCCTTCTAACCTCTTTTGACAGCCACTTTTTTTCACAGTCACTCCCTGGATTGCTAGTGTTTGCACCCCTATCATTTTTGTTCCAGCTGATCACCTCCCTACTTAACATTTTACACTTTATATGTGTGAATATACTAATTTTTTCTTCTTTTTTTCAAAATGTAGTTCCACCTGTTTTCAAGAAGAAAATTCAACCCCAGGAAGTCATTCTTGGAAATCCTGCAAAATTTGAGTGTGAGATTGAAGATGCACCAAACGTGACCTTTAAGTGGTTTAAAGCTGGCAGTGAGATCCGAGACGGTGACAGATGCCGAATTGTCAGCCGGTACTACATGTCCTCATTGGAAATTCCGAATCCACAACTGACAGATAGCGGTGAATATACTTGTAAAGCTTCTAATCAACATGGCAGTGACAGCTGTATGGCCTCCCTAAAAGTAGCAGGTAAGTTTACTTCTATGATTATTGGGTAGTTTAAGTGTTTTTTTGGTTTCCCAATGAGCTATTTTTTGCATGAAGCTTGATGAAATCAGGAACAAATTTCAGATAAGAAGATTTTTTATTAAATTTTGACCATGTGTTCGATTGATTGGTTTGTCATAATTCTTTTAAAGAAATTACTTCTCTTGTATTATGTGTTATAGGAATGACAATTTATTTATTATATCTTCATGGTATGTTGGGGTAGCTACATCATTTTTACAGTTTTATTCTTATAATAACGAAAAAATAATAACGCAGATTTTTATTTCTTTTTTTATCTTTTAGAAGTTTTCCCTCCAGTCTTTGTAGCTAAGCCAGAGCCAATGACTTTATTTGTGGGAAAAAGTGCAAGAATACAGTGTTTAGTGACTGGTTCTTCGCCAATGCATATTGTTTGGCAAAAAGGCAATGTTGCCATTTCTTCAGAGGCAAATTATAAGATTACAGCTGATAACAACAAACACACTCTTGAAATTCAAAATCTTCAACTTGTAGATCAGGGTATTTACTTTTGCAAAGCAACAAATGGAGTTGGAACCGACATGTGCAGTGCTGAACTGAAGGTGATCGATAAACCACATTTTGTAAAATCAATTGAACCATTGTCAGTTGCTGTCGGGCACCCTATACGACTTGAGTGCCAAGTGGATGAAGATACAGGAGTAACCATCACTTGGAGCAGAGATGGAAAAAAGCTCCATCACACCATGGATTACAAAATTATCTTTGAAGAAAAGGTAGCAATTCTTGAAATTCCAAATGCAAAGCTTAAGGACTCTGGAAACTATGTTTGCACTGCTACAAATGATGCTGGGGGCAGTACTTGCTCTTCTTCTATAATTGTACGAGGTAAGGTGTGAGTTAATTTTCCCTTTCTTATGTTAACGGATAAAAATTATTTAATGAGGGAAAATTAGCAATAATAGAAGTGTGAAAAGATAACATGTTCACAATGCAAGGTCTGTCTTTCCAGACACCTCTTTTACAGTCTTCTTAATTGGTGCCTTGGTATTCTTGGTATTGCTTGGTATTGGTGTTCTGTAATCTTCATTTCTCTAAACGTTTCTTCTTCTTGGTTCTTTCCTGTGCAGAAATCTGTTCTTTTCTCTGAATTGACTTTTTTCTTCGCATGTTACAGTATTTGTACAGTACGTACCAAGATTTATTTTTCCTGAGCATTCAATTTTAATGCCTTTAAAATACTTCCCATAGAGCCCCCATTATTTATTAAGAGGTTGGAGTCCAAGCTTCTGTGGAAACATGGTGGGACAGCACGGATGCAGTGCTCAGTGAAAGGCTCACCTGAACTTCATGCTGCCTGGTTTAAGAATGACAAGGAATTACATACAAGTGATAAATACAAGATAACCTTCACTGACTCTGTGGCAGTCTTAGAAATAAGTGATGTTAGTGTTTCTGACAGTGGAAATTACACATGTGAAGTTTTAAATGAAGCTGGTTGTGAAAGCTGCAGCACTCAAGTAACAGTAAAAGGTGTGTATTAATACATTCATCAGTTTAATTTTAACCCTTTTAGTAAGACTTATTATTCTGTGGCTATATAACATTGTTACATTCAATCTTTTCTTCCTTAGAACCCCCTTATTTTAAAAAGGAATTGAATCCGGTAGAGGTAGTGAGGGGATCTACTACAACACTTGAATGTGAGCTCGCTGGTACTGCTCCTTTTGATGTGAACTGGTTTAAAGATAAGAAACCAATTAAAACTGGTAAAAAACACAAAATTACCTGTGAAGGTGCCATTGCCTCTTTGGAAATTTCTTCATTTGAAACAATAGATGCTGGAGATTACCAGTGTTTTGTATCTAATGATGTTGGCAAAACTTCATGTAGATCTACTGCGAAGTTGAAAGGTTAGTAAGGTTAAAGAGTATGCTCTCATAAAAAAGAATATTAAATTATTGCACTTTAAACTATAAACATTTTTGTTAATAAAAATGTTCTTCAATCTAGAACCTCCCTTGTTCGTTAAGAAGATTGAAAACACTTCTGTGGTTTTGGGGGATCCTGTTAAATTGCAATCAACTTTGAAAGGCTCAGCTCCTATTTCAGTTAAATGGCTGAAGGATTCTGAGATACTGAAAGAGGATTCTAACACCAAAATTACATTTGAAAATGGAGCTGCTACTTTGAAAATAGCAACTGTTAACCCTAGCCACAGTGGCAGATATACATGTCAAGCTGAAAATGATGCTGGGTTTCAGAAATGTGAAGCTATTTTATCAGTACAAGGTTAGTGCATACCTTCATTTCAGAAGTTGAAAATTAAATAAAACATTTTTTTAGCCATGAATATATTATAATGTAAAATGCTTTGATCCCTTTTAGAGCCTGCTAAAATTGTAGAAAAAATGGCATCGATTAGTGTGACAGCTGGAGACCCAGCAACTTTGGAGTGCACTATAACAGGAAGTCCGGAACTGAAAGTAAAGTGGTTCAAAAATGGAAAAGAGATGGGTTCCAGCAGAAAATATAAAATAAGCTGCAAAGATAATATTGCCATGCTAAAGATTCTTGCTGCAGAAAAAGGGGACAGCGGAGAATATGTGGTTGAAGTGGCAAACAGTGTTGGAAAGGACAAATGTTCTTCTTCTATTACTGTGCTTGGTTAGTTCTGACCCTCTTTAATTATTGTTTCCAAGCTTTTTTTCAATAAGGTTTACTGCAGACCTAATGGATTCTGTTCTTTAAAAAGCATTTTGTTATTCATTAAACAGATCGTATCATTTCACCATCATTTACAAAACCTCTAAGAAAGGTCGATGGAATTCTAGGTACCAGTGTAAACATGGAAGGCAAAGTCTCTGGTTCTCAACCTATGACGATTTCCTGGTACAAAGATGAAAAAGAGATCTCAGCAAGTGTGAAACACCAAATGGAATTCAAAGAAAACACAGCTACACTGGGAATTAGCCGATTAGAAAAGACTGATGCTGGAATCTATACCTGCCGAGCAACAAATGCAGCAGGGAGCAAGGAGAGCAGTGGAACTGTAATTGTAAAAGGTTTGAAGAGCAACACAGATTTTTACATCTTTAAAAAAAATCTTTGAATTTATTAATGATTTCTTCAAGGTCAATCCACTGTATTAGTTCATTTAGTATATTTTAACTATAAGTTCCTCTCTTAGTTTTGATTTATGGTATTTATTCTATGGAAACACAACCTCTTTGTAGAACTTTAAACCAAACCTCTTGGTAATTTTTTTATCTTGTTATTTATTTGAGATTAAACATCTTTTTTCCTCCCCCCGAACAAAATGTAGAGCCACCTATCTTCACCGTAAAACCAGACTCGCAAGATGTAATACCTGGTTCAACTGTGATCCTGCGGAGTGCTTTTACTGGAACAGCCCCATTGTCAATTAAGTGGTTTAAGGGTGATATGGAAATGACAACTGGTGGAAGATGTTTTATCAAAAAGGAAACATCCTCAAGCTTTCTGGAACTTCATTCAGTGAAAACCTCTGATTCAGATAATTACACTTGTCAAGTTAGCAATGATGCTGGAAAGGTGACATGCACCGCTGTCTTGTTTGTGAAAGGTGCTCTTCTTCTTCTGCTTCTTTATTTCTCTTGTATTTATGCCATTCCAAATCTTCTTGCAAACTTACCAGTGCCTTTTACCTTATAGAACCTCCATCATTTGTAAAGAAGCTTGAGTCATCGAAACTCTCAATGAGTGGATCCCCTGTTGTTTTGGAATGCAAAGTAACTGGTACTCCTGAAATCAAAATTAAATGGTTCAAGAATGAAAGTGAAATCAGTATGAGTAAGAAATATCGAATGTCCTTTGACAACTCAATGGCTGTTTTGGACATTGTCAACACAGATGTTGATGACAGTGGTGATTACATTTGTGAAGCATTCAATGAAGCCGGCAGCGATCGATGTAGCAGCATGATTACAATTAAAGGTTTGATTAACTTTCTAAAATCTCTTTCTTTAAGTAAGAGAAAGTGAATGGATGTTTAAATATTTAAACATTTAAATTGTTTTTCTGTGTTTTAGAACCTCCTGAATTTACAAAGGCTTTTGAGTCAAAGGATGTTGTCAAAGGTTCTGATGTTATTTTGGAAGGCATGGTGTCTGGCTCAGCTCCTTTTGATATAATGTGGTATAAAGACAATAAACCTGTCAGGAGTGATAAAAGGCACCAGATGAGCTTGCAAAATGGTGTAGTTGCTCTTCAGATTCTGAAATGTGATGCAGCAGATGTTGGAAGTTATCAGTGTACAGTATCAAATGAAGTAGGGAAGTCTTCCTGTGACTGCAGATTAACACTGAAAGGTTGGTAGCAAATCCAAAAATTGACAGCTTGATATTTGGGAATTCCTACATTTTGAGAAATAGCAAGCAGTGGGTTTTCTAATCTTCTTGCAATGTATACTTTTGTTTTACTAGAACCTCCATCATTTGTGCAGAAGCTTGAAAACATGAGTTCCTTGGTAGGAAGTGTAATTACAATGCAATGTACCCTGAAAGGTTCAGTGCCAATCACTGTCTCCTGGATCAAGGATAATCATGAAGTGACAATCAATGAGAATGTAAAAATTTATTTTGAGGACAATGTTGCCACACTGTATATCAGTGATATTCAGACACATCATACTGGAAAGTACACATGTCAGGCAAAGAATGACGCTGGGGCTCAGAAATGCTCTGCCTCGTTAGTAGTAAAAGGTTAGTTGTAATGTACATATTTTCTACTTATTTACCGATTATTACATTGAATTTTAAAATTATGGATTTTGAACTTGTCCAGAAGAAATGGTAATGTTATTTGTAAGTATTGTTCACAGTTACTGCTTTTTATTACAGTGTACAGTGTTAATAATAAATATAAATTAAAGGAATTTGACAGACCTTGAAAAGAAAATAACTAAAGCATGTTAAAACGTTTTAGTTTGGATAGGTTTTTCATTTTTATTATATATTATTTTTATTCACCATGAATACATTCTAGAGTTAACTTTTCTATAAACAAAAATGGTCCTTGTACAAATGATTCTCTTGTTTGTCACAGAACCTGCAAACATTACTGAAAAAGCTAAGTCGATCAGTGTCACTGCTGGGGATCCAGCTGCATTGGAATGTAGATTTTCAGGAACCAAAGTACTTAAAGCTAAGTGGTTCAAGAATGGGAAGGAACTAACATCAGGCAAGAACTATAAAATCCTCACTACGGAGAAAAGCTCTTTGTTAAAGATTGTTTCAACAGAAAAGATTGATGGTGGAGAGTATACATTTGAAATTTCCAATGATGAGGGTTCCAGCACATGTCAGGCCACTATTACAGTTCTAGGTTGGTATACAGAGAAAGTAGAATTTATTTATATTTTTTAAGTTATATGGTTGGTTTAACGATACATGGCTGACATTGATTCTTGTTTTGTTGGCTAGATCAAATAATCAAGCCGTCTTTCACAAGAAAACTCAAACCAGTGGATAGTATCAAAGGATCTTTTGCCCACCTGGAATGCCTTGTGTCTGGTTCCCTCCCAATGAATGTAGTTTGGTACAAAGACGATAAAGAGATATCAACTGATGAAAAACACAAGTGCACACTTTATGAAAATACTGCATTTTTGGAAATAAGCCGTCTTGACAGTTCTGACAGTGGGACGTACTCATGCATTGCAACAAACAAAGCAGGAAGTGACCAGTGTTCTGGTTCATTAATTGTAAAAGGTTTGCAGACTTTTATGTTGTTCATCTTCATATGTTTGTTTTGCAAAGGTGACAGGGTCAATCTTATAGTGTTTAGAGTTTGCAAAGTAATTCTTGAGGGGATCACCCTAGAACTAAAAAAGAATCCAAGCAACAATGAGTAGTTTTTCAATTAAACTCCTGAATCTTAGTAAAATGTTAAAATGAAAGTAAGAGAGAACTGAAAACTGAAAGAGAAAAACCAAAGAAGACTAAGTGGACTTGCGCCACATTTCCATTCTACCAAACCATTGCTTATTCTGCCCACTTCTTAATTATTTTGGAGAAAATTCTTAAAGCCTTTAGTTGTTGAGATACACTAAAAGTTATATTTTTACAGAATATAATCTTAAAACAATTTAGTATGGATTTTTACATTGCTTAATTTTAATAAAAGCTTCCAAATATATATATATACTGTATAAGTTGCATAATTGTGTTTTTTATTTTTAAGAGCTTTCTCTCTCTCTTTAATCGTATATAGAACCACCAACCATTGTAGAAAAACCTTTGTCAAAGGATGTTTTACCTGGATCACGAGTGCAGTTTAAAGTTCTTTTTGGTGGCACTCCACCATTGACCATAAAGTGGTTTAAAAACAATAAGGAGCTTGTGTCTGGATCCTCTTGCTCTGTCTGGAAGGATAACACAGCAAGCTTGCTGGAACTCTTCTCTGCAAAGGCTTCAGACTCTGGAGATTACTCTTTTGAGATCAGTAATGACGTTGGCTCTGACGCTTGTAAAGCAACACTCTTTGTCAAAGGTTCTTATTTAATCTTTAATCTTTTTCTCAATTATTGTGGTATTCCACTTAAGTCATCTACCATGTTGTGATATTTTATGCATGCTTTTATTTTTAGAACCTCCAAAATTCACACAGAGGCCTGAAAGCATAGCACTGTTGAAGCCAGGACAAAGCAAGACATTTGAATGCCGGGTGGTAGGCACCCCTGAAATAAAAGTTTGCTGGTTTAGAGATGGAAATGAAATAAGTCCCAGTGGCAAATATAAAATGTCCTTTGATAACTCCCTGGTGAGTTTGGAAGTTATCGGGGCTGACATGGGAGACAGTGGAATTTATGTCTGTGAGGCACGCAATGACGCTGGTAGTGAAAGTTGCAGCATTGAACTGAATGTAAAAGGTTAGTATACAGAGATTGGAATTCTGCAGTTTTGATATCAGTTGTGTTTTTCTTAAAAAGGGTAAGTGTATCTGCTGAACCTGATTAATTCTTTCTTTTTTCAGAACCTCCTGTGTTTATAAAGGAATTATTACCCACTGAGGTTGTAAAGGCTTCTGATTTGTTGCTTGAATGCCAAGTAATTGGTACAGCCCCATTTGAAGTTAACTGGTATAAGGATGCTAAAGAAATCAGAAGCAGTAAGAGGCATACAATTTCACAGTCAAATGGTATTGTTAACCTACATATTCTGAAATGTGACACTTTAGACGCTGGTGAATACCAGTGTACTGTAGCAAATGAAGTGGGAAGTTGCTCCTGCAGGGCAGTGATACGAATGAAAGGTTAGTACTTACATAAACACCAAACTATTGGTTTTGTTGGGTTGTAATATTTTTTTATTAAACTTAGCTAAGAAACATTTCTGTATCTTATTAAACCCAGAACCACCATCATTTGTGAAGAAGGTCCAAAATGTTGCCACGGTTTTAGGAAATTCAGCTCAATTTCAGTGCACTGTGACTGGATCACCTCCTTTGTCAGTAAAATGGCAGAAAGATGAAGAATGGGTCTTGGAAGGTCCTAATATTGAGATGAAATTTGAGAACAATGTTGCTTCTTTGCAAATTGCTGTAGTAGAAGCAAGTCATGGTGGGAGATATACTTGCCAGCTTATGAATGATGCAGGCATGGTAAAGTGCTTTGCTACTCTGTTGGTGCAAGGTTAGTTTTTTTTTTCTTTGTTGTATTGTTGCTTGACTGACACAGATTTATTCAATTTAATATTTTTTTATTATATCTTATTTATAACATTCTAATTTATATTATTTTTCAGAACCTGCCCAAATTACAGAGAAACCTGAGGCAATAAGTGTAACTGCAGGTGATCCTGTCAGTTTAGATTGTAAAGTTGCAGGCACCCCTGAACTCAAAGTTAAATGGTTTAAAGATGACAAAGAGCTTACACCTAGCAGGAAACATAAAATCAGTTTCCTGAATAATTTGGGAAGCCTTAACATTCAGTCTGCACAAATTGATGATGATGGGGAATATACCTTTGAGGTCTGCAATGACATTGGAAGCTGCAGTTGTAAAATGTATTTGACCGTTCTAGGTTGGTGCTTAATTTATTTGTTTTAAAGTATGAAGAATCATTCATATAAAATAAAATTGGAGATGCAATCCTTACATTTTTTTTGTATTGTATACAGAACAAGTAATAGCTCCATCCTTCCTCAAACCACTGACGGAAATGCAACACATTTTGGGATCTTTTGTTCGAATGGAGTGCAAAATTACTGGTTCACTTCCTATAAGTGTGGAATGGGAAAAGGACGGCACTCTCATATCTGGTAGAACAAAATATAATCTTGCCCATGAACTGAACACTGTGTCCTTGGAGATTGAGCACTTAGAGAAAACTGATGCGGGGATGTACACTTGTAAACTATCAAACGAAGCAGGAAGCTGTGAATGCAATGGTGCACTAGTGGTTAAAGGTCAGAATAAATATTATTTAATTTGAGAATTTTTTCAATCTCTTTTTTTCCTTTTCAAATCACTGACTCTTCTTGATTACTGCTGAAGGTGTCTGTTGCTTATTGTAGTTCATTCTTTCTTTTTTCTTAATACACTTTTAGAGCCACCAGGTTTTGTGGTGAAACCAGAACCACAGACCGTTCTTCCTCTTTCTACGGTACATTTTAAGAGCACCTTAAAGGGAACACCTCCTTTTACAGTGAAATGGTTGAAGGACGACAAAGAAATAATAACTGGACCAACCTGCATTATTGGACTGGAGGGCCTCTCTTGCTTTTTAGATCTTTATTCTGTTGGAGTTTCACAAAGTGGAATTTATACTTGTCAAGTTAGCAATGATGCTGGTACAGCAACCTGTACAACAAACTTACTTGTAAAAGGTTTGAACTTCTTATTTTCTTGCATCATTTATGCCATCTTCATCATTTTCCACTTCCGCTTTTACTGTGCTTATTAATTTTGTCAATTCTGTTGCAGGCTCTTAACTTAAACATCTTAAACCAAAGCCATTTTTCTTATCCATATCTTCACAATCTTCTTTGTTCCTTTCATGTCCTCTTATGGTTTTATTCATGTTTATCTTGCTATTGACTTGTGTCTTAATATTTTGGTTTTGCAGAACCTCCGACATTTGTTACGAAACTTGAGTCTTCAAAGGTTGTGAAGCAGCATGAAAAGTTGCACCTTGAATGCAAAGTATCTGGATCACCTGAACTGCAAATTTCTTGGTTCAGAAATGACAATAAGATCACAGAGAATGAAAATTTCAGAATATCCTTCATCAACTCTGTGGCAGTTTTTGAAATTGTGTCAGCAACCCTTGATGACAGTGGAGACTACACCTGTGAAGCTCAGAATGATGCTGGGAGTGTCAGCTGCAGCACTACACTGACAGTAAAAGGTCAGGAAGTGGAATGAATAATGTTTTATTTGTAAATTCTGAAAAGTTCTAGAAAGTTAAGTGACTTTTGGTCTAAATGTTCTCCTATTCCTTATCCAGCTAATTGAATTGGTTACAACTGTTGAAATAATCTCTTTTTTTCTAGTAAATTAGGAGAGAACAGAATTTACTTTTGTACATTTAGAAAAGGAAGCTGTTTATTTTACAAATAATTCAACTAGTTTTATAAAAGTTTGTAAAGATACACTTAAGTTAAATTAAATAATACATTATTTGAAAAAGAAGAAAAACATTTCTCAGAAAATCGCAAAACAGTGCGGGGCTAACTTACTGAAATATATGAATCACTGTTGCCTTTTCCAGAACCACCAACTTTCTTCAAAGTACCTGAACCCCTGGAGGGCATGAAAGGCAAAGATGTTAGTCTTGAATGTGAACTTTCAGGTTCAGCACCTTTTGATATTACCTGGTACAAAGACAAAAGGCAAATTAAAGACAGTAAAAAGTACAAAGTCACCCATGAGGGATACCATGCTACTTTGCACATTCTGAGTCTTGAGGCTTCTGATGTTGGTGAATATCAATGCAAAGCAGCAAACAATGTGGGAAGTGAAAGTTGCACTTGCATTGTAAAACTCAAAGGTTAGTATAGATGTGAATATGAACTGATGTTTAATGTTCACTATACTGTTTTACAATACTCTTATTAATCTTGGTCTTCTTAAACTATTCAGAGCCACCTGTGTTTGTGAAGAAACTTTCAAATGTGACTGCTGTCTCTGGAGAAGAAATAACTTTAGGTGCTACTATTAAAGGATCACAACCAATTACCGTGTCTTGGATTAAAGGCAAGGAAGATGTTCTTCGAGAGAGTGAAAATACCAAAATCTCCTATGAAAAGAATGTGGTAGCTCTGAAGATATTTAATGCAGAACCAAAAAATGCTGGCAAATACATTTGCCAGATAAGAAATGATGCAGGAATGGTGGAATGTATGGCATCCTTAGCTGTTTTAGGTTAGTACAAGAAATTTAAAAAAATACATGCTCTTTTTATTTCTTATTTCATTATGGCCCATTGTTTTTAACATGTATGTCTTAGTAAGCAAATAAACTTGAATGTCTTTCAGAACCTGCCTCAATCGTGGAAAAACCAGAACCCATCCGTGTTACAGCAGGGGATCCTGCAGCATTAGAATGTACTGTGGTTGGTACACCAGAGCTGAAAGCAAAATGGTTTAAGGATGGTAAAGAGTTGGCATCTGGCCGTAAATATAAGATTACATTTTCAAAAATGGTTTCCACTCTTAAGATTTTGTCTGCAGAAAAAGGGGACACTGGAGAGTATATGTTTGAGATAAACAACAATGTTGGCAGTGACAGCTGTAAAACATCTGTTACTGTTTTAGGTTAGTAATTACAATCTTCTCTTGCTCCACAATTACAAATTTATGGAAATGTCTCTTTGTTTTCTTTAAGAAGCTCATCTTTAATAACCTTTCTCTAAACAGATAAAATTATACCTCCTACATTCACAAGGAAATTAAAGAACACTACTGCAGTTTTGGGAACAGCTGGAAAGTTGGACTGCAAAGTATCTGGATCTCCACCATTATCTCTTTTTTGGTTCCATAATGGGGAAGAGATAGCAGATGGAATAAAACATCAGGTTACATTCAGTGAAAATACATGCACTTTAAAAATTCAGACCCTAGAATTATCAGATGCTGGACATTATGAATGCAAAGCAACTAATAGTGCTGGGTCTGATGAATGCAGTGCTTCTTTGATTGTAAAAGGTCAGTAAATACACACGATTTTGACTCATATCTTATAATAAAAATGTGATTTCTTAAATGCCCTTCAAAGCATTCATCTTTGTATTTCTTAAATTAATTGTTTATCCTTTTTGACTTTACATCTTGGATGCCTTTTTTTTCTTGATTTAGAGCCTCCATCTTTTGTGAAAAAGCCAGAACCTTTGGAAGCTCTACCTGGGTCCAATGTTACATTTATGGGGATTGTTGCTGGAACCCCTCCACTTAAACTGAAATGGTTCAGGGGCAGCACAGAAATTGTTTCTGGAAGACACTATGCAATTTCTTTACAAGACACAGTAGCAACCCTGGAACTGTTCAAAGTAGACTCATCAAAAACTGGAGAGTATACCTGTGAGATAAGTAATGATGCTGGAAAGGATAGTTGCACAACAAACCTGTTGGTGAAAGGTTGGTTAATGTATTGTTTTAAAGGGAATGCATTATTTATGGAAAATTCTGTGTTGCTCTTGATCTGTCTAGCTATGAAAGTATTTCTTTTAATTTATTCCTATATTGTTTTCTTTAGAATCTGCACACTTTTTGAAGAAATTGAAGGATTCTAGTGTTGAAAAGGGGAAATCTCTGTTTCTTGAGTGTACATATTCTGGGACTCCACAAATATCTGTGACATGGAGAAAGGATGACATTGAAATTACATCTTCAGATAAATACAATATAACAACTACAGAGACGTCCTGCATCTTGGAGTATATTCACAGTGACAAAGATGCTGGTGGAAAATACTCTTGTGAAGTTGTAAATGAAGCTGGAAGTGATACTTGTGAAGCTGTAGTCTCAATATTAGGTTTGTGTATCTTACTTTAACCATATCTAAACATTACCACCATTTAAAGCTGTTTGAATACATCTTTTATCTGAATTTATTTCCTTCTTTAGAACCTCCATTTTTTATTCAAAATTTGGAAGCAATGGATGTGACTGTGGGAGATGCAGTTTGCTTGAAATGCCAATTAGGAGGAACACCTGAAATTAAAGTGTCTTGGTATAAAGGAGATTCAAAACTGCGATCTAGTCCTACATGCAAAATGGAGTTCACCAAAGGCATTGCCTCTTTGAAACTAAGCAAGGTTGTCAAAAATGACTTTGGAGAATACACCTGTAAAGCTGAAAACAAAATAGGTTCAACTTCTTCAAGTGCCTCTTTAACAGTACAAGGTGACAATCTACTTTCTTTTCAAAGTCTTGCATTTAATTTCTGTAAAGTCACATTTCTTTAACAATTAACAATTCTTTTCCAGATATCAAAACACCACCTACCTTTACAAGAAAAATTACAAGTCTTCAACAGACTGAAGGCCTTCCAGTTAGATTTGAGTGTCGTGTTTCTGGGTCCTCTCCTATTGAGGTTTCTTGGCTTAAAGATGGTGAACCTTTGCCAAGAGATGAGGAATTCACATCCTCTTTTACTGATAATTCTGCAGTCTTAGAAATTTCTAAAAGTGAAATGAAACACTCAGGGGAGTATACTTGTGTGGCTTCTAATATTGTTGGATCTGCCTCTTGTAGAGCAAAGCTTACACTTCAAGGTTTGTTGCATCTTGGTTTTATTAATAATAATTTTTTAACTTACATTATCTTTCATCATTCTTGAAACACTTGTAAGTATATTGATGTCTCAATTTCTTTCTTGTGTTATTCTTTCATTTAACTTTTTAGAACCACGGTTTCCTCCTGTATTTGATAAACAATTGTTTCCCTTGGCTGTGTCTGTGGGAGACTGTGTTGAACTTGAGTGTCATTTGACTGGATCTTTACCCATCAAAGTTACGTGGTCAAAGGACAACAAAGACATCCGTGCAGGAGGAAATTACAAGATCACATGTGTTGACAACACACCACATCTTACGATTCTGAGAGCAGATAAGGCTGACTCTGGCCAATATTCTTGTCATGCTAGTAATGATATTGGAAAGGATTCTTGTTCAACTCAAGTTACTGTGAAAGGTATTTCCTAACAGGTTCTTTTTCTTTTATGATTTTAACTTCATGTTGGTTTTATATTGTTCATTTCTTAAATGTTTAGATTATCTAGTGTTCCGAATTTTCATTTTCTTTGGATTATAATCTTGAAGTGATTATTTTCTTGGTTTACTTGTTTGTTGCAGAACGCAAAATACCACCTACCTTCACAAAAAAGCCTTCAGAATCCATTGAGGACACTGAAGGAAAACTTGTCAAACTAGAAGGCCGCGTTTCTGGTTCCCAGCCAATGAGTATAAGCTGGTTTAAGGATGAAGAAGAAATTCAAATATCGGACAGTTATGATGTGTCATTCAAAAACAACGTAGTGCAATTGAACATTAAGAAAGCCACACTGTCCGATTCAGGCTCTTACTTTTGCAAAGTGTCAAATGAAGCTGGAACAGCCTCATGTATTGCATCTGTGCTTATTAAAGGTTAGTTTCCATGGAATTTCTTGTGACTTTCATATTTTCTATTTTCTTCATACTGTTCTATATACTGTTTTTCTACCATGCTTATTTGTATGATATACCTTTTCTTTTAGAGCTTTGCAACACTTCTTACTTTATAATGATGTCTTCTGCATTTTGGATATACATTTAATTTGGACTACAATTATAGTTTAAACGTCTATATGGTTTAATGATATATACTTACCAGCATTTATATCTTTAAATCGTGCTGAAAAATGACATTAAGCTTTATCTTAATATTAATTAATTTTCTTAATGTTAATTAACTTTCTCAGTTTTCTTTGCCAGTGAGTTTGTTTTGAGGTTGTTATCTTCCTTTCAATTCCAGAACTTAAAAGGCCTCCAGTTTTTGATCTGCCTCTTAAATCAATAACACTTAATGAAGGTGAGAAGCTACAATTAGGTTGCCACATGCAAGGATCTGAGCCAATCAGGATACAGTGGTTGAAGGACAGGAAAGAAATCAAATCTTCAGATAAGTGCAGTATGATTTATGCTGATGGTGCTGCCACATTGGAAATAAGTGCTGCAACTAGAACAGATTCTGGTGATTATTTATGCAAAGCAACCAATGAGGCTGGAAGTGATTCTTGCAAGGCCAAAGTGACTGTAAAAGGTAAAATTCTTCTGTTTTCCAACATGTGATTTGTGTGCCTGTATTAAAGGCTGCTTTTCCTTTCATCATGAATAGTTTCTTATACTTACTGATCTCTTTGCGTTTCATCTTTGCACAATTTAAGACATTACTTCTTGCTTAAAAGTAATTTTCAGTAAGTAAATTTTAGAGCTCATGTCATATTCATATTTTGCTTGATCTGAAGAATCATTATGTTAGGAAAAAGCATTGAAGGAAAGAGTACTTTCCTTTTTTTCTGTCTTTTTCTTTACATTGAAACAAACACAACCTCTTTATATTGAAAACATCTTAAACTGAGCTGATTTATAGTAATACAAATGTGTAAGGATATTGCACTCTTCTTCTTAACTGAGATTGATTGTAGGTAAAGTGTTCTCAATGTGTTATGTAGTCTAATTAAAGCACTGATTTGACTTTTGATTTAGATAAAAAACCAGGAGCACCTACACCTGTTGAAGGAGTACCTTCCCCTGCCAAACCTCCAAAATTGGACAACCTGTTTTTCATTGATGAACCTAAGAGCACCAAAGCGTCAGAAAGTAGGTGCCACTATAATTATCTTATAAAACACAAATGTTTTAAATTTCCCTCAATGGATAATTCTTATTTCTTGCTGTTGCTTTATGTTTATTTCTAGAGGGCACTGCAACTTTCATTGCCAAAGTTGGTGGAGATCCCATTCCAAATGTAAAATGGATGAAGGGAAAATGGAGGCAGATCAATCATGGAGGACGTATAGTGGTCGAGCAGAAGGGACAAGAGGCCAAACTTGAAATCAAAGAAGTGACCAGAACTGATTCTGGACAGTACAGATGCATTGCTTCAAACAACTTTGGAGAAATTGAATGCAGTACCAGTCTTGAGGTGGAAGAGAAAAAAGAAATTGTAGTTGAAGGAGACTTCCGAGCAAAACTGAAGAAGTATGTAAAGTTTCTTGATTGTTGTCGATATTAAACACATTTCCCACATTACATGTGCATTTTCACAAATATTTAAGGAATTCTAATAATAAGTTAATACGAAAGACAATTAAGTTGTAGTTGTGACACATCTTTGTTTTATTTGTGTTTAGAGTCTCTTCCAAGCAAAAGGAACAACCAGAAGAACCAGAGATTGATATCGTTGAGCTACTGAAGAACGTTGACCCCAAAGAGTATGAAAAATATGCTCGTATGTACGGAATCACAGATTACCGTGGTCTTCTTCAGGCAATTGAACAAATAAAGAAAATGCGTGAAGAGGAAACTCACAGAGTAGTAAGTAGCCACGAAATGTACAGTTTAAAAACTCAAAAAAAATACTATGACTCTTTTTATAACTCAGAAAGGGCATACTTTGTAAACCTCAAATAGATATTATTTGAGGTTTCTTTAAATTATGCTCTGTTGTTTATCACAATGTTTCCTGGTGCAGGAGGAGCACTGTACGTGCTGGTTTTCTTTCCATTTAAAGTCTAAACCTCCAGTTCTTATTGATGACTTAACTTTTCTGACTGCTTGCTGGGATTTTTCTTGAACATTCTTCTTCAGTCATTCCTGAGTGTCAAAAATAATTTGCTTCAAAAGTACCCTTTTCATTCAACAACTTCAGCAGACAGAACGTTACGACTTTTTCGCCTCACTTCAAGTTTCCTACTGTTATTACTGACCAAACAGCACTAACTATCTGATCCATTTATGATGAACAGACAGTGGGAGTGATATTATTTGAAACCAAACTTCAATGAGCATTTTTCCTTTTTCAGAAGTTCAGAGCAGACATGGTATTCCTCCGGGACCAGGACTAGAAACTACAAATCTATCAATACAAGGGGGAATCACTGTTAGACACAGTAAAGCATAAACATATTGATATGCCCCATCAAATGTGCATTTGAAAAACAATTTAACAATCCACAGTGTGGAAACTATTGGAAACACTAATGTTATTATTTACTGTTTAAATAAAAAAATATATATTTAATATATTGATAGTTCAGGTGGGTAGCTGCATCAGCATGCATAGGCTGCAAAGGAACAAGTAATAGGTTTATTCCATGCTGAAAAAAAGAAGAAAGAGTACACAACGTTTTGGCCGTGGAGCCTTCTTCAGGTATGAGAGAGACAGGGCAGTAGGCAAAGGTAAAGTAGCGGGAGAACAAAGGTTGGGAGGGAGGAGGAGTGAGAGGCGGGAACAGGGGACAGAAAGAGAGGCCAATCAAGAGGTGTGAAGTCAGAATGGGTGCAGAGAGGTGTGAAATGAAACTTCAAATGAATGGAGAAAATTTAAAAGAACAGTAGTCTGTCGTTAAGAGAAGGGAGAATGTGTGATACTATCTGCAGAATAATTTTGGTTTCAGTGGTCTTTCTGATGTATGAGTTCAGAAAACCGTCTTTGAGAACACAGACGGAGAGATTAGAGTGGTCGTGGCTGTCAGAGGTGAAATGAGAAACAGTGGCCTTGGAGAGATCTTTAATCTTCACAGCCCTGACGTGTTCTCTGAAGCGATCTCCGAGTCTACTTCCTGTTTCTCCAATGTAGATGGCTGGGCATTTACTGCAAGAGATACAGTAAATAAGGTTGCTGGAGGTACAAGGTGCTGTCTGGGTGATCCGGAATTGTCCTGAGGGCCTGAGGGCGATCAGAAAAGAGGGCCCCAATGGAGGGATCATCCTGTAGGATGGAAAAGTTGTGGTTAATGGTCCTTGGGATAGGAAGTGTGTTAGGGTGGTGAGGAAGCACCAAAGGAATGCAGTTGTTACTGCGGGAGTTCCTGATCGGGTTGATGGTCCAGGGGGTGTTTTTGGCTTGGGCAAGGGCCCTGTTAATCACACTGCTGGGGTATCCTCTGTTGATGAAAAAGGAATACATTTCGAGGGCTTGGTTCTCGAAGTCGATGTCGTCGCTGCATAATCGTCGTAGCCTAAGGAACTGTGAAAAAGGAAGAGAGTTTTTAGTGTGGTTGGGGTGAAATGAGCTGTACAGGAGGTACCTGTGTGAATCCGTGTGTTTGTAATAAAATGAAGTGGACAGTCGGGGGTAGTTGATGGAGAAGTTGATGTCTAGAAACGGAAGAGTAGTGGAAGATATGTTAACTGTATATTTGAGGGACGGGTGGAAGTTGGTGAAATGGTGCAGGAAGAACTCAAGCTGATCGTTGGAGCATGTGGCGGCACCGACGCAGTCATCAATATATCGTTTGTAGAGGTCAGGGACATAGCCAGTGTAGGAAGCAAAGAAGCGTTCTTCTACCCAGCCGACAAAAATATTGGCATAGCTGGGTCCCATTCTGGTGTCCATGGCAACTCCACTAACCTGTTGGTAAAAAAGATTATTGAAAGAGAATGCATTCAGTGTGAGGACCAATTCTGCAAGGCATACCAGGGTGTGGGTGGGTGGATCAAGCACTGTGCGTTTGTCCAGTGTGTGCTTGAGGGCTATAAGGCTGTCATTATGGGGAATGATGGTGTACAGAGATGTGATGTCCATGGTAAAATGTAACATTCGGTACCCTGAAATTGGAAATCATTAAAAAGTTGGAGCGCGTGGTTGGTGTCTTTGATGTATAAGGGAAGATTGATAATTAAATTTATTTACAACTGGAGTCTCTAGTTGTTTTAAGGTTCTGATATAGTAGATGGATTGTGACCATCAAGGTTGGTGTTATAGAAAACTTTAGTTGTGAATGTTAATGCAAAGCAAGTGCTTTCCTTGGGAATTGCTGAAGACGTTATCAATCTTGCTCAAGGCTCTCTTTTGGTATACATATTCACCATTTTTCCAGAGCACTTGCAATTTTAAAATTAATTAAAGAGGGGCAGCATGTTGGCACAGTGGTTAGCATTGCCACTTCACAGCACTCAGATCCTGGATTCAATTCTGGATTCAGGGTGCTATCTGTGTGGAGTTTGTATGTTCTCCCTGTCTTTGTGTGGGTTTCCTTCAGGTGCATTGGTTTTCTCCTACAGTCCACAAACTTACTAGTAGGTTAAATGGCTTCTGGAAAACTGGTACTAGTGCATGTCTGTGTTTGTCTGCCTGCCCCACAATGGACTGGTGTTCTATGCAGGATGTATCTTGCCTTGTGCCTGTAGCTTACCAGGATCTGGCTTCCCCACAACTCTGAATTGGATAAAGTGATTAGAAAATTGATGGATGAATAGTAAAAGAGAGGTGTTCAAGCTATTTCAATTCCTTTATTTTAATTTTATTTTTTTCCATTAGAAAGAAATTACTTTGAAAAGGCTTGACTACATAACCTACTATACATTGATTTTTGGATTCAAAGAATTCTAGAACACAAACAAAGAAGTTTCACGTGGAGAAATGGGAAACTAACCCTTTTTGAAAATTCACAGCTTATATACAGTACTTTGGTGTTTTATATTTCCATACCAGTGAATCAGAATGGTTTCTTATTTTTTTAGGAAGTGGAACTGGAAGAAAGAACTCCCAAAGAGGAAAAAGAGTTTGATGAGCTTGTTTCTTTTCTACAACAAAGAATGACCCAGGCCGAGGTACGAATAATGTTACTAACTGCGATAAAAAATAAACTTTGAAGACTTCTTTGAATGTTTCCATATGGTGAGATTTACATTTTTTTTTTTCATTTTAGCCTGTCACTTTGGTGAAGGACATTGAAGATCAGACAATTATTGTAGATAAGGATGCAGTATTTGAATGTGAGATCAAGATCAACTATCCTGAGATCAAACTTTCATGGTACAAAGGAACTGAAAAGCTTGATACCAATGAAAAATATGATATAAGCATTGTAGGTGACCGTCATCTGTTGAAAATTAAAAACTGTCAGACTCGGGACCAAGGAAATTATCGTGTTGTTTGTGGTCCACACATCTCAAGTGCCAAGTTAACTGTTGTGGGTGGGTATCCATTTTTTCTCCTTTTTGCGGCACATTAATGAAAACGTAGACTAATACATGCCAAAGTACTAATGTGGTGCTAAAACATTTTATTTCTTATTTACAGAACCTGTAGTGGAACAGCCGCTTCAGACTGTAGCTGGTAAGGAAGGCCAGATCTGTACATTGACTTGCAAATTCTCTATCCCTAATGTAAAAACACAGTGGTTTAAAAATGGAAAACGTTTAGACCCACATGGCAGATACACATTCGATGTGACTGACAAAATACAGAAACTTTCTATTAAAGACCTTAGATCAGAAGACCAAGGACGTTTTACCTGCAAATATGACAACCTTGAGACTACTGCAGATCTTTGGGTAGAAGGTTTGTATTTATTGCTTAAAAACGTGTTAGACTGGAACATCTAATCAACTCATCTAGTGGTGAAGTGAACCAAACATTTTTGTCTTTACATTCTAACCTTTTTCATTTTCATTTTTAACATTTATTAATGTTGTAACCTCTGCTAAATATTTGATATGCTTTTTTTCATGTTTTCCATCTCTTTTGCATTTTTCCATTCTTGTCTTGGATATATTTTTACCAAGTCTTTTTGAATCTTGCCTTTTGATGTAGTGCATCAACAATTTTGCATCAACATATTTTAACAAAGCTGAGTTTGTTTTTCTATTAATTAATCTCATGCCTTTTGGCAGTATTTTTACTTTACAATTTTTACTTTTGTCAACACCAAATTATTGTGAAAATTTTTGTGAAAATTCAAGAGAAGGTTAAGGCTTGACAAATAATGCTGTTTAGGTTACATCTGTTTGGAAGCTGCTTAAGTTTAAAACTGTTAGAATATAGACACTGCAAAAGGACAGTTTTAAGAGAATGTATCCGATGAGTTTCCTGCCACAAAATCATTGCAGCAAACATTCTGATTTATGATTTACATTTATTTATGTACTGTATACATTTCTTTCAGCTGAGCAAATTCAGTTCACCAAGAGGATCCAGAATATTGTTGTAAATGAACATCAGTCAGCAACCTTTGAATGTGAGGTTTCCTTTGATGATGCTATTGTTACATGGTACAAAGACACAGCAGAACTAAAAGAAAGCCCAAAGTACAGCTTTAGAAGTGAAGGTCGACGCCATTTCATGACCATCCACAATGTTACTTCTGAAGATGAAGGTTGGTATTGCTTAGTGTAAAGAATAATTTTTCATTGACAAATTTTGGAAGACTGTAAGTTTAATTGTCTTCATTCTTAATCTTGTAGGTGTTTACTCTGTGATTGCACGTCTGGAGCCAAGGGGTGAAGCTCGTAGCACTGCTGAACTTTATGTATCAGGCAAAGGTAGGTAGTATGATTAGAAAGCAAATGTTTTTGTTTCAAATGTCTTTCAGTGCATTTCACTAAATGGATTGTAATATGCTTTTACAGAAATTGAGGAGGGAAAGGCTCCTGAAGGTAAGTAGATTCATTTGGGAAAGCCATGCATTTTACCAATTGTTGGGGGGTGTTGTTTAATTTCTGTGATGACATAATGCTAACATGCACACACACACACAACACTCTCTTTCTCATGTATTTAAACTACATTTAACATTCTTAGATGTCCCTGATACTGCTATACAAGTTCCTGAAGCACCTTCTGCCATTACTACCAAAGGTAAGAAAGGGATGTGGCTGGCAAAGTACTGGATGCTGGCTGAATTTTAATAAATCACATTTTGCATTTTTTAAATGTCATTAGATATTTTGTCCTGACATACATATAATTCCTCTTATTAAAGATGTGACTCCTCCTGGTTTCTATTATTATGAAGAAAAGATGGAAGCGAGAGGTATTATAGAAAGTACTCATCTAATCCATTATTCATTCATTACTCACTCTTTCATACTGTCATGACAGCAACTAAAATGGTTTTGAGTCGGAAACTAATTATAAAAATTGTCCTTTTAGGTGTTGCTGACCATTAATTGAACTAAATGTTGTGGTTTACCTGTCTTTAAAAAAAATGTCATTGTTTGTTACTACTTTAATGTGTGTCATTGTTTGTTAAATCATACTGTATGTGTTTCTTTTAGAGTGTAACAAAATCTTTTTCTGACTTTCTTAAGGACTCCAAACATTGCATGAAGTTTGTATATATTTGTGACTCTTATTGTACATTGTTGTCCTTTAATGCGCCAGAGTACAAAAGCTGGGAAATTCAAGAAACAGTAACAGACTATGTCTATGAAGAAAAGGAAATCTCTGTGGAAAAAGGTATTACAGACATATAGATTTTAAATTTGCTGTTGATTTTAGAACAACTCAGATTTATGCTGAATTCAATGTTATTCACACAGTCTTTGTAATAGAGTGATTATCTTATTATAATTTATGTACTGTTGTTGTTTTTATGTTGTCACGTCTTTGTACAGTACCATTAATGTCAGCATTTTCTTTCAGTATTATCTTAAACCAAACTTTTTGACTAAAATTTGAACATGATCACACTCTTTAAACACATTTTGTGTCTTTGTATAGTATTTTGTGTTTTTTTAAACACTTTGTGTGTTTTGGTCTCCTTCCCATAAAAAAAATAAAGAGTATAAATGATCTAAAATCATTCTTAATGTCTTTTTAGCTGCTGAACCTCCAAGGGTTCCTGTAGATGAAACAGTCACAAGACTTACAGTAGGAGGAAGAGAAACAGTTCCACAAAGAGGTAATATATGCCTATGGTTTATAGCTAAAGGCAAACATTTACATGTATGTAAATGCTTACCACTCCCAACTTGCTCAAAGCAGCGCTTAGCCAAAAAGTGCCACTGTTTGGGAAATCCCAGTTACCGTCATCTAGTTTTTATGACCCAGGCTCAAACACCAAGATCACAGAGCTCAACCTGCACCAACCACTGAGGAGATCCGTTTTCATTGCTGTAAAATTTGGGTTAGGGGAGCTTGGTGGCATAGTAGTTTAATTCCTGGGGTTATATCTGCATGGGGTTTGTACATTCTCTCCATGTTCCTCTGAGTGCTCTGGTTTACTACCACAGGCCAAAGGCATCCTTTTATGTTAACTGGCTTTTGGGAAAACTGGTCCAGTATAAGGTCACCTGCCCTGGTGTGAGTGTGTCCATGTTTGTCTGTGTGTGCGTGTCCTGCAATGGAGTGATCTAGCTCTCATCCAAGGTGTATAAGCCTTGTGCACGTTGCTTGTCAGGATAGGCTTATACACCTTGGATGGGACCTAGATCACTCCATTGTAGGCCACACACACAGACAAACATGGACACACTCACACGAGGGCAGGCAACCTTACACTGGATGAAGCAATTAGAAAATGGATGATAGATAATTTGTGTTTTTTATATAGTTTTTTGTATGTTTACTTGCAAAAATAAGATTATTTTAGCACATTTGGTCTAGCAAAGTAAATGTCTTCAAAGCTCCTGAAGCTCCCAAGAAGCCTGAAGTGACTGAACCTGCTGTAGTTCCACCTAAGGAGGAGGCACCTGAAGTGGTTAAAGGTAACAATAAAATATGCTTAAAATATAATATATGTGCCTGGAAGACATTTTGCAAAATTCTTTTTTTTTTGTGCTTTTTAAGTCTTATTTATTTAATCTTTTAAAAAATTAATTTAAAGTATATTATTTTCTTAATTGAATAAACACTTCTATTAAAATCTTATACAGTACATTTGAGATATAATAAAAGTTAGAAAATATTTTAAGCAATTAAATAAAAAAGGATCTCACTGAATACAATGCTATTTTAAAGTACCTGAAGAGATAAAGAAGCCAGTATTTGAAAAGACCACACGAGAAGTTGTTCCAGAAAAGAAAGAACGTCCCACACCTAAAGGTATTGTTTGGTGTTTCTAAAAGTGTCTTATTGTCTTGCTGTTAGAACAGAAACACTGATACTGTATGTGTCGGAACATAATGTTCTTACGTGTGTGTGACAAGCTCTCTTAAATGTAATTGTTCCATGTTATCTGTTACTGTGCTTCAAGTTCCCTTAAAATTGCAACATGATTCTTCCAATCCATTAACTTATTATTTCTCACACTTTTAAAATCTCTTTCTATCTAACATTTAATTTATACCTTCAAAGCACCTGAAGAAATCAGGAAGCCTGTTGCTGAACCAATTGTTTCTCCTGTTGAAGTTGAGGTTACACCTAAAAAAGGTATAATATTGAAGATGCAGTGATTTCTATGCTTGGTTAACATTATGCTTATTAACTTGTCTGTGTCGATTTATATCTAATTATAAGCGTTTGTTTTTAGTGTATTTGTCTTAAGTTTTAATAACTAAGACATTGTCCATGTCTGTCACAATTGGTCTTTCTTTCATTTGGATCCCAAGTACCATATTTTGTAGACATCTTTCTAATTGTGTTCATTTAAAAAAAAACTCTGTAGATCGTTGAAATTGAGAATGTTTGTTTGTCGTCTGTGATTTTCTTTTGTAATTGACGCAGAACTTTTTGTACAATATGTTTGTGCTAATTTCTTGCCTCTTATGACATCAATGTAGTCTTTGTCTAAAATAATACTAATGTCTTTTAAGTGCCTGAAGTTAAGAAACCTGTACCCGAACCTAAAGTTGCACCACCAGCTAAAGTTGAACCTGAACGAAAACCTGAACCAGAAAAGAAGCCCACAGTTGCACCACCAAAAGGTACTGTTGTGTCTGCAATTTTGTTTTATTCTGTTCCTAGTCAAGTACCAGTATCTAAGGTTTATTGCAATCTTCATTTTTTGTAAGATCTGTCGCTTCCCAGATGGAATCATTTCTTAATGTTACTTTTTTTTCTATATTGTATGTATGCATATACTATATACAGTATCTGGGTAATGTATGTCTAAAATACAAAAAAAATATTCTTTAAAGTTGCTGAGGAACCTAAGAAGCCAGTGCCTCCAAAACCAGAGCCAACTCCTGCTCCTCCAAAGGAGACCATTCCAACAAAAGGTATCGCTCAAAGGAGAAAATATTTCACAGTGCTTTGGGGTTTTTAATAAAGACCCCTGTACACACGTTGCCTTCTTTTGTCTTTTGTGCAACCCGTGACTAATTGCTTCAGCATTCTTAAATGTTCTTTATTTAAATAGGGCTATTAAAATAGCCCTCAAATGTGTTTGTGAAAAGTGTGTAGGTGTTGCTACTGTATGTCAAAGTACGTCATTGTTGGTTATTCTAAGTGTTTATTTACCTTGAGTTACAAAATTTAGAAGATTGTTAAGATCTTCAAAATATATCTTGAATTCAAGTTCGTATTTAATGGTTAATGGTTCATAAACTAATTCAAATAGTGCACTGAATACTTTTGTGCATATACAGTAGATGATTTATTCATATTCTTTAATAAATATTTAATAAATATGTACAAAACCAAAGACGTGACTAAGCTTAGAAGTATGAAAGCCATAAACGGTATCTTTTAAAATTAAATGCAGAAATTTAAACATTCAGATTAAGGCAATGAATATACCGTTCCTTTTTATTTTTATGTTTGTCTTGAGTACTCTTGTTGTCTGTTAGTAATGTTTTGTAAAGAACTGACTGTGAGCTGTCTTCAAAATACACTCTTTTGTCTTCTTTTCTGTCTTCCCTAGTCTTATGTCTTTGTCTGACAGCATTAGGCCGGTTCTGTGGCTTTTTTGTTATATTAAAAAAGCCTTTTTGTGTTTGTGTTGAAAAGGAATCTCTAACTTACATTACCTGCCATTTTCATTGGACATACAAGTACCAGTATTGAACTAATGGGAGAAAGTGTAAAGCTTGAAGCTCTACCACAGATCACTTATAAAGATTCCATCTCTTTTAGTATTATTGCTTAGTCCGGTTCAAGTTTGCAGTAACCCAGTAGGTATTTGGCACAAGGCCGGATACAACCTGCAAGGCAATCCATTGCAGGGAACACACACAATTGAGAATCTATATACACACTTAGGCAACATGACATGTGTGAAGAAACTGGAAGACTTGGTGAAATCCCACTTAACCGCAGCATATAATTCAAACTCTAAGGCAACAATTCAACATCACATCCCATCCTCTTCTGTATACTGTAGCTCAGAATAATAGGTATCGACACATGATATTAAGTTCTTGAATACAACTTATAATAATAAAGTACACTTTTTATAGTTTTTCACTGTGTAAACATGTGATGTGATGTTGTGTATATTTGTTAGGACAATGCCACATTGTATTACAATATTTGTACTTTTGGTGTATATGTGTCTGTATGTTGCATGTTCCACTTAAGGACTCCATCTCTTAACACCACAATTATATGCATTAAGCTTAATTTGAAATGTTCTTTAAAGTGCCAGAAGTTACCAGGAAGCCTGAAGTTACTGCTGAAGTTGCTGTTCCTAAAAAAGAGGAGATTCTTCCTAAGAAGGAGGTAGCCCCTCCTAAGAAAGAAGAGGTTGCTCCAGTAAAAGGTATTTGAAAAGCAGTTGTAAGGAGATTTTTAATATGGTCTGCGGTAATGCAAGCTCTTGCAGTGCAGTCTTTTCGTTTGCTGCTTCCTTCCACTTGTGTTGCTTTCATCTTTTATAGACGTTTATTACTTTATTAAAGTGCTTGCTTTCTAGAAAATGCAGAATCTCACTGTAACAGAAAAAGTAGTGTTTGTGTTCCGTACAGTTACTGTTGGAAATATAACATTGTTATTCTTTAGCTCTGTGTCCAGTGTTCATTGTCATTCTTGGCTAATGTCCATTAAGTGTCAGTCTTGGTTTTGTTACCTCATGAATGTGATAAAACTCATATGTGAATCATGTCATTCTTATTTGTTGAGTCTGTTTCATTTTTTGATAAAGTTTATATGTGGTTCATGTCTTTGTAAATTGGACCATTCTGTCATATTTGTCTTCTACTAAAAAAACAGGCTTTAATATGCCTGCCATTATGGAAAGAGTGGCATGTGCAGAAAAAAAAGTCCATGCATTTGCTTGTAGAATGGACAAGATGGCTTACAGTACATTCTTATAAGAATCTCAACATGCATCTGTGAATGTCCAAAAAGGAAAATTAAAATGTTCTTTAAAGTTCCTGAGGAGCCAAAGAAGCCAGCACCTGCAAGGCGAGAGCCAGTTAGCAAGCCAGAGCCAGAGCCAAAGCCAGCTCCTCCACCTCGAAAGGAGGAAGCCGTTCCGACAAAAGGTATACATAAACTTTCGTCTTGAAGGGTCACAAATTCATGTTTTGTTTGATTTGTATTTTGTGATCTTATTGACAAAGTACTTTAGGCATCTTAAAGTTTTTTTTTTTTAATTCTGTTTTTTGTCACTGGTTTGTTCCCGTTATTCCCGTTATGTCACTTTGTCTCTGTGTTTTGTTCGGTTATCCGAAGAACCTAAAAATAAACGAAATCAATCTTTGAAAAAAATTATTTGCTTCAGAATGTATAAAGAAATTCCACATATTTTTACATTTAATTTAACAGTCCTTGGAAGGGACTATTTATATGCAGTGTATAAATTCTGCAAAACAGAATTTGACTTGACCCTTTTTTTCTACACATAGACTTTTTTTTTTATTCTAGCACAAGGTAAATCTTTACATTAAAGTCTTGTCAAATCTTGTAAGAAAAATGTTTCTGTCCAAGTTATTGTCATGTTTTGTTTTTATATGTCCATTAATAATGTCTTGTACTTCAATATCTTTAAAGCGCCTGAAATTAAACAGAAAGAAGCACGTATAGAAAAAGTCCCCATCACTGTACCTAAAGTGGAGGAAAGGGCACCGATCAAAGGTATAGACAAAATCCAAAAATGATCATCAAAACACCATCTTCTCTTCTTTCATTTTTGCTTATGTACTCTTTGTGTGTCATTGTTGTACAGTTGGTCAGTTTTATCTATATGTCTTAAAAACATAGTCCACATTTAAATGACATATTGTATACAACAGATAAATGAGATAATTAATTTCTTTATTATTTTCATTAGTAACTGTAATGGTATAACACATAGTGCCATACAGTATATTTTGTACTTTTTTCATTCATTACCCTTCCCTGTCTTTTTGAATTGTTTGTGTATCTTGTCTGTGTCTCATTCTTACATTTATTTATAAGCACAACTGTGTGCTGAAAGCTACATGTAATTATTCTTTGAAGTGCCAGAAGTTGTCACGAAGCCTGAGAAAATTGCACCTGCTGTGCCCAAGCCTAAAAAAGAGGAAGCTGTTCCAAAGAAAGACGTTCCTCCAATGAAAGGTATTTGAAGTTTAGCTCTAGAACTCTTCTATTCTTATACAAGCTGTAGCTTTTTTACAATCTTGAGATCTGTTTAATCAATGGTCTTATGAGTAGCTGTCAAAAATTACCCAAATGTGCAATAGTAAATTGCTCTTTATTTGTCCCTTTTATTACATACCTACTGTTTGTGTTATATGTTGAGTAAAAATATCTGATTTCTTTGGTAGCACTACACAGTGCTTTAAGTTAAATTTCAAATATTCTTTAAAGTGTTGGAAGTCCCCAAGAAGCCTGAACAAATTGCTGTGACTATTGCTAAGACAGAGGAGAGAACTGCAAAGAGAGAAGAAGTGTCATACATGAAAGATGAGATTTCTGTAAAGCAAGAAGTTTTTCTCCAGAAAGAATTTCCTGTCCAGAGAGAGGAGATTTCATTCCAGAAAAAGGAATCTCTCAAGAGAGAGGAGCTAATAGTTACAAAAGACGATATTTCATTCAAGGAAGAGGAAACTCCTATCACTAAGGCAGTGATTTCACACAAGAAAGCAGAAATTCCTTTGAAGAAAGCAGAAATTCCCGTCAGCAAAGAAGAAGTTTCTCTGATTTCACACAAGAAAGAAGAAATTCCTTTGAAGAAAGCAGAAATTTCTGTCAGCAAAGAAGTTTCTCTGATTTCACACGAGAAAGAAGAAGTTCCTTTGAAGAAAGCAGAAATTTCTGTCAGCAAAGAAGAAGTTTCTCTGATTTCACACAAGAAAGAAGAAATTCCTTTGAAGAAAGCAGAAATTCCTGTCAGCAAAAAAGAAGTTTCTCTTAAAAAAGAAGAGGCTTATTTCAAGAAAGAGGAGATATCGTTTAAAGAAGTTTCTCTTAAGAAAGATGTTCTGCCTAGGAAGGTAGAAATTGCCACTGAAGCACATAAAATTTTACCTAAAATAGAAGACCTTCCTCCAAAGAAAGAAGAAATAATAGTAAAAACTGAAGACATTCATATAGAAGAAGCTTCACCTAAAAAAGACATTCCTACTAGAAAACATGAAATTGCACTGAAGATAAAGGAAAGAGTGCCTAAAATCGAAGAAGTTGCTCCTAAAATAGAGGAAATTGCTCCAAAGAAAGCCATCCTTGTCAAAAAGGAAGAAATACCATCAGAAAAAGAGAGAATCACTCCAAAGAAAGAGATGGTAGCTCCAGTGAAAGGTACTCTTTAAAGCACCTTGAAGAAAAACATTTCATTCCATGCTGTGATGCAAATAATTCATTTACTTCATCATTCCATTGCCTCTTTACATAAAAGCAAATATTTATCTATAATGTGTCTTGTTGCATTTGCTGTGGTTGTTACACAATGCAGTGAATAAAAACTGATCTTAACATTTTGTTTGAAATGAAACAATCGCATGTTCTTACAAGTGGTAAACCATGTTGTCTTTTGTTTTTGTCTTACATGTTTGTGGAAGTACTGTACTTTGTCTCATCATATTTTCATATAACAGTCAAACCATCATTCTATGTTCTGTTCAGTTTTTCTTTAATGTTGCTGTGTGTTCTGTGTTTCAATCTTCTTATGCTTCTCTGTAAAATTGTACATAATGTTTCTATAAAGTGTCTGAACCAGAAAAGAAGACCATCCCTGAGATACCTGAACAAGTCTATGTTTCAATCAAAGAAGAAGCTACTCTACGAAAAGGTACAGAAAATGCACTTGGGACACTCTTTGAAAACAATCAAAAATCTTTCTCTCTTGACTTGTTCTTGTGTTCATGTCATGTTTATTTAGTGTATGTTTGCCTATGTGTTTGTGTTCAGTTCTCTTAACTATTAAACTGCTTGAACAAAAGTTTCAATCTTAAGTTACAAAAAATACTGGAAGTGTGTAAAGTATAAATCCACACAAGAAGCTCAAGTACTTTTGATTTCTCCCAAAACATAGAGTGTTCCTGCAAGCAAAGGTACAGAGTGTGTTGAATCTTTGTCTTTGTCTTTGTTCTTCATGTACAAATGTCTCTTATTTTGTCTAATTTGTCTTAAAAGTTAAATCTTTTTTTTCTCTTGAAACAGTAGCTATTTCTGAATATTTTTGATTTAACTAAAAATAAAAATGTTCTTTCAAGTGCCAGAAGAGGTAGGGAAGATCACTCCCGAAAAACCAAAACCATCAGTGCAACGCAAAGAAGAGAAAATACCAACAGTGTCAGGTATTCAATATTTTTACACCCTTCATTTTCATTCATTTATCATTACTCGACTGTAATTAATGGTCCTAAAGAAAACTGAATATTAAGTCATACATGTTCCATACAATATCTATAGAAAAATATCTTAAATGACAATCCATTCACTTATTTAAGTTCCGGAGCTGAGAAAGAAGCCTGTGATTGAAGAAGTTACAAAAGTACATGTTCCAGAAAAGGAAGAAATAACACTTAAAAAAGGTACAAAACACCTACCCTTTCTCTTGATTTCTTTGTCATAAGCTCTTCCTCTACTAGAAAAATAATGCTGTCATTGTGTGTTAAGTAACTTGTTTTGCTTTATTTTATCTCTCAATGTTTTATGTTCTGCAATTTCAAATGAATTTATTTATGTTAGAAACAAAGAACAGCAAAATCTTTATACTGAATTCAGCTTCTTACACTGATCATCATTGTCACATTTGATTTCACTGCTCTAAAAATTCCAATTCATCATACAAATTTGAAAAAAGTTAATGAGAAACATGTTTTTAATCTACTGAAGATGTGAGAGCAGCTGTTTTTGAAGATGTTACTTCAGTCAGTGTTTCAAGACGAGAAGCCACACCTGTAAAAGGTATTTAATTTAGTAACATGAAAAATATCACTAACCCCTACATTATCCATACCATTTTGAATTTACAAACATTAGAAACTTTCTTCATTTTAGTTACATTTGACATTCACAATAACTTTGTCTTGTATTTATGTGCATTATGCTGTTTTATCTTTGTTATTGTTCAATGTTGTTCATGTCTTCATGCTTCTGTGCTAAAATGTGTTCCATACATCTGTTGTTATCTTTTGTAAACTTGCTATAAATAAAAACTACACTCTCTTTAAAGTTCATGAACCTACAAAGAAGGCTGAAAAATCTATTCCCATCACCAAGTTGGAAGCAGAAAAGATTGTACCAGAAAAAGGTATTGATGTCAACAGCAAAATAAATACCTTATATTGGCTGGTTAAAATGATAATTTACTTTAACAATTGTAATGTAATTTTCCTTTTGATTCTGAAAACCAATTCATATGTTTTCAAAGTTCCAACACCTTCCAAGATGAAAGTATCAGAGCCAGTGGCACCAGAACCTGTGCCCATAAAAGAGGAGGAAAAATCATTGGTTAAACCAGTAAAAGGTATTTTGTGTTTGGCAGTCCGTTATTCATTCTTCATGGTTTTGCTACTTCTTATCTTCATTTGTTTAGAGGTATTAAACTCTTACTTACCAATGTAATCATCTTCATTGCTTCATTCTGGATTTGAAATACTTGTTTTAACACAAACACTATTCTTTGATCCCCTTCTTTGGTACATTATGTGTCATCTTTGGAATCTTAAAACCTTTTATTAATGATGTTTGTATAAATTGTCTGTTGTGTCAATAATTTACTAACCAGCAATGTGTCATTGTCTTAAAATTGTCTAAGCACAATTTCCTTACATGCTTCTTTATAAATATGTTTTTTGACTGTCCTTTTATGTCCTCGTCAGTATACTGTATGTTAAAAAACCTACGTATCACATGTATTGTATTCAATTTTTGTCTTTGGTTGATATTAAGAGTTAATTTTAAAAGATGTAGGCTGAACTAGTCACTAGTTACAGAATTAAAGTGCAGGAAGTAAAGAAGTACAAACACTCTTTAATTACTTTGGGGCTGTAATGATTATTTCCATCTTGAAAAGTTCATTTTTGGATACTTTTTTCAAAGTTTTTCTTACAGAGCCATAATTTTAAAAACCATTGGATTGTGTCTTTGGTATTGTGTAATCCAGTCCGGTGTTATCTGTTGAGTTGTTTATCTCAAGCAGAGAGCAAAGAAAAGTACTCATGGTATACATATGTGGCACGATAATGCAATGTTTGATATTCTGTCAAACACCTCCACATATTACCAAGATGAAATGAAATACCTAAATGAAATTTTTTATACCTCTTTGGTAGATATCTCCTTGATATACCAAAATATCTCTGTCTCCCTGGCAATAGCAGGAAAATCTAACGGAATACTTTGCTTTATCACTTCAAAACAGAATCTGAAGATCACATTTTTGATTTGCCCAGATTAAGATTTATATGGATAGTCTCACCTCAGAAAAGATTGACAACTGATTAGTTTCAATAATAAAAAAGATGATTTGATTTCATAAACATGACTAAAATTTAGTCATTTGAGTCAGGGATAACAGAAAGAGTTTATTTTGAATGTATTTTGATTAGAGTGTTACTCATATAATCTTTTCAGATCCAGACATTCTCATACTGTTTCTTTAAACTCTTAATTGTATTCAGATTACTTATTTGAGTTATGCACTTTGTGTTCAATATCACTAAAATATTTAGACTTAAATGCAATAAAGTGGAAAGAAAATGTTGCCTGCCCTTACATTAAGTGAGCATATTGTCCACCATTAATGCCTGAAGCTTAGCCTTTGTCTTTAGGAGATGTGTTTGGCTGACACAAAAAACAATTATTTAAAATTCCAGGAATATTGTGAAGAAAATGGTTGATGCAAATCAGCTATGCGTCTGTGAAAATAGAATCTCTTTACTTGATTTCAAGTACATTAGTGGCTCTTATGTTCAATCCAAAACTTTGTACAAAGCAAGATTAACTAGATTAAATGTACTGTAACAGTAGCATTAGTAAGGTTTCATTAAATAAGTATCCTGGGACTAAACATGGTATTGAATCATTCAGAGGGTGGGCAATATCAGATATTACCAGTTTATAATACAGATTTACTTTTGGTCTGATTAATTGAGAGAATGACAGGATGAGGCTACCAGTACTGCACTCCATCTCACTATTCCAGACGCTGAAATGAAATCAAGAATTTGGTTGAATATACATATATTCTTGTTGTATTTTTGCATTAATTTAATATGACCTATCTTTTAATTTCTATGATAGATGAGGAAAAGGGCCCTGTTACTGCTCCTGCACCAGAGAAGAAAAAAGGTATGGTGATCATCATCTTAGACACAATATAGCATCAATTATACTGGACATACTGTATTGTCTTATGTATTGAAGGAAATGTGTTGTTGTTCATAGTACTTAAATGTCCTTTAGTGTTTTTTGTGCTTATATGTACAATATCGTTGTTTGTGAGTGAAAACATATTGAGGTATGTGCGACACCTCAAAAGATGAATGGATTTTTGTTCTGTTGTGTCACAAAATATATGTTGTCCAATATTGTGTTTAATAGATTGTTCCCTGTTTGTAATTTTGAGATATATGTTTAATGTGAAAACTTTATCGCCTCAGAAAAACCCAGTGTGGCACCGACAATTCTTAAACAAAAAGGTAAAATCCACATGGAAGAAGAAGATAAGCTGGAAGTTCCAGTCTTAAAGAAAATGACCAAAATATCAAAGGAGAAGGAAAAAGAAGAAGCAATAACTCTGAAAAAAGTCACTAAAGTACCTTCTGAAGAACTAACACCAGAATTAAGTATATCTTTTCAACAAGTCATGAGCACAGAAAAGTATGAGGAAGAAGAGTATCAACATGTGTCTCTCAAGAAAGTTGAAGTGATTCCAAAAAAGCCAGAACCTGAAAAGGAAGGTATAACACTGAAAAAGGTTCCTTCAGGAATTTTAATAGAGCAAACTGAAGCAGAACATGTAGAACTCAAAACAATTGCAAGCTATGGAACAGAGGAGCAAATTCAGACTTTTAAGCCTCCCAAAAGGGCTGGAAAAGTCACAAAACCAGAAGGAAAGGAGATTATAGAAGATGTTCAACTTAAGAAAATTAAAAGAGACATCAAGACAGAAGTTCCAGAGGAACCCATGGTACCTCTGAAGAAAATTGAGAAAGTTTCCTCAGATGAAAAGGAGAGAGAGAGGGATGCTCTAAAGAAAACTGCAAAACATCCCAAAACTGAGATCACCAAAGAACCTAGTTTAACTCTGGCAAAAGTGGAAAGAATTCCTACTCAGGAGAGGGAAATAGAAACAGTGACCCTGAAACCAATTGAAAAAGTATCTACACACGAGGAACCACCAGAAGTTGAGAAGCCAGGTATTCCAATTAAAAAAGGTGAGAGAATTCCAACTGGAGAAAAAGAAAAAGACATGGTAACTTTGAAAAAAGTTGACAGACCCCCAAAAGATGAAGTAGTTAAAGAACCTGCTATTCCACCCAAGAAAGTGGGAAAACTTCCCACAGAAGAAAAAGAAAAAGAAGATGTGACTCTAAAACCTCTGAAGAAAATCCCAAAAGTTGAAAAACCCAAAGAACCAGATACAGATTTAACAAAGGTGAAAAGAGTTCCAACACTGGAAAAGGAAAGAGAAACAGTGGAACTGATACCTGTTCCAAAGTTGCCAAAGGAAGTATCACCTGTTCACACTGATGAAGTGGGTAAAAAGTTTAAAAAAGAAGAAAAAATTCCTATTGAAGCAAAGGAAAAAGAACCTATGTTCTTTAAAAGAGGAGAAAAGGTTCCTAAAGATGAAGTGCCCCTGGAAGCAGGTATAACATTAAAGAAAGTAGAAAAAATCCCCACAGGAGAGGGAGAAAAAGAACCAGTGGCCCTAAAAAAGCCTGACCGAGTCCTAATAGATGGAATCCCAAAGGAGCCTGGTTTGTTTTTAAAGAAAGTTGAAAGAATTCCAACACAGGAAAAGGAAAAAGAACACGTTCCTCTTCAAAAACCTGAGCTGAAGAAAACAGAATCACCAGGTGAACATGTACCAATAAAAGAACCTGAAAAGGTACAGAAAGGTGTAAAGGAGAAACCAGAAATTATACCAACAGAAGAAAAAACAGCTCCTAAAGTTATTCCTCTAACAAAAGGTAAGAGTCCAAAGGAGGAGGAAAAGCCTGTACAGCTAAAGAAGGTGGGACATGTGCCCAAAGAAGTAGATGAAAAAGACAAAGAAATACCACTTAAGCACATGGAGCTCAGCATACCAGGAATAGAAATGAAAAAGACTCCTTCCCCTAAAATTGTAGGAAAGCCAAAAGCTATAGAATCCATTCCTCTGGAGCGCAAACCAAGTGCAGATGTTGCCAAAAAAACTGAAGAAAAGCCTGCTGCGAAAGATTCTGTGGAGGATATTCCCATTCTACTCAAGAAAGCAGCAAAGAAAACCAAGTCTCCAGAAGAAATAGCTCCTCAGGTCCCACTTAAAATTGGCAAAGGGAAGGTACCAGTGATGAAAGAACTGTCTCCGGAAACTGTGCAGCTGAAGAAGATTCCTACACATTTAGAAGAAGAAGTCTTTGAAGAAGAGCCCGAAGAAGAGGAGGATGAAGAGGAAACTTGGGGATGGGAACTAGGTCCACGTGATTCATATACTTCATCGGAAGACTGGGATGAAAGTGCAGAAACAGAAGAGGGGGCTGTTGAGACTCCAGGAAAGCCAGGTGAAAGACGAGGTGAGACGGCTGCTGCAGCCCTTCACCACTGTCTGCCTCATATCCTGTGCTTCGGAAAAAGCAGTGTTTTACCCCAATAATCTCCATTTCGTCCGTTGTTTTAAAAAGATTCATGTTTGTCTTCCTTTGTCTTGCCTATGGTTGCATGATACCATATGTATTGTTTTTAAACAGTCTACGAATACTATTATTGTAAACATTAAACATTCTCATCAATAACAAGACTAAGGGCTATTAAGTCCTTAAATTGTATGTTACGTTGTGGTGTAACATTTCATTCCATTAATATGTGGCATGAGGTGCTTTTCCCCATAATGTTTTATCTTTTTTATCTTCAACAAATGTCATGAAATTTTTACTCTGGTCTTTTCATACTGTTTTAACTTGACATTAACATTTTCAAGGAAATGAAAATAATATTGCTATCTTGCTTCAGATGCAAAGGCACCCAGAGAGGAAGCTGGAAGGGGTAGAGGGCTACCAAAAGGTCAGAGAACCAGCCATTGCATGTTCACTGTCAAAGATCGATGCATGCAAAACTTATATCAACTTCAAATGTATTTCAAAATTACACAACAAGCAAGTACAGTACATCCCACTGTCTACATCATTAGTATATAGTAATAAGAAGTGCAATCCAGATCTTAGGAAATCATACATTAGAAACTTCACTTATACTATTACTCTGATAGAATTGTGGTTGATTTGCATGTAATCATCTGAAAATGTCAGAAACTGCTTTTCTTTGAGAGAAAACACATCAGACAGCATCATGGTGTTGAATGTAACAGTTTGCCTGCAATGTGCATTTTAAACTCACCTGTAGATATGAAATCCATAAATATTATAAATGATTTGGAATGTGTATGTAAATTGTTTATGCCTTTTAATGCATCTTATTAACTTGTAACAAATACTCACAATTGATATTCAATGCAAATACAACCTTTTCTACATCTGTGTAAAAAAGGTATTACTTTTAATGACAAAAAATAAAGCTGTATCTTTTGCTGACAAATGTCTATCAAGAGTTCAGAAGAAAATAGTTGCAACCCCCTCTCATTAAATTGGAATAACACTGTCTGAACTAAAGTGGATGAAAGTTGCCTTCTACTAAGGTTTGTGGTGCCGTGCATTGCTTTCTTGGATGGTTCCCGGAAGAACCTGGCTATGCTTTTCCTAAGGGCTTCTGTTTTCAATTGCTCTAATCGCATTTCCGGAATTTAAACTGAAAACCTTTATTTGGATGCATCATGCCAATTCATCGTCAGAGCATGCGCTGAATGAAAACAAATCAAAAAAAGGTAACGTCTTCAAATCTAAATTTTAGCGAGGCAAACGCCGTCGCCTGGTGATGCAGATAGGAGGAGGCTAAGACCAGGAGCTGGGGGTGACAAACCTCCTGAGGAATCACCATTTGGATTCCAGCTCAAGGCTGTCCCACTGAAGTTTGTCAAGGAACTGAAAGACATTGTTTTGCAAGAGGCTGAGTCCATAGGGTCTTCAGCTGTTTTTGAGTGTCAGATCTCACCATCGACTGCTATCACCTCCTGGATGAAAGATGGAAGCAACCTAAGAGAAAGTCCAAAACACAAATTCACTTCAGACGGGAAGGATCGGAAACTGAGTATTATTGATGTGCAACTTTCTGACACTGGAGAATACACTTGTGTAGCCAAGCTCGGCAATAAAGAAAAGACCTCTACAGCCAAACTCATTGTTGAAGGTATTTTCATTAAGCCCTGTTTAAAATCCATGCTAAAGATAAGTACTTCATCCCAAAGGGCATTGTGGCTCTCTACAAAATTGCTTATGTAAACATGAAAAAAATCTATAAAATTCAAACTAATTAATTAATAAATGGAAAATTTGTCTTCCTGCCAAAATGTGTTAGCCAAATATATTATTGTTTTGCATATATAACTAACTGTATGCATGATTTACTCTATTTATAGAACTACCTGTTCGCTTTACAAAGACCCTTGAGGAAGAGTACTCAGTCATCAAAGGACAGCCTATGTACTTGACCTGTGAACTGAGTAAAGACAGAGATGTGATCTGGAAGAAGGATGGTGTGCCACTAAAGGAGATACCTGGCAAGCATGCAGTGAATGTCATTGGACTGCAGCGAGCTGTGACCATACAAGACGCTGATGATTCTGATGCTGGTGTTTACTCAGTGGAGACAGCTGACATCAAATGCCAAACAACTGTAAAAGTAATAGGTATGCATAACAAAAGATAAAATCCATTGTGTTTAAGAATTAACTACTTTTTCAATATCTTCTTTAAGGTATAGTTTTTCATTACTAGTTGTTATCTTGCTTAAAAGCATAACTTTTACCTTGTAGAAGTTATCCGAGATTGGCTGGTGAAACCCCTGAGAGATCAACATGTGAAACCCAAAGCAACTGCCAAGTTCACATGTGAGCTTATAAAGGACACACCAAATGTGAAATGGTTCAAAGGGGATGATGAAATCCCAGCAGAACCCAATGACAAGACTGAACCCTTGAAGGATGGAAATCAGCATGTTCTCCTTGTGAAGAATGCTACTCCAGAAGATGTTGGGGATTATGCCTTTGAGGTTGAAGGTCGCAGATATCCAGCTAAACTCACTCTTGGAGGTAAGTTAGGTAGTTTGTAAATATATGAAGTCTAATTCCTACTATTTTACATGTATGCCAGTTGATTCATTACTTGTGTTTTATTTTAGAACGTGAGGCTGAAATCCTGAAACCCCTGAAAAGTGTGGAGATCTATGAAAAAGAAAGTGCTAGCTTTGATACTGAAATTTCTGAGGAAGATATCCCAGGAGAATGGAAATTGAAAGGGGAAACTCTGCAGAGATCACCTGTAAGAGACTGACAGATTACAAATACATATATACTGTACCTTTGCTAACTTTAATGTGCTATTTTATGGAGCTGTGTGTATTGAATCAGCCATTGATGATTTCTTATCTTACTTCTGTTTCATGCCAGGCCATAGTATAACTTTGTTACTTTGTGTGAAAGATCTTTCATAGAATTTCAGCTGTTATTATAAAATTAGAATTTTTGTCATTGACATGTTATGTAGAATATATATACATTTTAAGCTCTTTTTTCATTTCAGACTTGTGAGATCAAAGCAGAGGGTAAGAAACGTATGCTATCTCTGCACAATGTCCAAGTTGATCAAGCTGGTGAAATTACCTACCAAGCATTGAATGCCATCACTACTGCCATGCTTAAAGTCAAAGGTAAACAATTTTAAAAGTTATTGTTCTTTTATAATACCGGTGAGAAAAGGAAAAGTCCCTTGAAACAAAATTGATGTTTCTCCCCCACCTCAGAAATCGAACTGGACTTTGCAGTACCCTTGAAAGATGTCTCTGTGCCAGAGAAAAAGCAGGCAAAGTTTGAATGCCTTCTTACCAGGGAAGTTCCAAAGGTCATGTGGACCAAAGGTTCTGACATCATCAAGTCTGGTGATAAATTTCACACAATTGACGATGGAAAGAAGCATATATTGGTCATCAACAGCTGCACTTTTGACGATGAAGGAGATTATACAATTGAAGCTAATGGCAAAAAGTCAACAGCTAAACTTACCGTTGAAGGCAAGTGTTGCTTCACATACTGTATAAATACACTTAATAAATACTACATATAAAAACAGTATAAGGCTAATTAGGAAAAATGTAAATTTATTTTTTAAAAGACTTGTTTGATAATAGTTAATAGATAATAGTATTCAAATGACTAAACTGTATATTTTGTTAGCACCTGACACAATTTTTTAGCAATTTAAATGCTTTAATTAGAGTAAGGATCTCTTATATTTTACTAGCTGGCAAACCTAAGGTAGGCTGTTTGTTCTCCGTAATGGTACATTAATTAATTGAGTTTCCAGAAAGCTTCTTTATTTTAGGGCATACTGTACTCTAATAATACTAAAATTATCAATGCTATATCCTTTTTCCTGGTGCAAATGTGACAGAGTGCCTTCATGGAGAACTAATTAAAAAAACTAATATGTTGCAGGCATAAGGCTGAAGTTCCTTAAACCATTAAAGGACCAAACTGTGAAGGAAGGTAAAACAGCTCGATTTGAAATTGAGCTGTCTCATGAGAATGTACCGGTGACCTGGTACAGGAATGAAAGAAAACTTCACCCAAGCAGAACCGTGCTTACCTCTGTAGATGGAAAGAAGCATATATTAGAAATCAAAGAAGTCACTCTAGATGACACTTGCCAGGTTAAGGCTGAAGCCCTTAGCCTTGCTACAGCGGGTAACCTGACTGTATTAGGTAATTTGTATTCTATTTTTTCCTTTTGCTTGTTAGTATTGTGTTTTGTAATTAATCTGTTTTGTGTATTTGTAGAAAAACATATACAATGCATATTTTGAGTTCATTTCATATACTTAGATCAGCATGCATGACCATTCCTTTAATTTTCCAGAGGGTGATCCATACTTCACAGTTAAATTACAAGATTACACTGCAGTTGAGAAAGATGAGGTCATTTTGGACTGTGAGCTCAGCAAAGATGTCCCTGTGAAATGGTACAAGGATGGGAAGGAGATCAAAGCTTCAAAACTTGTAACTATTAAGACTGAAGGCAAAAGAAGGATTTTGTCTATCAAAAGAGTGGAAAACAAAGATAAGGGAGACTATGTATGTGACTGTGGGACAGACAAGACGATGGCAACTGTGAACATTGAGGGTAAGTGCTGAAGAATACAGTACATACTGTACCATTTTATTTTCTTATGAACAAATATTTCATGTGATATAGATGTACTTATTTATTTGGTGTAATTCCATTTTGCCAACTTTTCATTTACAGCTAGAGATATTAAGGTTGTTCGACCCTTGTATGGTGTGGAGCTCTTTGATGGGGAAACTGCACGTTTTGAAGTGGAAATCTCTGAAACAGATGTTCATCCTCAATGGAAGCTGAAGGGAGAAATCTTATCTCCCTCTCCGGTATGTGGCTTTTTATACATTTTTGAAGTTATTAAAAAAAATATGGATCCATACTCAGACTATGATAACTTGGTAGAGATTACCAAGGACTATTTAGAGGTAGTAGTATTTGTGATTGTTACTTGTAAAAAGAAACACAAATTAATCCTACATTATTCTCTACTGAATAACAGATGTTTTATTATTTCTTTAGTATTATTTGTTTATTACAAGATAAATTATAATACATATTAATAATTAGAAATTTTAAGTGAATGTTGAGGAACGAAATTAGGTTGGTGAAGAGAATGATGATGAACTTCTTTAAACTGTGAGAGATAAATAGCACGTCATGTGTAGGAATGCACAGCGAGATGGATTTTTATTTTGTATGAATAATATTAGATTTTTTTCTAAACTGCATTTCTTTTTTTTTCTTAAACCAAGCCACCAGCAATGGGATTATACTGTTGTGGAAAGAGAAACAAATATAAATTTTAAATGTAAATACTAAGTATAAAAAAGTTAGAAGCTGCTTTTTTCTTTTTCAAAATTGTCTATTGTTTGTGGTCAAGTTGCATGCTTTATTTATCTCCATATCTTGTATGTGCATTCACAGGATGTTGAGATTATTGAAGACGGTGCCAAACATATCTTGACCTTGTACAACTGCAAAATACCCCAGTCTGGAGAAGTATCTTTCCAGGCAGCCAATGCTAAGTGTGCAGCCAATCTTAAAGTTAAAGGTGCTTTTCTTATTCCTTTTTAGCATGCTTCTAAGCTATTTTCAGTCTTATGATCAGAATTTTTATTGTTATTTTCATTGTTGTTTTTTAAATACAGAGCTTCCACTCACCTTTATCACTCCTCTCAGTGATGTGAAAGTATATGAGAAAGATGAAGCTAGGTTCGAGTGTGAGGTCTCCAGGGAACCCAAAAGTTTCCGCTGGCTTAAAGGCACTCAGGAGGTGAAGGCGGATGATAAATTTGAAATTATTGCAGAAGGGAAGAGGCATTCTCTTGTTATAAAATCTGTTGCATTTGAAGATGAAGCAAAGTACATGTTTGAAGCTGAAGATAAAAGAACAAGTGGGAAATTAATAATCCAAGGTAAACTGCAATTGAGATTTTACTCTGCATGATTTTATTTGTGTATTCTGCCATTTAAAGAGTAATTGAATGAAACTACAATTTCATTTTCATCCTTTCTCATAACATTTTAGGAATCCGTCTTGAATTTATCAAGCCTATCAAAGATGTCACAGTAAAGGAGCGTGAGACTGCAGAATTCAGCGTTGAGCTTTCACATGAGAAGATCCAAGTTACTTGGTATAAGAATGACACACGTCTACATCCCAGCAAAGTCATACATATGACAGATGAAGGCAAGGTCCACACACTTGCCTTTAAGGAGGTGTCCATTGATGACACATCCCTCATTAAAGTGGAGGCAATGGGCAAAAGCTCAGAGGCTAAACTCACTGTCCTCGGTATGTATTTTTTTCCTATATATATCAAAAACTTTAAAAGTGAGCTTTAACTGCACTGTCTGAAATATTATGCTTATATATAGAAACATAATTTCAATTAAATATAAATTAACTAATATAAAATCATATATTCAGTATATTTTCTAAATATATATATAAAGAATAAATTATATATATATATCAATATAAGTTCAATTAATATCTATAAAATGGTAGTTAATAGAAAAGTCAGCCATATCCTGTTTTTGGTAATGTAATACATATGATGTAAAACTTTAAATCAGTTGAGAGTTATTTTCCCCTTGATATTTACAGAGGGTGAGCCATACTTCATTACAAAATTGCAAGACTACACAGCAGTAGAAAAAGATGAAGTCATTTTGCAGTGTGAAGTTAGCAAGGCAGCTGCTCCAGTTAAATGGTTTAAAGATGGCAAAGAAATCACTCCATCAAAGAATGTCCAGATTAAAGCTGATGGAAAGAAGAGAATACTTGTTGTCAAAAGAGCACTGAAGGCAGACATTGGTGAATATACCTGTGACTGTGGCTCAGACAAGACCACTGCTAAACTCAACATTGAAGGTTTGGATTTCTTATTTCTTCATTAGTGCTATACAGTATATATATTTATTAATTATAGCAGTTATTTCTTAGTAAAATTATTAATTTGACATTTCATCTTGATCTTTTTATTCTCCTCTTTTCTATACAGAGCGTGACATTAAGATTGTGCGTCCTCTATATAGTGTTGAAGTTACAGAAACAGAAACTGCTCGCTTTGAGACAGAAATTTCTGAGGAAGATGTTCATGGCAACTGGAAGCTTAAAGGGGACCCTCTTCTTCAATCACCTGTAAGGCTGACACATTTTTTAAATTCATCATTACACAATATTTGATTTTCTTGTTGTGGGACTATATCATTTTAATTTCAATATTATACAATTAAATAATTTAGAATTTAGTAAAGTTAGTACCTTTCCTTAATTCATGAAACACTTCAGGAATTCAGGAATTCCAGTTACAAAGTAAAAGGAGGGAGGATAAATGAACTTGTCAAATGTGATTGAACACAATATTATTATAAAAGTCATCAGTGACTGGTTTATAAAATAGAAACTATTTTTGTGAATAATGGTTGGAATTATTTGTATTAGTTTGTAACCTTTCTAATAATTCTAAAATACATTTATTCTGCTCAAAGGATTGTGAAATTAAGGAAGAGGGGACAAAACATATGCTCATCTTGTACAATGTACGCATGGATCAAGCTGGTGGAGTAGACTTTCAGGCTGCCAATGCTAAATCTAGTGCTCATCTTAGAGTAAAAGGTAAGAAAATAGAATGGAACTTTACAGTATGTGAATATATAATGGTATTAGTTCTCTTTTCATTAAATGTGTTCCATGAAAGAATATACAAACATAAAAGAGAGCTTTTGATTAATAAACACCACTGCCTAAATCTGTAGAAAGGGAGTACGCAAATATAAACACAGAAGGGAATGCTTTTGAAAATGTTTTTGTTTATTTGTTTGCATTAAGACACAATAAAGTATCAAGCTCAGAAGCTGCTTTTACTTTTATTCACTTGTTTTGCATTATTTAAAAATGAACAATAAATCTTAAATTAACAAGGTTAAAATCTTTGAAGCAGTTGAAAGTGTTTGTATTAATCCATTACAAGTTTTTTAAAGTATCATGTGGTTGCCCAGTGTTCCAAAGAACATATTATCACTCTGAACTAACTTGTTAACTGGATGTTAAAGAGGTGAATAAAAGCATGTAAATACAACATTTCCAGATGTTTTGCTAAAAGTGTACATTTCGTATCCCTAATCTCTAAAGAGAATTGGTTTGAATTATATAATTGCGCAAACCAGTGTTATGAAACGTAACCTCTGTATATGATGTGTCTGCATTTTTGCAAGTAGTTGAGTAGCAGCCAACCCAACATTTTTGGAAAATGCCAATAGGCTGATTGACAGCAACAGATAGCCAAGTTTGGGTGCCAATTGATGTCCCCCAATCAGGTCCCCAGGCTATTTTGGAAGCCACAAGCCTTATCTAGAGTGGGCCATGTGTGATTGGTGGAGTAGCAGATGCCTTTAACATATGCTGCTGACCATATTCATCTTCAGGAAATTGAATATGCAAATAGAGGGTCCCCAGTGAACAGATACTCCTTGTGTGAGTTCCCAGTAGTTGAGGAGGCTCGTGAAGCTCCAGTGCAGTGGCCCACTTCTTGAGGGGACTGTGAAATGAAGATATGCAGGATTAACATTCTACTGGGACTTGAGGAGATCTAATCATGTCTTCTCCTCCATCCAAAGCGCGTGTAATTGGCCTGCTCAGGCCCCTAAGGGATGTTACAGTTACTGCTGGAGAGACTGCTACCTTCGACTGTGAACTTTCCTATGAAGGCATTGCAGTGGAATGGTTCCTTGGAGATAAGAAACTGGAACCAAGTGACAGAGTAAGTTATATAATTAATATTGTTAATAATAACATTATGAGAATGAGTGGAGTAGTAAATGTGTTAAACTTACATGTAGTCATGTAGTTGTTAACAAATAACAAGCATGCAGTTCACACCTTTGCATTTGAAGTGGTTATTGTTTTGGATGTTTCAATGTTTAAGATGAATCAATAAATCTTATTTGGCTTACTTGATTTTAAGTTTATTGTGTTACCTTTAACAATATAAATATACATTTAGTTTTATTTCTGTAAAAAATAATTTATTTTCATATAATTAAATATCCTTGAAACCATTTGTCACTTAAGTGTTTTCTGCATATAAGGTCCTCAAAGGATTAAAATTCCATTTCAGGCATTTGATCTGGGTTTTGAGATAACATGGTGCGTTATTCTGCCCTGCAAGCGTTCCTACAGGGTTATTTTTAACCACTTCAAGTGCTTGCGTCCGTGCTTTGAGGGCAGGGGTCAAGCTGAGTTATTTGACAGCAATCATTTAAAACAGTAAGCTGTACATTAATCCAAAATTATTTAATAGAATTCATTTCAAATTTCAGAAAACTTTTAATATAAAATAATAACATTTAACACTTAGAATTCTTCCTGTTTCTTTGCATAAGTACTGTAGGTGAGTTTTGTGAGAAGCTTGATGCACTTGCTGACGTTTCTTTTTAAAAATCAAGTTTTTAAACACATGAATCCAGTATGCTGCACATTGCAAGCCTAAAAGTGAAGTTCATCAGTCATGTTTTTTCATTAAAATATTATTTAACTATCTATTTAACAATAAAATCAAATATAAAAATAACAACTGAAACCTGAAATTATATATCAACATTGGAGTGGATAATAGAATATATCCGCATGTGCCTTAATTTTGTAACTTTTATAGAGTTGCAGAATTACCGTGTTTATTCCATGTGTTAAATTAGTTAATTCACTTGCCAACTTTGGTGTAACTTTCTAGAGTAGTTTTTTTTTTTAATTAACATTAAATAGATCCTTGCTATATACTGTAGATGCAATTAACAAATGTTTTTTTAATTGCACTTAATGAATTAGTTATACTGTAGTTATAGGTAGAACAGGCAGAATTTGGTAACAGGGAGCATTGTTTCAGTATTATTTCTGAGAGCTCAATTATTACAGTACATGGTCCTTGAGGCTTTAATTACCACAAGATTTCTTTTCGTTATTAAGGTTACATTGATGTTAATAGTGTTGCTATCCATTATTGAAGTGGTCTAAATAAACCTTGTGTTACTATGCTTTGTGTAGATTGTCACTCGTGCTGAAGGAAGAGTTCACACACTTACCCTCAGGGATGTTAAGTTAGTCGAGGCTGGTGAAGTTAAACTGGCAGCCAAGGACTTCAAAATACAGGCTAACCTCATTGTTAAAGGTAGGTTAAATATTTTTTTGTGCCATTTCATGGTTAGGTTGATTGTGTCAACCAAGGGGGCTTTGTTAACTTAGAAAAATTGAAAAATTGGGATAATATCTATTTTATAGTGAATGAAATACCTGACATTAACTAGTTTCATCATGATTTACTTTGTTAATGTTACAGGTCTGCTTGTATGTCATTTTTCTAATAAATAATTTTAAACTTTTGTTTGTTAGAATGTTAACATAATCATGCAGACGAATGGTACAGAAATGGACAACTGTGTTAAAATACAGTCTATCAATACATCTATACAATTATCTAAATCTAATCTATGGAAATGTGCACATATTCAAACATTATCTTGATTTTACTGTTCAGAGCCACCAGTTGAATTTACAAAGCCTCTTGAAGATCAAACTGTTGAAGAAGAGGCCACTGCTATACTGGAGTGTGAAGTGTCCAGGGAAAATGCTGAGGTCAGGTGGTTTAGAGATGGTCAAGAAATTCACAAAACAAAGAAATATGAGATGGTTGCAGAGGGCAGAGTCAGAAGACTTATCATTCACAGCTGTACCCTTGATGATTCTAAAACATATACCTGCGATGCCAAGGATTTTAAGACTTCTGCTTTCCTAAACGTTGAGCGTAAGTGAATTCTAATACAAAAAGACATCAGTATTTAATAACTTGTGAAAAAGATATTAATTACTTCAAGACATGTTTTTAAAATGTGATTGTTTTTGCAGCTCCACATGTTGAGTTCACAAAGCCTCTCCATGATGTTGAGGTTAAAGAAAAGGAATCAGCCAAATTTGAATGTGAAGTGTCCCGTGAAAGTGCGAAGGTTAGTAAATTGTTTAGACAATTGTGCTTTCATTAGTTCTGGTAAAGGTCCAGGATGATTCTCTGGAATGATAAAGAGAGCTTCAATATCAAATTACTTAATTTATAAACTAGCAAGTACTGTTATAGTAATTGGTGGATTTACACTAGAATATAATCAAGGTAAAACTGAATCTTCCTCCTATACCCATTTTATTAGTCTGTTATTAAAGGCTTTTTTATTGTGCAACATTTCTCTAGTCTAATAACATTTTTTCTTTTCCTCTTTGCGATCAGGTTCGCTGGTTCAAGGATGGCAGTGAAATCAGAAAAGGCAAGAAGTATGAAATCATTTCTAAAGGTGTCCAGCGTATTCTTATAATCAGCAAGTCAGTCTTTGATGATGAAGCTGAATATGAATGTGATGCAAGGACTGCCAAAACCTCTGGAATGCTTACTGTCATAGGTAAGAGAATTTTAAAATATTTCTAAAGAGGTCTCAGAAAATGTTAAAAAAAGCCAGAGTCTTGGCTATGAAAATAAACCTGAATATCTTATTTGAAACTGTTTCCTCTTTGCATACAATTCTCCTTTATGCGTACATGCTAAACAACTAAACCCTAGGTTTAACTAAGCTGAACCTTATGAAAAATATTACTTTCTAGTGACAGAACAAAGGGACAGACAAGGAAATTCCATTTCAATTTTTGTCAGTAGGTCAAAAGGTACTTAACTATCTTTTTAATCATCTTCCCTTTGCAGAAGAAGAAGCTGTCTTTACAAAGAACCTATCAAATGTTGAGGGCACTGAAACAGACAGCATCAAAATGATCTGTGAGGTCTCTAAACCCAGTGCAGAAGTCAGATGGTATAAAGGTGACACTGAACTGCCTGAAGGTGGGAGACATGACCAGATAACTGACGGTAAAAGGAGGATACTCATTATTCAGGGTATCTGCATGAGTGATGCAGGAGAGTATAACTGCAGACTGCCAACTTCACGGACATCAGCAACACTCAAAGTTAATGGTAGGTGGACCTAGAGCCATCAAGAACACCAATTTACTGACAATAAGTTGTTTTAAAGAAACATAATTATCTGTACTCTGTCTTTTTTAACTTTTTTAGAACTCGCAGCAGAATTTATTGCCAGACCTCAGAACCAAGAAGTACTTGAAGGGGACAAAGCTGAATTTGTCTGTTCAGTATCCAAGGACACATATGAAGTGAAATGGCTCAGAGGTGACAAGGAGATTGAAGCTGGAGATAAATATGATATTATCTCTGATGGCAAAAGGAGAGTTCTTGTTGTAAAGAATTGCATCCCTGGTGATGAAGGAACATTTGTTGCTTCAATTGGTACTTCAAGAGCATCAGCGGACCTGACAGTAATTGGTAAGATTTGTTTTTTACTTTGTCTAATGGGAACTTTGCACTAATCATCCATATAATTTATATATTCATAGTGTAATTATTTTATGTTCTGTGCTTACCTTGATTAAAGTAAGTCAAAACTCCTTAAGATTTTAAAAACATTAAATAATACATTTTAAATATGAAATATGATTTAAATAAGTTTTATCCACTATTTGTCATTTTCACAATTTTCTTCTTTTTGCAGAAAAACTCAGAATTATAACACCTATCAAAGACACACAAGCTAAAGAAGGGCAAGAAATTGTCTTTAACTGTGAAGTAAACACAGAGGGAGCCAAACCCAAGTGGCTGAAAAATGATGAAACAATATTTGAAAGTGCAAAATACATCATCATCCAGAAAGATCTGGTATTCTCACTGAGAATCAGAGATGCCCAGATGGAAGATCAAGCAACTTATACCATCACATTGACAAACCACAGAGGAGAGCATGCAAAATGCTCTGCAAAATTAACTGTTCAAGGTAAATTTAAGATTGTGCTTTCTAAAAGAATTTCTCATTGTTTGAGAGTGTTTCTCTGTTTAAAATCCAAGGGATATCTGTTACCATTGAGACTAATGGGTTTTATTTACCTCGTACAGAGGAGGACCTGAGGATCATTGAACCTCCTGAAGACTGTGAAACTCAGGAAAAGAAGACAGTCAGTTTCATCTGCAAAGTCAACCGACCAAATGTTACACTGAAGTGGATGAAGGGAGGACAGGAAATTGCTTTCGACAAACGTGTCTTGTACAAGATAGATAAAAACAAACACACGCTTATAGTGAAAGACTGCAGCCTAGCCGACGAGGGAGAGTATACTGTAATTGCTGGAACAGACAAAGCTGTTTCTGAGCTGATTATTAGTGAAGCACCCACTGACTTTACCAGCCACCTTCAAGACCAGACAGTCACTGAATTCGAAGATGCTATCTTCACATGCCAACTTTCCAAAGAAAAGGCAACAGTGAAATGGTACAGAAATGGCAGAGAAATTAGGGAAGGACCAAGGTAAGTCTTTTCTATTTGCTAAAATTTAAATGAAAGTTTGAATTGGCTCTCAAAAAATAGATTCCTTACTATTTATTCTGTGTTTTTTTAAAGATACCACATGGAAAAAGAAGGCAACATTTGCAGACTTTGCATCAAAGAATGCAGGCCAGATGACGAATGTGAATATGCCTGTGGTGTGGAAGAGAGGCGATCAAGGGCTAGGCTCTTTGTTGAAGGTACTCTTTCATAATTTAGATTTTTATATATATATTATGTAATATTTTTTCAACCTATAAATAGCTTTTTCCTTAATCTCAATTCATTCCCTTTTTTCACCCCAGAAATCCCTGTTGAGATTATCAGACCACCGAAGGATGTCTCTGATGCCCCTGGATCAGATGTTGTCTTTGAAGCTGAACTTAACAAAGACAGAGTTGAGGTTAAATGGCTAAGAAACAACATGATCATTGTTCAGGGTGATAAATATCAAATGATGAGTGAAGGCAAGGTACACAGGCTACAAGTCTGTGAAATCAGGCCTCGAGACCAAGGAGAATACAGAATTATTGCCAAAGACAAAGATGCCAGAGCTAAGCTTGAACTTGCAGGTAAGTTACTATATAAACAACATAAAGTTGGTGTGACTTGAAAATTCTTGCAAACAAACCTGATTTTTTTTTTTTAATTTATCATAGCTGTGCCAACTATCAAGACAACTGACCAAAACCTTGTGACAGATGCTGGAAAGTCTTTCACAATGACTGTTCCCTATGATGCTTACCCACGAGCAGAGGCTGAATGGTTCTTTGATGACATCAGCCTGCCAATACAGAACATTGACACTACAGTGGATATGACCAGTTACAGGCTAAAGGATCCTAAGAAGTCTGACCAGGGGCGATACAAAATTGTTATTCAAAACAAACATGGAAAGGGAGAAGCAATTATTAATCTGGATGTGATTGGTAAGGCGGCCTAAATAATTAATTAGTCTTTCTTAAACACCTAAACTTTTGATATATATGATGTATAAGTATGATATAATAATATACTTTGGGTAATGCAGATGTTCCTGGACCTGTTAAGAACCTGCACGTGGTTGAAACCAGTGATGGGGAAGTTAGTCTTGCCTGGGAAGAACCTGAAAGCGATGGTGGTAGCAAGATCTTAGGCTATGTTGTGGAAAGGCGTGACATCAAACGCAAGACCTGGACACTTGCAACTGATCGTGCCGACAGCCCTGAATACACTGTTACTGGACTTCAAAAGGATGCTGAATATCTCTTCCGTGTCTGCGCACGCAACAGGGTAGGCAGTGGTGAAACAGTGGAAACAGATACACCAGTTCAAGCCAAGAACAAATTTGGTAAGTATTTTAAAATGCCACAGATTTGTTAAACATAATTATATTAATGTCCAATATAGTTATGTATAGTAGCAATACTATCAACTATGACCAATAAAACGCTTTGTAAACTGTTGGATCTTTCATCTCTAAAGCATTACATTTTTGCTTGCCTTTCAGATGTTCCTGATGCACCACAAAATGTAATGGTTGGAAATGTGAATAAGTTTGGGGCTACAGTCACTTGGGAACCCCCGGAGTTTGATGGTGGATCTGAAATTACAGCGTATATCATTGAGTTGCGTGACAGGACTTCGGTTAGGTGGGAGCCTGCTCTTGTGACAAAACCAGATGAGCTTCTTGCAACCATTAATGATGTTGTGGAGAATAAAGAATACATTTTCCGGGTCAGAGCTGAAAACAAAGCTGGAATTGGAAAACCAAGTGCTGCTTCCAGTCCCGTGAAGATTATGGATCCTATTGGTAAATATGACAGAAATATATTACCCATATATTTAGCACAAAATGTATGATGAATGAAATAAATATTATTTCACACATACTAATAAAATTCAGATATTGCAATATTCTGAATAACTTTTCTTTTCTCTTTCAGAACGTCCAAGCCCACCACTTAACTTTAATTATTCTGACCAGACAAAGTCATCTGTTCAGCTTACATGGGAGACTCCTTTGAGTGATGGAGGAAGCATGATTACTGGCTATATTATTGAGAAATGTGAAGAAGGAACAGACAAATGGCTGAGATGCAATGCAAGGCTTTGTCCTGACCTTTCTTACAAGGTATTTCTGTACTGATCTCATTGTTCAGAGAAAAAAAAAATTCAAATGGATAATAACATTGTTTTCATCACTAATATTGTAACTTTTCTAATGTACCATACAGGTTACTGGTCTGAAGCATGGACAGAAGTACCTTTACAGAGTGTCTGCAGAGAATGCTGCTGGAGTTTCAGATCCTGCTGATGTATTAGGACCTCTTATGGCAGATGATCCACATGGTACATATATTTTTTAATGCCCTTAAATATGAATAATATAATATGAATTGGAGTTCTGAAAATGAGAGTTACCATGATGTTGATGATTATTCTATTTATTTCAATTTTGTCTAGTGGCACCTACTTTGGACTTAAGTGCATTTAAAGATGGCTTGGAAGTCATTGTTCCTAATCCACTCAAGATTCGTATTCCTATTACTGGATATCCCCTGCCTACTGCAAAGTGGTCTGTGGAAGGAAAAGACTTGGAAAGGGGAGACCGAGTGTCAATGGATACCAAAATGTCTTATACAGAATTGGTCATTACCCCTAGTGTAAGGCCAGACAAGGGCATCTACACTGTGCAGTTAGAGAATCCTGTAACAACAGTCTCAGGAGAAATTGACGTGAATGTGATTGGTATGTAAAATCTTTTTTTTTAATGAAAACTGCATAAACAAGTAACAAGAAATTCTAAGTATACATGACTTTAATGCATTGTGGTTTCAGCTTGCCCAAGTGCACCAAGAGATTTGAAAGCTGCTGAAGTGACCAGAAGTTCAGTGCATTTGATGTGGGAAGCTCCAGAGCATGATGGTGGAAGCCCATTGACTGGATACCAAGTAGAAAAGCGTGAAGTCAATCGCAAGACTTGGGTTAAGGTACTTCCCCTTTGCTTTAAATGTCTTTATAAAATTACATTGACAAACCCTAAGCACAGGTATTATAATTTTAAATGCTTTAATACTTCTCTTAAGGTTATTACTGGTGTACAGGACCAGGAGTTCACTGTCACAGATGTAATTCAAGGCAAAGAATATCTCTTTAGAGTTCTTGCCTGCAACAAATGTGGTCCAGGAGAACCTGCATACATTGATGAACCGGTCAATGTATCATCACCAGCAAGTAAGTGTTTATTATTTTTTAAAAGAAATGACAAATGCGTATAATTTTAAAGACAACAAGATTTTTAAGTCAATTATGTTGAAGATGGATGATAATGGCTATCTTTCAAGTTTAAAAACTTAACAAGTTTGGAGACCTTTTTCTAAAAGCCTAATGATGCAGTGGTAAATAACTAAAAACATTCTTTTCATTACATAGCTGTACCAGACCCACCTGAAAATGTGAAATGGAGAGATAGGTCTGCTTCAGGAATCTTCTTGTCATGGGAACCACCAAAATATGATGGAGGATCTGCCATCAAGGGCTATATTGTTGACAAGTGCCAGCGTGGTAGTGATAAATGGGAGCCCTGTGGAGACCCTGTTGTAGATCTGAAGTGAGTGTTCATCTTCAATAAACACATTGTAATACAGTTAAATAATTTAATTAACATTAAAGCCATGATTTGCTGATATTGATTTTTATACACTTAAAACATATGTACTGTACACTACTGCTTATAAAAGTGATGTAATATTCTGTTTTTTATGAAACATAATATTTTTCCTATGCAGGTATGAAGTCAAAGGGCTCAGTGAAGGACAATGGTATGCATATCGTGTACGAGCTTTGAATCGTCTGGGTGCTAGCAGACCCAGTAAACCTACAGATGAGATCCAAGCTGTGGATGCCAAAGGTATAAAATGTGACATTTGAATTTTTATATTATTATATATTTTTTATTATATTTAATATTTAAATTGAGTCTAAGTGTTTTTAAGATGTAAACTAATTTTGGATTGTTTTCATCCAACAGAGGCTCCAGAGATTATGCTTGATGTAAAATTACTTGCTGGTTTAACAGTAAAAGCTGGGACAAAGATTGACTTGCCAGCCACAGTTATGGGTAAACCAGATCCTAAGATTACCTGGACAAAGGCTGACCTTGTCCTGAAACCTGATGACAGAGTTTCCATTGATACCAAACCCGGTCATTCAATACTGACAATTGCTAAAACAAAGAGAGATGACAGTGCTACCTACATAATTGAAGCTGTTAACATCTGTGGCCGTGCAACAGCAACCGTTGAGGTCAACATCCTAGGTATTTAATCTTTTCTGTTTTTTTTTCTGATTAATATGCAAATTACATACCACAGTTACCATAAGAAGTGCCTTTGAATACTTCCCTTTCACTATTTGTTTTCTTACCCAACAGATAAACCTGGACCTCCAGCTGCTTTTGATATCACTGATATTACAAATGAGTCATGTTTCCTGACATGGAATCCTCCGAGAGATGATGGTGGATCAAAAGTCACTAATTATATTGTTGAACGGAGAGCCACAGACAGTGAAGTCTGGCATAAACTCTCCTCCACTATTAAGGAAACTACATATAAAGCCAATAATCTGGTGCCTCTTAAGGAGTATGTCTTCAGAGTGTTTGCTGAAAATATGTATGGTGTTGGGGAGCCTGCACAACACGTACCAATAACTGCTAAGTATTCTTTTGGTAAGTCATGGATATATGTTTAAATGTAATATATCAAATCACTAATACATGTAACTACTTAAAAATATGTTTCATGCATATACATGGCATTACATTCAGAGTACATAAGATAATTGTAATATCATTACTTTCATTGACCAAGCTTTAATTACTAATTTAATGTATGAGTATAATACAAAATGGGACTTACAGTTTTTTTTCTTTTGCTCAGATCCACCTGGTCCACCAACTAAACTGGAGCCTTCTGATATTGCCAAGGACTCTGTGACCTTGACATGGAATGAACCTGCTGAAGATGGTGGTAACCCCATCACTGGATATTGGGTTGAGAGATATGACCCAGAAAATGATAAATGGCTTAGATGCAACAAGTTACCTATCAAAGATACAACTTTCAGGTAGGAATTCAAAGATGGTGGGAAAATGTACTGATAACATAAATCTTAAAAACATATTTTATTCATATTGAAAAATTACTTCTTTATGTTTTACAGAGTTAAAGGTCTGCCAACTAAGAAAAAGTATAAGTTCCGTGTCTTAGCTGAGAATCTTGCTGGTCCTGGAAAACCAAGCAACGAAACGGATCAGATCTTGGTTAAAGATCCCATTGGTAAGGATATCAAAAGTGTGCTATATTGACTTTACTCTTAAATGATTTAGCCATGACTAAACAGGAAATCTCTCCTGTACTATTAAAATATGTTGAAGTCGTAGCAAATTTAATTGAAAAACATTGCTATTGGAGATGAAAAAGCATAATGACTACTGAAAATGAGTCATATAAAAAGTTGGTAGTTTAGAAAAATTACATTTTAATTATAAATATAATTTATATTTTCTTTCCAGATCCTCCATGGGCTCCTGGAAAGCCAATAGTTAAGGATGTTATGAAGACATCTGCATTCTTGCAGTGGACTAAACCAGAACACGATGGTGGGGCAAAGATTGAATCTTACATTATTGAACTACTAAAAAGTGGAACTGAGGACTGGGTCCGTGTTGCAGAGGGAGTTCCTATGACTGAACATTTCCTCAAAGGGCTTATGGAAAAGCAAGAATATTCATTCCGTGTCAGAGCTGTGAACATAGCTGGAGAAAGCGAACCTAGTGAACCAAGTGATCCTGTGCTCTGCAAGGAGAGATTAAGTAAGTCAATTTATCTGTAGCAACCTCATCCTTGTGTTTTATGCTTTCTATAAGAATGGGGAAAATTATCTTAGAAAAAGATAAAAGTGGAATAAAATCCCTATGCCTTGTTTCTTTTTCCCAGATCCTCCATCGCCTCCACGCTGGCTTGAAGTTATTAACGTAACAAAGAACACAGCTGAACTGAAATGGTCACCTCCAGAAAGAGATGGTGGCTCTCCTGTCACCAACTACATTGTTGAGAAGAGGGATGTTAGACGCAAAGGCTGGCAAGCAGTTGACACCACAGTTAAGGATATGAAGTATACTGTTAGTCCACTCAATGAGGGTTCACTGTACGTGTTCCGTGTTGCAGCTGAGAATGCTGTTGGACAGAGTGACTATTGTGAAATTGAAGATTCTGTTCTTGCCAAAGACACATTCAGTAAGTCAATTCTCTTCCCTCTTCACTATTTTTTATGCATTTTACTTCTCATGCTTGTCAATACTTAGTCAATTGTTCTTTTATCTTTTATCTCTTCAGCTACTCCTGGACCTCCGTATGCTCTTACAGTGGTAGATGTTACAAAAAGACATGTTGATCTGAAATGGGAGGCTCCCAAGAATGATGGTGGTAGACCAATTTTAAGGTAATATTTTTACTAAAACTAAATGTGCTTCACTTCTTATTAGACAGTGAAAGATGAAAGTGAAATTGAAGAAATTGCAAAAAATGAAAGAGAAGTAGAAAAACATTTTTTAAAATTCACAATTTTGAACACTTTTCTCATAGATATGTTGTAGAAAAGAAAGAGAAACTTGGGACTCGTTGGGTGAAAGCAGGAAAAACATCAGGACCAGACTGCACATACAAAGTCACAGATGTCATTGAGGGAACAGAGGTGCAGTTCCAGGTCTGTGCTGAGAATGAAGCAGGTGTTGGACATCCAAGCGAACCCACAGACATTCTTACAATTGAAGATCCAACAAGTATGTTATCCTTCCTTTATACTATACCTTGATATGTTAATGTCAGTGTATGTACTGGATTTGGTATCCATTCATATTTAAATATATAAAACACCTTATTGTTTATGTCATAGGTCCACCATCTCCGCCCTTGGAGCTACACGTAACAGATGCAAGCAGAGGTCATATTTCAATTGCCTGGAAGCCACCTGAGAAGAATGGTGGTAGCCCCATCCTTGGCTACCACATAGAGCTCTGTGAGGCTGGAACTGAAAAGTGGATGAGAGTAAACTCCCGTCCAGTGAAAGATCTTAAATTTAAAGCAGAAGAGGGCATCATCCCTGATAAAGAATATGTTCTCAGAGTTCGTGCTGTCAATGGTGTTGGAGTCAGTGACCCCTCTGAGATTTCAGAAAATGTCTTTGCTAAAGACCCTGATTGTAAGTATCCTTTTTGTTTCTTGTGCTGTCTTTATAATGGATTAAAGTTATAAAATACTTTAAAGATACTAAAATATTTTTTCCTTCTTATTTTTCCAGGCAATCCATCCATTGAGTTAAAGACTCAAGACATTGTTGTTGTAGAGGGTGAGAAGATGAGTCTTCCCATTCCTTACAGGGCAGTACCAATGCCTACTGTGTCTTGGCATAAGGATGGCAAAGAACTAAAACCTAGTGACAGACTTGGTCTGAGGTCTGATTACACTGCAGCTTTCATTGAAATTACCAGTTGTGTACATGCAGATGCTGGTTTGTACACAGTTACTCTTGAGAATAAACTTGGATCTACAACAGGAACAATTAATGTTAAAGTCATAGGTAGGATTAATACATTCCCATTTACTGTTTTTTTATTTTCATAAATTAAAATATCTGGTTATATTTTACCTTTTATTTTTATTTTTCTAATTTAAAGGTTTACCAGGTCAGTGCAAGGATATCACTGCAAGTGAAGTCACCAAAAATTCATGCAAGGTTTCATGGGAACCTCCAGATAATGATGGTGGTAGCCCTATCTTACATTATGTTCTTGAACGTCGTGAAGCTGGAAGGAGAACCTACGTGCCAGTCATGTCTGGAGAGAACAAATTATCCTGGCAAGTGAAAGATCTGATACCAAATGGGGAATACTACTTCCGAGTTAAAGCAGTTAACAAGATTGGTGGTGGAGAATACAATGAGATCCGTAACCCTGTCATCGCTGAAGATCAAAAGGGTATGTGTTTTTTAAACAGTTTTCTCATAGAATTATTTCATGGTATGTTTTACAAATCAGTTTGAACTGTAATTTTCTCCTTTTTTTCTTCCATGTAGTTCGTCCAGATCCACCAGTCGATGTTGAAACCCATGATCCTACTTCACAGTCAGTGACCCTGACATGGAAACCACCAATGTATGATGGAGGCTGCAAGATTATGGGCTATATTTTGGAGAAAATGGAGAAGGGTGGAGACAAATTTGAAAGGTGTAATGAGTTCCTGGTGCCTGTTTTATCTTATACTGTAAAGGGCCTGGAAGAAGGCAAGGAATACCAGTTCCGTGCACGTGCCGAAAATGCCGCAGGTGTTAGTGATCCTTCGCGTAGCACACCACTAGTAAAGGCTGCTGATCCTATAGGTAAGTGCAACATGCAAATAGGGTTTTGATTGATTATCTGGGTATGGGGAGTAATCAAGATATTTTGGATATCAAAACAAAAAATCATACTTATTAATTATGAATCAAAATTCTGAAAACGTATTGTATTAATCAATGTTTTCTACTTATCTTTTTAAAATATGTTTAGCTATTTGATTAACTCATGTGCTTGTTATTTAATTAGTTTTTAATACTTGGTTTGCAGATCCACCAAAGGTCTTCCTCAGTGGAAGTCTGCAATCTGGCCTGGATGTGAAACGGGGTACAGAAATCAAACTTGATGCCAACATTTCTGGGTCACCTTATCCAACTATAACATGGTATAAAAACGATGAAGTGATAAGACCAGAAGAAATAAAGAAGAGACCTGACAAGCCGATTATTAGGAGGAAAAAGGATGCAGTACCTGAACCTGAAGAACCATTCTATCTTTCCCTGCCTGAGCGTCTAACAGTTGACAACAGCAGGAAAGGGGAGTCCTGTGCTATGGTGCGTGATTCCATTAGACCAGACCATGGAAAATTTACAATCAAAGTGGAAAATGATCACGGTGTTGCCTCTGCCTCATGCGAAGTGAATGTGCTTGGTAAGACAGAAGTACTCTTAAATTTTTTGTTTCAATGTGTGTGTGAATAAATGGATGATATGAAAATAACTTTTTTTCTTAAATATTGCTAATTGCAGATGTTCCTGGGCCCCCAGTAAACTTTATCTTTGAAGAAGTTCGGAAAAATTCTGTGATATGTAAATGGGATCCACCCCTAGATGATGGTGGAAGTGAGATACTTAATTATATCTTGGAAAAGAAAGATAACTCCAAGGCTGAAATCGGATGGGTTAATGTGACATCAACTCTCAGGGGATGCAAATATCCTGTGACCAAACTTATTGAAGGAAAAGAGTATGTCTTCCGTGTTACAGCAGAGAATAGGTTTGGCCCTGGACGACCATCTGTTTCACAGCCACTTCTTGCAAAGGATCCATTTGGTAAGTCAATATGAAGTGAGCTAATGTATATTATTTTTTAATGTAACTTATTTTCTATTATACTGTACATCTTTCTTAAATATAAATGAAAAATACTTTTTTTTTACTTAGAACCACCTGAGGCCCCCGATAAGCCTGAAGTTGAGGATGTGACAAGCAATAGTATGCTTGTCAAATGGAATGAACCTAAAGACAATGGCAGTGCTATCTTGGGTTACTGGATTGAAAGACGTGAAATTAACAGTACACACTGGGCTAGAGTTAACCGAAGTCTTCTCAATGCATTGGAAACAAGGGTTGATGGTCTATTGGAAGGATTGACTTACATCTTCAGAGTTTGCGCTGAAAATGCTGCTGGACCTGGAAAATTTAGCGTTCCATCTGAACCGAAGACAGCACAGGATCCAATATGTATGTAGAACTGGCTTTAATGCAATATAAAAATGACATGCATGTATGAGTTTGTACTGTATATATTTTATCATTTTTATTTTTAGTTAATCAGATTAAAATAATTTTCATGTTATTTTCATTAGTACCACCTGGCCCACCTATTCCAAGGATTGTTGATACATCGGAATCCTCCATTGAAGTTGCATGGGATCCTCCCATTTACAATGGAGGTGGTGAAATCATTGGGTACCACGTTGATAAAGTCCTGGCAGGCAAAAATGATTGGTCACGCTGCACAGAGAAATTGGTAAAGGACCGGAAGCTTACAGTGCGTGGAGTTCGAGAAGGAGCTGACTACAGAATTCGTGTGATAGCTGTAAATAATGCTGGTGAAGGTGCACCTGGAATAACAGAACCTGTAACTGTTAGAGATCCTCAAGGTAATTTTTCTACAGCTAAAACACTACATTTGCAATATTATAGTATATCCAAAATTAAAAATAAATTTAACGATGAGTTGGCTTAAGTCTGCTTATATTTACAGAACCTCCTGTTGTTGAACTGGATATCAGCGTGAGAAACGGAGTTCAGATTAGAGCTGGTGACACACTGAAGCTTCCTGCATTAGTAACTGGTAGACCTTCACCAGAAGTAAAATGGACCAAAGAGGAAGGTGAAATAGAAGCGGAACGCGTTACCATTGAAAGTGTTGGAACAACAAACACGCTTATTATCAAAAATGCTCTCAGGAAAGATCATGGCAAGTACATTATTACTGCTACAAACAGCAGTGGAAGCAAATCTGCATGGACGAGAGTGGATATAATGGGTAAGTAATAAAATAAAAAAGTATGTATTATAAATTAAAAAAACATACTTTTTGTGTTCTGGGATATGTGTAACATTTGTGTTTTTGCTTTTTCCTTTCCATAAGATGTTCCTGGACCTATACTTGATTTAAAACCTGTTGTTGTCACAAGAAAGATGATCATGTTGAACTGGTCAGATCCTGAAGATGATGGAGGAAGTGATATCACTGGCTTTATTGTTGAAAGAAAGGATGCTAAAATGCATACATGGAGACAGCCTATTGAGACTGTCCCATCTAAATGTGACATCGTAGGTGTGCTTGAAGGACAGGAATACATGTTCCGGATTGTTGCCAAGAACAAGTATGGCTGTGGTCCGCCAGTTGAACTAGGACCTATTGCTGCTGTGGATCCACTAGGTAACGTCTTCCTCCAAATTAAATGCATTCACGTTTAATTTAAAGAAAAATTATACTTATGATTAATTTATATTTACTTCTATTTTTTAATTTAATTTATTTTAGGTCCACCTACTTCACCAGAGAAATTTCACTACACTGAGAGGACAAAAACTTCTGTAACCCTTGCCTGGAAACCTCCTCGTAATGATGGTGGAAGTCCAATTCAAGGCTACATTGTTGAAAAGAAAAGACATGACGCAACTGAATTTGACGTTGTCAACCGACAACTATGCAGGGACACTACTTTGCTAGTTGACAACCTTGTGGAGCTGCACATGTATGAATTCCGTGTAAAAGCAGTGAATGAGATAGGAGAAAGTGATCCTTCGATTCCATTGAATGTTGTCATTCAAGATGATGAAGGTTTGTTGTTTTTGTGTGAAGTATATACTCTATCTACATGACCTGATGACCTAGATACATTTTCATTACTGCACTTTATTTACTTTTTTGTGTTCTGTATTTTAGTTTCTCCAACTGTGACATTGCTGAAACACTTCAAAGGAGATACAATAACTGTCAAGAAAGGGGAGCCAATTGAAATACCAGCAGAAGTAACAGGCCTCCCATTGCCTAAAATCGAATGGTCTAAAAATGAGGTTGTTATAGCCAAGCCTACAGAATCACTTTTGATTGACACAGAGGTGCTATCTAGAACCAATGAAAAGACAAAGCTCAGTATTCCTGCTACTGTCAGACAAGATAAAGGTCTTTACACAATCAGTGCTTCTAACCGCCTTGGAGCTGCCCATCACTCAATTAATGTGGAAGTACTAGGTAAGTGTATTGAACATAAGACATTTTGGATTGATTGATTTTATTCATTTGAGTATTCAGAGGTAACCTACACAATGTGTTATTGTTACAGACCGTCCTTCACCACCACGTAATGTTAAGGTTTCTGACATCAAAGCTGAATCTTGTTACCTTACATGGGATGCTCCAGAGGATAATGGAGGTAGTGAGTTGACAAACTACATTGTGGATAGCAGGGATGCAAGCAAGAAGAAGTCTGAATGGGAAGAAATTACAAATAACATCATAGAAAGAAGATATGGGGTAAGAGAAAAGTGTTACAATCAGAAAATAAAATGATAACAATATAGTGCTGAAACAGAAATAACTGAAATCACTATGGTAATATATATTTTCTTCTTAAAGGTTTGGAAATTGACCACAGATGGCGCTTACCAGTTCAGAATCAGGGCTGAAAACAAATATGGAATCAGTGATGGAGCAGAATCAGAAAAAGTAATCATTAAAGATCCATTTGGTCTTCCTGGTCCACCAGAGAAACCAAAGATTGCTGAGCACACAAGATCATCCATGCTTGTAACATGGGAGCCACCTTTGGACAATGGTGGATCCACAATCACAGGCTACTGGCTTGAGAAGAGAGAAAGGGGTGGTGTTTATTGGGCTCGTGTAAACAGAGCTCCTGTTACAAAGCCTGCTGTCAAAGGCCTTGAGTTCAATGTTCTCCGACTCATTGAGGGCGTTGAGTACCAGTTCAGAGTGATGGCTGTCAATGCAGCTGGTGTTGGACCTCCAAGTGAACCATCTGACCCAGTTTTCGCTCTGGATCCTATCTGTAAGTTTAAATGAAAATATTTACCAAATTTCTAATTGTTTGTATTTATTTTTCAGTTACATCCATTCAGAAAGCCAATCATTGTTGGTAAGGGTTACTGAAACCTGGAATCTTGTAAGCCCAGGGAGCAGACTGTATGTAGCCTCTACTGTGACAATAACCCATTGCAGGTTGAACACACACAAAACGGGGGATTTTATAGAATTATTTCTTACATTTTTAAAGAAAAATAAAATAAAATAAAGTTTGTGAAAAACTAAATATTTAAATAATCACATTGTATTTTAATCAAAATAACTAAAGGCAATTCCTGTTTGCTAAAACTGCAACAAGTGTTTTATTCTTAAAACAGCTTTTTGGTCCACTGTAGGTTTGTATACAGTATTATAATACAGCAGTCTTAAAAAAAAAACATTTCTCTGTATTAGATCCTCCAGGAGCACCATCTTGCCCAGAGGTTAAGGACAAAACTAAGTCAAGTGTTACTCTTACCTGGAAGGCACCTGACAAAGATGGTGGAAGTCCAATCAAAGGTTACATTATTGAATTACAAGATGAGGGCACATCTGACTGGACTAGAGTGAATGAACCAGACAAATTGCATCCTACCTGTGAATTCACTGTTCCAAATCTTCAAGAACTGAAGAAATACAGGTTCAGAATTATTGCTGTGAATACAGCAGGAGAGTCTGAGCCAAGTCCTAGGACTAGTGAAGTACTTGTCAAGGAGTTACAAGGTAAAATCTTTTTAATGTAAATTACATACCCATGAAAGACAAATTCAAAATTTCTGTGTGTAACATGTTTTTTCTTACCTGTGCAGAGGAGCCAGATGTCACTGTGGATGTCAATGCTCAAGAACTTCTGTCATGTCGTGCTGGTTCAACAATAAAGATACCTGCCTTCATCAAAGGACGCCCAGTCCCAAAGGTTACTTGGGAATTTGAAGGAGAAGCTAAAAAAGAAATTAAGGTAACCACATGAATTTAAACAAATAAACACCTACAGAAGAAAATATGTATACTATTGTTTAATAGTTACATTTGAAAGTATTAGTCAGCAAATCAATATGCACCAACACAATATACCAATTTACACTTCTGTAAATTGAGCAATCTGGTAGGACAAGATGCACATGAAAATGTTAAATAGTGTCAAATCGTTATGGCATAAACAGAAGTGGTTTTGTTGGTAGCTTGGGATTCTAATGTACAATAAATGTATAGTACATGCAAAGTGGATTAGATGTAATTATTTTTCCCTTTTTTTAAGGATGGTATTCACAATGTTCCTGAAGATATACAGGTATGATCACTATCATGTGCTGATATTTGTTTTCATTTTTTCACTGAAAATTAAAAAAATAGAAACCTTTAAATTAATGGTGCATTGTAAATATGTATTTGAATTTTCAGATTCAATCAACTGAAACCACATCAACAGTGACTATCCCTGAGTGTAAGAGAACCCACTCTGGTAGATACTCAATCACTGCTAAAAACAAGGCTGGACAAAAAACAGTGAACGTTAGAGTCAATGTTCTTGGTAAGTAAAAGTTTTTCAGAAATTCTTTTTCTCATTTGCAGGTATTTGTTCAGAAGAAATTTAAATATTTGTGATTTGTGTCTATAGATGTGCCAGGACCTCCTAAAGACCTCAAAGTAAGTGATATTACAAGAAGCACATGCAGGCTTACATGGAAGCTTCCTGATAATGATGGTGGAGATAGAATCAAGAGCTACTTTATTGAGAAGAAAACAGTTGAAGGAAAAGCCTGGACAAAAGTAAATCCAGCATGTGGAAGCCAGTCCTTTGTGGTACCTGATCTAATTGAAGGACAAGAATACTTCTTCCGTGTCCGTGCAGAAAATCGCTTTGGCACAGGTCCACCAGTGGCAACTATTCAAAGGACAAGGGCAAGAGATCCAATCCGTAAGTTTGCTTATCTGATTGAAAGGATTTTTTTAAAAAAAACAACAGACTGAAATTAGGTCATTATCTAAAAAAATATATTTTTTTAATTTTTTATTTAGTTTTAATTTGATTAATTTTTTTATTTCAGATCCTCCTGAACCTCCCACAAGGCTCAAAATTGCTCTTGTAACAAAGAACACTGTCACTCTGACATGGAGACCTCCAAAGAATGATGGAGGTGCTCCAGTTACACATTATATTGTTGAACGTCTCAGCTGGGATACAACTGGACAAGAAAAGGAGACCTGGAAACAATGTAACAGACGAGATGTTGAAGAAACTACTTTCAAAGTTGAGGACCTCAAAGAAGGAGGGGAATATGAATTCCGTGTCAAGGCTGTAAATGAGGCTGGTGCAAGCAGACCATCTTCTACTATTGGACCAATTATAGTTAAAGATCAGACCTGTAAGTAAACAAAAGACTTGGGTCAATATAAGAATAAAAATGTCTGTTGGAAATTGAAATCTGAATAGAATGTAAATGTGATGCCTTGTAATCTGTTTTGTATTACAATTTTAGGTGCACCAGCTATAGAACTTAATGAATTTATGGAAGTTGAGGAAAAAACAGATACCAGTATCATTGCTAAAATTAAGGGCTGTCCATTCCCAACACTTACCTGGCATAAAGCACCTCCACTTAAGGCGGATGATAAAACTGAGGTGCAGTATGATCAACATGTCAACAAAATTGTAGCTGAAGATAGCTGCACGTTGCTAATCCAGCAGGCCAACAGGAAGGATACAGCCTTGTACACAATAACTGCTACAAATAACCTTGGGACAGCTTCAAAGGAAATGAGACTGAATGTTTTGGGTATGTTTTTACATTTTCAAACTACCTGCTGAGACTTTTTTATTGTATTCCTTTTTTTTTGTTAATGTTAAACTTTCTTTTTCATTAGGACGTCCTGGACCACCTGTTGGTCCCATCAAATTTGAAGAAATTACAGCTGAAAGAATGACTCTGTCTTGGCTTCCTCCTAAAGATGATGGTGGTTCAAAGATCACTAATTATATCATTGAGAAACGGGAGTCAAATAGAAAGACTTGGGTGCATGTCTCCAATGAAGCCAAAGAGTGCTTGTTCTCTGTACCTAAACTGTTGGAAGGTCATGACTATGTTTTCCGCATTATGGCTCAGAATAAATATGGTGTAGGTGAACCCCTTGACAGTGAACCAGAAACAGCAAGAAACCTTTTCAGTAAGTACAGTTGGTATAAAATAACATTACTGGCAATTTTCTATAATTATATGATGCTGATCCTACTTTGATATAAGTAACACTAATTATCTTCATTCCAAAGCTGTTCCTGGACAATGTGATAAGCCAACCATTAGCAGCGTGACCATTGACTCCATGACTGTCAACTGGGAAGAACCAGAATATGATGGTGGATCACCTGTCACTGGCTACTGGCTAGAGCGCAAAGAGACAACAGCAAAGAGATGGAACAGAGTGAACCGTGATCCAGTCAAAATAATGCCTCTTGGTGTATCTTACAAAGTGACAGGCCTGATTGAAGGATCTGAATACCAGTTCCGTGTAATTGCAATTAACGCTGCAGGATGTGGTCCTCCAAGTTTACCTTCAGATCCTGTGTTTGCTAGAGATCCTATTGGTATGTTGCCATCATGTTTGTAATCTATACCTCTATACCATGCAATTTGTAATATTTATATTACATAGACACTAAAATGATCAATAACATTTTTGCTTTGTTTTCTTTTAGCTCCTCCTGGCCCTCCAATTCCCAAAGTAACTGATTGGACCAAGTCAACTGTAGATGTTGAGTGGATTCCACCAGTTAAAGATGGTGGATCTAAGATAATTGGATACTTTGTTGAATATAAAGAGGAAGGCAAGGAAGAATGGGAAAAAGTAAGCATAAATACTTTTCTTTTAATTTGGGGGATTTAAATACAAGTATCAATACACTGTTGTACAAAAGATATCTTAGACACAATAAGAAGTTCCAGTATATTATGACCATGAGCAATTTTCAAACCTCAAATAGTTTTTTTCTATCAATAATAACTTTCAATGATACAAATACTACTTAGCTTGGATGAGAAGAAAACAATCTTGTCATTTAGCAATCTTTAATTCAGACTGATATTGATAAGTTGCCAAAAACTGCATCAGTGTGGAGTTTGTATGTTCCTCTCGTGTTCACATGGGTTTCACGTGGGAGAATTGCTTCTAGTGTGACACATCTGCAAAAATCTGTAAAATTTCAAGGTAAACTATTAGCTAATCCATCACACTTACAAATCTAATTTGATTACTCACTGTCCGTGATCCTCATTTGGCCCTTCTGTACATCCATACATGCTACCTTTTGTACTACAAATTACATATCTATCAGGATTAACTGTTATCATAAAACAAAATAACCAGCATTTCAGCATTCAAAAATACACATAAAATTGTATTACTGCATAAAGAAGGAAAAGCTTTGAGGCAAAAATAAAGAACAATAAAGCATATACACAGTAGGGTACTTTTTAAACTTTTTCATTTTTTTATTTCAGGCCAAAGACAAAGAAGTAAGAGGCACAAAGTTAGTGGTTGCTGGACTGAAAGAACATACACTTTACAGGTTTAGAGTAAGAGCAGTAAATGCTGCAGGTGTTGGTGAACCTGGAGATGTTTCTGAAGTTATTGAAGTCAAAGACAGAACAAGTAAGTCAGCGACATATTTTGTGTTTATTTGAAAATCACACTTTCTGTGTGTGCAAGGGATTTTAGGAAACTAACAATGCTTTCATTCTTTTTAGTTATTCCTGAAGTTGATTTGGATGCAAGTGTAAAGGAGAGGATAGTTGTTCATGCTGGCGGTGTAATCCGCATACTGGCCTATGTATCAGGAAAGCCTGCTCCTCAGATCACATGGTCTAGAGATGATGGTCCTTTACCAGAGGAAGCTGTTATTGAAACCACAGCAATTAGCTCTGCTCTGGTAATAAAGAAATGCATGAGAAGACATCAAGGTATCTACACTTTAACTGCCAAGAATGAAGGAGGTGAAAGAAAGAAGGCTATCATTGTTGATGTATTAGGTGAGTACTTTGAAATATTATTGACCTCTTTAAATTTATAGATCCCAAAGCAAAGAAAATATCAAATTTAAAATACACTCTTTCTTTTTCCTTGGTAGATGTACCTGGTCCTGTGGGCATACCCTTCCTCAGTGAGAACCTTACAAATGATTCCTGCAAGTTAACTTGGTTTTCTCCTGATGATGATGGTGGTTCTGCAGTTACCAACTACATTATTGAAAAGCGTGAAGCAGATCGCAAAGGCTGGACTGCAGTCTCTTACACAGTCACCAGGCAAAATGCCATTGTGCAGGGTCTGATTCAAGGAAAGGGCTATTTCTTCAGAATTGCTGCTGAAAATATAATAGGAATGGGCCCATTTGTTGAGACCAAGGATGAAATTGTCATAAAAGAACCTATATGTAAGTATAAAGTAATCTTGTCTTGTTTCATATGTTCATACAGTTTGTGCATTAGAATCTGTATTAATTTAATTTTCTGTGTTGTTTTCAGTTTTTATCCATAAAATTAAAATTAAAGATATGTAAATTCTATATAAAATAAATTATATATGTAAATTGACTCACACCTGAAGAAGGCTCTACGGCTGAAACGTTGTGTTTTATTTTTTCCTTTTTTTCAACATGGAATAAACCTATTACTTGTAAATTATATTACTAATCATATAATAACTTTGTTTTCACCAGCTGTACCCGATCGTCCTGAAGACCTTCAAGTCACAAAGGTGACAAAAGACTCAGTTAGTCTCACCTGGAAGCCACCAAAATATAATGGAGGCTCGGACATTACCATGTATATTCTTGAGAGCCGTCTGATTGGCAAGGAAAGATTCAACAGAATCACTAAAGAGAAGCTAATGGATAGAAAATATACCAATGATGGTCTTAAAGAGGGTGACACTTATGAGTACCGGGTCAGTGCAGTAAATATCGTTGGCCAAGGAAAACCTTCCTTCTGTACCAAACCAATCACATGCAAAGATGAGCTTGGTAAGTCTTGGTAATCCAGAATCAAATAGTTACTGTTTGTTGTTATATCCAACATCCATATCAGCAATGTTGATTTCCTTCATTCCAGTTTCATTAATTAAATGGACGATTCCCCTCAAAGATGATTGATGTGATACTACTCATTATTCTTTCTGCACACATAGTTCATGCAGGTGGTAGTGATGTCTTTCCAGAATCCAGTGATGCTTTCAGTGGCTTTCATAATGCTATAATCCTTCTACAGTTTCGGATAGACTATGCCTTACAATTACAATATGTTTCTAACCAATTGCCTAAAAGTGCATTTGAGATAATACACCTTGAATTTAGATATGACACCCAGGTCCATAGGCTGTAATAGTGTTGTAGTATAATGTGGAAAGTAGACCACACTGGCAAGGAGGTCCATAAAGTTTTGAGGTTATGTGGATGATGTAGACGTAGCCGTAGTTGTAAGGCTCTGATTGATGTTCCTCTTAGTACCATTTCACAGCTGGGTACAACCATTATAAAATATTGACTGTCAGAGATTTAATCTTATTTCCTTTCCATATGAAAGTCAAATGTTTCTTTAAAAACACCATCTTTGCCTGGGGTGTTATTGAGTGGGACATAATCAATGAGCTTAAATATGAACTCACCTGATCAAAAAGTTTAAAAAAATCTGGCATTTAAAAAACCAGTGCATAGCATGCAGGTAGCAAAATATCACATACAAAATAAAAGTTGGGAAACTGAATTTAACAAATCTGCTTATGAGAAAGTCTTTGGTATTTATGTTGACATATAATTTATTTCTTATCATCTAGTCAATGTTAGGGAACAATAAAAAGGAAAACCGTGTTATGTGTATGTTATTAGTGTTATTAGTGAATGTTAGGATATATTCTTGAAACTGTAGCATTTTAGTCAAAAGATGTTATGTTAAAATGGTAAAATACTCTACCAAGAACTAATAGCATAAGATTTAGGTCACCACATTACACAATGTATTTAAGATCTGGAATCAGTGCTGAGAAGTACAACCAGATATTTATTTGTAATCTTTCTTAAATGGTGATGTTGTAGCTAATTGCTTTTTATTACAATGTCCTAGAACTGAATTTTAAAATTCTTTATCTTTTAGCACCCCCAACAATTGAGCTGGACTTCCGTGACACATTTGTTGTACGTGTTGGTGAGACATTTTGTTTAAAAGGTCGTTATGGTGGAAAACCCACACCAAAAGTCACTTGGACAAAGGATGATGTAACCCTGAAAGAAGATGAGAGCATAAAGATCAAAACAACACCGACAACACTGTGTGTTGGCATTATTAAGGCTAAACGTGAGCACAGTGGCCGTTACTGTGTGCTTTTGGAAAACAGTACTGGGTCACGTAAAGGCATTTGTAATGTGACAGTTGCAGGTAAGTTTTTTGTTTTGTTTTGTTTTGTTTTTATTTAAAATCTATCTGTTCACTTAGATTGAAGGAATTTAATACTCTTTTATCTATTTTATTTTAGATCGTCCACAGCCTCCAGAAGGCCCAGTTGTATTTGAAGAAGTTCACAGAGATCACATGGTTGTTTCCTGGAAGCCTCCACTGGATGATGGTGGCAGCCCAATATCAAACTATATCATTGAGAAGAGAGATACAAACAGGGAACTTTGGATGCCTGTGACCTCAGCATCTACAAAAACAACATGCAAAGTGCCTAAACTAATTGAAGGAAGAGAATATATTATTAGGATTTGCGCTGAGAATATGTATGGCATTAGTGACCCGCTATTCTCTGATGAAATGAAAGCTAAAGATCGTTTCAGTACGTAACAGTCCTTGCTGAAGCATGAAAGTTAATTCTGAGTACCTTTCACTTATTCTGCTCTTATTTTAATTATAACTGATTATTCTATTTCTTTCAATAGGAGTCCCCGAAGCACCTGAACAGCCTATTGTTAAAGAGGTTACCAAGGACTCTGCCCTTGTGATTTGGAACAGACCCCGTGATGGTGGCAAGCCCATCACTAACTATATTGTAGAGAAAAAGGAGACTATGTCAAACCGTTGGTCACGTGCATCAAGAGAACCAGTTTTTGAAACCCAGTACAGAGTTCCTGATCTTCTTGAGGGTTGCCAGTATGAATTCCGGGTTATGGCAGAGAATGAAATTGGCCTTGGTGATCCTAGTCCTCCATCCAAACCTGTCTTTGCCAAAGACCCAATTGGTAAGTTATATGTAATTTTAAGGTTATTGCTTGAACGAAGTCATTACAATAATAGTAAGTGCTGAACAAGCTCATTTCTTTTTTTCTTTCACAGTAAAACCAAGTCCCCCTGTAAACCCAGAAGCAGTAGACAAAACAAAGAATTCTGTAAGTCTGTCTTGGCAGCCACCTCGTCATGATGGAAGGGGTAAAATCTTTGGCTATATCATTGAATACCAAAAGCCGGGGGATGAAGAATGGAAGAGGGCAAACCAAACACCTGACTCATGCCCAGAAACAAAATTTAAAGTTGTAGATCTCACTGAAGGAGAAACTTACAAATTCAGAATTATGGCTGTAAATGCAGCTGGAGAATCTGAACCTGCCTACGTCCGTGATCCAATTCAAGTCAAGGATAGACTTGGTAATGTAGTCATTACATTTCCTATATATATATTTAAAAAAAATTTAAATGTATTGTTTGAAAAACACTTACATGTTAATGTCATTTCCTTCTACAGAAGCACCAGAGCTCATGCTTGATGCTAATATGGCACGTGAACACCATGCCAAAGCTGGAACTCTTATCACACTTAGTGCTGGAATCAAGGGAATGCCTTTCCCCAAAGTAACCTGGAAGAAGAATGACCAGGATGTACCATCTAAAGTTGATATTGAGGTCACCTCAAGAGGAAGTAAACTTGAAATCCACAACTGTGTTCGCTCTGACGGAGGAGATTTTTCTATAACAGCAGAAAATGAAGCTGGAGTGAAAACTGCTACATGCAAAGTGATTGTATTAGGTAATGTGATTTTATATATACTGTATAATTTAAACTAATATAAAAGTATGTACATAATACAGTTTATACAAAGATAAATAAAGATTAAGCTACTAGTTCATTGAAAACAAATGTAGTGACTTCTTTGTCGTAACATTTTGCTTTTTTCTATACATTCTAGATAAACCTGGTCCACCTAAGAATCTAAGTGTTTCTGAAGTTAGAAGTGATTCTTGCTACCTTACCTGGAAGGAGCCAGATGATAATGGAGGAGCTGTTATTTCCAACTATATTGTGGAGAAGAAAGATGTAGCAGCTATTAAGTGGGTTCCAATGAGTAGTTCTTCTAAAAAACATAGCATAATGGCCAAACATTTGATGGAAGGCAACCAGTATCTATTCCGTGTTGCTGCTGAAAATCAGTATGGCAGGAGTGATTATGTTGAAACTACCAAACCTGTCAAGGCTATTGATCCACTGTGTGAGTATACAAAGCATACATTTCAATTATAAATCTTCTCTTAATATTTTCTTAATATTTATGGGAATATTTTACCTGCATTTTTCCTTTGGTTTCTTTAGATCCCCCTGGCCCACCAAAGAATCTGCATCATGCAGATGTGGATAAAACTGAAGTTTCTCTTCTATGGAACTGGCCTGACCGTACTGGTGGTAGTGACATAACTGGATTTTTAGTCGAGTATCAAGAAGAAGGGGCAAAAGACTGGATTACTTTTAAGACTGTCACGATTCCTGAATGTGTTGTTACTGGACTTGAGGAAGGAAAAACCTATAGATTCCGTGTAAAAGCAGAGAATGCTGTTGGCCTAGGCCGTCCTGACACTACAGTGCCAGTTCTGTGCCAAGAGAAGCTTGGTAAGTTGTTTTTCTATTACTAAATAGTATGAGTTACTTTTTTTCCATTTAATTTTGCCATCTAATATATAATTATTTTTTATTGTTGTATTTTCAGTGCCACCAACCATTGAAGTTGATGTGAAATTAATTGAAGGGATCACTGTTAAAGCTGGAAGTACCATCAGATTGCCTGCAATTATGAGAGGCATTCCTGTGCCTACTCCAAAATGGGTAGCTGATGGCAATGAACTAAAAACTGAAAACAATTACAGGATTGATACTGATAATTTCTCAACAGTTCTCAACATAACAGAATGCACAAGGAAACATTCAGGAGAATATCTTCTTACAGTGTCTAACCCTGCGGGAAGCAAGACAGCTGCTTTGCATGTCACAGTTTTAGATGTTCCTGGTCCTCCAATAGGCCCTATTAACATCCTTGAAGTAACTCCTGAACATATGGTAATCAGCTGGCGGCCTCCCAAGGATGATGGTGGTAGCCCTGTAATGAATTACATTGTTGAAAAGAAAGAATCTAAGAAAGAAACATGGGGAGTTGTGAGCTCTGGAAGCACCAACACAAGAGTCAAGATTCCACGTCTGCAGAAAGGATGTGAATATATAATGCGTGTCCGTGCAGAGAATAAGATCGGCATTGGTGAGCCTCTGGAAAGTTCACCTACTGTTGCCAAACATATGTATGACCCACCCGGTCCGCCTGGAAAACCAGTGGCTTCTGACATTACAGAAAGTGCTATAACTATTGGATGGACCATGCCTAAAACTGACGGTGGCAGCCCAGTCAGTGGCTACATTATTGAACGCAGAGAAATATCAGGCAAATGGATTCGTGTTAACAAGACACCTGTTCTGGATCTCAAATACAGAGCACCTGGACTATTTGAAGGCAATACATATGAATTCAGAGTCTTTGCTGAAAACACTGCTGGTCTAAGTAAACCTTCTCCTCCTTCTGATCCAGTTAGAGCATCTCGTCCAATCTCACCACCTGGCCCACCAGTCAATCCTAAACTGAAAGACTGGAGCAAAGAATATGCTGATTTGGTCTGGACAAAGCCTACAAGAGATGGAGGCAGTCCTGTTTTAGGCTATATTGTAGAGTGCCAGAAAACAGGCAGTGCTCAATGGGATAGAATTAACAAAGATGAACTCATCAAGCAGTGTGCATTTAGGGTACCAGGACTCATTGAAGGCATGGAATACAGGTTCCGCATTAAAGCTGCTAATGTCATTGGAGAGGGAGAGCCAAGAGAACTCCCAGAGTCAGTTATTGCAAAGGACATCCTTTGTCCTCCAGAGGTAGATATTGATATCTCCTGCCGTGACCTGCTGACTGTCAGGGTGGGTCAAAATATTGGAATTACTGCTCGTGTGAAAGGTAGACCCGATCCTGACATTACATGGTCAAAGGATGCAAGAGCACTGGGCAGAGACAAGCGTACTGAAATGAACAATAACTTCCCTCTTGTTGAGCTCTCAATTAAAGAAGCTACCAGAGCAGACCATGGGAAATATGCAATTGTGGCTAAAAACAGCAGTGGTCAAGCTCAGGCTTCTGTTGTAGTGAATGTCCTTGATAGGCCTGGACCTTGTCAGAATTTGAAGACAACTTATGCGACCAAAGAATCTTGTATGGTTTCATGGGAAAATCCAGAAGATAATGGAGGCACAGAAATAACAAATTATATTGTAGAGTGCCGTGAACCCAGCCAAAGAGGATGGTCAATGATCTCTTCAGATGTTACGAAACGTATAATAAAGGCTCCACTTGTGGAAAATCGTGAATATTTCTTCCGTGTTTGTGCAGAAAATAAGGTTGGTGCTGGACCAACAATAGAGACCAAAACACCCATTCTTGCCATTGATCCTGTAGAAAAGCCTGGTGAGCCAGAGAATTTCCACATAGCCGATGTTGGAAAAACATTTGTTCTCCTCAAGTGGAGAAAACCAGACTATGATGGAGGCAGTCCAAATCTTTCCTACCATGTAGAAAGGAAACTAAAAGACTCAGAGGAGTGGGAAAGAGTTCACAAAGGCAGCATTAAAGAGACACACTTTATAGTGGAAAAATGTATCGAAAACCAGACCTACCAGTTTAGAGTGCAAACCAAGAATGAAGGAGGAGAGAGCAACTGGGTAAAGACAAGTGAAATTCAAGTTAAAGAAGAGATACAGAAACCAGTTCTGGACCTGAAACTGGCTGGAGCATTGGTTGTAAAAGCTGGTGATTCCATCAGAATTGAAGCTGGTCTCAGAGGAAAACCTCAGCCAGAAGTCATATGGGCAAAGGACAAAGAAACTGACTTAAGCAGAAATCCAAGAGTTAGCATTGAAACTGGTACTGATTACTGTAAATTTGTCATGAATAAGTCCAGGCGAGCAGATAGTGGAAAATACGTGATAACTGCAACAAACTCTGCTGGAAGCTTTACTGCATATGCAACCGTAAATGTGCTGGATAAACCAGGTCCAATTAGAGACCTAAAGATCACTGGGATCTCTGTAGATAGATGTAAAGTAATGTGGGAGCCTCCAGAAGATGATGGTGGCTGTGAAATCCAAAACTACATTTTGGAAAAATGTGAGACAAAGAGAATGGTGTGGTCTACTTATTCTTCATCTGTCTTGACTAACTATATCAACGTTACTCGTCTTGTGGAAGGGAATGAATACGTATTTAGGGTTCGGGCAGAGAATAAAATGGGAACTGGCCCACCAGTGGAAAGTAAACCAATCATTGCCAAGACCCAGTATGACAGACCTGGTCCACCAGATGCACCAGAAGTTACGAAAATTGGCAAGGAAGAGATGACAGTCGTATGGGCCCCACCTGAAAATGATGGTGGTAAATCTATTACTGGATACATTCTGGAAAGAAAGGAAAAACGTGCTGTGAGATGGGTGGCAGTTACCAAGAGTCCAATCCCTGAGAGACGTATGAAAGTTACTAATCTGATCCCAGGACATGAATATCAATTCCGTGTTAAGGCAGAAAATGAAGTTGGATTAGGAGATCCAAGTGTACCTTCCAGATCTGTTCCTGCCAAAGATCCAATAGGTATGTTTCTAATTTACATAACTATGCATTTTAATATGAATGTTCTGCATGTGGTAATATATCATTTTTAATTAATTTTGTATTTGTATTTTCAGAACCTCCGGGTCCTCCAAGTGGATTGAAAGTGGTCGATAGCACAAAGTCTTCCATTACTCTTGGGTGGTCTAAACCAGTGTATGATGGTGGAGCACCTATCATTGGCTATGTAGTTGAAATTAGACCTAAAGGAGCAAGTGATAAACCAGATGAAGGCTGGAAGAGATGTAATGTAGCTGCTCAGCTCATTCTAACAGAATTTACAGTTACTAGCCTGGATGAGAAACAGGAGTATGAATTCCGTGTTTCTGCACAAAATCAAGTTGGCCTGGGTCGACCTGCAGAACTGAAAGAAGCTGTGTCTCCTAAAGAGATACTTGGTAAACTATGCGTTCCTTTTGCTCTAGATGATCATTGTTATTTTCATGTAAATTTGGTTGCTGCAGATGATTCGATTTTATATTTAAGTTGCTTTTCATAAAAAATGAAATAAATATATTTTCTTATTTTTTTAATTTTACAGAGGCACCTGAAATTGATTTGGATGCTAGCCTCAGAAAGGTTCTCACAGTCAGAGCTGGATGTCCAATCAGACTCTTTGCAACAATAAGAGGAAGACCTGCACCAAAAGTGACCTGGAGAAGAATGGGTATAGATAATGTTGTCAGGAAAGGAAATGTGGATCTGATTGACACTATGACTTTCCTTGTCATCCCTGAAAGTACACGTGAAGATTCAGGCAAATATTCATTAACACTTACCAGCCCTGCTGGAGAGAAAGCAGTGTTTGTCAATGTTAAAGTCCTTGGTAAGTATTACGTATTTATGAATTTGTTTATTTTGTATACTTTAATTTGTTTAAATTCACAGTATCTTAAACACACTTGCTTATTTATTTTGATAGACACTCCAGGGCCAGTAGCAGATTTCAATATTACTGATGTAACAAAGATATCTTGCCAATTATCCTGGTCACCTCCTGAAAATGATGGTGGAAGTCCAGTAACACACTACATCCTTGAAAAGCGTGAAGTTGACAGAAAGACCTGGGCAACCGTCATTAGTGACTTAAAGAAGACAAGCTTCAGAGTTATAAATCTTGTTCCTGGCAATGAATACTATTTCAGAGTTACAGCAGTTAATGAATATGGTACAGGAGTACCTAAAGATTCACCAAGGTCCATACTCGCAACTGATCCCATTAGTAAGTATTCTTTTAAAGTCTTCTGTTATTTTGAGCATATTTAATTTTTTATAATGTAATAGAATGAAATTTATTTTTTTCTGTAATTTTTGAATTTCAGGTGAACCTGACCCACCTAAAAAAGTTGATGTCATTGATATCACAAAGAACAGTGCCACGCTTGCTTGGGTACGCCCACTCAGAGATGGAGGAGCTAAAATTGATGGCTACATAATAGATTATATTGAAGATGGCCAGCCTGATGAGCGGTGGACACCATATTCAGTTGTTAAAGATCTGAGTATTGTTGTGGTTGGATTAAAGGAGGGCAAAAAGTACAAATTTAGAGTGGCAGCAAGAAACCTAGTGGGTTGCAGTCTGCCAAGAGAAGCAGAAGGAGTGTTTGAGATCAAAGAACAACTCAGTAAGTTCATATTTTTGTTTAAATAATTATCGTCTCTTTTTTACCCTTCCCCTGTCATTATGTTTTGTACATACAAAAATACAGTTTTAAAATCTTTATTTTGTTTCATTTAGTGCCACCAAGGATTGTCATGCCTGACACAGTGTCTGCTAAAGCTGGACAGAAACTAAGAGTGGAAGCTTATGTGTCTGGAAAACCAGCACCAGTATGCAAATGGAAGAAAGGAGAAGAGGATGTGGTTTCTTCTAGTCGCCTGGCAGTCCATAAGTCTCAGAACTCCTGTGTACTCATTATCAAAGATGTGTCAAGGAAGGATAGCGGTTATTACAATCTTTCTGCTGAAAATAGCTCTGGACTAGTTTCCCAGAACCTGAGAGTTGTAATAATGGGTGAGCATTTCAGAAAACCAATAGAAATACTGTTAATAATGATATTACTACAAATAACAAACTAATAATAATTCAATAATCTTGCTTTGTATTACAGATATACCTGGACCACCAGAACCACCATTTGAGATCAGTGATATTGATGCTGACGCTTGCAGTCTATCCTGGCACATGCCACGTGAAGATGGAGGGAGCAATATTACTAATTATGTGGTTGAGAAGTGTGATGTGAGTAGAGGTGACTGGATTACTGCCGTTGCCTCTGTCACTAAGACAAGCTGCAGAGTTGGAAAACTTGTACCCGGGAAGGAGTACATCTTCCGTGTCCGTGCTGAGAACCGTTTTGGCGTGTCAGATCCAATTGCATCTGAGAGAATGATTGCAAAATTCCCCTTTGGTGAGATATTCACAGAATAATTGTTATTTGTTATTGACTAGCATTATTATCGCACATTCTAATATATATGCGTATGTTTCATTTTAGATGTACCTAGTGAACCAAAGAATGCACGCCTCAACAAAGTCAACAAAGACTGCATGTTTGTTGCCTGGGATAAACCAGAGAGTGATGGTGGCAGTCCAATTACTGGCTACTACATTGAACGCAAAGAAAGAAATAGCCTTCTGTGGGTTAAGGCAAATGACACAGTTGTTCGCACTACTGAATATCCATGTGCTGGTCTTATTGAAGGCCTTGAATATACATTCAGGATTTCAGCCTTAAACCGTGCTGGCCAAGGTAAACCAAGCAAACCTACTGAGTTTGTCACAGCAAGAACACCAGTTGGTAAGTACTTATGTTCATGGTATTTTTTATTTTTCTTCTACGATCAATGCATTACTTTCAAAGAATTAACACACATCGGTGTAATATCGTTTTAGATCCACCAGGTAAACCTGAAGTCATTGATGTGACTAAAAATTCAGTATCCCTTGTTTGGACCCGACCAAAACATGATGGTGGTAGTAGGATAATTGGTTATTATGTTGAAGCCTGCAAGCTCCCTGGTGACAAATGGATACGTTGCAATACAAGCAGTCAAAATGTGCATAAAGAAGAGTATACAACTACTGGACTGGAAGAAGGTGCTCAGTACCAGTTCAGAATAATTGCAAAGACAGCTATAAATCTCAGCCGCCCCTCAGAGCTGTCTGACCCAATTGCAGTTCAGGCAGAAAATGGTAAGATTTCATTTGTGATGATGTATAATTTTGTTTTTTTTTTTAAATTAATTTTAATGTTTTGTAGTAAGCATTTAATCTAACTATAATTAATTTCCTCTATTAATTTAGTTCCACCAAGGATAGATTTGGGTGTTTCGATGAAATCTCTGATTACAGTAAAGGCTGGTGCAAATGTATGCCTTGAGGCCAATGTATTTGGAAAACCTATGCCAAAGATCACATGGAAGAAGGATGGCAACACTGTACAAGCAGCTGAAGGCATTAAAATAACACAAAAGAGAAATCTTTGCAACCTGGAATTGTTCAGTGTACAGAGAAAGGAGTCTGGAGAATATACAATTCTTGCAGAAAATGCAAGTGGATCCAAATCAGCTAACATTAAACTTAAAGTCCTTGGTGAGTACAGTAAAAAATAAACTGTTGCTCTTTTGTTCTTTATGTTTAAATATAAACTTCTGAACAGTTAACATATTATGCATAATTTAATGTTTTTTTTTCTTAGACAAACCTGGCCCACCTGCTTCAGTCAAGATAAGCAACGTTTATTCAGATCGTGTCATTCTTAAATGGGAGCCACCTCTTGCAGATGGAGGTTCTGAAATTACTAACTACATCGTTGATAAACGTGAGACAAGCAGACCTAACTGGGCTCAGGTCACAGCAAATGTTCAGCTTACCAGCTGCTCTATTGAGAAACTGATTGAAGGTCATGAGTATCAGTTCCGAATCAGTGCTGAAAACAAGTATGGTGTTGGTGACCCCATCTTAACTGATCCTGTTGTCGCAAAGAATCCATATGGTAAGACTATGTTGATTTTGTGCTCATGCATGTTGCCGAGTTTAAAAATCAAAATCATGAGCAATAATTCTAAATAATTTGTTTCAGATGTTCCTGGCCCATGTGATGCTCCTGTAATTAGCAACATCACAAAGGACCATATGACTGTCAGCTGGAAGGCACCAGCAGATGATGGTGGTTCACCTATACTTGGATACATGCTTGAGAAGCGTGAAACCAAAGCAGTTAACTGGGGTAAAGTCAACAGACGGCCAGTACTTGAAAGAACAGTTAAAGCTACAGGGCTTTCTGAAGGAACTGAATATGAATACAGGGTCATTGCCCTCAACAAAGCTGGGTTGGGCAAACCAAGCGATCCATCCAGTGCAGCCATTGCACTTGATCCACAGTGTAAGTATTTTATACAATGGCTTCAAAACTTTATAAATGCCAAATTCTATTTATTTAATGATATATGTTTTTATTTATTTTTATAATATATATTTCACTGTCTTATAGATCCACCTGGTCCACCAGCTTTCCCGAAGGTGACTGATACAACTCACAGCACAGTTAGCCTTTCTTGGGGTAAACCAGCATATGATGGTGGGAGCCCTATCTTGGGCTACTTGGTTGAGGTTAAAAGAGCAGATGGCAAGGACTGGATAAGATGCAATGTACCAAAGAACCTTCAAGAAACACGTTACACTGTTACTGGATTGATTGAAAATACAGAGTATGAGTTCAGAGTGACTGCTGTAAATAAGATCGGATACAGTGACCCAAGTGAAGTTCCTGAGAAACACACTGCAAAGGATATTTTGAGTACGTTTTCACTTTAATAATCATTTCTCTGTTTATTTTAATTAATGTTTTCATTGAATTAATTTAAGTTACTCTTTATGCAGGAGAGTAAATTGAATGTGATTAAAACCAACACTAAAATGGCTTTTGTTGTAATGTGGTATCTAAACGCATCTATTTTTTTTTTCAGTTGCACCAGAAGCAGAACTGGATGCTGATTTGAGGAAAGCCCTGGTATTACGTGCTGGAGTTACAATGAGAATTTATGTGCCAATAAGAGGCCGTCCTGCTCCTAAGGTTACTTGGGCAAAAATGAACACTAACATCAAAGATAGACAAGGACTAGATATCAGGACAACAGAGTGGGACACTCTAGTATACTGTGAAAATGTGAACAGATATGATGCTGGGAAGTATGTATTGACCCTGGAGAACAGCAGTGGAATTAAGACATACACAATAGTTGTAAAGGTTCTTGGTAAGTTGCATTACTTTGTATAATTTGCTGTTCATAAACATTTTTATGTTCTGTTCATGTTGATGTTTATTGTTTTTACTTTATTTGCTTTTTTACAATAGATACGCCTGGGCCACCACTCAATCTTATTATCAAAGAAACATCTAAGGATTCTGCTGCTATAACTTGGGATCCTCCTCTTATTGATGGTGGTAGTCCTGTAAAGAGTTACATTGTTGAAAAACGTGATGCAGAGAGAAAGGCATGGTCCACGGTTTCAACCGACTGTCCAAAAACATCATTCAGAATCTCCAACCTAGAAGAAGGCAAAAGCTACTTCTTTAGAGTGTTGGCTGAAAATGAATATGGAATTGGGGAGCCATGTGAGACACATGATTCAATCAGAGCTTCAGGTTGGTAAAAATGAAAATGTATGAACATTAAAAATCTTTATGCTTTATTCAATTGTTTATGTTTGATTAATAATCAAATATCTTTTTTTCCAGAACAACCAGGGCCAGTAGTAGATCTTAAAGCATTGGTTGTTACCAAGAACTCATGTACAATAGCCTGGAAGAAGCCTCTCAGTGACGGTGGAAGTCGCATTATTGCATATTCAGTAGAACTCATGATTAGTGAAGATAAGTGGAAGGAGGTCCTGAGATCCAAAAATATGCAGTACAGTGCTAAAGATCTGGAAGAAGGAAAGGAATATACATATCGTGTGAGAGCACTAAATGATGCTGGTTTCAGTTCACCACAGGAAATTAATTTTGTAGCCAAAGATCACATTGGTAAGCATTTTTACATGGTTTAAAATATTGTTAAGCATAGTTTTTAATGTGTTTTATTCTGAAAATTTCAATTTTTATCATCTCCTTACAGTTCCACCAGCAGCTGATTTGAGAGACTTCCCAGATTTATGCTATCTTGCGAAGGAAGGAAGCACCTTCCGTCTTAAAATCCCAATCTCTGGCAAACCCACTCCATCTGTTACATGGAAGAAAGGTGAAGATTTGGTATTGACTGACACTGGCAGAGTCTCTGTAGAGTCATCAGCTGTCAATACAACTCTTCTGGTTCATGATTGTCAAAAGAGTGATGCCGCAAAATATACAATTACCTTGAAGAATACTGCTGGCACCAAAGAATGCACACTCTTTATGAAAGTCGTTGGAAAACCAGGAATACCCACTGGACCTATTAAGTTTGATGAAGTCACAGCTGATGGTGTAACCTTAAAATGGGGAGCACCAAAGGATGATGGTGGCTCAGAAATAACAAATTATATCCTTGAGAAGAGGGATTCCACAACCAACAAATGGGTTACCTGCGCTTCTGCTGTACAGAAAACTACTTTCCGGGTTACCAGACTTCATGAAGGAACTGAATACATCTTCAGAGTTAGTGCAGAAAATAAATATGGAGTTGGAGTAGGCCTCAAATCAGATCCTATTGTGGCACAGCATCCATTTAGTAAGTTTTTTTTTCTTTTTAGAAATTAAATTAAATTAGTTGCTCATAGAATTTGTCTTTAAATATATCTACTGTACTTATTTTTTCACTAGATGTACCTGATGCACCAGCTCCACCTCAGATTATTTCTATGAGACATGAATCTGCTTCACTTGCTTGGTCAGATCCAAGAAAGACAGGTGGCTCCCCAATAACTGGTAAATATTGTTACTTCTGTTGTTATGACAAGAGGTTTTGGTTATTGGTTAATACATAGAAATTGCTAACATTATTTGTTCTTGGTGCATTCTTAGGTTATCACATTGAGTACAAAGAAAGGAATAGTCTTCTTTGGAAAAGAGCCAGCAAGACACCACTGAGAATGAAGGAATACAGAGTGGGTGGTTTAACTGAAGGCCTTGAATATGAATTCAGAGTTATGGCTATAAATATGGCAGGTGTTGGTAAACCAAGTTTACCAACAGAACCTATGGTAGCTCTGGATCCAATTGGTAAGTGGCATTTGCTAATTGCTGTTTAATTTCTTCTCCATAAAAAAAAACTTTGCCCATTATTCATTTTCATATATTAATCATATACTACCTACAAACTTTTTAAAATTTGTTTTAGATCCTCCTGGTAAACCTGATGTTATAAATGTTACAAGAAGCACTGTAACACTCATGTGGAGCGAGCCCAAATATGACGGTGGACACAAATTGACAGGATACATTGTTGAAAAACGTGATCTACCTTCAAAGGCCTGGATGAAAGCCAACCATGTCAATGTGCAAGAATGTGCGTTTACAGTGACAGATCTCATTGAAGGCTGCAAGTATGAATTCAGAATTCGAGCCAAGAATGCTGCTGGTGCCATAAGTCCTCCATCTGAGCAAACTGACACCATTGTATGCAAAGATGAATACGGTATGTTTAAAAGTATTTTTTATTATTATTATTAGCATTTATTATTTATTTAAGGTCACCTGATGAGTTAAACCCCTTTCATCTTTTTTTTTAACAGAGGCACCAACTATTGTTATTGATCCAACTGTAAAGGAGGGACTAACAGTTAAGGCTGGTGACACTATTGTTATAACAGCAACAAGTATCCTTGGAAAACCACCTCCAACATCTGTGTGGTCTAAAGCTGGAAAAGACTTCAAACCTTCAGATATTGTCCAGATTGAGTCCACCCCAACCTCTTCTACATTATCAGTCAAGTATGCTACCAGGAAGGATTCTGGAGAGTACACCATTACTGCCAGCAATCCATTTGGTATTAAAGAAGAAAATGTGAAAGTGAAAGTTTTGGATGTTCCTGGACCTCCAGGGCCAATCGAAACTAGCAATGTATCATCTGAAAAGGTGACTCTTACTTGGTTGCCACCTCATGAGGATGGTGGGTCTCCAATCAAGTCTTATGTTCTTGAAAAGAGGGAAACCAGCCGTCTGCTCTGGACACTAGTAGCTGAAAACATTATGGATTGCCGTTTTGTTGCTTCCAAACTTATCCAGGGCAATGAGTATGTCTTCCGTGTCTCAGCTGTAAACCAATACGGTGTTGGTGATTCTGTGCAGTCCGAGCCAGTCAAAATGGTGGATAGATTTGGTAAGTTGAGTAGCATATCAATTACAAACATGTGTAAATTTTGTTTATTGGCAAAATTGTAACTAGATTTTTCTAAATCACAGGTCCTCCTGGTCCACCATCAAAACCGGAAATTGACAATGTCTCCAAGAATACAGTTACTATTTCTTGGAAGAGACCTGCTGATGATGGTGGAAGTGACATCACAGGCTATTATGTTGAGAGGAAAGAAAGGAAAGGGTTAAGATGGGTTAGAGCAACAAAGAAAACTATCTCTGACCTCCGTTTCAAAGTGCAAGGCCTTTCTGAAGGAGTTGAATATGAATTTAGAGTCACTGCTGAAAATAAAGCTGGTCTTGGAGAACCAAGTGAGCCATCACAGCATGTCTTGACCAAAGATGTGGCATGTAAGTATATGTTTTTCTATATTTGGAATGTAACAGAATGTTTTTAAACCTAATTACAGTAATATACATTTTGTTAATATTGTTGTAACAGAAGAAATAAGGTTCTTGATCCCGAGATGAAGTGAAACAGATGAGTTTATTGCATGCAAGGAACAATAAAGCCGAAGTCTTGTTTCCCGCAAGAAACAACAAAACCGAAGTATTGTTCAACGTACTGTTACAAACTTTTGGGTTATATAGTGTTTTCTTCTCCGTTTCTGACGTCACTCGGTATGATGGTAAAGAGGGAGGTTCATGGTATTTGGCCAGTTTACGATGTTCTGGGCAAATGGTCAGTTTAACATTACACCCAGGGGGGTTCCTAGCTTGCATCTGCAGTCCTTATCAGTTAACCCCCTTTCCTGCCATAAACCCCTGCTTGTGACTTGGAAGTCTAAACCCCCTACAGAAAAGATTAAATTCAAACCCCCGTCTTCACATCTTTCTTCAATATCTATAATTAAAAAAATCTGTAATAAGACAATTTTTTATTCATATCCTGAAGCATACTTTTTATTTTTAATTACAAATTTATGTTAATTGATCTGGAAATAAATGTATTATATGCAATAGATTTTATGTAACATTAGTCAATTTGGGTTACTTTTTTAGAACTTTAATTCTAATTTTTATGTACTGTATATGTATTTTTTCTTGAATGTAATAATATTCATATATAATCACAAAAATACTTCTATTGTGTTAGGAGATGAAACAGCGTAATTTCAGGAGCTTTTGTGAGCCCTGTAAGGTGTAATTTATAATTCAATTTAAATACCTATATTTTAATTTTTTCAGATGTGCCTGGTCCACCTTCAAATCCAAGAGTAACTGATACAACTAAAACTACTGCCACTTTACACTGGGGTAAACCTCATTACGATGGTGGACTGGATATCATAGGATACATTGTAGAGCATAAAAAAGAAGGAGAAGAGGACTGGATAAAAGACACAACAGGAACAGCTCTCAGAATTACTGAATTTGTAGTTGCCAATCTGCAGCCAGGAGGCAAATACCATTTCCGAATTAGTGCAGTGAATGCAGAAGGAGCTGGTGAACCTGCAGAAATCAAAGAAGTTGTTGAAATAAAGGAAAGAGAAGAAGCACCTGACTTTGAGCTTGAAGCTGAGCTTAGAAGGACTCTTGTTGTCAAGGCTGGATTATCAATTAGAATTTTTGTGCCAATCAAAGGTCGTCCAACACCTGAAGTCACCTGGATGAAAGGAGATGTTCCTCTTAAAGGTCGTGCGCACATTGATAATACGGAATCATACACTCTTCTGATTATCCCTGAATGCAACAGGCATGATGCTGGAAAATATGTAATGAACGTAGAAAATGCTGCGGGCAAAAAGAGTGGATTTGTAAATGTTAGGGTTTTGGACTCCCCTGGACCTCCTATAAATCTTAAACCAAGAGAGATTACCAAAGACAGCATCACACTTCAGTGGGATCTTCCTCTTATTGATGGAGGCTCAAAAGTTACTAACTATATAGTGGAAAAGCGTGAGTCCACTCGTAAGGCATACTCCACTATAACAACAAACTGTCAAAAGTGTTCCCTTAGAATCCCCAACTTGGCTGAAGGGTCAGAATATTACTTTAGAGTAATGGCTGAAAATGAATTTGGTATTGGTGAACCAGCTGAAACACCTGAACCAATCAAGGCATCTGAGGCTCCATCTCCTCCTGAAAGTCTTAATGTCATGAATGTTACTAAACATTCTGCAAGTCTTGCATGGCCAAAACCACTACATGATGGAGGCAGTAAAATTACTGGATATGTCATTGAAGCTCAAAAGAAGGGTGCAGAGCAGTGGATGCATATGGCTACTGTAAAGACTCTAGACTATGTAGCAAAAAATCTTAATGAAAATGATGAATATACTTTCCGTGTCATGGCTGTCAACAATTCTGGTAGAAGTGATCCTCGAGAAAGCAGACCTATACTAATTAAAGAACAAACAACACTTCCTGAATTTGATTTACGTGGAATCTACCAAAAGCTGGTCATTGCCAAGGCAGGTGATAACATCAAAGTTGAAATACCCATATTGGGCCGCCCAAAACCATCAGTCTCCTGGAAAAAGGGAAATCAGGATTTTAAGCAAACACAGAGAGTGAACATTGAAAATACTGCAACCTCAACCATCCTGAATATTAATGAATGCACAAGAAATGATAGTGGACAATATTCTCTGACTGGAAAAAATATTCTTGGGGAGGTCACAGAAGTTATTACCGTTCAGGTCCATGATATTCCTGGGCCTCCTAAAGGTCCAATTAAATGTGATGAAATTTCATCTGACTACATTACAATATCTTGGGATCCCCCAGAAAATGATGGAGGAGTGCCAATTAGCAACTACATCGTAGAAATGCGTGACACCACTGGCACAAACTGGGTAGAGTTAGCTGCAACAGTAATACGTACAACATTTAAAGCTGCTCGCCTTACTACAGGTGTTGAGTATCAATTCCGTGTCAAAGCCCAAAACAGATATGGAGTTGGCCCGTCAATCAGTTCAGAAAATGTGGTTGCTGCCTATCCTTTTAAGGTGCCTGGTCCTCCAGGTACTCCACAAGTTATATCTTTCAACAAGGATACAATGACAATTAGCTGGAATGAGCCAGTTTCTGATGGTGGAAGCACAATTTTGGGATACCACATTGAGAGAAAAGAAAGGAGCAGTATTTTATGGCAGAGAATAAGCAAAGCTTTGGTAGTAGGAAATATTTTCAAGTCAACTGGCCTTACAGATGGAATAGCATATGAATTCCGAGTTGCAGCTGAAAATATGGCTGGTGTGGGTAAACCAAGCAAGTCCTCAGAACCAATATTTGCTCTTGATCCTGTTGATCCACCTGGCAAGCCGGTACCAATTAACATTACTAGACATGCTGTAACTCTTCAGTGGACAAAGCCTGAGTATGATGGTGGCTTTAAGATAACTGGATACACAGTTGAAAGAAAAGACTTACCAAATGGACGCTGGCTCAAGGCAAATTTCAGCAACATTCTTGAGACATGTTTCACTGTGAGTGGTCTCACTGAAGATGCTGCTTATGAGTTCCGTGTATTTGCCAGAAATTCAGCTGGAGCTGTGAGTAAACCATCTGAACCATCAGATAGTGTAACCTGCAGAGATGATATTGAAGAACCAAGAATCATGGTTGATGCAAGATTTAAAGATGTTATACTATTGAAAGCAGGAGAAGTCTTCAGGCTTGAAGCAGATGTTGCTGGCCGCCCACTACCATCAATGGTTTGGACTAAAGAAGGAAAGGAACTTGAAGAGACTGCAAAACTTGAAATCAGAACGACAGACTTTTCAACAGTTTTGATCAACAAAGATTCCATTAGAAGGGATGGGGGTGCGTTCACTTTGACAGCTAGCAACCCTGGTGGCTTTGCCAAGCATGTGTTTAATGTTAAAGTTCTTGATAGACCAGGTCCACCTGAAGGACCCTTAGAAGTTACAGATGTCACTGCTGAGAAATGTGTATTATCATGGCTGCCCCCTAAAGATGATGGAGGTGCAAAGATTGACTATTATGTTATTGAAAAACGTGAAACAAGCAGACTTGCATGGACAAATGTAGCAACAGATTTACAGGTCAATCGAATCAAGGTGACTAAGTTGCTCAAAGGAAATGAATATATCTTCAGAGTTATGGCTGTCAACAAATATGGAGTTGGAGAGTCCCTTGAATCTGAACCAACTGTTGCAGCAAACCCATATGTGCCTCCTGACCCACCACAAATGCCTGAGGTAACTGCCATAACTAAAGATTCAATGGTTGTCTGCTGGGGACATCCAGAGTCAAATGGTGGAAGTGAAATTACTAACTACATTGTAGAAAGAAGAGATAAGACTGGTCTGCGTTGGGTAAAATGTAACAAGAGGACAGTTACTGACTTAAGATACAAAGTATCTGGTCTAACAGAAGGACATGAATATGAGTATAGAGTTTTTGCTGAAAATATTGCAGGTTTGAGTTCACCCAGCCCAGCTAGTCCTTTCTACAAGGCTTCTGACACAATATTCAAACCTGGACCTCCAGGCAACCCAAGAGTTTTAGATACAAGCAAGTCATCGATTACAATTGCATGGAACAAACCGATATATGATGGTGGTTCTGAGATCACAGGATATATTGTTGAAACTTGCCTACCTGAAGAAGATGAATGGACAATTGTAACACCTAAAGATGCACTAAAAGCCACATCCTTTACAATAACAAATCTAAAGGAAAACCAGGAATACAAAATACATATTTCTGCTGTTAACTCCGAAGGAGTTGGAGAACCTGCTCTTGTTCCTGGTCAACCAAAGGCTGAGGACAGACAGATTCCTCCAGAAATTGAACTTGATGCAGATCTTCGCAAAGCTGTCAATATCAGAGCTTGTTGCACATTGCGCCTTTTTGTACCTATTAAGGGTAGACCTGCACCAGAAGTGAAATGGACAAGAGAAAATGGGGAACCTCTTGACAGAGCAACAATTGAGAATACATCATCCTACACTTCAGTTATAATTGAAAATGTTAATAGATTTGACAGTGGCAAGTATATGCTGACAGTTGAAAACAGCTCAGGAAGCAAGACTGCTTTTGTAAACGTTAGAGTCCTGGATACACCTGGAGCTCCACAAGACCTCAAGATTAAGGAAATTACTAAGGAGTCTGTCTCACTCACTTGGAATCCTCCACTTATTGATGGTGGTTCCAAGATTAAGAACTACATTGTAGAAAAACGTGAATCAACAAGAAAAGCTTATTCAACTGTTGTGGCGAACTGCCACAAAACAAGCTGGAAAGTTGAGCAGTTGCAGGAGGGATGTAACTATTACTTTAGAGTTCTCGCTGAAAATGAATATGGAGTAGGTCTTCCTGTGGAGACTTCAGAGTCAGTCAAAGTATCTGAAAGACCACTTCCTCCAGGTAAAATCACCCTTCAAGATGTCACCCGAAATAGTGTAACCTTGTCATGGGAGAAACCAGATCATGATGGAGGCAGCAGAATTGTGGCATATATTGTAGAGATGCAAACCAAAGGCAGTGAAAAATGGACCACCTGTGCCACAGTAAAAGTCACTGAAGCAGTCATAACAGGACTGACACAAGGTGAAGAATATACGTTCAGTGTATCGGCTCGAAATGAGAAGGGAACTAGTGATCCCCGACAGCTTGGTGTGCCTGTAGTTGCAAAAGACCTTGTTATTGCTCCAGTGTTCAAGCTGTTGTTCACCACATTCAGTGTTCTGGCAGGAGATGACTTGAAGGTTGATGTACCTTTTGTTGCACGTCCTAAAGCAGCAGTTACATGGCACAAAGATAATCTTCCTCTCAAACAAACTACAAGAGTAAATGCAGAAAGCACAGAAAACCATTCATATCTTGTAATTAAAGAAGCTTGCAGAGATGATGTTGGACAGTATGCTGTAAAACTTGCAAACACTGCTGGTGAAGCAACAGCAACTATTGGCATTGTTGTTCTAGATAAACCTGGCCCACCAACAGGCCCAGTAAAAATAGAAGAAGTCACTGCTGATAGCTTAACTCTTTCATGGCAGCCCCCAGAATATGATGGTGGATGCACTATTAACAATTATATTGTTGAAAAGAGAGACACTTCTACTACAGAATGGCAGATTGTATCTGCCACAGTTGCCAGGACAACCATAAAAGCAAGCCGTTTGAAGACTGGTTGTGAATATCAGTTCAGAATCGCAGCTGAAAATAGATATGGCAAGAGCCCTCTTCTTGTTTCAGAGTCTGTGGTAGCTCAATATCCATTTAAACTCCCTGGTCCTCCAGGCACACCATTTGTACATGGAGCTACAAAAGATAGCATGGTCGTCATGTGGAATGAACCAGTAAATGATGGTGGCAGCAGAATACTGGGTTATCACCTTGAGCGCAAGGAAAGAAATAGCATTCTTTGGGTTAAGTTGAACAAAACAATCATTCAGGACACCAGATTTAAGACCACTGGTCTTGAAGAAGGAATTGAATATGAATACAGAGTTTATGCCGAAAACATTGTAGGCATTGGAAAAGCAAGCAAAGTATCAGAATGCTATGTTGCAAGAGATCCATGTGACCCACCAGGTCGTCCTGAAGCTGTGATTGTAACCAGAAATTCTGTGACACTACAGTGGACAAAACCAGAGTATGATGGTGGCAGCAAGATCACTGGCTATATTGTTGAGAAGAAGGAGTTGCCTGATGGTCGCTGGATGAAAGCTAGCTTCACCAATGTCATTGAGACTGAGTTTGTTGTGACTGGTTTAACTGAAGACCAGAGGTATGAGTTCCATGTAATTGCTAGGAATGCAGCAGGTGTCTTCAGTGAGCCTTCTGAAAGCACAGGACCTGTAACTGCCAGAGATGAAGTAGATCCACCTCGCATTAGCATGGATCCCAAATATAGAGAAACAATCATAGTTAATGCTGGAGATTCCTTCAAGATTGATGCTGATGTCCATGGAAAACCAATACCTACAATCCTTTGGCTCAAAGGAGATCAAGAATTAGCAAACACAGCACGACTTGAAATAAAAAGCACAGACTTTAACACATTTCTGAGTGTTAAGGAAGCTATTCGTGTTGATGGAGGCCAATACACTCTGTTGCTGAAGAATGTTGGTGGAGAAAGATCAGTCGCTGTTAATGTCAAAGTTTTAGATAGACCTGGCCCACCTGAAGGTCCTATTTCTGTTTATGGAATTACAAGTGAGAAATGTTCCATCTCATGGAAACCACCACAGCATGATGGTGGCAGTGATATATCCCACTACATTGTTGAGAGAAGAGAGACAAGCAGATTAGTCTGGACTGTAGTTGATTCCAAAGTACTAGCTCTTAATCTGAAAATCACAAAACTTCTGGAAGGAAATGAATATATTTTCCGTGTGATGGGTGTGAACAAATATGGAGTTGGAGAATCTCTTGAGTCTGAGCCAGTGGTAATTAAAAATCCTTTTGTTGTCCCTGATCCACCAACTGCTGTTGAAGTTACAACAATTACAAAGGACTCCATGGTTGTCGTATGGGAAAGACCACCTTCAGATGGTGGTAGTGAAATTATCGGGTATATTGTTGAAAAACGAGATAAAGAGGGTGTTAGATGGACCAGATGCAATAAACGTGTGGTCAATGAATTGCGCTTCAGAGTGACGGGACTTCTTGAAAACCGCAGCTATGAATTCAGAGTCTCAGCTGAGAATGCCGCAGGGGTTGGACAACCAAGCTCCCCTTCAATTTACTACAAGGCATGTGATCCTATTTTCAAACCAGGACCACCAAATAACCCTAAGGTAACTGACATATCCAGGTCATCTGTTTTCCTTTCATGGAGTAAACCAATCTATGATGGTGGCTGTGAGATTCAAGGATATATTGTTGAGAAATGTGAAGCAACTTCTGATGAGTGGACGATGTGTACTCCAGCAACTGGCATCAAACAGTCATGGTTTGAAGTTGAGAAGTTACAAGAGAAACATGAGTACAAGTTTAGAGTCTGCGCTATCAACAAGGCTGGTGTTGGAGAACATGCAGATGTTGCTGGAGCTGTACTTGTGGAAGACAAGTTAGAAGCACCAGATCTTGATCTTGATCCAGAACACAGAAAGGTGGTCACTGTTAGAGCTGGAGGGTCCCTTAGATTGTTCATCCCAATCAGAGGGCGACCTGCTCCTGAAGTGAAATGGGGAAAAGCTGATGGTGAAATTAGGGAAACAGCTCAAATTGAGGTTACAAGTAGTTACACCTCACTTGTGATAGATAATGTGAACAGATTTGACAGTGGAAAGTACACCTTGACAGCTGAAAATGTCAGTGGGACAAAGTCTGCTTTCATCAGTGTTAAAGTGCTTGACACACCAAGTGCACCACTAAACCTTAAAATAAAAGAGATTACCAAGGAATCTGTAACTCTTACTTGGGAGCCACCTACTTTGGATGGGGGTGCAAAGATCAAAAACTATATTGTGGAAAAACGTGAGAGCACAAGAAAGGCCTATTCAGCTGTTGTGACCAACTGCCACAAGATGTCATGGAAGGTTGACCAACTTCAGGAAGGCTGTAACTATTACTTTAGAGTCTTAGCTGAAAATGATCATGGCATCGGTTTACCCGCAGAAACTGTTGATCCTGTTAAAGTATCAGAAGTACCACAACCACCAGGTAAAATAACTGTTGTTGATGTAACACGCAACAGTGTTTCTCTTAGCTGGGAAAAGCCTGAACATGATGGTGGAAGCAGAATCATCCAATATGTGGTGGAAATGCAAGCCAAGGGTAGTGAGAAGTGGTCTCCATGTGCACATGTTAAAACTCTTGAAACTGTTGTAACTAACTTAGTTCAAGGAGAAGAATATATGTTTAGAGTCATAGCTGTGAATGAGAAAGGGAAGAGTGACCCAAGATCACTTGCTGTTCCAGTTGTTGCTAAAGACCTTGTTATAGAGCCTGATGTAAGACCAGCATTCAGCAACTACAGTGTGCAGGTGGGTCAGGACCTAAAAATAGAAATCCCTATTGGTGGTCGACCCAAACCAACAATTTCCTGGACTAAAGATGGCCAACCACTTAAACAGACAACGAGGGTTAATGTTGTTGATACTGCACACCACACAACTCTCAATATTAAGGAAAGTACCCGAGATGATGGAGGAATATATGGAATTACTGTGTCTAATGTTGTTGGACAGAAGATTGCATCTATTGAAATTATCACCCTTGATAAGCCTGGTCCACCAAGCGGCCCTGTGAGATTTGATGAAGTTAGCGCCGAAAGTATCACTATTTCTTGGGATCCACCAAAATACACTGGTGGCTGTCAAATTTCAAACTACATTATTCAAAAGAGAGACACAACTACAACAACTTGGGAAACTGTTTCTGCCACTGTAGCAAGAACTACACTGAAGGTTACCAAGCTTAAAACTGGTGCAGAATATCAGTTTAGAATCATTGCTGAAAACAGATATGGAAAGAGCTTTGCATTAGATTCTGAAGCTATGATTGCCCAATATCCTTACAAGGAACCAGGTCCACCAGGTACACCATTTGTTACATCAGTATCAAGGGATCATATGGTTGTGCAGTGGCATGAACCGATTGCAGATGGAGGAAGCAAAATTATTGGTTACCATCTTGAAAGAAAAGAAAGAAACAGTATTCTCTGGACAAAGATTAATAAAACACTAATTCAAGACACACGCTTTAAAACCAGTCCTTTAGAAGAAGGCATTGAATATGAATTTAGAGTCTATGCTGAAAACATAGTTGGTATAGGCAAAAGTAGCAAGGTTTCTGAATGCTATGTGGCACGTGACCCATGTGATCCACCAGGAACCCCTGAAGCAATAATTGTGAGCAGGCATTCAATCACTCTTCAATGGACAAAACCAGAATATGATGGTGGCAGTGTAATAACTGGTTATATTGTTGAGAAACGAGACCTTCCTGATGGTCGCTGGATGAAAGCTAGCTTCACTAATGTCATTGAAACACAGTTTACTGTTTCTGGCCTTACTGAAGATTCTAAGTATGACTTCAGAGTTATTGCTAAGAATGCAGCTGGAACTATAAGCAAACCATCTGATAGTACTGGACCTATAACTGCAAAGGATGAAGTTGAACCACCAAGAGTCTCAATGGATCCAAAATACAAAGAGGCAATTGTTGTAAATGCTGGAGATACATTCAAACTTGATGCAGATGTCTACGGAAAGCCAATACCAACAATCCAATGGTTCAAGGGTGATAAAGAAGTTGAACTTTCAGCAAGGTGTGAGATCAAGAGCACTGACTTCAGAACAACGCTTGTTGTTAAAGATGCAATTAGAATTGATGGTGGCCAATATAATCTTCAGTTAACTAATGTTGCTGGCACCAAAACTGTGCCTATTCAAGTTAAAGTGCTGGACAGACCAGGGCCATCTGAAGGGCCTATTCATGTGAGTGGTGTCACTGCTGACAAATGCACACTGTCATGGCTTCCTCCACAACATGATGGAGGCAGCAGCATTTCACATTACATCATTGAGAAGAGAGAAACCAGCCGCCTAGCTTGGACTGTAGTGGCTACTGATGCTGTAGCTACCATGCACAAGGTGACCAAACTTCTGGAAGGGAATGAATATATATTCCGGGTAATGGCTGTTAACAAATTTGGAGTTGGTGAACCACTGGAGTCTGCACCAGTTTTAATGAAAAATCCATTCATCCCAGCAGGACCACCAAAAGGTTTGGAAGTAACCAACATTGCAAAGGACTCTATGACAGTGTGCTGGACCAGGCCAGACTCAGATGGTGGCAGTGAAATTGTTGGTTATATTGTAGAGAAGAGAGATAGGACTGGCATCAGATGGACAAAATGCAATAAGCGCCGAATTACAGACTTGCGCTTTAGAGTAACAGGTCTCACAGAAGATCATGAATATGAATTCAGATTATCTGCGGAAAATGCAGCCGGAGTGGGAGAACCAAGTCAGCCTACGGCATACTACAAGGCTTGTGATCCTATATTCAAACCTGGACCACCAACCAATGTACATGTTGTTGATACCACAAGAAGCTCTATTTCACTTGCATGGGGTAAGCCAATTTATGATGGTGGCAGTGAAATTCAGGGATACATTGTGGAGATATGCAAAGCTGATGAGGAAGAATGGACCATGTGCACACCACCTACTGGTTTGCGTGTGAACCGCTTTGAAATCATCAAACTTGTGGAGCATCAAGAATATAAGATCCAAATATGTGCCATCAATAAATTAGGTGTAGGTGAGCCGGCTTCTGTACCAGGAACAGTCAAACCTGAAGATAAGCTGGAGGCTCCTGAACTTGACCTTGATGCAGAATTGAGGAAAGGACTAGTGGTGCGTGCTGGAGGCTCTGTGAAAATCCATATACCATTCAAAGGAAGACCAGCTCCAGAGATCATTTGGTCTAAAGATGAAGGAGACTTACCTGAGAAGACTCAGATTGAAAAAGGCATTAACTATACCCAACTTTCCATTGACAACTGTGACAGAAATGATGCTGGAAAATACACTCTGAAATTAGAAAATAGCAGTGGTGCCAAGTCTGCATTTGTCTCCGTCAAAGTATTGGATACCCCAGGAACACCTCAAAATCTTAAAGTGAAAGATATCAAGAAAGATGCAGTCACTTTAGTATGGGAACCACCTTTAATTGATGGAGGTGCAAAGATCAAGAACTATGTGATTGATAAGCGTGAATCAACTAGAAAAGCTTATGCAAATGTTTCTACAAAGTGCACCAAAACAAGCTTCAAAGTGGAAAATCTCACAGAGGGAGCAATTTATTACTTTAGAGTAATGGCTGAGAACGAATTTGGAATTGGTCTACCTATTGAAACAATAGATGCAGTAAAGGCGTCAGAGCCACCTTTGCCGCCAGGAAAGGTCACTCTTACTGATGTCACCCAAACCACCGTCTCTCTTTCATGGGAAAAACCAGATCATGATGGAGGCAGCAGAATTATAGGTTATGCAATCGAAATGCAGCCTAAAGGGTCTGACAAATGGGTTGTAGCAACTCAGACAAAAACATGTGAGGGTGTTGTTTCTGGACTAAGCTCTGGACAAGAATACCTCTTCCGTATAATTGCATACAATGAGAAAGGAAAGAGTGATCCAAGACCATTGGCTGCACCAGTTATCGCCAAAGACCTCACAATTGAACCCAGTTTCAAACTTATGTTCAACACTTACAGTGTCCAAGCAGGAGAAGATCTTAAGGTAGAAATACCTGTAATTGGACGCCCGAGACCCAAAATTGCTTGGACAAAAGATGGACAGACACTTAAACAGACAACCAGAGTTAATGTTGAGACCACACCAACCTCAACTATTCTTCATATTAAAGAAAGCATTAAAGATGATTTTGGCAAGTATACAGTCACAGCAACTAACAATGCTGGTACAACTACAGAAGAAATTGGAATTATCATACTTGATAAACCCGGTCCACCTGTTGGCCCTGTAAGGATCGATGAAGTCAGCTCTAACTTTGTTACACTTTCCTGGGATCCTCCACAATATACAGGTGGTTGTCAAATAAATAATTATATAGTTGAAAAACGAGACACAACCACCACAACCTGGCAAATTGTATCAGCAACAATAGCAAGGACAACAATTAAAATAAGCAAACTTAAAACTGGTTCAGAATACCAGTTTAGAATATTTGCTGAAAACAGATATGGAAAGAGTTCTTCTTTGGATTCACCATCCATTCTTGTACAGTACCCATATAAAGAACCTGGACCACCTGGTACACCATTTGTTACATCTGTGTCAAAGGACCACATGGTTATTGAATGGCATGAACCAGTCAATGATGGTGGCAGTCAAGTCATCGGTTACCATTTGGAACGCAAAGAACGGAACAGTATCCTGTGGACTAAGCTTAATAAGACTCTTATTCAAGACACTCGCTTCAAGACAAACAACCTCGAAGAAGGCATTGAATATGAATATAGAGTCTATGCCGAAAATGTTGTTGGCATTGGTAAATCAAGCAAGGTTTCAGAGTGCTTTGTAGCTCGTGATCCATGTGATCCACCTGGTTGTCCTGAGCCCATTGTTATTACCAGAAACCATGTCACACTTCAGTGGACAAAGCCACAGTATGATGGTGGCAGCAAAGTTACTGGATATATTGTAGAAAAGAAAGAGTTGCCTGAAGGTCGCTGGATGAAAGCAAGCTTTACAAATGTAATTGAGACTGAATTTACAGTCACAGGCTTAACTGAAGACCAAAGATATGAATTTAGAGTAATTGCAAGAAATGCAGCTGGTATTTTCAGTGAACCTTCTGAAAGCACTGGACCAATTACTGCTAGAGATGAAATTGAAACCCCAAGAGCTTCAATGGATCCAAAATACAAAGATGTAATTGTTGTGAATGCAGGTGAAACCTTTTCTCTTGAAGCTGATATCTACGGCAAACCAGTGCCTGATGTTGTATGGTTAAAGGATGGAAAAGAAATTGACAAAGCTACTGCACGAATGGAAGTCAAAACTACATTACAACGGACAACTCTTATAGTAAAGGACTGCATTAGAGTAGATGGAGGACAGTATGTTCTCACTCTTAGTAATGTTGGTGGTACAAAAACAATACCAATCACAGTAAAGGTTTTAGACAGACCTGGTCCACCTGACGGCCCATTAAGAGTGTCAGGTGTTACTGCAGAGAAATGCTACCTGTCCTGGAGCCCTCCTTCACAAGATGGTGGTGCCAGCATTTCTCATTACATTATTGAGAAGAGAGAAACCAGCAGGCTGTCTTGGACAGTTGTTGACTCTAATGTTCAGGCAATCAGTTACAAAGTAACCAAACTTCTAAGTGGCAATGAGTATATATTCAGAATTATGGCAGTAAATAAATATGGCATTGGTGAGCCACTTGAATCTGAACCAGTTCTAGCACGCAATCCATTCAAGCCACCAGGCCCACCATCAGTGCCTGAGGTCACTGCTATCACTAAGGATTCTATGGTTGCAACATGGAACAGGCCAGAGGATAATGGTGGAGCTGAAATTGAAGGCTACGTCCTTGAAAAACGTGACAAAGATGGAGTAAGATGGACAAAATGTAACAAAAAGAGATTGAGTGATCTACGTTTTAGAGTAACTGGACTCACCGAAGGACACTTCTATGAGTTCCGTGTTTCTGCTGAAAATGCTGCTGGTGTAGGGGAACCAAGTGAACCATCTGTGTTCTACAGAGCATGTGATGCAACATACCCACCAGGCCCACCAAACAATCCTAAAGTGTCTGATACTTCTAGTAGTTCTGTGTCTCTTGCATGGAGCAAGCCTATTTATGATGGTGGTGCCCAAATAAAGGCATACATTGTAGAAATGAAAGAGGCTTCAGCTGAGGAATGGACTACATGCACACCTCCAACTGGTGTACAAGCAACACACTTTACTGTAACAAAACTAAAAGAAAATGCTGAATACAATTTCCGCATTTGTGCTATCAACATTGAAGGAGTTGGGGAAGCTGCTGCAATCGCTGGATCTGTAGTTGCAGCTGAAAAGGTTGAGCCACCTGAAATTGAACTGGATGCAGACCTTAGGAAAGTAGTATCTGTACGTGCTAGTGGAACACTTCGCTTGTTTGTCACAATCAGAGGTAGACCTGAACCTGAAGTAAAGTGGACAATGGCAGAAGGCACTCTCACTGAACGTGCACAGATTGAAGTCACAAGTTCCTACACTATGCTTGTCATTGACAATGTAAACAGATTTGACAGTGGTAAATATGTATTGAATCTTGAAAATAACAGCGGAACAAAATCAGCCTTTGTCAATGTGAGAGTACTTGATTCACCAAGCTCACCTGTTAATTTCAGAATCAAAGATATAAAGAAAGATTCAGTTGTACTGTCATGGGAGCCACCACTTATTGATGGAGGAGCAAAGATCACTAACTATATTGTTGAAAAACGTGAGACAACAAGAAAAGCATACACCACTGTAACAAACAATTGTACAAAGAATACATTCAAGGTTGATCAGCTCCAGGAGGGAGGTAGTTACTATTTCCGTGTCCTGGCTGTTAATGAACATGGTGTTGGGCTATCAGCAGAGACTACTGATCCAATTAAAGTTTCTGAAGCACCTTTGCCACCTGGAAAAGTTACACTTGTAGATGTAACTCGAAACAGTGCAACCATTTCTTGGGAGAAACCAGAACATGACGGTGGTAGCAAAATTTCAAGCTATGTGGTTGAAATGCAAACTAAAGGCAGTGAGAAATGGACCACGTGCACTCAAGTGAAAGCGTTGGAGGCAACTATATCTGGTCTCACAACAGGTGAAGAATATTCCTTTAGAGTCATTGCTGTGAATGAGAAAGGCAAGAGTGATCCAAAACAACTGGGAGTGCCTGTAATAGCTAAAGATATTCAAATAGAACCCAGCTTGGAGCTACTTTTCAATACTTTCAGTGTGAAGGCTGGAGATGACCTCAAGATTGATATTCCTTTCAGAGGCAGACCTCTACCTACTGTTTCATGGTTTAAAGATGGTCAGCCTTTAAAGCAGACAACCAGAGTAAATGTTCAGACATCCAAGACATCAACTCTTATGGTCATCAAAGAAGCCACCAAAGATGATTTTGGAAATTATGCAATTACAGTGTCTAACACAGCTGGTTCAAAAACAGCAGAGATTTCAATTATTGTACTTGACAAGCCTGGAGCACCTGGCCCCATCCGAGTAGATGAGGTTAGTGCTGACAGTATAACAATATCCTGGGACCCACCAACATATGATGGTGGATGCCACATCAATAACTACATTGTTGAAAAGAGGGATACTACCACAACAACATGGCAAATTGTTTCTGCAACTGTTGCCAGAACATCAATTAAAGTTTCCCGCTTGACACAAGGATCTGAATACCAGTTCCGTATTTATGCTGAAAACCGCTATGGAAAGAGCCATTACACAGATTCCTCAGCAATTGTTGCTCAATATCCATTTAAACCACCTGGTCCTCCAGGAACACCTCGTGTTGTCCATGCAACAAAAGCTTTCATGATAGTACAATGGAATGAACCAGTCAATGATGGTGGCAGCACAGTCTTTGGTTATCATCTTGAACGCAAAGAAAGAAGCAGCATTCTTTGGACAAAGATCAACAGAGGTTTGATAACTGACACTGAGATGAAAGTAACTGGTATTGAAGAAGGCTTAATGTATGAATATCGTGTATATGCTGAAAACATTGCTGGCATTGGAAAGTGTGGAAAAGCTTGTGAACCTGTTGCTGCAAGAGATCCATGTGATCCTCCAGGTCACCTTACAGTTACTAACATCACAAGAACATCTGTATCTCTGTCTTGGACTAAGCCAGAATATGATGGTGGTGCTAAAGTTACTGGCTATATAATTGAACGCAGAGAACTACCAGATGGACGTTGGCTGAAATGTAATTTCACAAACATTCAGGAAAACTATTTTGATGTTACTGGCCTTACAGAAGATCAGCGTTATGATTTCCATGTTATTGCAAAGAATGCAGCTGGGTTATTCAGTGAACCATCTGAATGTACTGGTCCAATTACTGTGAAGGATGATGTTGATCCACCTCGTATCATGATGGATGTCAAGTTCAGAGACACAGTAGTAGTAAAGGCTGGAGAAATCTTGAAAATTAATGCAGATATTGCTGGACGTCCTCTGCCTATAGTTTCATGGACAAAAGATGGCAAGGAGATTGATGTACAAGCCAGAGTTGAAATCTCCTCTACAGACACCAGCACTGCAATAGTTGTGAAAGACTGTATCAGAAGAGACTCTGGACAGTATGTCCTGACTTTGCAAAATGTTGCAGGAACAAGATCAATGGCAGTGAATTGCAAGGTACTTGACAGACCAGGACCATCAGCTGGACCACTAACAGTAGCTGGTGTTACAGCAGAGAAATGTACAATATCCTGGGGATCACCTCAGGAGAATGGCGGGGCAGAAATTTCCCATTACATTGTAGAAAAACGTGAAACAAGTAGACTAGCCTGGACACTAGTGGATGGTGACATGAAAGCAACAACTTGCAAAGTTACTAAATTGCTGAAAGGCAATGAATACATTTTCAGAGTTCTGGCTGTGAACAAATATGGAGTTGGTGAACCTCTTGAGAGTGATCCTGTTAAAGCTTTGGATCCATATACTGTTCCAAGTGCACCTACCAATGTAGAAATCAGCAGTATTACAAGTGAAGCTATGACAATTTGCTGGGCAAGACCTGAAAGTGATGGTGGCAATGAAATTTCTGGTTATGTAATAGAAAGACGTGAAAAAACAGGTCTAAGATGGGTTCGTGTGAATAAGAAACCAGTGTATGATCTCAGAGTTAAAGCATCCAATCTTCGTGAAGGTTGTGAGTATGAGTACCGTGTTTATGCAGAAAATGCTGCTGGTTTGAGTCCTCCAAGTGAACCGAGTCCATTAACGAAAGCAGAAGACCCACTTTTCCTGCCTTCCGCCCCAGTTAAACCTAAAGTTATTGATTCCACAAAGACCACTATTACTGTTGCCTGGTCCAAACCACTGTTTGATGGTGGATCTCCAGTCACTGGATACAGTGTTGAATATAAGAAAACTGATGATGAAGAATGGTTGGTAGCTGTTCAAAACACAAGAAGTACAGAGTTTACTGTAGTTGGACTTACACCCGGTGCTGAATATGTATTTGCTGTTAGATCAATCAATAAAGTTGGTGCCAGTGACCCAAGCCCAGCTTCAGAGCCTCAGCTTGCAAAAGAAAGAGAAGAAGAGCCAGTATTTGATATTGACAATGAAATGCGCAAGACTTTAATTGTCAAGGCTGGCAGCTCATTTACTCTTACCGTACCTTATAAAGGCAAACCAGTACCTACTGTGATGTGGAATAAAGAAGATGTAGATCTGAGATTAAGGGCAAGTATTGATACAACTGATTCCTGCACATCTATAACAGTGGAGAAAGCAACAAGAAATGATTCTGGGAAATACACTGTAACATTACTGAATATTGTTGGAACTGCTACTTTGACACTGGTTGTCAAAGTCCTTGATTCTCCTGGCCCTCCTTCAAATATTGTGGTAAAGGAAGTCACAAAAGAGTCTGCACTGATATCATGGGATGTACCAGAAAATGAAGGTGGTGCTCCTGTGAAGAACTATCACATTGAAAAACGTGAGGCTAGCAAAAAGGCATGGGTCTGTGTTACAAATAACTGCCACCGTTTAACCTACAAAATACCTGACCTCCAAGAGGGAGCTATCTACTACTTCAGGGTCTCTGGAGAAAATGAATATGGTATAGGAGTACCTGTTGAAAGCAAGGAAGGCGTTAAAATTACAGGTATGCTATTTTTTAAACTGAATCTCATTAAATGGAAATTTTATTTTGAAATTCTTACATTTTGCACTGGTGATATTTCATGATGTTCACTTTTCTTTTTTTTCAGAAAAACCAAGTCCGCCAGAGAAGCTTGGGGTTATAGATGTTACAAAACACAGTGTTTCACTGTCTTGGAGTAAACCAGAACACGATGGAGGCAGCAGAATCACAAGTTACCAAGTTGATGCCCTTGAAAAAGGCCAGCAGAATTGGGTGAAGTGTGCAGTAGTGAAAACTACACATCACATTGTCTGTGGTCTTAAAGAAAGTGCTGAATATTTCTTCCGTGTGAGGGCTGAAAACCAGGCTGGTCTCAGTGATCCGAAGGAAATGCTGCTCCCAGTTGTTGTGAAAGATCAGCTTGGTAAGTTTCCTCACAACTAAGGAAGACACATTGAAAAAATGTATTGTCTGGTTCATTCCTTTTATTTTATAGAGCTTTAAACAGTACTAACTAGATATTAACTCTCCGATTTATTATTTCTATGGAAATAATTGTACCATATATTTAAAGTGTTTGTTTAAAGATAGATTTGCCAGTTTGTTTTTTCACTATTCTTTTTATTCTTAACCTTTTTCAGCCATGCAATCAATGTTTTTTTTTTTTGCATTTCTAGAATCACCTGAAATTGATATGAAGAATTTCCCTCACAATACTGTCTATGTCAGAGCCGGTTCAAACCTTAAATTTGAAATTCCACTTTCTGGTAAACCCCTACCAAAAGTAACACTTTCAAAGGATAACCTTGCAGTGAAATCAACAATGAGATTCAACACAGAGACCACTGCTGACAGCATAATCATCAATCTCAAAGAAAGTATAGCAGCTGATGCTGGAAGATATGATATAACTGCCTCCAATTCAAGTGGAACAACAAAGACATTTGTAAACATTGTGGTCTTAGATAGACCTGGTCCTCCAGTTGGCCCTGTTGAAATCAGTGATGTCAGTGAAGACAATGTGACCCTAAGATGGCAACCACCTGTATATGATGGTGGAAGTCAAGTAACCAATTACATTGTACTCAAACGTGAAACAAGTACTGCTGCCTGGACAGAAGTGTCAGCAGCAGTTGCAAGAAGCATAATCAAAGTCATGAAGCTGACAACAGGAGAAGAGTATCAGTTCCGCATTAAGGCAGAGAACCGCTTTGGCATCAGTGATCACATTGATTCACAAAATGTCACAGTGAAACTCCCATACAGTAAGTATTTTTCTTATATATTTTTGCATTGATGAATATAAAATTCACATTGTTAACATACAGTACTTATTTTTTATTATTTTTTATTTTATTTACTTTAGCAATGCCTGGCCCACCATCAACACCTTGGGTTACTATGGTCACAAGGGAGAGCATCACTGTCTGCTGGCATGAACCTGTGTCAGATGGAGGAAACCATGTATTTGGATATCACTTGCAGATGAAAGACAGAAATAGCATTCTGTGGCAGAAGGTTAACAAGACTGTCATTCGTGCAACCCACTTCAAAGTGACTAATATCAGTGCTGGTCTAATCTATGAGTTCCGAGTTCTGGCAGAAAATTCTGCTGGTATTGGCAAAGTCAGCAAAACATCTGACCCAGTGCTTGCAATTGATGCTTGCGGTAAATATATTTGTTTTTTGTATTTTAATTGGGAATTTTATTTGTCATTGTTTTTTATCACTTTTGTATTATGCTAGGACATGTTTTATAACTACTAATGTATTACGTATTTCAGAGCCTCCAACAAATGTACATGTGACAGATATCACAAAGAACTCCATAAGCCTGGCTTGGCAGAAGCCTCCTTATGATGGTGGAAGCAAGATCACAGGATACATTGTTGAGAAGAGAGATGCACCAAATGGAAGATGGACAAAAGCTAGCTTTACAAATGTCATAGAAACCAATTTTGCTGTGTCAGGATTGACCCAAGATGGAAAATATGAATTCAGAGTTTTTGCAAAGAATGCAATTGGCTCTATCAGTAATCCATCTCTGATTGCAGGACCTGTCACATGTGTTGATACATTTGGTAAGTTTTATTTCATCTACATGTAAAAGGGAAATAAAATCAATGTTGGTTTTTGTAATTTCATTATAATTGTATCATTGTCTTTTAGGTGCTCCTGAAATTGACTTGCCACCGGAGTATTTAGATGTTGTAAAATACAAAGCTGGAGCATCAGTGAAAATTCAGGTTGGAATTATTGCCAAACCCCTGCCAACAATTGAATGGTATAAGGATGGAAAGGAACTAGAAACAAGTGCTCAAGTGTCAATTGAAAATACCACAGACTCCTCTGCCATCATTATTAAGGATGCTGCACGTAACAACAGCGGAAGTTATGAGCTCAGACTTAAGAATTCAATGGGCTCAAAATCAGCTACTATTAAAGTACAGATTCTCGGTATGTTTTATGTGGTTTGTATTTTTGGCATTGTATTACATTTGTTAAAAACAGATATTTCTGAAAGTTGCTTTACAGATGGAATTTATATAATGTAACCTTGATATGAGATTATTACCATAACTTATTATTTTAAGTCACATTATATTATATATTCTTATTAACAGATAAACCTGGACCTCCTATTGGACCTATTCAATTTAAAACAGTCACTGCTGAGAAGATCACAATAATGTGGGATCCTCCTACAGATGAGGGTGGTGCTCCTGTCACCCATTATATTGTGGAAAAACGTGAAACAAGCAGAGTTGTCTGGTCCCTCATATCAGAAAAACTGCAAGAGAGCCTTGTCTCTGTACAGAAGCTTATAAGAGGCAATGAATATGTCTTCCGTGTCAGAGGTGTTAATAAGTATGGAGTTGGAGAGCCTCTGGAATCTGAGCCTGTTGTTGCGAAGAATTCTTTTGGTAAGTGAATGCAAATGATCAAAAATAAGACACTTTATTCTTTTTACCCATGAAACAGTTTCTTACTATGTTTATTTATTTTAGTCACTCCCGGACAGCCCAGCACACCTGAAGTCACAATGATAACCAAGTCTTCAATGACTGTGGTCTGGGAAAGGCCAACTGTTGATGGTGGCAGTGATATTAGAGGTTATTATCTGGAAAAACGTGAGAAAAAGAGCTTACGTTGGTTCAAGGTTATTAAAGATTCCATCCGTGATACTAGACAGAAAGTATCAAACTTGACAGAAGGAAATGAATACCAGTTCCGTGTCTGTGCTATCAATGCAGCTGGAGAAGGTCCCTTCTCTGATGCATCTGATTTCTACAAAGCTGCTGATCCAGTTGGTAAGCATTCTTCTTTTCTTTATCATACTCTCTTTCTGTCCTTATGTTTCTTTAAAGGTGTGCCTTGTACCTTTAAAAATTACCTGAACTTTTCAAATTGCTCTTCCTTCAGATCCTCCAAGTGAACCAACCAAACTTAAAGTTGTTGACTCAACTAAATCATCCATTACTCTTGGATGGCTCAAGCCTGTGTATGATGGAGGCAGTGAGGTTACCAGTTACATAGTTGAAAAGAGGGAAGGTGAAGAAACGGAATGGACTGTGGTTAGCTCAAAGGGTGAAGTCAGAACAACAGAGTTTGTTGTGTCTCACCTCAAACCTGGGGTCAACTACTTCTTCTGTGTGTCTGCTGTAAACTGTGCTGGAAAGGGAAACCCAATTGAAATGACAGAACCTGTGCAAGCTAAGGATATTCTTGGTATGTATTCAACAACCATGTGACAGTTTCTTTACTTTTACTAAAAGTGTTTTTCATAACATTGTCAGAAGCTAATAAATTGTTTTTGCTTTACTTTTTACAGAGGAGGCAGAGATTGATCTCGATGTTGCCCTGAGAACACAATACACAGTTAAAGCAGGCCAAGATGTAGAGATCATGATTCCATTTAAAGGCAGACCTGCTCCAAATGTCACCTGGAGAAAGGAAGAGAAGAACATCAGCAGTGATCCAAGATACAACATCCACAATACAGAATCATCTACATTACTTACCATCCCACAGGTCACTCGAGATGAGACTGGGAAATATGTTCTTCAGATTGAAAATGGAGTAGGAGAGCCTAAATCATCATTTGTGAATGTGAAAGTGCTTGATACACCAGGCGCCTGCCAAAAACTGCAGGTCAAGAATGTCACTCGTGGTAATGTAACTTTAGTGTGGGAACCACCTCTTGTCAATGGTGGTGCAGAAGTTACCAACTACATTATTGAAAAGAGAGATGCTACAAAGAGAGCCTATTCAAGTGTAACAACTAAATGTTCTAATACCACATTTAAAGTTACTGACCTCTCTGAGAAGACTTCCTTCTTCTTCCGTGTGATGGCAGAAAATGAAAATGGAGTAGGTGAACCATGTGAGACAGCAGAACCAGTTAAAGCTACTGAGGTGCCAGGTCCAGTCAAAGATCTTTCAATGAAGGACTCAACCAAAACATCTGTGACATTACAGTGGAACAAGCCCGATTATGATGGTGGCAGCATCATCACAGAATACATAATTGAAAAGAAACTTAAAAATGAGCAAGAGTGGTCAATTGCAGGCACTACCAAAGCCTGTGAGTTTGAGGCTACTAAACTGAAAGAACTTGCAGAGATGGACTTCAGAGTATTTGCCAAGAATGAGAAAGGAAAAAGTGACTTTGCCCAAGTTGGACCAATCACCGTAAAGGACTATATTATTCCACCTGATGCAAACCTGTCAGACATCCCAGGAGGACAAATCAGTGTGCGCATTGGACATAATGTTCATGTAGAGATACCATATAAGGGAAAACCAAGGCCAACTGTGCAGTGGCTGAAAGACAATCTTCCTCTGAAAGAAAGTGAACAGATTCGCTTCAAGAAAACAGAAAACAAAGTGTCTCTGACAATTAAAAATGCAAGAAAAGATAATTCAGGCAAATATACTTTAGTTCTTGATAACAATGTCTGCAGAAAGTCATTCAGTTTTCAAGTTAACACCCTTGGTCCACCATCTAAACCAAAAGGTCCCATTCGATTTGATGAAATCAGAGCTGAGAGTATAATTATATCTTGGGATGTGCCTGAGGAGGATGGAGGTGGAGAAATTACATGCTACAGTGTAGAGAAGCGTGAGACTTCCCAAACAGCTTGGAAGATGGTTTGTTCAAGTGTGGCCAGAGCAACATTTAAGATCCCTAACTTAATCAAAGGAACAGAATACCAATTCAGAGTGCGTGCAGAAAACAGATATGGAGTAAGTGAGGCCCTTGTTTCACATGATGTAATTGCAAAACATCAGTACCGTCCACCAGGTCCACCAGGAAAGCCAGTGGTGTACAATGTTACTTGTGATGGCATGTCAATTCAATGGGATGCACCATGTTACGATGGAGGCTCAGAGGTTACTGGATTCTATGTGGAGAAGAAGGAAAGAAATAGTATTCTCTGGCAGAAAATAAATACTTCACCTATATCTGGAAGAGACTACAGAATTACTGGTCTAATTGAAGGTCTGGAATATCAATTCAGAGTATATGCAGAGAATAATGCTGGTCTGAGCCCTTGCAGTGAGCCTAGCAAACACACCTTGGCTGTCTCTCCAGTTGGTAAGAATTTTACATCTATTTATCTGCATTTGGAAAAGCATTCTAGTTTCTAATTTCTTAGAGATTTTTGTTTCAGTTGTGTAACAATAATGTATAAAATATTGTTACTTATTTTAGATCCTCCTGGTACACCTGACTACATTGATGTAACAAGGGACTCTGTCACACTTAAATGGGAACCTCCTTTGCGTGATGGAGGCAGCAAAATTGTTGCCTACAGCGTGGAAAAACGTCAAGGAAAAGGACGCTGGTTGAGATGCAACTTCACCGATATTACTGAATGCCAGTACACAGTGTCTGGTCTTGCATCTGGTGATCGCTTTGAATTTAGAGTGATTGCCAGAAATGCAGTTGGCACAGTTAGTCCACCTTCACAGTCCTCTGGATACATCATGACTAGAGATGAAAGCAGTAAGTATTTGAAAGTATATGGAAGTTTGTCTTTGTGAATGCTCAGAATAATCTACAGTCAAACTTGAATAAAATGTTTTTCTCTCCTTTATAGTTCCTCCATCAATTGAATTTGGTGCAGAACACTTTGAAGGTCTCACAGTCAAAGCAGGAGAGAGTATTAGGCTTAAAGTCCTTATCAAGGGTCGACCAGTTCCTCAAGTAACTTGGTTCAAGGATGGAAAAGAAATTGATAAGAAGACAATGGTTGATATTGACATTAAAACAGTCATTGGATCAAGCAGCCTCTTTATCAGAGATGCTGATCGTAATCACCGGGGTATATATAGTGTTGAAGCCAAGAATTCCTCTGGAACCAAGAAAGCAGATATTAACGTCAGAGTACAAGGTGTGTATTTGTGTATTTTTGTATTTGTATTAACATACACTGCTGTACAAATCTGTAGGCACTTTAGGCACAGTGGTTGTGATATATACATAAAATAAGCATAAAAAATGTATTTAATGACTATACAAGTGCTTTCTATTATTATAACTACTATAATAACAACTTTGTATGTGGAAAATGTATGTAAAAAAATTAACAGGCTTTAATTCACATTAATCACAATCTTCAAAACCATAAGATAAACTACACATGAGCAGCCAATATTAAGTGTTGTTATTGCAAATCCATCATATTTTCCAGTAAAATTCTAATTTCTAATTGACCCATTGTCAAGAGCTCCACATCTTGAGCATAAGTTTTTCTTTTGTACTCAGCGATAAAGATAAATGGCTACTTTTTTTACCACAAATCATATAATGTATCAAGAATAATTATTGGTACAACCTCTATCTAAAATTTCAGTAGATGGTTACCATAGAATTATGTTTCTCTATTAAGAAGGATAAAAATGTATGTAACTTCTGGTTGTTAGGAATCGTTTTTTGTGGTTTCTACAAACTAAGCAGTTTATTCTCCTTGGTGCTAATTGATCCCAGGACCTGTTCTGCTTGCCTCTTGAGATTTGTTTTCTGCAATCAGGCTTTGGTTTCAAAGGTGCTTAGCTAAAGTGTGTTATTTACAGCAGCATGAACATAAAGAACTTGAAGTCCCTCCTTAGCTGGCTACAGATAGGCCCCTTTACTTCTGACTTAAACACTCTAAATTACTACAATGTTAGACACTAATTTTTCCTTCAGTTGAAATGCAATGGGTAAAAACGAATTAATATTGGCTTTCAATTAGAAAACCCATTCAAATTTATAAGAGCAGGAAGCACATTTGAATACTGAAATCAGTTATGCTGCAACTAAAGAATTCATCTTGAGCATATACTAGATAGTTGAGAATTCCCAAATAACAATGAACAGTGCAATATGTATCAGCCTTTTACACATCATAGTATATATAGTATAATAAACAAGTAAAAATATAAATATTTCAAATTACGTTGATTTTCATGATCATCTGATTATGTTTTTTTTAGATACACCTGGACCACCTGCTGGACCCTTGCATTTCACTAACATTACTGGAGAAAAGGCCACTCTGTACTGGAATCCTCCTGACAATGATGGCTGTGCTGCAATCAGCCACTATGTGATTGAAAAACGCGAAACATCCAGAATCTCTTGGGCACTTGTTAATGACAAGTGTGAAGCGTGCTCATTTACTGCCACAAAGCTGATTAAGGGCAATGAATACCAGTTCCGTGTCTGTGCAGTGAATAAGTTTGGTGTTGGCAGACCACTGGAATCAGAATCTATTGTTGCACAAATCCAATTCAGTAAGTTTTTTTTCCATGTTTAGTTATTTGCTTGAAAACTGAATTACATGTATCAATTAATAACAAAACATATTTCTATATATATGTTTTTTAATATTGCTACTTTTTTGCAGCTGTACCAGAGGCTCCTGGCACTCCTGATGCAACCCATGTCACTGGAGACAGCATTACACTTTCTTGGACAAGACCAAGAAGTGATGGTGGAAATGAAATTAAGCATTACATTCTTGAAAGACGTGAAAAGAAGAGCATGCGATGGGTGAAAGTATCTTCTAAGAGGCCAATAACTGAAGCCAGATACAGAGTAACTGGGCTTACTGAAGGAAATGAATATGAGTTCCATGTCATGGCTGAAAATGATGCTGGAATTGGACCATGTAGTTCAACATCAAGACTCATCAAATGTAGAGAACCAACCAGTGCACCAAGTGCTCCAACTGTGGTAAAGGTAACTGACACTACAAAGACATCAGTCAGCTTGGAATGGACCACACCTGTCTTTGATGGTGGAATGGAAATAATTGGATATGTCATTGAAATGTGCAAAGCCAGCCTTGAAGAATGGCATAAAGTCAATCTTGAAACTTGTATCAACACTAAATATACTGCAACGGAATTAGAACCCGGTGAAGAATATAAATTCCGTGTGTGTGCACTTAATGGTGTTGGAAAAGGAGAATACTGTGAAATCCCTAATCCTGTTCAGACTGTAGACAGGCTGACATCACCAGAGATTGACATTGATGCCAGTTTCAAACAGACTCACATCGTGAAATCAGGCAGTACCGTTCTTCTTCGTATCGCTTTCAAAGGAAAACCTGTTCCTGTGGCTACCTGGACCAAAGGAGATGGAGAACTTGGTGTCAGGGCAGATGTTCACACAACTGACACCCACAGTACACTTACAATTGAAGACTGCAATAGGTATGATGCTGGAAAATACACCCTCACTTTAGAGAACAACAGTGGAAGCAAATCTATTACTTTCACAGTGAAGGTACAAGATACCCCAGGACCACCAGGTCCAGTTACCTTTAAGGATGTGACAAGAGGATCTTTGACTTTAATGTGGGATGCCCCAGCTAATGATGGAGGTGCTCGTATCAATCATTATATTGTTGAAAAACGGGAGGCTAGCCGTCGTAGTTGGCAAGAAGTCAGTGGGAAATGCACACGTCAAATCCTCAGAGTTTCTGACCTTGCAGAAGGTGTGGCATATTTCTTCCGGGTTACTGCAGAGAACCAATATGGCCCAGGTGAACCATATGAAATGCCAGATCCAATTGTTGCAACTGAAGAACCTGCTCCTCCTAAGAGACTGGATATTATTGATACAACAAAATCTTCTGCCACTTTGGCCTGGTTGAAACCTGAACATGATGGTGGAAGTCGCATCACAGGCTATGTTGTTGAAACTAAACAAAAGGGATCAGATCACTGGGTCATTGGTGGCCACACTAAAGCTCTGAATATAGTGATTGAAGGCTTGATAGAGAGCACAGAATATGAATTCCGTGTCAAAGCTAAAAATGATGCTGGCTTCAGTGAACCAAGAGAATCTTTCTCATCTGTAATTATTAAGGAGCCACAAATTGAACCTACTGCAGATCTTAGTGGAATTACAAACCAGCTTATTACTTGCAAAGCTGGTAGTACATTCACAATTGATATTCCGATTAGTGGACGTCCAGTTCCTAAGGTAACTTGGAAACTTGAAGAAATGAGACTAAAAGAAACAGACAAAGTCAACATCAAGACCACAAAAGACAGAACCACCTTGACTGTAAAAGACACCATGAGATTCGACTCTGGCAAATATTATCTCATCCTTGAAAATGTTGCAGGAGTGAGAACCTTCACTGTTACTGTTAATGTTATTGGCAGACCAGGTCAAGCCACTGGTCCTGTTGAAGTTTCATCAATCTCTTCAGAATCCTGTGTATTGACTTGGAAAGAACCAGAAGATGATGGTGGAACTGAAATAACTAACTATATTGTGGAGAAGCGTGAGTCTGGATCAACAACATGGCAGCTTGTAAACTCCAGTGTTAAGCGAACACAGATCAAAGTCACGCATCTCACCAAGTACATGGAATACACATTCCGTGTCTGTGCTGAAAACAGATTTGGAGTAAGCAAGCCTATTGAATCTCCTCCTATTGTCGCTGAACATCCATTCGGTGAGTATAATTTTAATTTGTTATATTATTTTAGGATAAATGAATTTATGAAAAAGTATTTGTATATAACTCTGATTTTTGTTTCCCTAAAGTTCCACCAAGTTCACCAACAAGACCTGAAGTATTCTTTGTCTCGGCAAATGCTATGTCCATTCGGTGGGAGGAACCATACCATGATGGTGGCAGCAAGGTTACAGGATATTGGATAGAAAAGAAGGAACGCAACACCATTCTTTGGGTGAAGGAGAACAAGATTCCATGCTTTGAATGTCACTATAAAGTATCGACTCTTGTAGAAGGCTTAGAGTACCAATTCAGGGTATACGCAATGAACGCTGCTGGGCTGAGCAAAGCTAGTGAAGCTTCAAGACCAATGATAGCTCAGAATCCAGTTGGTAAGTATTACATTAGTTGGAAACCAATTTTTCTTTGAAAACACAGCCTATCTTTGGCAATAAGTAAACATTCTCTCATTTTTCACATTTAGATCCACCAGGCAAACCAGAGGTTACAGATGTGACAAGGTCCACAGTATCACTGAAATGGTCTGTGCCATTCAGTGACGGTGGAAGCAAGATTGTGGGATACATTGTGGAACGCAAGCCATACAATGAAACTGGAGATGGACGCTGGCTAAAGTGTAACTACACAACAGTTACAGAAACAAACTTCACTGTAACAGCATTGGGTGAGGGAGAAGTGTATGAATTCCGTGTTATTGCAAAGAATGCAGCTGGAGTACACAGTGCACCTTCGGAATCAACAGGAGCTATCACATGCAAAGATGAATACAGTAAGATATTTTTATATATTATTTGTATGATATTTAATTGCAAACATTTGTTCTCACTTAGTTTATAATGTATTGTTTTAATGATGTCATTTTCAAACTTTTAGCACCTCCTAAAGCAGAGCTTGACAGCAAACTTATAGGAGAGATCATCACCATCAGAGCTGGATCAGATCTTGTTCTAGATGCTTCTGTTGGAGGCAAACCTGATCCCAAAGTCTTCTGGTCCAAAGGCGAGAAAGAGCTTGAGCTTTGTGAAAAGATCTCCTTGCAATACACCAACAAACGTGCAATGGCAATAATCAAATTCTGTGATAGAAATGACAGTGGAAGATACATACTAACAGTAAAGAATGCCAGTGGAGTAAAGACTGCTTCCGTCAATGTCAAAGTTCTAGGTAAGTATAGAAATAAATATGGTGAATTACTTGTCAGTTCTTATCCTTATGGTTTCTAAATGAAATGTGGCTTGATTCTTTTTCTGGAAAAATAACACCTAAACCTTTTTTTTTCTCATTTCATTAGATACACCTGGACCTTGTGATGATAAGATTACCATAAGTAGAGTGACGGAAGAAAAATGCACATTATCCTGGAAAATACCATCCGAGGATGGTGGAGCTCCAGTTACTCATTATATTGTTGAGAGACGTGAAACTAGCAGACTTAACTGGGTAATAGCAGAAGCAGAGTGCAAGACCCTGTCATGTGTTGTTACAAGACTGATAAAGAACAATGAATACATCTTCCGTGTCAGAGGTGTAAACAAGTATGGGCCTGGTGTGCCACTGGAATCTGAACCGATTATTGCCAGAAACACATTCAGTAAGTTCTATATTTGTTCCTGAAATAGTCCATGTTAGTTAATATGAATTTTTTATAATGAAGTATGAAATTAAATTGTCTTTTGTTTTCACAGCAATACCATCTTCACCTGGAGCACCAGAAATAACTGGTGTTGGAAAAGAACATGTCATTATTGAGTGGCTGAAGCCAGAAACAGATGGTGGCAGTGAAATTAGCAACTATCTTGTTGATAAGCGTGAAAAGAAGAGTGTAAGGTGGACCAGAGTCAACAAAGAATATACTGTCTATGACACAAGACTAAAAATTACTGGTCTATTGGAAGGTAGTGACTACCAGTTCCGTGTAACTGCTGTTAATGCAGCAGGTAACAGTGAACCAAGTGAAGCATCCTTATATGCATGCTGCAGAGAACCAACATGTAAGTCACACTTTCAGCATTACTCAAAATTTATCAGCTCAACTGAAACATGAAAGAAAACAAAATATTAATTACTTTCTGATTTGATTTGTTTCAGATACTCCAGCTGCACCCTCAATCCCACGTGTCGTAGATACTACAAAACATAGCATTAGCCTTGCATGGACAAGACCTATGTATGATGGTGGTGCTGATGTGATTGGATATATTCTTGAAATGAAAGAAGAAGGAACAGATCAGTGGTACAGGCCTCATACCACTTCAACCTTGAGGAATGCAGAATACACTGCGACCACTCTTGTGAGCAGTAAGAAGTACTGCTTCAGAGTGGCAGCAGTTAATGTGAATGGAACTGGTGAATTCAGTGAGGCATGTGCTGAAATTGAGCCAATTGAAAGAATTGGTAAGTGGTTGAGCTACATTAATTTGGTTAGATTATGTCACTTTTGGACTTTTATTATCCTTTTATTCCATGCTGAAAGCAAAAAAGAGACACGTTTCTCTCTCTGTGTCTCTTACCTTTTCCTTTTAGCATGAGATAAACCTTTACCTTTGCAGTCTATGCATGCTGATGCAGGTGCATACTTGAACTTTTACTGTATTTGTTACTCAGAACCACCAGATTTGGAGATTGCAGATGATCTGAAAAAGACTGTTACTTTGAGAGCTGGAAATTCTCTGCGCCTCATGATCTGTGTGTCTGGAAGGCCTACTCCAATTATCAACTGGAGTAAACCTGGTGTGGATCTCACAAGTCGAGGATTTATTGACACAACTGACAGTTACACAATTCTCACAATTGACAAAGTAAACCGCTATGATGCTGGTAAATATACAGTTGAGGCCGAGAACCAATCTGGCAAGAAAGCAGCCACAATTCTTGTCAAGATATATGGTAAGCTTTGATATAATCTTTATCACTTGAGTTTATATACTGTATTATATTTTTTTAAACCAATTCATTGTTTTTTGCTGATATGCACTTAAAACAATGGTTTTATTTTTTAGATACCCCTGGACCTCCTGCAGCTATCAGAGTTAAAGAAATTACTAAAGAATCAGCGGTTATTACATGGGATGTTCCAAGTGTTGATGGTGGAGCTCCTGTGAATAACTATATCATCGAGCGACGTGAAGCATCTATGAGAGCCTACAAGACAGTAACAGTTAAATGCAGCAAGACCTTTTATAGAATTACTGGCCTGGCAGAAGGAATGCTGTATTACTTCAGAGTTTTGCCAGAAAATATCTATGGTATAGGTGAACCACGCGAAACTAGTGATGCTGTTCTGGTATCTGATGTTCCTATGGTTCCACAAACTCTGAATGTTGTGGATGTAACCAAGACTACAGTGATCTTGGCTTGGGAGAAACCACTTCATGATGGTGGCAGCAGACTTACTGGCTATCTCATTGAAGCTTGCAAGCCTGGCACAGACAGATGGATGAAGGTTGCCAATGTTAAACCAACAGTCCTTGAACACACCATTGTTTCCCTGAATGAAAATGAGCAATACCTGTTTAGAGTCAGGGCAACAAACACAAAGGGTGCTAGTGAGCCAAGAGAGATCGTCACACCTGTTACTGTACAAGAACAAAGAGGTATTTAAAATACTATTGCTTTATGTTGTCTGCCTGTTATTTCAAATTTAATGTATCTAAAGAATTTATTTCTGATCCTATTTCTTGCTTTCTGTTTCTAGTAATGCCTAAAATTGATCTGGCTGGCATTCCTCAAAAGACTGTTAATGTACCAGCGGGACGACCCATTGAACTACACATCCCAATAATTGGACGACCTCCTCCTGTTTGCACATGGTACTTCGGTGGCTCTAAGATCAAAGAAATTGATCGGGTCAAGATTGAAACAACTGGAAAATACACCAAACTGACCGTGCGTGAAACCACAATTGATGACACTGGAGACTATATGCTTGAAGTGAAGAATGTCACAGGATGTACCATGGAAACCATCAAAGTGGTCATTCTTGGTAAGAATCTAGAAAAGAAGTACTTACTGCATCTTTACTAAGAGCTTCTAAATGCTTAATTTATTGCTTTTTGTCTAAAAATAGATAAACCAGGGGAGCCTACAGGACCTATAAGGATAGATGAAGTGGATGCAACATCTGTCTCTATTAGCTGGGATCCACCTGAGAAAGATGGAGGTGCAACAATCAGTGGTTATGTTGTTGAACAGCGCGATGCCCACCGTCCAGGATGGCTTCCTGTATCTGAATCTGTCACAAGACCTATGTTCAAGTTCACCAGACTGACTGAAGGAACGGAATATGTATTCCGTGTTGCTGCTACAAACCGCTTTGGAATTGGTTCTTTCTTGCAGTCTGAAATTGTAGAGTGCAAGAGTGCTAAGAGTAAGTTTTTTTTGTATGATTGTATGCGTTGTGCTTTTTCTTTGTTTTTTGTTTTATTTACTTTGCCGTTACAGCATGAGCATCTAAACTAATTAATCATTTTGAATGAATGTTCTCAATTCACTTACATGGTTAAGTGATTGTTATTATTAATAATAATTCTTACTTCGGTCCAAATATATTTTAAAATTTTTTGTAGAAAAGCAAATATAAAGTTGTGTTTTCTTTTAATAGCCATTCCAGGGCCTCCTGGCACACCAGACATATTTGATATTTCCCGTGATGGAATGACAATTACCTGGCACCCACCAGATGAAGATGGAGGCTCTCAGGTGACAGGATATATAATTGAACGTAAAGAGGTTCGATCTGATAGATGGGTCCGTGCTAATAAGAATCCCGTGACAATGACACGATACAGATCCACTGGTTTGATTGAAGGCCTGGAGTATGAGCACAGAGTTACAGCCATCAATTCAAGAGGCATTGGTAAACCCAGTCGTCCTTCTAAACCTGCAGTAGCTATGGATCCTATTGGTATGTATTTTTTCTTTTTCAAATAAACTACGGATTAAATGTATAATAAATAGCCATTTGTACAGCATGAGAATTGAACCATACTTTTTTTATTTTTTTAAATATTTCAAATAGACCCACCAGGAAAGCCACAGAACCCAAGGGTTACTGATACAACAAGGACATCAGTTTCTCTTGCCTGGAGTCCACCTGATGAAGAAGGAGGCTCAAAGGTTACTGGATATCTTATTGAAATGCAGAAGGTTGATCAATATGAATGGACAAAATGCAACACAACCCCGACAAAGATCTGTGAATATACTCTGACCCATATGCCACAGGGAGCTGAATACAGGTTCCACATCTTAGCATGTAATGCTGGAGGACCTGGTGAGCCTGCTGAGGTCCCAGGAACAGTAAAGGTTACAGAAATGCTGGGTAAGGCACATTATATAATTGTAAAACAAAGATTCTTTATTCATGTTATCCATATACAGTTCATATTCCTTAAAATGTATTATTGACTGGAATTCTGCTTAATTTCTTTCAGCATATCCTGATTATGAGCTGGATCCAAAATACCAGGAAGGCCTTGTTGTTAGACAGGGTGGAGTCATCAGGCTGTCTGTGCCTATCAAAGGCAAACCTATACCAATCTGCAAATGGACAAAGGAAGGTCGGGATATTTCTCACAGAGCCATGATTGCCACCTCTGAAACACACACTGAGCTTGTAATTAAGGAAGCTGACAGAGATGACTCTGGCACTTATGATCTTGTGCTGGAGAATAAGTGTGGGAAAAAGGCAGTGTATATCAAGGTTAAAGTCATTGGACGTCCAGATCCACCAGAAAGTCCACTTGAGTTTGATGACATCCAGGCTCGCTCTGTAAGAGTGAGTTGGAGAGCACCTGCTGATGATGGTGGCTCGGATATTCTTGGTTACATTGTTGAGAGAAGAGAAGTTCCCAAGGCCGCCTGGTATACTGTGGATGCTAGAGTTAAAGAGACATCTCTGGTCGTCAAGGGCCTGAAAGAAAATGTTGAGTACCACTTCAAGGTGACAGCAGAAAACCAGTTTGGCACTAGCAGGTCCTTAAAATCAGAAGAAGCTGTCATACCAAAAACACCTCTCTGTAAGTATTTTCTTTGTATGTCATATTTGATTTTACTGAACCATATTTAAAGTCCATGGCTGAATTAATTTTTCTTCCATCCACAGGCCCTCCAGAGCCATCCAGCAATCCACCAGAGATACTGGATGTTACAAAGAGCACTGTCAGTCTATCATGGTCCAGACCTAAGGATGATGGTGGCTCTCGTGTAACTGGTTATTACATTGATCGTAAAGAGACATCCACTGATAAATGGGTCCGTCATAATAAAACACACATCACTACTACCATGTATACTCTAACTGGACTTGTGCCTGATGCAGAATATCAGTTCCGTGTCATAGCCCAAAATGATATTGGTCTAAGTGAGCCAGGCCCTTCATCTGATCCGGTTATATGCAAAGATCCATTTGGTGAGTAAAATGTGATTGTTTAACACAATATCCATCCTGTAATTAGAAATTTGGCACTTGTTTCAGCAATAACTGTGATGTCTCTCTTTTTTCTTTAGATAAACCAAGCCAGCCAGGCGAGATTGATGTAATTTCTGTCACCAAGGATAGTATAACCATACATTGGGAACGTCCTGAATGTGATGGAGGCAAAGAGATTCTAGGATACTGGGTTGAATATCGCCAGTCTGGTGACAGTGCATGGAAGAAATGCAATAAAGAACGTGTGAAAGACAGGCAGTTTACCATGGGTGGTCTCCTTGAGGCCACAGAGTATGAATTCAGAATACTTGCTGAGAATGAAACTGGAATCAGCAGACCTCGCAGAACAGCTATGACAATTAAAACTAAATTGACTGGTATGTATAACATAAAATATTTATATTAAGGTGGCAAGCAATATGACGTCCTGAATGAACTCAAACATCTGGCTTATTTTTTTAACAGCTGGAGAAGCACCATCTCTCAGGAAGGAAATGGAGGATGTTACCACTAAACTTGGAGAACCAGCTACTCTGAAATGCCAGATTATTGGTAGACCTCTTCCTGAAATTAAGTGGTACAGATATGGCAAGGAGCTAATACCAAGTCGTAAATACAAAATGAGCTCTGATGGCCGCAACCATTCACTAACTGTGGTAACAGATGAACAAGAAGATGAAGGCTTATATACTTGCAGAGCAATCAATGATGCTGGAGAAATTGAGACCAGCGGAAAACTCTTCCTACAGGCTGCCCCTCAGTTCCATCCTGGATTCCCATTGAAAGAGAAATACTATGCAGGATGTGGAACAAGCCTTCGTCTACATGTTGTGTACATTGGACGTCCAGTACCTCAGATCTTATGGTTCTATGCAAAGAAGCCTTTGCAGCCATCTGAGAATGTGATTATTGAAAACACTGAGCACTACACTCATCTAGTGATTAGGAATGTGCAGCGGAAGACGAATGCTGGAAAATACAAAGTCCAAATCAGCAACACCCTTGGAACAGTTAGCACTGTTCTCAATGTTGAAATACAAGGTAAATCTTCTTAAAGACTTTGACTGTGTCAATCATATAACTATGGAAAATATCTGTTATAGAAAACAAATGGATTTTTTCTGTGTTTAAAAATGAGTATATAATTCATTTTTATTGTTTCTAAATAGATAAACCAGCTATACCTGAAGGACCAGTGGTTGTTGATGCCCTATTAAAGAACTCTGTGGTAATTAGCTGGAAACCTCCAGCAGATGATGGTGGAGCATTGATTACAAATTATATTGTTGAGAAACGTGAAGCAAAGGAAGGTGAACAATGGCACCTGGTATCTTCTTCAATTTCTGGAACTTCCTGTAGAATTGTAAACCTTACTGAAAGTGCTGGCTATTACTTCCGAGTTTCAGCTCAGAACCAATACGGCACAAGTGAACCACTGGAGATTTCTTCTGTTGTCGTCATTAAGAGTCCATTTGGTAAGTTTTTTGCACAGAAAAATTATATTTATGTATTGATATAATTACATGTTTACAGTTCATAAGAGTGACATTTATTCCCACTTAAATTTTGCAGAGAAACCTGGACCACCACTCCAACCTGTTGTAACTGGAGTAACAAAAGACTCATGTGTTGTGTCTTGGAAGCCCCCTGCAAGTGATGGAGGTGCAAAGATCAGAAATTATTACCTTGAGAAACGGGAAAAGAAACAGAACAAATGGATTACAGTGACATCTGAGGAAATCCATGAAACAGTCTATTCTGTCAAAGGTCTCATTGAAGGCTCTGAATATGAATTCCGAGTAAAATGTGAAAATCTGGGAGGTGAGAGTGAATGGAGTGAGATATCAGAGTCCATTATTCCAAAATCAGATGTACCTATAAAAGCACCTGCATTCAAGGAAGAGTTGAGAAACCTCAGTGTCAAATACAAGAGCAATGCTACTTTTGTATGCAAGGTCACTGGACACCCCAAGCCTGTGGTGAAATGGTTCAAGCGTGGAAAGGAAATTTTGCCTGATGGTGAAAAGATCAAAATACAAGAATTCAAAGGTGGTTACTACCAACTTGTTATCACTTCTGTTAATGAAGAAGACTCCACAGTATACCAGGTCAGAGCTACAAACCAGGGAGGATCCATTTCAACAACTGTCTCTCTGGATGTTGAAGGTAAGTACATAACAATCAAGTACATTTTTACCTCTCTGTATTTTCCTAACATTAATGATGATGTATTAATATACATGTGTGCAATTCTCCTTTTTCTAGTTCCTGCCAAGATTCACCTGCCCAAACATCTGGAAGGCATGGGAGCAGTCCATGCCCTTCGTGGTGAAGTGGTCAGCATTAAGATTCCTTTCAGTGGCAAGCCTGATCCAGTAATTACATGGCAGAAGGGGCAAGATCTAATTGATAACAATGGACACTACCAAGTCATCGTTACGAGATCCTTTACTTCACTTGTATTCCCCAATGGAGTTGACAGGAAGGATGCTGGTTTCTATATAGTTTGTGCCAAAAACAGGTTTGGCATTGATCAGCAGACAGTTGAACTTGATGTTGCAGATGTACCTGATCCACCAAGAGGTCTCAAAGCTAGCGATATATCAAGGGATTCTGTAAATCTCACTTGGTGTGCCCCAGCCAATGATGGAGGCAGCAAAGTCACTAACTACATTATTGAGAAGTGTGCCACCACAGCAGAAAGATGGATCCGAGTTGCCCAGGCTCGTGATACACATTATACTGTCATCAACCTGTTTGGCAAAACAAGTTATCAGTTCCGTGTAATTGCTGAAAACAAATTTGGTCAAAGCCAGCCATCTGAACCAACTGATCCTATAGTTACAAAAGAAGACAAGACAAGGATGTTGAATTATGATGAAGAAGTTGATGAAACCAGAGAAATTGGAAAGGGCAAAGCACCACATTCATCCACAAAAGAACTACATAACAAATATATGATTGCTGAAGAGCTAGGACGTGGTCAGTTTGGCATAGTTCATCGTTCTGTTGAAATCAGCTCAAAGAAGACCTACATGGCCAAGTTTGTCAAAGTGAAAGGTGCAGATCAAGCACTGGTGAAGAAGGAAATTGCCACCTTCAATATTGCTCGTCATAAGAACTTCCTATATCTCCATGAATCATTTGAAAGTCTTGAAGAACTAGTCATGATCTTTGAGTTCATCTCAGGAGTTGATATATTTGAGCGCCTCAGTGCAGCTAATTTTGAACTAACTGAAAGAGAAATTGTGAGATACATCAGACAGGTGTGTGAAGCTCTTGAGTTCTTGCACAGTCAAAGCTATGGTCACTTTGACATCAAACCCGAGAACATTGTTTATGTGACAAGAAGGAGCAGTTCTATCAAAATCATTGAGATGGGCCAGGCCAGACAATTGAAACCTGGAGACAATCTGAGAATTCAGTTCACTGCACCTGAATATTGTGCTCCTGAAGTCCATCTTCATGATATGGTCAGCACAACTACTGATATGTGGTCAGTGGGTGTTCTGGTTTATGTGCTTCTAACTGGACTCAATCCCTTCACAGCTGAAACTAACCAACAAATGATAGAAAACATTTCAAATGCTGAATACAGCTTTGACGATGAAGCCTTCAAGGATGTTAGCCTTGAAGCAATGGATTTCATTGATCGTCTGTTGACCAAAGATCGCAAACATCGTATGACTGCGGCTGAAGCATTGGAGCATCCTTGGTTAAAACAGAAAGCAGAAAAACTAAGTACCAAAGCCATCAAAACCTTGCGACACAGGAGATACTATCAGAGCTTAGTAAGAAAGGAATGGAATGTTGTGGTTTCCTCAGCCCGTGTTTCCTCTGGTGGAGCAATCAGAAGTCAGAGAGGTGTCACTGTGGGCAAAGTAAAGGTTGCACCTATTGAAATTGGTCCAGTAGCTGGTCAAATTATGCATGCTATTGGAGAAGAACGTGGGCATGCCAAATTTGTCTGCAAGATTGAAAATTATGATAGCTCCACAGAAGTAACCTGGTACTATGGAGTACGACAACTGGAGAGCAGTGACAAGTATGAAATTTGTTACCAAGATGGAGTAGCTACCATTTATGTTAAGGATATAAACAGGTCTGATGATGGCACCTACAGATGCAAAGTTGTTAATGAATATGGAGAAGATAGCTCCTATGTTGAACTGTTTGTACAAGGTGTCAGAGAATACAGGGAATTCTTTATAGCACGTACTGTAAAGAAAGTGAAGCGCAGGATAGATACATCTAGACTGCTTGAGAGACCACCTGAATTTACATTGCCTTTGTACAACCGTACTGCTTACATTGGTGAAGATGTACGCTTTGGGGTAACCATAACTGTCCACCCAGAACCACGTGTCACATGGTTAAAGTCTGGCCAGAAAATCAAACCTGGAGATGATGAGAAGAAATATACCTTCACAACTGACAAAGGTCTGTATCAGCTTGTGATTCACAATGTTGAAGCAGAAGATGATGCTGAGTACACTGTTGTGGCTCGCAATAGATTCGGTGAAGATAGCTGCAAGGCTCGACTTACTGTTACTCCTCATCCAGCTGCTGCAGATAACACAATGAGACCAATGTTTAAACGCTTGCTTGCAAATGCAGAATGTATGGAAGGCCAGAGTGTTCGTTTTGAAGTGAGAGTGTCAGGAACACCTGCACCTACATTGAAGTGGGAGAAGGATGGTATGCCTTTGGCATTTGGACCCCAAGTTGAATTTATTCATGAAGGTCTAGACTACTATGTTTTACATGTCAGAGATACTCTACCTGAAGATTCTGGTACTTATAGAGTCACCGCTACAAACTCAGCTGGATCTACAAGTTGCCAAGCTTATCTAAAGGTAGAGCGAATCACCTATGTCAAGCGAGAATACAAGAGTGAAGAGGAGAGACAAGTACGTGTTCAGAAACAAATTGATAAGACTTTGAGAATGGCTCAGATTCTTGCTGGTACTGATGTTGTTCCATTAACACCTGTTGCACAAGATGCTCTAAGAGAAGCTGCAATTATGTACAAACCTGCAGTAAGCACCAAGCATGTGAAGGGTGAGTTTGAAATCACTAAAGAAGAAAAGAAAAAGAGAGAAGAAGAAAAGAGATTGCGTATGCCATATGAAATTCCAGAACCCCGTGTTCGTGCTCCAACAGCCCTTGAAGAAGATAAAGAGATAAAGCACTTTGTACCTTTATCTGAAATGAGGTGGTATAGGAAACTACGTGACCAGTACGAAATACCTGAGCCGATGGAGAAAATTGTTCAGAAGCGACCAAAACGTATTCGTCTTTCTAGATGGGAGCAATTCTATGTCATGCCACTTCCACGAATTACTGACCAGTACAAGCCCAAGTGGCGCATACCAAAAGTTTCCCAAGATGATCTGGAAACTGTAAGACCAGCTAGACAGCGCACACCATCACCTGAATATGAAACTTATTATAGACCAAGAAGGAGGTCTCTTGGTGATCTATCAGATGAAGAGCTTCTGCTCCCTGTTGACGACTATTTAGCTATGAAGAGAACTGAAGAGGAAAGGCTACGCCTTGAAGAAGAGCTTGAGCTAGGCTTTTCTGCTTCTCCACCTAGTCGTAGTCCTCTACGTTTTGAGCTGTCAGCACTTCGCCATCCTTCACCACGGGCACATGTAGCATATGAAGAGGAGGAGGAAGAAGAAGATGTTTCAAAGTACAAATCATATCATATTCCCTCTAAGTATGAAGCTGGCCCAAGTTATATTGACCTCCGTCAACGATATGAAAAGGCTGTCTACAAACCCCCAAGACAGAAACAGCGAGTATATGAAGAGAAAGAAGATGAGGACCTGCTTCGTCCTGTTGCTACAACACAGAGACTTGCATCATACAAAAGTGAACTTAAGCGCATGGAATTTGAAGAAAAAACACGTGTCTCAAGAAGAGAAAGAGAAACTGTAGCAGTTTCAGCAGAAACCGAGGAGGGAGTTGCAGTGACTGAACATATTCGTACTAAATCACCTTCTGTTTCACGCTTGCTAAGAAGGAGAAGGTCATTATCTCCTACATACATTGAATTAATGCGTCCAGTGTCTGAACTGATAAGGCCCCGACCGCGTCCAGCAGTAGAAGCTGACCTGGAAGTGCCAGAGAGGAGATCACCCACTCCTGAAAGAACACGTCCGCGTTCACCCAGTCCTGTAACAAGTGAAAGATCAACATCTAGATTTGAGAGGTCTGCAAGGTTTGACATATTCTCTAGGTATGAGTCAAGAAAATCAGCTTTGAAGACTGAGAGAAAATATGAAGTTGTTAGTCAGCAGCCTTTCAGTCTTGACCATGCCCCACGCATTACTCTAAGAATGCGTTCTCATCGTGTACCGTGTGGCCAAAACACCAGATTTACACTTAACGTTCAGGCCAAACCAGAATCAGAAATAAAATGGTACCATAATGGACAATCTATTGAAGAAAGCAACAAATTCCGCTTTACCAACATGAGTGGTGTCTTGACGCTCGAGGTCTTAAACTGCCAGAAAGAAGACAGTGGAACCTATCGTGTTGTCTCCTCAAATTATAAGGGAGAAGCTTCAGACTATGCAACCTTGGATGTTTCAGGGGGAGAATACACCACATTTTCTTCCCGTCGCAAAGATGAGGAGCCACCTACAGCTATTGTTCCTGAAATGACTAAGACTGATGTTTACCATGTGTCTTCAGTCAAGAAAACATCTGCAGCAGAGTCAACTATGGAAATTAAAGAAACAAAATCAAAACTGACTGAAACAAAGGAAGCTGTGGTTTATGAAGAGTATGTATCAGAAGAAAAGACAGCTAAAGCTTTAGAAGTAAAAAAGGCAGAAGAAAAAATAACTCATGAGAAGGCAAAAACCACTCTTCCAGCTCGAATCCTTACTAAGCCACAGTCAATCACAGTCTCAGAAGGAGAGTCTGCAAGATTTGCATGTGATATTGATGGCGAACCAGCACCAAGTGTGACATGGATGCATGCAGGAAAAACAATTGTCACCTCCCATCGCCACCATGTGACAACAACACAGTACAAATCCACCTTTGAGATTTCAGCAGTTGAATCATCTGATGAAGGGAGCTACACCTTGGTGGTAGAAAACTCTGAAGGTAAACAAGAAGCACAATTTACTCTAACCATTCGACGAACATCAGCTAAGGAGAAAGCTATTACTTCACCACCTAGAGTAAAATCTCCAGAACCCCGTGTAAAGTCTCCAGAGGCACGTATTAAATCTCCAGAGCCTCGTGTTAAGTCTCCTGAAGCACTCAAATCTCCCAAAAGAGTGAAATCCCCGGAACCAGTAACATCCCCACAGAGGGTTAAGTCCCCTCAAACAGTTAGGACACCATCTGCAGAAAGAGTAGAGCTACCAGCTACCACTCCTCCTAAGATTCTCCAACAGCTTAAGGTTGAAGCCTCTGAAGATATAGTGAAGATGTCATGTGTCACTGAAAGTACTGTGTTAAATGTCAAAGAAGTAGTGTGGTACAAGGATGACAAGAAGCTAAATGAGAGCAATCACCTCAAGTTTCATTATTCAGCTGACGGCACTTACAATCTCAGTATTCACGGTATCACTGAGGCAGATCAGGGCCAATATGCCTGTGAAATTGTTGGAGAAGGAGGTGTGTCTAGAACATCATTCTCTTTTGTTGGCCATGCTTTTAAGAGCATTTACTCAAAAGTGACAACATTTGTGGAAAAGAGATCAGCGGCTCAGAAAACAGAAGTGAAGTCATCGGCATCAAAGCCTTCATTCACAACAGGTCTCAAAGATATCACAGTGTCCTCTGATACCATTGTGAAACTGACAGTAAAAGTTACTGGAGAACCTAAACCAAGTCTTTACTGGTCCAAAGATGGAAGGGTAAGTTGTAATCATTCTTATTTGATATGTCAAGCTCTTCATTGAAATCAATGAATTCAGAAATAAAACAAAACATCCAATTCTCTGTTTTTCCAGGTCCTTTCACATGGTGGAAGGTATAAAATCTTTGAAGAATATGGATCTGCTTATCTGGAAATCTATGAAACAGAGGTTTCTGACAGCGGGGTGTACAAATGCACAGCTACCAATTCTGCAGGATCTACATACACAAGTTGTAAAGTGACCATTCAAGGTTTGTGTTTTTTTAATTATTGTATTATTATGTTGTTGTAAGTAAATGCACTACAAAATACATTTTAAGATTATTTAAGAAACTCAACTATTTACCCATTATTACTTTTTAAAGAATGGCTTTCATTTGGATTTTTCTTTGTTTTTTCAGCTTCTGCAAAATCTGAAGCACTTAAAGTGGCAAGTAAAAAAGAGGCAATGTCTACCTCATATGGAAAAAGTGAAGTTACAGAAGAAATTGTTAAAAAGGAAATGGTATACGAAGAAGTAAAATCATCTTACACAGAAATAAAAGCATCTCATTCTCAGATGACCATATCAGAAGGCCAGTCTCTGACACTGAAAGCAAACATCCCTGGAGCAACCAATGTGAAATGGATCCTAAATGGAACAGAGATTCCTAACTCAGAAGATTACAGATATGGTGTGTCAGGAAATGACCACTCATTGACCATCAAGAAAGTCAGTTACAAAGAAGAGGGAATTCTTACATGTGAAGCTAAAACAGAACATGGCCTCATGAAATGCCAGTTTGATATCACTGTCAAACAGAAGCGTTCTAATGCACCTTCTTTTATTGTGCAACCTAAGTCCCAGAATGTCAATGAAGGCCAAAATGTGATATTTACATGTGAAGTGACAGGAGAACCCTCTCCTGAGGTTGAATGGCTTAAAGATAACCTCATGGTAAGTAGTTAGAAATTATAAGTTAAACTGCTGTTTTGAATACAAACTAAATCTTACTAACTGAAATTGCTATGATTATTTTAGGTATCACTGATGCCCAATATGAAGCTGAGCCGATCTCGAAATGTTTTTACATTGGAAATCCGTAATACATCTGTTGCAGACAGTGGAAAATATACAGTAAAAGCTAAAAATATGTATGGACAATGCTCTGCTACAGCATCCTTAAATGTACTGGGTAAGCTGTCAATGCTTTTATAATTATAGTTTTAATGTTTTGCATTTTAAATTTTCTGTGTTTATTATGACTTCCAAGTTTCAAAAATGTGTCTCTTTTATTTTTTAAAGAAACTTGTGTATATAGAATCGTGGTGGTGGTACTTGCAGACAAACATTAGAAGCCAAAGTATTAACATTTAATTTTATTTGTAACTTGTAAGTATTTTTAGAATTATTTTTCTGAACTTAAAGGTTATAAAATATAAGCACACTTACATTAAAGCAATTTACAGTAACTATGTAAGATACTGTACACATAGAATGGAAGTGTGGAATCAAAAGTACTGAAATTAAAGTAAAATTTTATGTGGTATGCTTGTGTTTTACATGAAGCACCAAGCATATCATATAATACCCTAAATCAAATTAAATTGCAGTGTGTAAATACTTTTTACCTGCCTGATTTCTGAGGTTTCCTTGAAGTTGCATTTCCTCTGCAATCCTCTTTTCACAGCTAACATTTGTAAAACTGGAGCTATATGTTGTTACTTAATTACCAATGAACTGATTAGGAATAGTATTTACTGTACGTGCAAAAGTATTAAAGTTAAATGTCTTAGTATGATTACTGATTTACCTCTAAATGTTAATACAACTGGCCATAAATGTTTGATATTTTGCTCATAATGTAGATAAATGTATTGCATGATTCAAAGTTAAGGTAGAATAACACTTTGCAATAAGTTGTTTTTCAGGATGAATTCAGATGAAGAAAGAAAATAATGTAAAGTACATGAATAAATCAAAACTAAATGAGCACAAGGAGTCAATCAGAAATAATGTATAAATCTAACATTAATTACGTTAGAAACACACACATTTTGTAAAGTGTTACTGGATCTTGAATATAGACACAAAATCTGGCCAAAATACAATGTATTATATATTATTTACAATTATATGCTTTTTTACAATACAGTACACTGATAACATTTATTTTTTAAAGATCTGCAGTACAGTAGAAAGAAACAGATTTATAGACTTTAACGTTTACAGTGAACTGTGTTAACCAGTTCTTATTTGGTATTGTTTATTCAATTGTATTTCTTTGTAGAATGATGTTAGAGAAAATTAGAAAAAAAACCTCACTTACTTTGCAATTAACATGTGCCTCCATCCAGCCTAAGACAAGGGTGACTCAAATTCTTAAGTAAACAGACTAAGATGGCTTTCCCATCTAAAGTGATGTGATTGTCATGTTCCTTTGTTTGCTATATTCTCACAGCCCTGGTTGAAGAACCTGTCAAAAAGGTAGTTTTGGAGAAAAGCGCTGCTGCAAGCATGAAAGAAAGTTTCTCTTCCAAGTCAGTCCACAAGGCAGCCTCTATGCAGGAAGCCTCCTTCAGCAGTTCCAGCATGACTGAAGTTAAATTTGCAAGCATGTCTGCCAGTAGCATGTCTTCCATGAAAGAATCAGTTGTTGCAATGAGTTCCAGCAGTGTCATGGGAATGTCAAGTCTGTCACACATAGAAGGTTCTACTAGCAGAATGATTAAACATGGTTTTAAAGGTGAGAGCTCAAATACGCTGTAGTATTAGAGTTGCATGTGCAAAGTAGTTCTTAAGAATTTGTAATCACCACACTTGTACTCTTCTATTTACAGCTGTTTATTAATACATTTTTATAAACAGGGGCACCACCCAAAATTGAAGCTCTCCCAGAAGACATCAGCATTGAGAAAGGAAAGGTTCTCACAGTAGCCTGTGCTTTCTCTGGAGAGCCAGCACCACAGATTGAATGGTCCCGTGCTGGCAAGACCCTATCTAGTGAGGAAGAGAGTGGCAGGTTCCATATTGAAACAACTGAAGACCTCACCACTCTTGTCATTACTAGTGTGAAGGAAAATGATGCTGGGCAGTACACCCTGAAGCTATCCAATGAGCTTGGATCTGACTCTGCAACTGTGAACATCAGCATTCGTTCTATTTAAAATACAAAAACAAACCTGAACTGATGTCCATTTCCCTTTTCCCTCCTTGTTATTTATTAAATGAATAGTTGCATATTCTGTAACTGAAGATGACTTAACACTTCTTTTCTTGTAAATATAATCTATTTTTGTACCAAACTTGACACTAATTTATGCCAAACTAGACAAAGTCTAAAGGCAATGCATAATGTGCCACATTGGGTAACTATTTGACTTAAGATTTTTAACCGTTTTTTCTGTGACATGTACATAATGTATATAGCCGAGATTACCGGTTATGGAAAATTTATAAAACTTGTTATTTGTGACATTATAAACTGAAACAAATGAAACTAACTGGTTGACAGGAGAAAGTTTCCTAGGAAACGAATACCCTGGAAAGCCTGAACTGAAACTTTGTGCCTCAACGAAATGTTGATGTCTAAGAATGCCTCAACAGGTAGAGAGGCTCCCTGTTGAAGACTGACTGAACCCGAAAAATGTGCACTGCATTTTTGTATGTGCAATCATTTTACAAATGAGTAACATGACTATAAGACCTTAAGTGCTGTTTACATTTACCCTCCTGTAGATAGCACCAAAGGGCCTTGTATTCATACTGACTATGTCATACTACCATTTTAATGACACTTTTACGTTAATTAATGTGCAAAGTGCAAGCGGCCTGCACTTTGTACACTAAGTTAATACTATGTGCACTGTTTCTGGCATGGAACTGCTTGGATTGACTTTGTAAAAGTAACATCACCTGGCCATACCCTCAACCAAGTAATTCAAGTACTCCCTTGCAGAAGCAGTGCCAACTCTCGGAGGTTCACAAGGGTGCAGTGTTTTTGTGTTTGTGTGATAGTATTAGAATTTCACATTGTCTGTACTCAGGGCAACCAAGAAGTGTACCACAGCTAAAAAACCTGCTGTGTTGAAAGAAAGCAATTGCATTAAGGATATGCCCTGCACTTTGATTTCATTTAATTTAATTATGTAGCATTAACGTAATTTGTAACCTCCTTGAGATTTATAGCATTATTGATTTGAAATAAAGCATGATTTCTGCACCTCAAAAATGTCTTTTTTTTCTTTCTGAGCCACTTCTCTTTTATACTTTACAGATTTTGAGATGTATAACCACATAACATATGCAATTACCTGTATATTACTAAGATAAAAATTCATAGTTCATTAATAGCAAAACAAACTTTAATTAGACCAAATTATACAGAATAATAGTCATAAAGAATAACAATAACAGTATTTTTAATAAATATTATAGAAACAAAAAGTTAAATGGTTATGTTCTTTTTATAGCAAATACCACAGAACCTTATTTACTATTAATTAATTTAAAATATATTTTTTAAATCATTACAATAAAAAAATGAAATTACATTTCAATTATTTTAATACTTTATTTGCACTTACAAATTATTGATAGCACAATGTAAGTATAGTTATATCTCATGCTGTTCTCTTTTTAGTTTGCATGTGAAAGCCTTTAAATGGTTCCTAACTACAGATTTATTGGTCACTACTTTATCTTAGTGGTAACTGTTGACTGCCAAGACCTGGATTCAAGCCCCTTTCTCTTAGCAGTATCCAAGTGCTTGATTTGAACAGTCCAAGAGGTCAACCATGTGTTGAAAGTTTGAACATTCTTAAGTGTCTTGAAGAGTTATATTACAGTAAAACCTATGAACACTTATGATTGGAAGAATAAGAGATCAAATCCCAAGAGTCACTGTATCCTTATGGAAGGTACTTCACTAAGATGGCCTCAGTATAATACCTTTCTCTATAAGCGGTACATGTGTAAGTTGCTTTAACATTTTCCCATGAGGCTGTTAAACCTTAATTGGATTTAACATCCCCAGTTGTACTGTGCATCTTTTCTAATAAGCTTGATAAGGATAAACTTGACTGCAATCACACTTAAACAATTTCCCCATTGGTATTTTACCAGAGAACTTATTTCTTCAGCATGTTAATGAAGAAGAATCAGCAATATCTTTCTCTTCTTCAGCTTCTATCATAGGTTTTCCAGACTTTTAAATGATACTGAATATCTGCTTCTTCACAGCTGCTATTTGGTTATTTAGTAATTTAGTTTTTGCTAATCAATCCATATCCAACTCAATGCGTGAATTTTCAGTTATCGCTGCACCTTTCATCACCATAAACAACACATTTTTAATTTCTTGCAAATGCAGGTGATTTCCAATACTCTCTAAATAAGTTTAATTAAGTTTGTTTTCATAGCAGTGAAAGTATTTTGTAATAACAAATTAATGGCATTACTCTGACCACAATATTTCAAATGCAGACAGCATTTTTACCAGCAAAATCAAAACATTACATCACTGATTATTGGCATGTCGGCATGTTTATCTGGCATGGCAATTCAGAGAAGCTCCAAAGTTTATTAATAATTTATCAATTTTCCAATTAAATACATTCACTTAAACAAAAACAATTGCCAGAATACATTAAATCTGTTGTCCCCACCTTGTGAAACAGCGAACATTCCATTGTTCAATTGCATTTGAAAGTCCTTCATATACACTACATATTCTTTGTCCCGAAATGTTTGACAAAATGAAGGATCCTCATACTGTGTGTTCAAAAGCAATTGCCTAAGGAATAGCTGATCTAATAAAAATAGTTGTCTTTTAGAGAACTCTGACCATTCAGAGACAGGAGGATCTTTGCTGTCCCTTGTGCCATAATTTCTTTAGCTTTTTTATTTCTACCCATCAATGAAATGAAGATAGCACAGCTTTTTTTCAACTGCCATAAGAGTGAAAAAAGTGCAAAACACACCTTTCTATTGTCTAAATACCATACATACTCCTTCTAGTATGGTCAGTAATTACATGCAAAAGTAGAAATAAAGGATTTTCCCTATTATTATTTTCATTTTTTGGAAGGTGAAGAAAGCTATTTCAGGTCCTTTTTTATATATTTTTTACAATACAGTTCATGTAGATTTTGGTTTCACTATTCATATTTATCCATGGTAGTAGACATATTAGAGAATACCTGGAAAAAAGAATACCTGGAGATATGATATTTCTTATTATTGACTAAATACAAACAATAGCACTTAACCAACATTTTTCTTAAAAACATTAATGAAATTGAGTAGTCAGTTCATTTTTGGCACTACCACAGCCTTTTCTAAAAACTGCAAATGCTTGAGATGCACTTCTACCATTATACAGATAAGTGGATACAGGTCTGCAAGCTTGCAGTTTTAGCTTCAGCATGTGCCTTTCCATCCCAGGTTTTCAGATATACTAAGATCCATCTGAAGATCCAAGTGAGAGAGGTATGTTATAATGTTTTCTTTTCAATATAAAGGATTTTTTCTATCATTTTGTTTTGTAATTAAAAAAAAAAACAATTCCAAATGTTATTTTAAATCATAATTCTTCTAATGTACCTTCATTATTTGGTTGTAAACTGCTATCTTAGATAAAAAAAAAACGAACTGGAGGATAAAATTAGCTTTATCATTTAGTTTATGGGATGACCTTATCAAAATAATCTTGGACAATATACTTTGATGTGATGTAATGCTTATACTTTTTTCACTTTTAGAAGCCATTGGAAATTTTCATGTGGTCTGGACCTGTATTAATCCTGTCTTAAGTAAGATGACATCAAAATTTGCTGTCATCATTACCCAGTTTTTCTTTGGGTACATATTAATACATGTGAATCATCTTTCAGCTTCCTTGTTGATCGCATCAGGTATGTTATATAAGAAATTAATTCTTATATAAGGTATTCTTTATATTCTTATATTAATATAATGTAATTGTTTATGAATACAACAATATACATATTTTGTTAAGAAAATATTTTTTATAATAATATAACTGAGTTTTAAATTTGTTTTTAATATGATGAAATGTTTTCAACTATGCTTTCAAAATTGTGAAAATTAATAATTTTACCCAAGGAAACTATGCACATTCAAATAAAAGCAGTTATTTATTCTACTGTGTCTACTAATATTAGAACATTTATGTGAAAGATTGAACTATTTTGATACACACACAAATATACTTTTTCTAAAAAACAGTTTAAAAAACTGAGCACAATCTGGAACAGGGTTAATTAGTATATAAAAGGCACTGGTATGGTTTATTGAACCTCAGATGTGTCTCAACCGTCATCTACTTTCTGTCACTGTTGATCTTCCTGGTATATAGTTAATAATATAGCTGGTGTTGTTTAAGCCCCCTTTATAAATTAAAATTGTAAATATCCCCTTACATGTCAAAGATAAGGCTGCCAGAATTCGCAGATCATTTTAATCACCATCAAAACAGCTTTCACTGAAAATGCTAAAGCTACTAGTAAGACAGGAAAAAAATATGCTGCTAATCTAAAACAATAGAACAACTTTTATATTAATTATATAAATATAGGCAATTATATTTGTAAAAATAATTTGTATAAAGATAACATTTACTCTATAGTTATGATTGTTAGCTCTGACTAAATTTTCACATACAGTTTTTAAGATAAGTTCATACATATATCATATCATGACAAAGGTGTTTATAGTTTCAAAATAAAAAAAAACTACACATAATGGTCTTTAATATGCTAAACAGTAAAGGTATTCAATATTATTTAATTCTGATAATATTATTGTCTACTTTAACTGCTTAGTACAAGGATGCATACCTATCTATACATTATTTTCTAACGGCTTTATCCAATACAGGGTTGTAGAGGAGTTAGAGCCTATCTGCATATATTAGCACCTTTCAAAAAATCAAGGCACATTCACATTTACAAAGCAGTTAATTGGTATCATTATGTTTTCTCTGCTGTCTCTGTTATATGTCTTGAAAGAAACTATTTACAAACCTAGCTAACCTAATATACTGCATGTTGGCCTTCTCTAAAGATTTAGCTGATGTTAGCGTTCGTATTTTGTAATTAGTTAAATAGAAAACTAGACACGAAAAATATGTCCGTTTGAAAGATGGCCAGTATCATCCATTTAAGCATCAATAGAATGTCAATTAAAAGTCCAAAGTACAATCAATATAAAATGATTGCCTATTTACAGTTTACCTAGAAATAGTCTAAATAATAAAGTACTGCAATAAAGTAAAATAAAATAATTTACTTAGTTTCTAATTTAGACTATTATATATATTGTTTCAGTTTTACCCAAATTTGACTTTAGATGTAAAAGGTATCAAAAACACTAAAAAGTTTCAGTTGGAATGTTATTTTCTTTTTTTTAATGAATCTCTTAAAATATTTTATACCTGAGGTAATACATCAAATGTTTTCATTAATGCATTACCTATAGATGAATTAATATGTGTCAAAAAGTTTTTAGGCAACTTAATAGCTTTGAATACACTTATATCTCCGAAACAGTGAATACAAATGGTTTGGAATGCTGCAAAATCTGCATTCAGCCTCCTCCTCCACCACCTTTCCCGCCACCGTCTTTAAAATGGATATTCATGGTACTGTATTACTTCTTTTTGTTTAATTTTATAATACTTATCGATATTGTAAAGGATATTGGATGTTTCACATCAACACTGCTGAATATTAATGCATATACGGTATAACAGATTTTTCTATACAATAACACATGGTTTTGTCTTTCAAAGTATATACTGTAGGTAGCAAAGGAACAAGTAATAGGTTTATTCCATGCTGAAAAAAAAGAAGAAAGAGAACACAACGTTTCGGCCGTGGAGCCTTCTTCAGGTGTCAACTGTAGGTAGTTTAGCTGTTATGGAAGCACTCTGAAATCCTGTAGAAATACAACTGTGTTGGCAGTCACTCATCAGGTCAGACCATATTTTTTTATATGTAATTGGTTATTGCACAGGTAACTGATTCAGGACTTTGTCCCCAATTTACACACAAATTACCTTCTTGCAGTAAATTTGGAACATATTGTGATTAGTTCAGCAGTGGGGTCTTTGTTGTGTGTGTAGATTACATTTATTTTACAAACAGGAGACAAATCTGTGGTGCTTGCTTGCGAAAAAAGGAAAGACAACAGGTGTAAATATGATTAGTTATACATTTGTGAATGTAAGCTTTAAGATGTTTGCTCATTTCCTCATCTGAACAGTTTGAACATCTGTAGAAAGCTGTTTCCATTGCAACTCTTCCCAACCATTTTAGCCAGTTATTATGACATTTGAAGTACAAATTAAAATCAGCAAACTTAAACTGGCACAAAAACCTGATGGCCAATCTTAGACCATATTTTAGGTAAAACAGTTCTAAAACATTTTAGGAACCACTAAGAACTTGAATTGATCTTTGAGTTGATAATTAGTGAGGGAAACAGAGGTGAGATGGCCAATAAACAACTATACTTTTAAGACCTTAAAATACTGTATGTTTTTAAATGATGTAGGTAGAGCTTAAAACAAACGTTTAGAATTTCAGAGAGGAAGACCATGACAGAATGAGACATAATTTAATATAATAAAGTGATGTAAAAAAGAAAGTACACTCTCTTAAGATTCTATGGCTTTAAATATGAGGACATATATGACCTTCACCTACTGTAGTCCTCCCCAATTCCTAACAGTAGATAAACTTCATCTCATGTGACAGATAACACACAAATTTTACTTTTGGCGTTATTTACTAAACAAAAAAACAGTCAAAATTCAGTAGGCTAGTGTGAAAAAATATACCCTTACTGCCTGCTTATTAGTTAAGAAGGTAATTAGAAACAGATCCTGCTAATCAAGTGCAAATTATCAGTTGGTCATCAGGAAGTGCTTTCCACTTGAATATAAAATCAGAAACTTTGGGAGATTTGTGCTCAAAGTTCTTAAAAACATAAATTTGGAAAGATTTAACACAAAGATGGCACTTATAAAATACTTTAAAAAGTACGGACTCCAGTTACATTGCAGAAAACTGCAAGCACAGGTAAAAAAGATATTAGAATGGTCAAGAGAGAGAAAACAATATCTGAGGCTAAATAAATTAAAATGTTTTTTTAATAAAGTTTTTTATCAGTATCATGACAGCACAGAACAATAAAGGATAAAGTAAAACAAGTCTATGATAATTATGGGAAATATCTAGTCAATGAAAGGGGAATGGCTTATGTATTAAATGGCTAACTCAGGAATTAATCAAAAAGGTGTCAAACTGATGAAAAGTGAATACCTGTCTTGAATAATAACAAAATATGTCAGAAAGCTAGGTATTGAAAGTACTTAAACATATCACCTTGTATGATGGTAGCCTAACAATTTTAAAGAAAAAAGGTGTCATGAGCAAAAATTCTTCCAAGAATTACTCCTAAGAGAAGTAATACCCAGAAAATGTAGCAATGTAGCAATGCATTCAATAAACAGCTGTGAAAATTGAATTAAATAAAGATAGAAAAATAAGTTTTACTTCTATGACAGGTAAGATTGTGAAAACAATAATCAAATCTAAAATAGAGAATTAAGATAATTATCATGAGTTTACAAATAGTATAGCAAGTATTGCCTAATTGATTTGTTAGTTCTTTGAATCAAAATCACTAGTAACTACTAGTAACAGGCAGCAGGGATTCAAGCAAACTAAACAGAGATGACAAAGGTCACGAAGGGGTGAATGTCTAATTCTGCAGACGAAATCAAAGGAATACCACAGGAATCTGTCTTAACATCCTTTGTTCCTGATTTGTGTCAATGACTGAGATCCTGGTATATTTTGTAAACTAACCAAGTTTACAAGCGATACCAAACAATGAAGAGACACTGCAGAATGAGCAAAGGAAATTCAAATCATTTAGATAGAACTCAAAACAAACATCTTTAACTGTGAAGCCTAACAGGTGACCTGATTGAATTGTTCAACATGCTCAAAAGTAATGTCAAGCCTATAAACTTCTTAAACTTGGAAAGGAGAACACCAATAGGAAGTAAGATAAAGTGCTTAGTAAACCTAGAAGAGGAGAAATCAAGGTACTTCTTTGCCCAAAGGGTTGTGGGAGTTTGGAGCTTGCAACTCTGCCGTATTGTTGAAGCCATATCATTACGTCTTTCATGAAATGTCTCAGGTCAATTTGCCATTTCTGGAGCTGTCAAACAAGTAAAATGGGTCAAAGGAACTCCTCTTCTTTGCAGATTCTTCTTATATTCTTATTTGTTATTTTGTTATTACTTTTCCACAGATACGAAACCAAGCGAGACAGGAGGAGGTTTTGTTACATTTGCCCTCTGCACCAATGACTGAACATTTCAATGGATGTGAAGATCTCTATTTATCAGCTGTTCCTACAGTATTTTGTTTTAAATATAATATTGCGTGTTAAGCACACCTTCATAAACTGGGCATGGCTAATTTGAGATATTGGAAAAAAATGTAGAAGAGTATTTACAAAATACCTTAACTTTAATCTTCCATGTTACATAACAAATTATTATATTAAAAAGAATACCTTTCAGGGATATGGTGTTTTCTAAGAGCAAACTTAGCTATGAGTTACGGGAATGTGAATATTAATTACCTCCTGAAATTTCACAGCATTAAAAGGCAGAATCAGAACCATATAAACAAACATCATAATCTGCTTTATGTTTTTTTGTAGTATACATACAGTATACACATGCTATTCTGATCAAGGTTAAATACAGTTTACTTGCTTATGAGCCTGGAGGTTGAAACAATGTATTTTGCTGCTAACCTTGGCTTCAGTGCTCTAAACACTACAGTTCCTTTTGAAGTAAATCTAAAACTATTTACCTTTTATATAAGCACATTGTGTGATGCTTGGCTAATTTTTAGCCTTAGATGTGGAGACTCAAAATCCTCACACATAAACTTAATGACTGCTCACTGCTCACTTATATTATTTTTCTAATGAATCAACATTGTAATCCTAATATCTTCCTTGTTTTACAATCATCACTAATTTTGTAATGATATAATAATGTTTAGACCTTCAAATAACACTTTTGTCTTGCAGGCTGACACTAGATTGCTGAGCATTAGAGGTCCAAAGGGTGAAAAGGTACCAATGTCAATTTTATGAATGTAGTTGTACTTATTTTCATTTTGAACATGAAATAATAAGTGTTTTCCTTTTTGTCTGTTTTACAGGGACAGAGAGGACAAAGAGGCAGTAAGGTATGGTAACTTTTTTTAACTCCTGTATAGTTGAGGAATATGTCTTGTGTTTCTTCATATCTTTATTTCAGTGACAGTGAATTCATGTTCTCTCTAGGGCCTCCCTGGTCAAGTAGGATTAATAGGACCTCCAGGGTTGCCAGGCTCTATTGGACCTCCAGGACAAAAGGTCATTTGAATTTACTGTATATCTTCACAACCCTGAAAATAATGTCACCCAGTTGATTACTTTTAGTCAACAGAGTGGTAGTATAGTCTGTAAACGAAATCTCTTTGAATGAATCAGTATGGATAAAGAGATTAACACAATACATAAAATTGCTTTGTGCATAGTTTATAAAGAGTTTCTGTTTTGCTTCTCTTCTATATAAAGGGGGAGAAAGGGAATAGAGGCTGGGTTGGTATTTCAGGAGAAAAAGGAATGCGAGGAAAAATAAAGGTAAGCAAGACAAGTTATTTTTGCATTTGAAAGTCTAGAAAGATTACAGTACATAACTTTGCTTAACTGATTATTAAAATTTATTTTCAGGGGCAACAGGGACAGAAAGGTGCTAAAGTAAGCATTCACTTTACTTTTTGTAATTGCATTTATAAAGCCAGTTTTCATTCTGAATCTCCCTATTCCAAATTTTAATACAAATATTTGATGTGTTCACCAGGGACAAAAAGGAATAAAGGGTAAAAAGGGAACTCCCGGTGAAAAGGTAATACTTTCACAGTATTTACAGTATTTTAATCACTTTTAACACGTTATGCTTCTCTTAAAAATATTTATTTTACTTTGTAGGGTTCTCCTGGATATTCTGGACCTATTGGCTATAAGGTTAATCAAATCTCCACAATCATACATGCATTTTGTTTTCTACTACATGTATTTTCTTTTTTTTGCTACTATACTTGCCTATATCAACTTGGACACATGCTTTTTCTTATGAACTCTTTCCTATTTCAAGAAGATTAAAACTATTTTTCTTTTGTGAAGTTTGGAATCACTGTATATTGTGATTGTTTAGATTTTTACAGGTAGGGTGGAAATTCAACAGTATGTTTTTATATTCTGACAGCAACATAAGTTTAGTGGATGACATATAGTTTCCATGAATAAAGATGGGCGAACATTAAGTAACTAGGTTATATTATTTCAATACATGGAAAGAAAGTAAATATTTCTTTTACATCTTTACTAATACAATTTGAGAGCTGTAATTCTTTTTAACTAACTTTTAACTAGCACTTTTTCATTCCTATCTTTGATTTCCATGCATGATCTGTAGAAATACTTAGTAGGGGAAATTGTTTTTGTTCAACTGCTGTTACATATAAATATCGTGTTATTTAAATGTTTTATTATGGAATGCATTCAGGGTGGTATAGGGCCAAGAGGAAATGTTGGCTTAGATGGATCAGAAGGCCCGAGAGGAATACCAGGAAAAAGAGGATTATCAGTAAGCACATTTATATTTGTGAATTGTTAGTTAAATATATCAACATTTAAACCTGATGATAAACAGTAATAATGTACTCATGTTACCACACTGCATGCGGTGCCAGGGGCTGGCTGTAGGTAAAATATAAATATACCTTGTAAATAATAAAAATCAAAAACAGAACAGAAACCTTTGAGATCCTGAAATGAAAAAAATGGGGCCATGGGGTCATGGAGCTGTCTCACGGGAATTTTTCCTAATGTACTGGTTTCCACCCACAGTCCAAAGAGATTTTGTCTAGGATAAGAGTAAAAATTGATCCCCTGTAACCCTGGAGGATATTGACCCTTTGTAGCCCTGTGGTTTCCTGGCATCCAATCCAGAGTATGCCTCTTAACTGCATGGGAAGGCTCTTAACACCAACCCTGTAGTGGACTAAATGGGTGGATTGACTGAAATGGCCTGAAGACATTTTTAATGAGATATATTGCATTTCAAAATAAAAATGGTTTCTGGTTTTCCTGAAATACCCAAATTATATATTATTTGTAGTAATTAAATAGTATTTGGTGTGAACAATGTAAAAAGGCAACAGTAGCTATGTTGTGTTTGTGCAATACCTTTTCATGCAGAAACGACAGCAGTAACAACAGAGAAAACACATTCTCATATGGAAGCCATCTTGAGCTGTGACTGCTGTCTTTCATTCTTTGTTCTATTTTTACTTTTGCTTGGTAATTCATTAAAATATATGAAAACCCTAAAATAAGTGACTTATGAAGGAATAATGTTTTGGTTGTATCGACGCATATATTTCTCCTGTTTCCAAAGAAGCTTCAGGATACAAGCACGGCCTTATTGTATGTACCTGCTCATAAGAAATAAGTGTATTTCTTAATAAATTTCTGTATCTTACACAGCCAGCACTTTATTCCATATTTATGTTTTTCCCACCTACACAATGTACAATAGGGAATAAATGGTGACTCTGGCGTCCCTGGGATCACAGGGCCTGTGGGTCCTACAGGTGCCCGTGGCCCACCTGGACGACCTGGATCACCAGGACCAGGTCAGTATCCCTGTTTCTATGTAATGCCTTGAAGCAAAGGGGCCCTGTGATCAATTCTGGACCTGGGGTGTTATATGCATGGAGTTTGTATGTTCTCCCTGTGTTTGCATGGGTTTCCTGCAGGTGATCTGGTTTCCCCCAACAGCCCACAGACATACTGGTAGGCAAATTGGCTTCTTAAGTTGTTAGTTAAATTGTAAGTCTGTGTCTTCCCTGTGATGGACTGGCATCCCATCCAGGGTATATCCTACAGTGTGCATGTTGCTTGCTGGCTCCAGCTCCCCTGCAACCCTGGATTGGAAGAAGTGGTTAGAAAATGGATGGCTGTCTGGATTTTCCTATAAGTCATATTAATAAATATTGCTATGGTGAGTTACAGAAATGTATTACTCAGAGGAACACACTATTCATTCATTATAAAATGATAATGCTAAATCATCTTATTGTTTTTATAATTGATTATATACCATCCAAATTGTCCATGTTCTTTGATTTACTAGTTCATATTGTACCTGGACCAAAGGGAGAAAAAGGTCATCCTGGCCTTACAGAGAAATGTACCTGTGTGCAGCAAAATATTCATCAACCAGTGAATAACTCAGAATATATTGATATTTCATCTGTGAGTATTATTTCTCACACTTTTTAGTTATAGAAGGTTTTGTGTAAACAGTATATTAAATGAACTTATAAAATTTTAATAACAACACCCCATTGTACTAGTTCTTTTTAGCGTGAATGTTTATTTCCTGATATCGACTTACCATTAAACTAGGACTGCGTGCTGAAGAGAATATTGAGAAGTCATCAATTTAAATGGAAAAAAAGTCAAATTATTTCAACATATATCCAACAGCCTTATCTTCATGGCCAATAAATTAATCTAGCTGAAAATAATTGAACCACGTAAATAAATAAATAGTAATAAATGTAATGTAATCAATATGGTGGTACTGCTAGACCACATATCTAATTTTAAAACGGTTGACTGATTCTATCAAACTCTTTCTTATGCATAGATATATATTGTGAACAATGAAGAGGAGCTGTCCCACATAAAACCAAAAAATGTGATGGTCCTAAGAAGAGATACTCGCACTTTATACGTCTACAATGAAGCTGGGTGGATCAAAGTGCAGGTACTGTATGTAAGCAATTATGATACAGAAGCAACATTAGCAGAAACTTTGGTGAGGACAGATAGCAACTGCCATCATAATTGTTTGGTTATTTTTTTAATCAAGGTTCACTAATAATCTCTATTTGCTTTAACCAATCATTTAAAGCATCATGAATATTTTTCTAACACTAAAGAGCTTCCAAACATAAATCCAACTCATAACACATACTGTAAATCATATGATGTAAATAAAATGTAAATTAAAAAATATATATTCATCACAAAATAAATATTTGTAGCAGAATAAAATATATCTCTAAATATATCTCTATTTATGCCTTAGGCATATCTACCAGATTCTCATCAGTTCTGTGGGGATGGTGTTCTTCATTCAGAATACGGGGAAGAGTGTGATGATGGAAACCAGGATGAATCTGACAATTGTATAAGTAAGTGACAATAAAAAGACCAACAAAAATAACCAGTACTTCTGAGCACTGATATCAATAGTGCTTTCACTATTAATGTAAACAGCCTTTCAGATTTATTCATACCTACAACGAAGAAGGATAAATATAATAATATAATACACATTTGTATTTTAAAATACAAAAAGTAGCCTTTTAGTTTATTGAAGTCTTACGAACAAAATGTTAATGACATGTTTTTTCTGAGCCAAAAAACTATATTAGTAACAATGTTTCTTACAGTAGTAGGAAATTATGGTTAGGCTTTAATTGAAATGCTGATGTACAATCAAACTCATAATTGTGTGTAAGATGTCTAAGACCTTTGCATAGCAGTGCATATATGAATATACTGAAGTTATAACTGACATAACTACAAATATATTATACGGAGTGAAATGCATGAAGATGAAAATTAAATAATGTGAAACCATTCTATAAAGGAAATAATTATTTTTACCACTCTTTATAAAAGAAAGTTATTTTAAAGTTTTCAGATCACAGGTAATTTAAAATACTATTGTCTTAATGTCTTTTTCTGGGGTGGGGGGGGGTTTGATTTTAGACTGCTTGAATGCTTTCTGTGGAGATGGCCACAGGCACGTGGGAGTAGAAGAATGTGACCAACTTGATTTAGGACAACTTACATGCGCTTCTTACTTGCCAGGGTATGAACATTTTACCATATGATAAAGCATTATATTAAAATCAACTTGTATCAGTCTTTATTAACATAGCTGTATAAATTTAAATTTCTTCTTTACTTGAAATACTGTCTAGATTTACCTGTTGTGTTCACAATTAAAAAACAACAACAAAGAAAGCAGCATGTACTATTCTTGCATGAACAACTTGGGTAATTTTTTCTTTGATCTGAAGATGTTTGCCATGCTTGGTTTATGTCACTGATGTTTGTATTAAATAAGACAGGTCATACTGAGTTAAGAAAACTACAACTATATTGTTAAGCTTGAGTGCAAAGATAATGTACGTCTTTAGACAAGTTTTAAAAATGGTGGCAGTGATAGTATAGTGTAAGCAGTACATGCCTACAGTGTCCGATGGATAGTCTTTACACTTTATTGATTTAATATCAAATGTTAGCAATGCTTAGGATCATTTTGCTCTTTAACTTTGTTTTTGGCAAATGTTTTACTCCAAGCAGACAAGCTTTTCTACAAACATCAGTTTATTTACAGTAATCCTGCCTTACTGCTAGTAACATCTACAGCTATAATTGGCTACTGAATGGGTTTTTACTGGTAAATGAAACTGATGCCCACCAAATTCAGCATAGTCATGTACCTTGGGTTCAACAATATACCACTCCTCTTCCTGCATTAAATGTAAAACAAACGTAGAAGATTGTATACTAACTGTTGGTACATAAAGAAGGCCTCTAAATCCTTTAAGTATCCATGTAGCTTGGGTTTGTTTGAATTACTATGTTTCAGGACATTGTACTACACAATGAATTGGCATCTGATATTCTGCAACATGGCCTTTTACTCACACTACAACTGTCTCAGTAGTAAGAAATGAGATCTAACAGAGGTGAGGTCGTATCATATTGTTACTACTTCTCGACCTCTTAAACCCATTAGTGTTTAGTTTGAGCTTTGAAGTTTTGATTAGAAATATTCACTTAAAAAATGCAAATATATCATTTCTAATTAAAAAGGGACACGACTGGGATGGGAAAAATACAGGAGGCTGGGGTTATACCCCTATTCTTTTCGAGAAACACTGAGGGATTTTTTAATGACCACAGAGAGTCAGGACCTCGGTTTTACGTCTCACCTGAAGGACGGCGCTTGTTTACAGTATAGTGTCCCCATCACTATACTGGCACACTAGGACCCACATGAAACACAGGGTGAGCACCCCCTGCTGGCCCCATTAACACCTCTTCCAGCAGCAACCTTATTTTTTTCCAGGAGGTCTCCCATCCAGGTACTGACCAGGCTCACACCTGCTTAGCTTCAGTGGGTTGCCAGTTGTGAGTTGCAGAGAAATACGGCTGCTGGCTGCTGTACTAGATCTGGTCATTGTTTATACTGTGAACCCCAAACTTTCATGCATACATGAATTAGTAGCATAGTAAAATTCATGTGACACCGAGGAGCACAGTCATTGTGTATAACCTTTTTCTTAAAAAATAAAGGAGAAGCATAAACTGTTTAAATACTGTACCTACACAATAAGTGAAGCACATATTAAATTTTAAGACATTCATAAAATCTTTGATAAATTTGAACGAAGAAGATGTATTCAATTATTTTATAATAAATGTCATTTGAAAGTTTCCATATAACTAGATTTCCCTTGTTTTACACAGATAAACAGATGTTGTATGGGTCAAAAGTTAATAAGTATCTTAATGCAATTTTGTGTTATCAGTATATTTATTGCTGTATGTACAGTATGTGTGGACCATATGATAAGACTGGCACCCCATTCAGGGTGCAGTCTCTCACTGCTTTCCATGTTTCCATTTGTTAAACAAAATTACCCAAGATTTATTTTTAGAAACCACAGTAACAATGATTTAGAGGTGGTAAAACTATACTGTACAATACAATAATGAGAAGGAAAATGTTTTATACTGTGCACAAGGTTTCAAGGCCAATTCAGACTAATGTTAATCTATACTGTTATGTAAACCACTTCTTTGAATCTCAAATGTACCGTACAATATATGCATGAGTGCAGTGCTACATTTATACTGAAAAGTGTTTGATCTCTTTTAGGTCTTACGGGATCTTGAAGTGTGACAGATACTGCAAAATTGATTCAACAGACTGCCGTTTTTTCAGAGACTAACTTCAAACCCCCTTTAAAAGCACTGACATCTTATTTATCCAACAAAATGAACATCATTAACTATGGAAAATAATACAAATGAATGCATTCTAGCATATTAAGACAAATAATGAAAGTAATGTGTATATAAGCATCTATACTCCTCATTAAAAAAATGACACCAGTCCAATGTACAGGCGGTTCCTCTGCTTCCTTGCATGTTTCAAAATGTATATAGTCAGAACTGTCTGTTTCTTTCAAATTATCTACTTCACGTCTCAACTGTTGAAAGGACTGAAATATAACCTCAAAATGTGCTTTATTACTGATTAGCGGTCTATCAACATCACAAAAGTGAAATCAGTAACTAAAAATCACTTTTTACTTAGATTAAAATACAAATAGAAACACATACAGTTATAAGAATCTTAGTTACAGAAAGCCTCCCTATACTGACATGGCTGATATTAAAAAAATATTTATTAGTGGGGGGGTTTTAAGTGTTAAGTCTTTGTCACATAACATAATTATGATTATTTGTAATCCTGCACAAGACCAACATTGATAAAGATAAAAACTGCCCTTACCTTAAATACCTAAAGCAAGTATCAAAGAGAATATTAAACTTCAAAAACAGCAAACTGAATCATGAAACTTCAAAAACAAAGTCCACCATTTAGATATTATTTATTGGTCCTTGGCACATTCACCAAACCTCTGTGTTAAGGTTATTTTTTCCCAGTACACAAGAAGTAATTTAGCTGTCTGACAGACCTTTAGAGATATACAAGCTTAATTTGTGTGGAATATTTAACATCATTATTATAAACTCGCATTACAGCCTTCACATATTATTCAGGCGAATTGATAAAAAAAAATACTTAGAGAAATACAAACAACAATAAAATAAGGATTCAGTTTTTTTACATTATTCATTAAAGTGCAAATAAATCCTTCTACAGGAAATAATACAGTACTTCCCACAATGCAAGTAATGCAATGCCAGCAGTGATTGCATAGCAATTTCTGTGTAAAAAGTTAAGACTACAGGCTTCTATTATTTTCAGGAAGATAATGCCAAAATTGGACTATCCGTCTCTGATATTTTCCTCGAGCCCATGCTGGTTTCTTCTGGGATGGTCGTGGGAGCAAAATCCCCATTTACACTGTTTTTGGAACACTGTACTATCCCTTTGGGGAAAAAAAAAGAAGAGCCTGAACATTCTATCTGTTATTAAAAATGCTTTACATTTTTCAAACAATGTTTATGCCAACAGGTCTGATTTAGCAACAGCATTTAACATTAAGTTGTTTAAGTATAGGAGCAAAATTACCGTTTGCTAAAAACAGGTTAACCCTTTTAAAATCTGGGAAGCAATTAAGTTCATTTCAATCATTTGAATCTAAACTGTATTAGGTGATAACTTCTAAAAGGAGGAAACAGAAGCAGATGATAAGAAAAGCCAGATAAAAATGTCAAACACAGCGAACCCTAAAATGTCCAATGGTTGACTGGTTTCGAGGAGTCTAATTTATGAATTTTTATTAACTTTTAGGTGGAGAGCAAAAAATAGCATCTCCAGTAAAATGCTTGTAAGATTTTTTTATTCTATTTATTCAGATTTAAATATCACCGATACTGTTTCAGAATCATATAAATGGTTGAAAAACTCTACAACAAACATTATACTCATAATTAGAAAATCATTGTCATTGTCAAAACACTGGACCTGAGTGAAAACAGTCTGAAAAGTTTAATATCAAATAAGTAACTAATAGTATTTAATAAATAACACAAATGTGAAACTGATTAAAAATCCATACTACATTATCAAAAGTGACATTTAAAATACTGTGAAGCACAAGTGATTTGGCCTAACTGTAAACCTACAGGTTTTCTACTTTAAGTATTACAAATTTATAAATCTATTATGTTGTTGTGCTGCAAATGTTTATTTCAAAATCATGTTTAGGGGATTGCATTTCTTGTGTGATAGTTTGCAAAGGTATGGGATGATAGCTCACTGGCATTGGAAGATTAAAAATACCAATTTCCCTTCAAACTTACAAATCTGGACATTTTATTTTGGTCAACTTGGGCTATTGTTATTTTCAATTTGTGTCTTCTCTGGAATAAATTTGGAACACATTATTCCAGTGTACATGTGGAACAGTCCACAGATAGCAAATGTGAAATACTGAAATGTGTCACTTACTGTCTGGATCTTCAGTGCAACTATCACTGTGTGATTCAGTATCTGAATAAGTTCTAGTTCTTCTGTGTGATAAGCGCTGAAGTGAAGGTAAAGATTCCTTTGGTGAGTGGCTTGACCTGCAAAGAGAATCCTTTGATGTTATAAACATTAATTTCACATATCTTTAATACTTTCTTGCAGAGAAAATTAAATTCAAGTGCATTCCAACTTGGGCATTTGTAACAGTAACAGTTGAAACGTCAGTCCACAACTAGTTTAAGTCATTAAGGTCTATTCCATGAATAAAAAGAATAACATAGTGTGCTATATCAATACATGTTTTGCAACAGTTCTGGAACAAAATCAGCAGTATTAAACTGATGTGGGGTAGAAAGTGGCTCTTCCCTTTTACCAATGAACTAGATAATTCAACTGCAATTCCAGAGAATACTTAGAAAAAAGAACAGGAAATAACATAAGACTGACTGGATGTTTGCCAGAAGCACATCATCATTTATTATTACACTAAAATAAGGTGAGCTTTCACTGATTTCCAAGTCCTGTCAAGTAAGTAGCCACGTCCTCATCCCAGGAACATCTGAAATAATTGCACTAATAAATGTGTTGAACAGTGTTGGATAGATATATATGTGCTCAGGACAAGTGTATAGCAGTTAATATTGTCAAATATAACACATAATACTGCACTAAATCAAGTGGCCATTCTGAGTTTATTTTTCTTAAATGTGGTAACAAAAGGAAGATAAATACTGATACTGTGCATCAAATACAGAATTTATTGAGATTATATCCCCCTGCCCCAATATTTTAACTGGCCCTACAATTAATCCTAAATAAAGAGATTGAAACAAATGCAAATCACAGGGTTTAATAATAATAATAGAAAAAAAAAGGCTTGTGGGCATTTGAAATGTCTATCACATTATAAGGCACTCAATAAAACAAAAAATAACTGGCTATTATTATAAACAATCACAATGTTGTACCCCATCCTAACTGACACTTTTAAGGGTTTGAACAGTATAGTTCTCTTTAGACAGTACAATACATGAACTCTTGGCAGCGTAGTACAGAACTTGCCCTTTAACAGTCATTCCTTAGACGTCACTTCCCTCTCTGCCTACATACCTTATTTACAATCAACTATGTTTTTCAACCTGATTATAGTTTTTGCTAGACTGCTGCAGTTTTAGAACTGGATAAGACTGCTAACAACATACCTTTCAAAATTGTAGGTGCCAGGATGACTAATGGAACGCTTCATCTGAAAAACAGTTTGGGAATAAAATTGTCTCATGCTCAAAATGCTCAATGTACCATTTCTTTGCATTAAAATGATCAATTTAACCAAATTATAACACTTTTATAACACAAGACAAAAATTATAGTTTTATATCTCTAGCCATATCTGAATATAAATCCTGCACAGGATTATATAAAGATTATCACTGGACAAGACAAAACAAATGTATTTAAATACGTACCGAGAAAAACAAACACTATAACAAAAGAACAATGTACAAACAAGCAACCCTAAGGTACTGTACTGTTAATACACAAGATGTTTAACTGTACCCGAACCATCTGCACAGGAGACGGAGAAACAGGAGAGACCACAGGGTCTGATGGATTCAGCTGGAACATTTCTGGCTTGAACTTGGCATTTGCAATCTTCATACATTCCTCCAGTGTTGTAATGAAAGTATTACAAGTGGCACTCAATAAAGAAGAGGCTTCATTCATGTTCTAGAAGCACAATAATACAACAGATACACGTGGTTACTCTATGGTCACAGTACTCTCCTATGGTGACAATTGGATAAAGAGATGGCAGAGTGTAAGCATTACCTCAATGCTGGGTGGTGTGTTGTTTGCTTCTTGATCAACCGATTCCTGTATTGTATGGACTTGCTGCATCAATAAATCACAGTACAACCTCAGTTCGGACATCTTCGTTTTCAGGGACTCAGTAGTTTCACCAATTTCTAAATTGAAGAACGAAAATGATGTATTATATTTTCACTGTAAGCTAATCAGCCTTTTATAGTTCTTTTTAATATCTTAGTTCACAGCTAATTGTTTTTTCACTAAACATGTTTTACCACACCATACCAACATTTTTAACATACTTCAAAAATGGGAAAATTTAAAACGAGCAATGGATATTTAAGAAAATAAATTTCAGTTTATTAAGTTGTAGTTCAAAAGTCAAAAGGATCACCAAAAAAATAATCGCCTTGATATTTTTGGTACAAACCCAGGGATGTGTTGCCAGCTTTATGCTGCCTTTACAACATTTACAATATATAAACCTTAGTTTGTGTACAATAAATCAATCAGGAATTAATGAATAATAAATACTGCCACTGTAAACAACCAAATCATGTTTTTAGACAACTTTTATTTTCAATGAACAACAACTATAACAATAAAAAATCTAAGGTCTGAAAAACAGTGAAATACTGGTAGCGTTTTAAAATGTAAAACTTAACCATCATTCCTCAACTCTCAATATGTATATATATAACCTTACTTGAAGGTTTGGGATTTATTTCATAAACCAAACACTTAAGGACACATTCACAGTTGCAACTTGAAACCTCTCTTGAAATATTAACAAAAACTTAAGATAAGTCTAATAAAGCTTTTCACTGCTTGTGCTACAATTGCAATTTGTTCTGATTATTGTATATGTACCATTTCTTTGCATCAAAATGATAAACTTCACCACATTATAACTCATATGTACAAGTTAGTAGTTTTGTCTAGTCTAGTGATATCTGAACTTCCTTATCCAGGGTAATTTACAATATGTCCATATAAAGCAGATTTATTTTTTCTTGGAAGAACCTTACACCTCTATGTATAATATTCTATAAAGGTATAGCTTACTTAGCCTTATTGAAAGTGTTATTTTAAGGTTATGTTCACTGTCTCACTATAAAGTAAAACATTTTTAGCCAGTATCCTTATACTTTTTCCACTATTTATCTAAAAAATAACATGAAATCTAAAATAATTTGAGTTTCTGTACCTTAATGTAGCCCAACACCAAGTTTTTTTTAAAAACTACTACAAAACCAAAATAAACTAAACCAAATGAATAATACCTTATATTCATCACCTTTATCATACTTTGGAAGTCTAAAAAAGCTTTCACCTATGAGGTTCTGATGGTGAAAACATTTTGTATTTTGTCTACTTCAATCCATTTTGATTGAAACTCACAGAACAGCTTCACAAACCCCAATTAGAAATAGTCCCACACACACTTGTTAACATTAGCCGGGATTATACAAATGGTGTAAATACTTGCTAATGCACAGCAAAGAGGATTTTTCAATATACATTCTTTAGGTAGTATCTACATTGATAAACTATGGTGATCATATTTATAAATGCATATATGTTAAGTTACTCCTTTTGAGTATTATTCAGTGCTATGGTTATTGTTTTATTACATTACCTTTTTCTTTTTTGGTTCTGGTATCTGTCAAACACGCCTTTGAACTTCCAAGAGCCACCAACCACCTTTGTCTTTCGGCAGCATTGACAGCCTTCACATAAAAATGCTGCTCTCCCGGTATGATCAGCTCCAGTCTTGTATTATCAGTAGGGTGGACTAGTTTGAAGAAGCAAAAAAAAGCAAGAGTCAGTACTGTTGAGTAATTACTAGAAATTACTTACATTTATGATGATTCTATTAAAAGAATACAACTGCAGTGCTTGCAGTTTCATTCCTATAAACAACATCCTGTTTGCTCCACAAAGGGGACTCATAGAACTGATAAAAAAAAATCTCAAATGTTTGGGGTTTGCAAAAAAGCACATACAGCAGTAATACTGCAAATCTGGCAAAAAGGTCTGTGGATAGGCAAGTTAAAATTGGAGTTTTCTGGTCTAAAGGCAAAGCATGACATCAGACATAAACTCAACATAGGGTATCATGCAGTCAACACCATCACTACTGTCAAACATGGTGGTGCAGCATTAGATTGTAGCTCTGCTTCTCAGTGGGAAGTAGTTATAGTATGCTTGACCAGACTGACAGGACTGGCAGATCTAAGAAGGAAACCCACTTCAAACTTAAATCCGGGTGAAAAATTCACCTTTCAGCAGGACAATGACCCAAAGCACAAGGCCAAAGTTATACTGGAGTGGCTAAAGAATAAGACCATGAACACTTTTGAGAGGCAAAGTCAAAGTCTTAATATAAAGCCTATTAAGAATCTTTGAAGAGACTTAAAAAACTGCTGTCCATAAACCAAGAGCAGTGTGAAAAGTTGGTAAAGACAAGCCCAAGAAGATTTCTGGCTGCAATTGCTTAAAAAGTTGCTTCCATCAAATAGAAAGTTCACATATCTAAATACTTACGTAATCAACAGATTTCAGTTTTCCATTTTTAGTTTGTGCTGACTTTTACTGTAACCTCCATTACCCTTAGAAGTCTGTAGTTTCAGCATTCAGGTGTTGAATAAAGTACTAAGTCTTAAAAAATGTGTAATCATCATTAAGTAATACTTCGAACACCAGAGTAAGGGTCTGAATACTTTTGCACGGCACAGTACTATAGTGAAAAAAATGGCAACTTTTGTCATTTAGCAGACAATAAGCATGACTTTTGTTTGCTCATCAAAGAAGAGAATACAGAACTGCATTTTCTGACTAGTTTCAATGCTACCCCTCCTCCCAGCACACCCAGAACTCTTAGTTCTTTAAAATTCTTATTGCAGGTCAAGAATAGTACATAATCCACAATTTAAAAAAAAACATATTACAAAAAAAAAAAAAAATTTGCCAATAAAAAAAAAAAACACACTTCACTTCTGGATATAGTGACTTTTACCAGGGAATTTATATTAAAAATAACTTTTTTATACAGTTTGCAATAAACTATTTAAGCAAACATAACTTAAGGAGCTTCTGGTGAGGGCACATGCATTTTGTTGCTCACTCCACAGAAAGAGTAACCACTGAAGCTTGTATTGTATTGAAATAGTTTGTCTCACCTTTAATTTCACACACTGACATTTTAATACTTCCTTTGCTGCCCTTGCACACATCATCTTGAGAATCATAATAAGAAAGAATTCCATTGTCCAAGACAAACCAGCGTGGCTGCCATCCTTAAAGAAATAAGAAATGTAAGTTAGAGTAACTACAAAATGACACTTTTTTCCATTCCTGCACTCAATTTAGAAATGTCTTCAACGGTTCATCAAGGCACATTCAGATATTTAAACTTATCACTAGTTGTACAAACAAGCATATACATTTTCAAATATATATCATTTCATCATTTCAGTTTGCCCTGTTTAGGTTTGCTGCCAAGGTTGTAGGAACGATGCAGAATTACAGAAATCAGCTTTGAGAATCTAGTTCTCCAATTCATAAATGTAAATCTGAAAACATGAACTGAAAAACGTCGCACATCTATAATAATATTTATCGTAATACCAATAACTTCATATTAAGATTCATTATTATAATTGATCATTATTGTTGCTATTCGAATTTGTTTTCCTGGGTTAAGCGCCAATTCAGTGCGAAGAACTATATTCTTATAATACGGAGAGCAATGATTTTGCTTAACTACTGTGATATGGTCAACTAAGAAGGCCAAGAAATAATTGCTGGATAATAAAACGTATGATGATTAAAACGTACAAAAAACTGGAATCAATATTTACCAGTGATGTAATTTGTCCACTTGTACAAAATTCCTTCCATAATTCAAAGAAATTCTGTTAGCGAAATACAGATATGCCCCCCCCCCACCCCCTCCTTCAAAAGCTGTTATTTACTATTCAAAATCGCCTTATTAAACCACAATTACTAAGGTGTAAGTTACAGTCAGATGATAGAGACATTCTTAAGAACTGCAGAACGGTATCGTTAGTCATAATCTTATCGTCTCGCTCCTTGTAAAGCTACATCATGAGCAAATTCAGATAACACACACCGAGAAACCTCTTTCTCTGATTGACCCTGACATGTAGTTTTACTTCCTGGATTAATCCTAAAGAAAGGAAAACACCTGATTGACACAGAAATGACCAATCACCAGGAACGGTGGGCAGATCTTCGCTTTAAAGGGACATAAACGCTGTTAAAAGGATTTAAAAACCAGTGAAAGCTAGGTTACTTAAATTAATCTTGTTAACGTATAGTATCATTTGTAATACAGTGCAAGGAACACCACTTGTACTGTATATTATATAGGAAAGCTGTTATCGAAGCCCTTTGTCAGTTCTAAGTTTAAGTCGGCAGATACATACAGTAGGGCAGGAGTACTGCTATGCTGATGACAAACGAGTGTAAAAGGGCTGGACTGCTAACGTCACAACTCTTGTCATGCAATGCCACGCATTCACTTAGGTACTGAGCGGTATGCATCAAACTTTCACAATGTTGTTTGTAGCTTTTATTTTGTACCTGCAGGCATACAGTTTATTTGTTGATCATGCACTTGCTGATAAGCTGGAGGACGAAGTCAAAATAGAAGTTTTGCACATGCCAGAGAACTGTACGCGGAAGAGCAAGAAAGGAGATATGCTGAATGCTCATTATGATGGGCTCTTAGAAAAAGATGGTTCAAAGTTTTACTGCAGGTAAGTCGCAAAACAAACTCTGGGCCCTGTAAAAATGAGCATTGAAAAATAATTCACAGTTTAATCATCCTTATTCGTTATTGAATAAAATTGATTGCGACGCTATTGCATTTTAGGACTAATTTTCTATTCGTCTTAATGTGAATGACTAAAACAAAGCACATTAGTATGTATGACCACTTTAGGCAATACCGTATTTGCATTTAAATAGTTGTGCATTGAACACAGTATAAATATTTGAAAAATCTTTCACCATAGAATTTTACACAACCTCAACAACATAGTTGTTTCATAACTCCAGGCTGTGCACTACCGAATTTTTCTAACACAGAAGAACAAATGAAAAAGAAAACGTTTTTTTTTAATTAAAAAACACATGATATATTGAGTGAATATTTTGTGTTTTGTTCCAGCCGTACTGACAACAAGGGGCACCCTAAATGGTTTGTATTAGGAGTTGGACAAGTGATAAAAGGGCTGGATATAGGGATGGATGGCATGTGTGCTGGAGAAAAAAGAAGATTGACCATCCCTCCTTCACTAGCGTTTGGAAAAGAAGGGAAAGGTATTTTGGGAAGAGGGGAAGTGTCTATTGGAAATTTGGGAAATAAATCTAATCAAAGCACCACATTAATCTGTTGAGACATATTTAAGAATGTTCTGTCTATCAGTTTAATTTTATCAGGGAACCTCAAAAAAGTGATCCAATAAATGAAACCAAGAAAATGGTAGCTATTAGTACCACAAATTTGGATTTCAGCTCTGGTGGGTTTGAGACTGTTTCTTGTTCTTAATCAACACTTGGATATAGGGGTCTCCAGCCTGGTCCTGGAGTGTCCAGATTTAGCGGTGTTTATGAACAGCTATTAAAACTGTAATATTAAAAGACATAAAACAAATTGTGATAAATTAAGCAGGTGACTTGGTATTCATTTAACAATGTAGAGATCATTTGGCACATAAATACCTGTCTGCCCTCAAGGACCAGTTTCTTTTAACTGAACAAATTTCAGTTCAAATTTTGGTTCCCAGGCTTTCAAACTAAATAAGACAGAGTAACAGTATTAGACCTCACTGTACTGGACATCTCCAGGACCAGGTTTGGAGACCCCTGATGTACAACATGTATTATACTTTAATGGGTGGGATATTAGTAGCTGTTTGTGCAGGGCACAAAGATGTGAGGTTTTAGATGAAAGAATACAGTCATTGATTAAGTTATTTCTTCTACAAAGAAACATAGTTGTCCTAGGTAATGCAATGGGGAAAAAGTACCAACACTTCCTTGTTAAGTGTCTAAACACTTGTAAAGTTGCAAAGTGATTATTTGTAGTGTTGGTGATGAGGTTTGAGTCCCCGCACCTGAATCCTTGCATCTGTCTATTTTCTGGAAAAGCAGAGTTAGATGTTAGTGTAAATGTATACATTTTACATTTTTAAGATGTGATCCTATTAGTTTTAAGAAAGCCTCTTTGATTGTAAACTCTTTGATCTGCCTAGCCCCAATCCAGCCCAATACAAGAAAATTCTGAAAATTGACAACTTTATTACTGTGTCCCCTATGTTATAGTTGGATGTTTCAGAGGTTCCCCATTAGAAGATAGATAGATAAGACTTTATTGATCCCGAAGGGAAATTGATGTGTTACAGCAATCCAGCCCAAGACAAGCAAAAACAGACATCAGAATAGATGAAAAATTATACAAAATAAATAAAAATAAATACATAAAAATAAACACATAGGTGTGTGCAAAATATGATGATCATAGTCACTGTAAAAACTATAGAATATGTGCAAAATGTGCATAGATTTATACAGATTGGTTGTCCAAAAGTATAATGGAGCAACATGCTGTCCATAGACGAGCAAATGAAGGGCTAACAGTCCTAGCCTAGGGCAGCTTTATACACCTTGACAGCTGCCGGGAGGAAAGACCTGCGGAAACGTTCCCTTGAATACCGTAGCTGGAGCAGTCTGTTGCTAAAAATGCTCCGCTGCCGAGTAACAGTCCCATGAAGCGGATGAGAGGCGTTGTTCATGTTGGCTGTGAGCTTGGTCAGCATTCTCTTCTTAGCCATCACCTCCAGGGGGTCAAAGCTCAACCCCAACACAGAGCCAGCCTTCTTGATAAGTTTATTGAGCCTATTTGCATCTCTTGTCATGATGCTGCTGCCCCAGCACACAACAGCGTAGAAGATGGCCGCTGCCACCACTGATTCATGAAAAAAGCGTAGTAGTGTTCCACAAACACCAAAGGACCTGAGCCTCCTAAGAAAATAGAGTCGGCTCTGACCTTTCTTGTACAGAGCGTCAGTGTTACCAGACCACTCCATCTTATCATCCAGGTGTACCCCTAAGTACTTGTAGGACTGCACCCCCTCTATGTCCTCACCCTGGATGGAAACAGGGTTCAGCGGAGACTTATTCCTTCATAAGTCGCCCAGCTATAGGTTGTTTCACACTTATGACATTGATGAACTGAGTTATTCATTTTCCAAGGCACCAAAAGCCAGCAATGTATGTGGTCCATGAATTATTTTGTTCCGGAAATGAAAAAATATTTTGAAGGACAAAATTTAAAATAAAAAAATGTGTCATGTATACAATACTGTTAACATATTACTTAGGTTATGAATCATTATGCATCAACATTTGATAAGTTGAGTTCTTATCACCATGCAATATACAGTATCACTGATCCAACTAGTGGATAAAGTGTGATCATTAACTTCAAATGTATGATTGGTGTGTAGAAAAAATATACCCTTAAACAACAATTGACTTTATTAGTTTCAAGAAGATGACAATTTGAAAGGAGTTAGTGAAGATATTCTATTTATTGTTTTTCATCAGCTATAGCCTATAGGTATATTTAATGTATATACTTAAGTCTGCACTGTATGTTGGGAAAGTATTTCAAGCTGATTACATTATTCATTATGGATATTTCCTTTTTCTAAGTCATTTTGTTAAAAGTTGCATTATTTAGGAGCATACCATGTCCTTGAAATAGGACCCTCTGTACTGTATTTGCCTAGCTACAAGTGAAACACATTCTTTAACTTACGGTTCCTAACTCAGCTGTATTGTACTAATTCCAAAGGAAAAAACCTCCACTCCACTTCGCATGGGCAAATTTTATGTTCCTGCAGTCCCAGACTCTCCGTATTTATATTGTTCTTACAGGGAAAATTTCAGATGTACAGTATGCAGTACATCGTTTTGCTATACATGGTGACTTTATGGTCCCTAACCCTGATGTATATAGGGGACCACCTGTATCTGTATATTACAGTAGATGGGTGATTTGAAAAAACTTCACCAAAGGCTGCCTTCCTGATATTGGCAGGGGTAATGTAAATTGTTTTGATGGTTGACTCACTTAGCTTATTTCGTATTGACTCTCTGGGATTTTGGAAATCAACTCCTATCTATAAACATGCAACTTAAGATAAATGGAGTTTACACCATGATAATCAGGGAATAAGCTTTAAGTTCTGTCTATACACTGAATATCTAGTTTGGTTTTCTGTACTGTCTGTCTCTCAGTATATGGATAAGTTCTAGGTGTCTTAGACATCTTTTGTTCCAAAGAAATATATAAAAAATATAAGAGCAGAATCAACAGTTTTAATTATTACATTTGCAGTAGTTAAAGAAGAAAAAACACGTCAAGGGTCATGATATTTTGCTTGTATTATGGAGATATTTTAGCTTTGCTTACTAATATAACTATGCATGTACTAACTCTGTCTATGCTTGCCTTATTATTATTTGTTGTTTGTTCTACACAGTTCCTGAAGAAAACGTTTCCTTAACCACATTCTAGGCAACATTCTCTTGGCATGTCAGCATGTGGGAATAAGTGGTATACACTAGGGTGAAAGTGCATGTGCATTTGAAAGGTATGTTTTTTAAAAAAGAAGACAAGTGCCACATACACACAAAGAAGACATATGCCTTCAATAATAATCTTTTTAGAAAACATTTTGTAAAAAAATGTATTCACTTAATCTACACTATTCAATAGATTTACCTGCTCTAACAAAGCAAATGCTGGAAAAGTTCAAATGGTTATTATTATTTTCTCTTGTTAAGTGTTGTTTGTTTGTTTGTATTATTTAAAAGCAATGAATTAATTATCTCAGGCTTTGAGATGTTTGGATACTCTTTATACCATGACACTTATAGGAGGTGCAATTACAATAACAACACTGGGGAAGGATGATAAGTAAAATATCAAAGTAATATTTAAATAATTATGAAATAAAAAATGGTGCCTCTACAAAATGAATAATTTCTAGGGATTAATTGCATGTACAGTAGAATTGTGAACAGGGTATTTATCCCCATCCTGATGTAAGCACAGACTAAATAATATTAAGTGCTCTCTGATCAATTTTGTATTATGTTCCTAAGACAGTAGCAAATGTACCCTATCTTTTAGCACTCTGTTATGTAACAAAACATAATATTTGGAAATGGAGAGATTTTGGAAAAGACAATCCATCCTTAAACAGTTTTAATTCTGGGTTTCGTTCCATAGGATAGTTACAGTCTGGGAATGGTGCAGAAGAGGGACAGGAAGACTGACACAGAATCCTGTTTTCTATGCATTGAAGAACATATTTTGTAAACTTACTATAAAAATTTGCTTTTCAGTTATTTTTACTAATTTTACAACCAATTTTCCCTTCAAACAGAAAATGTACCACCTAACGCTACAGTGATCTTCGAGGTTGAACTATACACAGTAACAAGAGGACCCCGCAGTATTGAGTCTTTCAAGGAAATAGATCTAGACAAAGACAGATCTCTCTCTAAGCATGAGGTAATTTACCCGATTTTTAATATTATTCATCATCCTTCTGTAAAAGCTGCAACTTCACTCTAGGCATTATCCTCATTTTAATTTAATTATTATACTGATAAAGAATCACATGTTGTGCTGAAACGTATGTTAAAATGGGTTTAAAAATAACTCAGCCTTATCCAGCAAAGAAATTAATACGTATTATTGTCGAGGTTAAAACAAAAACATATGGCTGTAAAAATAACAATATACATTTAAAAACAATATATAAGCTCAAGTTAATGTTAAGGACATCTTCATTGAGCTTTAATTTTCATTTCTGATAATTGTGGAGAATACGAATCAAACAGTAAATTATTTCAGTTTTCTAACAAAGCTTTGGAGCATGGAGCTAAACATTAGCACTTGACTAAAAGTACTGCACGTAAAAACACAATTATAAATAGGGTTATAATTCTATTGATGTCCATATATTTTAAAAAAAGTGTTTTCTTCTGTGATTAGATTAAAAAAAAACATTTATGAAGCAAAGTAAATGTCAGAAATTGATTATTATTTTTATCCTTTTACTGAAATAGTACCTGTGTTTTTCAGTCTGCCACAAAATAAACGGCTTTGCAATTTATTAATGTGCACGTTCTTTGTGTATAGAAATAGAAATGTTAAATATAATGAATAACGTGATGGTAGAGATAATATAATTATAGACAGAAAATATTGTAAGTGAAGCTTCATTGATGAACGTGGTCATGAATTTCTGTTGACAATAATTAACTAGTTGTCTGCTTAAATTTTAAATTTTTCATAACTATTGCAAAATGGTCATTTACGGTTACTGAATTGGAGTTTTCCCCTAGCATGTGTGTGTCCATGTTAACATTTATTAATATTAAAACTACCATTTTAAAAGAATATGTATAATACTATACATATTCTTTTAAAATGGTAGTTTTAATATTAATGTAATATATAGTACACATTTGTGTGCACTATATATGGACTATAGTGCACTATAGAGTGGTTAGCATTGCATCATCGCAACACAGGGATCCTGGCTTCAATTCCAGACCTGGGGTGGTATCTGCATGGAGTTTGTGTGTTCTCTCCATGTTTGCATGGGCTCCAGGTGTTCTGGTTTCCTCCCACAATCAAAGACATAGTGGGAACATTGGCCCTGGTCTGAGTGTGTTGTGTCTGTATGTGCCCTGTGATAGACTGGAGTCCTATCCAGGGTGTACCCTGCCTGGCGCCTGTTGATTGCCGGGATAGGCTCTGGCTTCCCCGTGACCCTGAATTGGATGAAACAATTAGAAAATGGGTGGATGGAAAGTTTACAAAAATGTAAACAAGGGGATAGGCTTTAACTATAAATAATAACCAGATACATGAGTATGTTTAAACAGTGCATTTTCAGCATGAATAAAACAAACTTCATAATGATGAACTTCACATAACTTCACATGACTCAGAATCACACACATTATACTGATTTCTTTAAAATTATATATACTGTATATTTCAAAGCAAACCATTAAGTTAGGGATGTTCATATTTTACTGTTTCCTTTCAAACAACTTATATGTAAACTAGAAGCTCACCCATGGGTTCTTTCTTAAAATAAATTATTTTCAGCCCCCAAAGAATAATCCCCCCAAAATTACTGTGTATTGAAAAACACTGATCTTTTGCATGGCTTTGAAATACAAAAGGGTGAAACGGTACCCCCTAGCGGTAGAATTAGAGATAATCTATAACAGTAATATAACAAGTTAAGGTTAATTCCACAGTGAAAAGATTAAAGCTGTTAAGATGAAGAGCAGGTGGGAAAGTTTTGAATGGTGTTCTGCAGGAGATGTGTAAAAATGGTGAAGTTAAAAAAACATAGGTTTTCCTTTTTCTCTGTTGCAAGTCATATGCAGACAGTAAGAATGTCAGCTGGGCTCAATGACTCATCGGTCATTAGCACAATGTTCCACATGCAAAATATGTTTCCAGACTTAATTGGCTTTACAGATTGATACTGATTACTTGTACTGGCATGCAGAGTTAACCCCTGTTAAATCCATTTAACCAACACGGATCATTTTAATTTTCAAAGGCAAGAGGTTTTGTAGTTTTAAGCATGCTGCAACTGCTCTTTCACATGGAATGCTATATATTTTATGTTCAATTTGTTTATCGGTTTTTCAGGGAAAAGAAAGAATATTACATGGTACCATATACAATGAATAAATGTGAACAATCATCATGGCATAAAAGACTTGGTACTTAAACTGTGTAAATCAAACAATAATATACAAACAGGAATAAATTAGTAGAAAAAAGGAAACCAGAGATTTGGAAGAGATAAGCAAAGGAAAAAGATAAAAGAAAGGACAGAAGAGGGAAGCCATAGTCTTCAAGTTCTTTCATATGTCTGGGTCGAGCTGCGAGTTCTTAAAGGGCTTAAGCTATATTTTTTTTTGTATCTCATTATTTGTTCTTACTGTTGGTTTGTGGCTTTTCAAGTTTATGCTAACATTTGTTTTCTCTCGGGTATCATTTGTGTATATTTACTGTCCCCATAGTATAAAAAAATGATAAGTTGCCCTAGTGTTATTGTTACCAAGTCTCAGACCTCTGTCCATCATTGCATGGAACTATGTTTTTGCATATACTGCAACACTGCTTACCATTAGCCTTGAATATTGCAAATGTTTTTATTTGTGATAGACCAGCACAGCAGCAGCCTGCCCTGTCATTCACCCTAATGTTGTTTTCGCCACTTATTTGTTTTGCTAGAGATGCTCTTCAATGTTTTTGTTCCTGCCCTGCCATCTTCTTTGCTGTCAGAATTGGAGAGTTTCTTCTTTCTTGTACAGAAAATACTGATCTTAAGTGATTTATATAGGTTTGTGTAGTATACATATTCACAAAATAGTGTTAATATAATAAACAAGGTGGACAACTGAATGGCAGGTGGAAACTCTAATTCAGTGATCTTGCATGTGACTGTTTTCATGTGTAACTATAAACACAGCAATCTTAGTAATATAAGCAGACAACTATCAAACAATTGAACAATACAGAACATGACGTACTCCTTACAATATAAACAGCCACTCTTTATAACAAACACCAGCAAACACCGGCATAAATTCATACTTATCTGGTAAAATGCTGTAGTGCCTGCAGTTTCTTTTCTTGAAATAGAATTTTATATTAACGTATATCCCAAAAAAGCGAAAATAGTGAAGACAAGTGAAACATTAATAATTGATAATAAGTTAAAATGATAATTTGTCTGGACAAATTCTACAGTTTCTAAGTAATATTAAGTATATTCATATTAAGTACCAGTATAAAGGGTTTGCTTTTGCATTTGTTTCACTAAACTAGGTATTGTGTTTTTTATTGACTTAACTTTTGTTAATTGACTTCCAGGTCAGAGAATATATGAAGAAGGAGTTTGAGAAAGGTGGTAATAAACGCGATGCCTCTTTCTATGATGTTATAGTAGCTGATGTGTTTCACAAGAGCGATCACAATGGAGATGGCTTCATAACTGCCAAGGAATACAATGTCTATGATCATGATGAGTTATAATGCTTCACTTCAGATTAGCCGCTGAAGTGATCAGCCTGAATTATTATTTGCTGGAAAGAAAATATCAATGAAAATGTGAAGTTTCTTCAAGAAATTTGATATGCAGGGGTTTTGTCAAATAAATACCACTCAAGATGTCTCTTGTCTGCATTATTTACACATACAATATATTTAAAATAATTGTCCTAGTACATTGATACATGTAAAGAAAATAAACATAAACCTTAGTGTAGCTACAAAAGTATATCTCAGGTTTCACCTGAACTAATCTTATGTATAAAATTTAAATAAAAACTACAGATACTGTACATTCAGTATTTAACAAAATATAGAAGTTTATTTTTCTTGAATGGTAAGATAACTGCAATATTAGTCTCACCACTCACATTACCCATCTTCGTCAATCAACCATTCCAGTCTCCAGTTCTTTCTATTATATATTTGTCATTTCTGAATTGCTGGACATTGTCCTATTCCATATTGTTCTGGGTGTCCCTCTCCTCTGTCTTCTGTATTCTGTGGCTTGCATCTGAGGCTGTACTTGAGACACTTTTATTAATTCAAAAAACGTTGCCCAACCACTGATGTGCTCTCTTATGCATGGATTGTGAAAACACTCTTTTTTCTAATTTCAGTATTAATCTTTCAATCCTTGTAAGTAATTCATTACATTTGTCTTTCTCCTTCTTGGGTACTTACCATGTTTCTGTGCCTAATGTAGCTGTGGCAATAGAATTCACTTTGTACACATTTAGTTTCATGTTGAGAAAGGTTTTTCAATTAAGATTTTTTAGTTTTCCAAAGATATTGCTCCATACTTTATGCTTATGTGGTACACTACTATCAAAGTATATCAACTTTCATGTACTACTATATTAGACCACATTTTATTTTTAAACAAGGATATTTACGCAAGGAATTATAATGCATAATTTACCCACTTTTCTTGCTCTGATATCTGTTTCTATTACTTTATATATATATATGATTTGTACTGTAAGTGGGTTTGGGTAAATTACGGTTAAATAAGTTATAAAATGTATTGTGTTGAAAAACAGAATATGCTCATACACCATTAAGTTTAATGACTCTATTACTCTTCCTACCCACAGGATAGTATTATAAAATGACACTTATAATATAGTATAGTTTTAATATTCAGGTAGAAGTAATGTTATGTTAAATTTTCACAAAAACACGCCGTTAACCATATTATTCAAATCCTGTTCAATTCATTGCAAAAAATGTCAAAATTACTCTTCTTCTCTTGTATTCCTGAACCTAGTTAGTGATTTTGTAGTGTGAGTTAAACATGATACTTCCTTTAAATTGTTAATGTTTTAGGCTGAATTATTAATAACAAAATTCTTATGTTGCTGTCTCGTGAGTCACCCAGATGCTTTTCTCACAAACCTTTATCTGCTAATTGAGCTTCATGAGGGGAGATTTGTTTATTTATTTAATATGTCTTGCTGTTTCTTTGCATTATGCATCTATTTTCCATATTTTAACTATTTCAGTAATAATTTTCTTAAATATTGACAAATACCAAACTATGCAGTCAATGCTTTAGTTGTGATTTTATTTTGAAAACAATGTGGCACCACAGTTTCAGCTTGTTTTTTAGGCACTAATACATATTTACCTCATTGTTTTGTGCCAGAGGTCAAAGCAAGGCACAACATGCAGCCTTACATATTTATTTCCATTGAAGGAACACTCAAGACATCCGTACACTGTCTCCCGTTTCAGGTTTCCCATCCCACAGAGTGCACATGGTCCTTTGGGAATATTATTGTTAAGGAGATTGATGCGTGTATGTGAGCCTTCTCTGAGGTAGCTGGTGGAGATGTCTGTCATGCTGGTGGCTTTTTCATAATAGTCAGCAGCCAAATCTTCCAGATACATGTCTGAATTGGTAATTTCATCAAATGTTCTATCATCTATATTAAATTAGAGAAAGACAGAGTAGCGTGAAATTAAAAGGACTAGAAGTTTTAACTGATAAATTTCTTATTTTTTCCCCAAAAGTGCCTTAATGTGAATAATAGGCTGTATCATACAAGTTTAAAACAGTTTTTTTTTAATATTTTGGTAATCTGTTTTTTCCCCTGTGAATCAATATTTTAAAACTTTTTGTATATCTTTAAAGATTCCTTGAACCTTGTTGGTATGCAAGCTGCTATACTGAACAAATAAAATTCGTAAATACAGAACATTTCAGACATGCACGAAACATTATTCTTCTAATTTTGTCCAGTACACTATGATAACATTTCTGTGAAAATATTGCGTAGAACCTGAAATTATAATCACTTCGAAATTATTTTAAGCATTGCATAAGTCTCCTTAAATATTATAAAAATGCAATCCAGTCTTCAATAAAAGTGCTACAGTGTGTCTTGCTGATTGCCAACTTGAGGCAGTTCTATGTTTAAAAAAAAAACGATTATTACTTTTTTTATTATCATAGAATACAGATGGAGCTGTGTTAGCATGCACACCTTACAGCTCTTGAGACCTGGATGTATTTCTGACAGGTGCATTAGCATGTTCTGCATGCATTAGTGTGGAGCTTTGCCAAGTGCTCCAGCTTCACTTGAGTGTACCCTTCAATACACTGGTCCTGTCTATAACCCTGCCTTGTGCTCTTATGCTCTCTACTTCCAGGATAGCAAACAGGTTGCCATGAGATATAGTAAGTGGCTTTGTAATAACTTAATATCTGGATGGGTGGACTACAAGGTAATTTAGAAGAAAAATGTTTGGTTTTTTTGTCCAGTAAAATTAAAAAAATAATTACCTGCTCGGAATGGGTTCCCATAAACAATGCCAGACAAAAACCTTCTCAGTCTTCCCACTGAGAATCTTCCAAGAAAGCCTCCAAGCTGCTCACGGATTTGCTCTTTTTCAAAGCCTCCTGTTGACTCTGATGTGACGCACAGGTCTTACCAAAGCAAAAGAAAAGTTATTTTCAAAACTTTGAAAAAATCTGGCAACACTACATGCCTGATGATTGCATCGACTTTTTCAAAGTTACACTGTATATTTTATTACCTATATTAGTGTCACTTTAAAAAAATGCTTTTTTTCTATATTCAAAGATCATTTATTTGAAACTTAAATGTTAAGTTAAATATTAAAGAGAATAATTAAAATGTCAAGTGAAACTAAGTTAAAATGTTTGAATTCACATTAGAATTAGCTGAATAACTTACAGTAAGTCACTGTATGAAATAGGCTAAATGTGTACCCACCTGCATTGCAATAAACCCCTGATATTTCTTGAAAGTAAAGTAAAAACAAAGGACAGAAACTTAACAGGAGTTATTCATTAAGTCATCAGTCCACGCCAGCTCTAGACAATAGTTGACTGAAAAATCACCTTAAAATATAAATTAGTTTAATCTGCTGCTTACCAAGGTGACCATCCAATTGTATATATAGTTCAAATATACTAAATGCTATTGTAGTATGAGCTGGGATAACAATGGCTTTGTCACGGCCCTTGTGGTTCCGGCCATCATCAATCTGAAACTGTTATAAAAAAAAACAATGTGAGATGTGAGCTAGAGCCAGGTTTTTGCAAGGCGTGTGCTGTATGCAAACACTAATTGTGGAGTCAACATTCACAATAGAAGGTTTCACAATATCATATAACTTAAATTATTTTTCAGTATAAGCTTAATTTATTAAAACAAAAGGCACTTCGAACCTAGAGTACTTTTCACTAAGCAATGTTGTTTAATACTCTTCTATGGGCTAAAAGAAAACATTCACAAACTAAAACTCAGATTTTAGAACTGAATGTCACTGCTTTGGTACACTATGATTCAAGGTCTTTCAAGAGTTTTTACATTCGTGATTTGTGAACAGGGGAAAATAGATTCACAGTTGATTAATACTGTTGGATATGAGTTGTGTGTTTACTCTCATGGTTCTTCCTCGCATTCCTGCATGTACAGTAAGTGAGCACTGACGGGTTGTCCGGATGCTTTCCATAACGACACACAGCACTGCTCGCCCGCTGCCCTTTGACTGGCGAATCAGGCAATGTTCAAGGTCCACTTTTCTGAAATGAAAGAAAATATTACAATCATTCCAACCCAAACAATTGTGTCAAACAACATTGCATGTTCCCATTGGATAGATTGGGAATTATTCAACTGAAAACCCAACAGTGCATTTTCATTAACAACTTAATCAGTGTTGTGTAAATTAATGTTAAATGCCAAAAACACCAAGAATATATAGCAATGAAGCCTAGTCAAGGAGGAACGACACTTAGTGTAAAGCTACTGTGAATTTTTGTGGGATTAGTACCTGGAACTGAGTTCTCTAAGCAAAGTAGGTACTTCCACCTCATGCTTTGTTACAATTCCAAATGAGGCTTTTACAGCAACAGAGTCTGATCCACTTATGTTGAAGCCGACATCATTAATAATGTGGTTTCCCAGTCTGCCATTCAGCGATACATCAGACTTGTCTTCATAATTAAGCAATTGATAAGATGAAACACCTATTTTGAGAGGGAAAGAAATCAAGCAATACAGAAATTAGTTTGTTCAATATAATTTCTCTATTGAAGTCTTACAAGTTTTGACATGATATGATAGGTCTTAGTTTAGACTTTTTTTGTTGGATTAGCTCTTGAGATTTTCCGACTCAATTATAAGTACAACAACGACAGTTTTCCTTTTTGTGAGCAATCAAAAATAACAGAAATTGTGATTTCTGTTATAGTGATTATATATTCATAGCATAATGAATCATTTTATGACTCATTTTTTCCATTCCAAAACCTTGCATTTGTTAATATATTTAATACTGTATATTCCGTAGTTTTGTTTTTGATTATGTTTTTGCAAATATTACGATTATGTTATTTTATTGTTTACTTATGTTAATGCCTTTATGTAGTAATAATATTACACATACTGTACATCCAACATTTCAGTTATTTGCAGTCTAAAGTTTAGACTTTAGTCTTTGTACTGTATATCGACAGTGTTACATTTTTACTTTTTGTACCCTCTATAAAAGTATAGAGAGTGAAGCAGAGCTTTTTATATACTTGTCTTGTACTTGGCATATCAAATAAAATGCAGCTAGGGCATCTACTAACATTGCAGTAGTGGTTTTTAAACATAAAACACAAGTAATGGAACTGCTGAGAAAAATATACATATTTTTAAACACACCTTCTTAAACATTTAACATTTGTCTAAATTTAAATCCCTTTGAATTCTTGACTTACCTGCTGTTATCTCCTTTTCTCCCACAAGTATATCCTTCAAAGAGAAAGGGGTGGAGGAATACTTAGTTTTCTTCCAAAAATAAGTCTTCTTTCTCTTGGTTACCAAGCTGAGGGGCTGATATCTGTCTGCTTCACTCAGACTGGGTACAGGAATTAATCTTCCTGTATCTCCAACCTGTTTCACAAAGTTTTTTGTAGCTGCTGCAAACATACTGCTCTAAAAAATCAGTTACAGTACATGATCGTTTATTGTATCAAAGGACCACCAAGTTTTTAAATAGAAATCTTATATTTGTATTAAGCAAACTGATTTTTTCCTACCAATGTGGTTTTAATGTTTCCCTCTTCTCCTAGATGAATTTATGATAGAGTCTTACTCTCTTTTGTTTCTCCTTCCATCACAATGAATAATGGATTAAGACTGTAAAAGGATAAGGGATGCCCTTTGAACTTTGCTAATGTAATTATATACTTTTGCCCTACTTCCCAACAAGTACTGTACATGTTTTATAATTCCTAAAAAAAAAATATTTAATGTGTTCTTCTGTTGTATATTTGTACTCAGTTTTTTCTGTCTTATATTACTCACCCTATATTACCCTTTTTATTTTCTAAGTACATTAACAGTTACTATCACCCAAAAACACAACGAAAGCAACATCCGCAGCAACAAAAGGTACTTCCAAGGGTCATAATGAATTCCTGAGGGTCAGCTGTCCTTTCAGGTGATGAGGAGAGGGCGTTAGAAAGTCTTGGTGTTACAGAGAAGGACAGCAATGCATTGAAGGGGGATGCCACACAGTCCAATTTCCCCAGTCTCCGTTTGGGCTATATTGGGAGTCCTCCTTTACACTGTACTATGTTCCCCTTTGGTCAGTATTGACTCACCAGGCCTGTTTCATTGCCTCCGAGTATTAAACGTCTCTGCATGGTACCTCCATTCCTCTACCAAGTGTCCCTCAGTGTGCAGTTCCTGGGCCAATCTCCTCTGTGGTTTCGCAGGCTGCGGCTTTCCTTACGCTGCCTGTATGGTGTTGAGGGACTCATCAGGAGGAGAGAGCTCCCTCTATTCAGGCTCAGATCTTTTTATCCCCTTCATAAGCCGTTTCCCCCTCAGTAGTTTCCCCATTGTCTCTGTCATTGGCAGGTGTGATCAGGACATTGCCAGGTGGAAGCTTGGGTCGTTTGAGAACTGGAAGTCCTACAGTAGGTGTCGTGGGCACTTATCATTTCTTTGTTTGCTTTACTGCTCCCCCACCCCTCTGCCCAAGGTATGACAAACGGGCTCATACTTCCATGCGTCAGTATCTAATTGTTTCCTGGATGATCTGGGAGTGACCATTCTTGCTAATTTTTGCCTGCTCCACTGTCACATTGACACAATCCTGGCCACCAACATAACCTGATTAATCACAGCCGGCTACTACTTCAATGTCCCACATCCTGCGACAGATACAGTAGCATGTATCACCTGAATCTTTATTAATTCTGGAAAATAGTTTAATACATTTGAAAACATATCTGCTTTTAATAAATGATGTTAACATTTTTTAAATGCTGCTGCATAATGGCTTTTTAATACTTTTTAAATTGTTACACTAGATGTTATAATCACATGCATAATGTTTTACAGGAACATGGGCAAAGGACATAATGTGTGCATAAGAGGTCATAATATTCCTGAGGATAGCATTCCTATGGTTTCAGCTTGCCTTTACTGTGCTTTACTACAGTGGACCAATAAAATGCCTTGATAAAGCACTAAATGTTGCTCAGGTAATGTCTACCATAATTCTTCAGTATTCTCAAAGGCCAGAGTAAATATGCACACTGAAGGCATACTAAAACCTTGGGCTTTTACTTTTACACTAAAACTACACTTTCATCTCTAAAAATTATGTCAAATAATCTTTTATTGTGTTTTTATGCATTTACTGTCTCTCCTCAATACTCCAAGTACACATCATTCCATGTTTCTTTAAGTCCACTGTAGTTACATTTCAACATTCATGGTTCATATTGTGTATTTAATACCAGTAATACACACAAAAATAAGAACAACACACAAAATGTGATTTCACATATTGATACTAATGATATTAGGCTGAGAGAATCAGAAACCATTTAGGGAAATATTTAAAGCACCTGTACAAAACTTTAAAAGTTAAGACCGTGAGGAAAATTATCTATTTGTTATGTTACAAGATTTAAATTTTCCCCACATAGACTGGGATAGTACAATTGGGAACACAGATGAAATACAGATTAAATAGTTGATATGATGAATGACTGCTTTCATTCCAAGCTTATCAGAGCCTCAACAAGAGAAAGTGTTTGCATTGATCTGATCTTATCAAGTGACTTAGCTAGAGGTAGCAAGACAGAAGTAATAAATGCTTTGGAAAATAATGACCACAACATAATCACTTTTGAGGTGAAACTAGATGGTTTTAGAAAAGATCTATAATTTTAGATGGACAGACTTTACAATAATGAGATAGATCTTAAAAGATTTGAGCAAATTAACTAGGCAATTAATAGAAAAAAATGACCGCACTTCAGAAGCATGGTACTAGAGGCACAAATAAATCATATCATATCAATTCAAAAGAAATTACAGTCTAGAAGATGTTGACCTAAATGACTAAACAATTTATATATACTATATGTTAACAGCAAGTTTGTTTCTTGAAAATGCATGCATTACATCACAATGTAAACTATATCACTACAGTACAAAAAGCTTTAATATTTAGATAGTTGTTTGTCTTGTGAACTGCAGGTACAGAAATAAAGGCAGATACATTACCCAGAAAATGGGAATGACCTATGCCCTCAGTCATGTGACCAGCTGGAAGAAGACATTTAGTCATGTGACAATGTAAAGACCAGGAAGTGGACTCAAGTCAGAGAATGGACCTAGATGATGGAGGTGATCTTCCAGTGAGACTGGTCCCAGAATCACTAAAGGAGAGTGTATTACCTGCCTGGCCTGAAACAGAGAGAGATGACCTTGGACATGAGAGGGATTATGAGGAAGACTGGTCACTGCCACTTTGCCAAGAGCCCAGGCTTGGGCTGTCAGATGAGGAAGACTACCAGAAATTCCCAATTTAGGGAAAAAGGAGGCAGAGTTGTCAGAGGTCATAGCAACTAAAGAAAACAGGGGAAAGGCTGTTTTGTCCCTTAGCATTGAAAGAATAGGTGGTGATATATGGTACATTGTTCCCAGAAGGGGGAGCACTAACAAAATCACAAAGAGACTGATGGAGGCCATCTCAGGGTGGACCTGAGATGAGAGAATGGCTGCCACCAGAGATGGTGGATAATGTGCACTTACTGTATGAATCCAGCCATCTAAAAATATGCGAGGTATCAGTCGGTATACAAGTCTATGTATCCCAGACAACACTACTTCATGGCTTTTCTTTATTTTTTAGAACCATCTGATGCAAGACTGCACTATTCTTTAAAACTGCCTGGTGGTGCAGGACCATAGCTGAAAGCGATTGTTAGACAAATCATAAAACAATGGTGTAAGTAATGGCATGTAGCTGAAGGTTTGACTACATGAATGACGCTAATACTCTATTGTAGTTGATGAACAGTATAGATATCTGTGGATATTCCTTCAAGGTGTTCTTTACAGCATGTGGTACATCAGGAAATTTTTTTCCAAATTTTTTTGTCCATGTATTCAGCTCATGTTATCAAATTAATAAAAAAAACTACTAGGAAGACACTACCTGTTCCATTTTAAATAGACTTTTTAATATGTAGAATGAATAAGTCATTTTCACAAAATCCAAAAGTATTGTAAATATTTGTTTTTTGTCTTTGTCTCCTAATGCCAGAGCAAATTGTCCAAATATATATGAAGCCTGAGGGAGGTCCTGCAGGACAGCTTGATTGCAAGCCAGATTACAACATCAGTGTGAAATACTATGTAATGATTTCTGAAATTCAGTAGAAAATATCTTATTTTTTTACTTTTTTTTACTAGCTGCTAACAGAAACCAAACTAGATGTATCACGATCCATTAGCGGTTGCCCAGCTCACAGAAGCATTTCACACTATTTTGCATCAACATTTCTAGTGGGGATGTACCAACTTAAACTTAGAAAAAGCTTTCTGTTTGTGCCTCTTTATGCATCAAGAATTATAAAAGGGCTGTGGCCCACCCCCATTATCCCAACTACTACGAGACAATAGCAATACTGTAATTAAAATAATTGTTGTTTAAAATATAGTGCACTCAAAATTAAGTTACTACATTTTTTTAATTAAGTAAGGCTTTTTGTCCATACATTATAATGAGACTGATGCTCTTCTTGTATTAGCTATTGTGAGTTTGCTCAGTTACTGCAATCGTGGCTAGAGGGCAGTATAAGAACATTTATTTGTACGTACAGCCTGTAGTGCATGTAAACAATGTTAGAAGTAGATAATAGCTAAAAGAAACAGATTACATCCCATGAAAACTTAAGTTTTATGGGGTTTTAAAACATTAAGTTTTAAATATATTGTATTATGGGTAGCACTTTACAATAAGGTTGCAAGATATTTATTGTCTCATTTTTATTGTTTTTATTTTTATTGTTATTATTTAATTGTTTCAGGTAATGAAAAAATCCTTGTGTACTGTCAATGTAAAAGAATCATATAAATAAAAAAAATGTCTTGGACAAAATATATTTTTTATAATAATATAGTTATAATATATAATATAGTTTTTTATAATATGAAAGTGTCGCCTTAAAGACGTTAGGATTAAAGTTGAACTTGGTATAGTGTATATAAAAACCATAAAAATACTGTTATTGTTTAAAACAACAGAATAAACAGTAAGATTCATTAGGTGCAGCTGAATAGCACCTAGATTCCCAGATTTGTAATAGAAACAAAGGTAAAAATTAGTATCACAGACTTTCCTGTTTTACATTGTGGTAGATTATTCTTTATTATATAACCAATTAACAAAAAACACAGTCCAGTAACAGAAATCTGGAATACAGATTACATAGAATCTTAAAGGTTTTAGGTGGTGGATGCAAACATTAGGATCACAAAAAAACAACAACAGAATGTTAAGCACAAAATGTAACAGCAATCAAAAACCAAAAACTATCAACATGTGCATTGTTAAAGAACTGGGTTTCCTTTTCATTTTACATGTGAACTTCTTTTTTACACAAACTCAACTTATAAACGTCTTGTATAATATATTTCAGACCAAGAAACATAGTGATTTACAATTAATAATTGTCCTGTTACGATCCAGTGTGCAGACAGAAACTAAACATTTCAACATCTGGATACAAGGTGAGTTATCTATGACTAAGTCTGGAAATATGAAAGCGAGGCACTGGGGT